CCCTGCTCCCCCAACTCAGTAGATAGCCGTCATGTGTTATATTGCTGTTTCACGCGTATTCCGTATTCGCTTTCTATAGACTTGACGCCAATCGCATATGCTTTAAATTGCTCAGCCATGGGAGGTTCCTAAGGTAAATTGTTGGTGGGTAGACTAAGCTATGACATGGAGGTGAGAACATAGTAAATCCAAAGTCGGGGACGAAATGACAGCTGCCTACCAAAATCACATCAAATACTAATAAAATTCCTTGTTCATTGACTGTGTTCATTACCAGTCAACCGTCAGATTTGTTATTATCAGAATATTTTATTTAGACATAGGAGTAGTATTTGTGAGGCACCTTGATCCTCATTGGCTGGTCCACTCAGCTTTCAATACTTAAGAAAACAGTCAAACCAGAGGTACAAAAACCACGTAACCGTATTCACCGTCCCAACAAGGTCCTTAAATTAAAGAAAAGAAGATTAGAGAATGTCCTAATGTTCCTCAACACTATTAAACCCCCCAAAAAATGAAAAAAAATAAAACAAACGTACAATACCAGGTATTCGCTGGTCGTCACCGACCCAACTACTAGTCCGGTCATTATGATGAGTGGCTTAAGTTCACGAGAGTGGACAGGATCTTCTGTATTCCCATAGGTGAGTCTATTACCTGTGTGGGAAGTATGCCTGATCTTAGAAGCTTCTGAGGCCAGAAAATGGGATCGAGTCTCTACGAGCCGGCTAGGCGCCGGGGACAGGGGTGGAAAACGGAGGAAGTGGGTACCCCTTTTCCTGGACACCATTCCTAGGATGACGGATAGAGGCACTAGCCTTCTTAATATAGAATATAGAAGACGTTAAACAATTTACTGTCTCTAGCATTAGCCACAGCTGTACTATGCCGTACCGACATATTTCATACTCGATTCGCCCCCCTTGCTGGCTACTACTCGATCTACCCGAGAGGTAGTCTTCGGGCATTGGTTAATGGTTGAGGTCTCAAATCGACGATTTCCCCACTTGACTACCACCTTGGTGAGTGGAGAATCGGCCGTTTTGAGACCCCCATAAGCAGTAGGCGGCTGCGTTGGTTTGACAGAGCTATACTGATAGACCCAGTGAATGGATAAGGTCAAAGACAACTGAGGTCTTGCTCACCAACATGCAAATTGCATGCCTGCTGTAACTTGGCCATTGCGGCGGTTATGCTCACTCTTGGCTAGCTCACGAGCCTGGTTGCCCACGGGCCAATCGACCGGGTATCAACCAATGAGCCGCCACCAGCCGCGGCTCTAAAGACATCCCTTTGGGCGCTAATTCGACGTGTGAACTTTGACGAGATACTTTGCTAACAGGATCGACTGATATACAGGGTTTCTAAGGCCCGAGCACTCGCTGATACAGGGATTCTATATAAAGTGGCAAGTTGCTCTGATAGTAAATCATCCCCGGAAAATCCACACGCCAATATAGCGCCCAAAGGGATACACACGCGCGGCCACGAGTGCTGAACCGGCCGCTTGGTCTAAGTTCACGACCAACATAAAAAAAAGATCGTCTTTACTTGGGCAGTGCACCTATCAAATTTGTTTCTTGTTCGGCATCGGTAGGCTTGTGCGACTCCAAGCGCCGAGACCCCGGACTCAAATGCACACCCGGCCAAGGCCTGAGTTTCGGCCTTCGTTACAAGACTCGATAATGCCTCAAGAAAATAATTGGCGACGGCGGTTAGCCAGGCAAAAGGACCAACGACCGATTCAAGGTATGTCTCATGTCTGCTGTGGAAGATTTATATAAGCCGGGCATGTGTACATATTCAGAAGCTTCGATCCAGATCATCATCACAGACAGTCAAGCAAACACCCTATACAGCCGATCACTTGTCACTATATAACTTCAATCTTTGTTCCAATATGTGCAAGAACGTTCATTATAAGTTCTGTATTCGCGTTTCCCAGGATTGGCAGAGGCCTCCTTCTGACTATCACCACAAATGCGAAATCCACCATCAACTAGTGAGAGCGATTGCCCAAGATGATCGATCGGCGCTGCGTGAATTGCGACGCCACGAAGAGAGTTAGTAGAATAGACCGCCCAGGAGCCTGACCCCACTGACAAGACGGCAACAGGAACCCCAGATGTCGACTGCACATTTCACTACGGGAACAAGGTTTCGCCAGATGGATTGTGCATTGTAGACCCTCATAACCCCATAGTTCAGCAACGAGGCAGACAGCGGGACCGCAACGGTGACCTGTACAGACCAAGCAACCTCATTCCCTCAGAGTATAAAAACCGTATCGCTAACTAAGATACAATCAGGTGGTACCTTCGGTGTGATGGTACATACCGAAACTCCTATGGCGAAATCATCAAGATCGTGCGAGAAGTTCGAGTTAACGGGCGAGGAGAAGTCGTGCTCTTCAAATAATGTTGTGCCATAGGTATTGAAGTGTCATGGATGGTCCGGAGCCGAAGTGAGCGCTTCTCTCCTATCTCTATCATGTATAATGTGTACGGGCGCGCAATCTGTGTTTTTTGTACTTATCAGTGTTACTTTATCATTGCATCTATTCAGAGATGCAAGGTCTATCGCATCAGCTAGAGTCACAGGTGAAGCCCAGCTATTCTTGAATATCCAGAGGGAAGCCAGACGAATTGTATTGAGTTATCCGTGTTCTCTTTGACATCAGATAAGCTCTCTATTTGACGACTTTTTCATCCGATTTCAGGAAAGTAAGCCCTACTTAGGGTTACTCTTGGTTACCAGAAACCCCCAGGAACCAGTACACATTGTACTACCCCAGGCTACGTAACAATGCGTAAACGTTGAGATAACGCCAACCCCCTTCGTTCCATATCACGAGCCTCTGTCACGGCAGCATCCCCTTTTTCTTCTAGTCATTATCCTGGCCCTGTGTTGAAAAGGCCGTCAGATACTGGGTGATTTGGTCCCATGACTCAGTGCCGTGGACCAAATTGTTGACCGCTCGCAAGACCTCATCTTCAGAGCCCCGAACCTGTGTTGTGCTGTCCCGTTCTCTGAGGGTAATGGAGCCGTCCGTTACCGTGTCGAAGTCGATGGTGATACCAAGCGGGGTGCCAAGCTCGTCATTTCTCGCATACCTTTTGCCGATTGAGGCACTGGAAGCGTCGATGGTGTTCGTTATACCTAGAACTCGGAGCCGAGAGGACAGCCTGCGCACAATGGGTGTGAATTGAGATTGTGCCGAAATTGGTACAATAAGAACCTTGGTCGGCGCCACTATGAGGGGCAGTGATAGAACCTATTAAGAATCTTAGTAGCTGTGACACGGGGCGAGGGTAGAGGGCCGTTGACTCACAGCTCTTGCGGCATCTTGAGGCCGATGCCAGTATGTCTGCTCGAGGAGGCAATATAATATACGGCCAATGCCAAACGAAGGCTCAATGACATTCGGAGTATATTCTCGAATAGTCTGAACTTGGGTCACTTTTTGGATGGTTAGAAGCTCACTCGAAAGCTCCACGGATGATGTGCCATCAGCTAGAGGCGTCGCAGTGTCAATCGTCACAACCCCTTTTGCGTTCAGCTCCGAGGCTAGTCTCTCGAGAAGCGACTGATCTAAGCCTTCAACACTCGCCTGTACTGCTTTGGCATCTCGCTTGAACCTGGGGCCAACAAGTTTCTTGTCCAAGGACGCCTGCCACCGCTCCACCTTGACCGGACCCGTGCGAAGGGCCTCTTTCACGACCAAAGGGGTGCCCGTAAAATTCGAATGCACTGTCAAATCATACGCGCTTCGATCAGCACAACCAACGCACTCAATCCACCCATAGCTTGTGAGAAGCTCGGCATCCCAGCAATCGCAGGCATAGTGCGCCATCTCATTGTCCAGATGTTGCCTAAACCGCAACTTCGAAGGATCTACACCGATTTTGAGAAGAAAGAGCATTATCCTGCCAAGAAAATATCCGAGCGTCTCATTGTCGATAGTTTTAGACGTTACTGCTTCCTCAATTGTGATACTTCGACACGTAGTTTTGCCAGCTAGCTGCGTTGCTTTGTCAAGGAGAGGCAGTTGAAGCCTGACTACCTCCTGGAAGCGTTCGTGTTCCTTTTTTTCGGGGTCGACATAATGCTCTATCTCGGCCATCAAGAATTCTCTGACTCGGAGAAGACCGGATCGCGGTGAGATCTCATTTCGGTAGGATTTGCCAATGCTTGCGGAAGCAAAAGGCATTGCACCCTGGTTGAAGTCGAGAAGTTTCCGGAAATTTAAGAATTGGCCTTGGGCCGTCTCGGGACGTAGGTAGACGGGAGCCGCTGCGCTTGGTCCAACAGTAGACTTGAACATGAGGTTGAATGGGATCGGGGGGAGGACTTCTCCATTGCCATCTGGATTTCTGATGTCGAATTTTCGGATCAAGTCGCCGAGTTCTGGGCCATCGTAATTGTCGATCTGTAGGACAAAATGTTTAGTCAGAGCCAAACGAATGTAAGATCGAGGATGAGCAAATCACCTTAGCCAAGATATCGTTATACTCAGCAATAGTTTCTTCATCTAGCTTCGGACTATTCTTCAGCGGGCCATTGACTCCCCGGTCAAGGCGAGATTGAAGCACGTTTTCGACGAGATGATCTGCACGTAGGTATTCGCCTTTGACGGGGTCTTTGCACATCCAATCTGCAAACTTGTCGACGTGGCCGCTTGTTTTGAGGACAAGCTCCGGAGTAATCACGGTACAGTCCACCTCCAGCATATTCTCCTCAAGAACGAAGTGTTTCCTCCAAACATCGACAATATTGGCCTGCAAGGCACAGCCAGGGGGGCCATAGTCGAACAGGCCACGGTTGTCTCCGCGAAAGCTTGGGGCAAGTCGGTAAATTTCAAAGGACTCGGTAAAGAAAAAGCGGCGTTTTATGACTGACTCGAATAACGAGCGATCGAACTGATCGCCCTTAAATGTTGTCATAGGAGCCATGGCGGGGAAGACTGTGTGACTGATGATGGATGATAACAGAGTAGTGGGTCGAGGACAACAAAGCGTGATGGGAAAAGAGAGAAGGCGGTAATAGCCAGCAGTACATTGGTGTGACTCACGCCCGCTATGTCACATACAGTCTCAAGGCCCTGGACGGCAGCCTCGGAAACGGTAGCAATTTGGCAGCCGTTTCGTGCCAGTCGTCCCCAAGCGTGGTGCTTGCTAATTAGCACTCTCTTCTCCAAAGGCAGAAAGTTCCTACCTTCCACTCGGCTTACCTATTATGAACTCATTTTTATTGACTACGTCCCTTTTCATAAAAAAGAAATACCCAGTGCGGGAGAAGGGTCCGGTTTTCTGGCCGTTAATATGTACAGAGCGGCAAAAATGAGCCGGGTTTCGGGATAAGTTCGTTGGGGCGTGGTCCTCCACCCAAACAAGTGTTCCGCCTTTTACCATTTAGTGTAATACATAAACACGATCGTATTTCTTCCACTATGTATTGTCATACGTAAAAGCTCACAATGTGATTCTAACTTATAACCTCTTCGACACATCGCCATATTACTCTTCGACACAACGGCATATTACTAAAGTTTCTAGGCAACTCAACCCACATCCTCCGCTACTCTTCCACGCAACGTCGACTCAAGATGCCGCCGAAACGTATGACCGCGAACCCCGTCAGGCCGGCGCGCTACCGCGCAGGCAAGCCAACAGGGGCCTCCTCTTCGTCAGAATCAGAGGGTAGCGACGCCGAGTCTGAGCAGGAGACCGCAGAGTCGAAGCGCAAGATCGCCCCGCCGCCCAAGGTCCCGAGCGCCGGCAAAATCATTAGCAGCGGCTCGATATCAAAGGTCGACCTGAACGCCAGGCGGGAGGATGCGGCAGAGAAGGAGGCACAGCGTGTGGCGGCTGCCAAAGCCCGCGCGGAGCTGGAAAAGAAGGCCGCTGAGGAGGGATTCGTGACCGAAGACGAGGAGGATGACGAGGAAAGTGGCAGCGAGGAGGAAAGCTCAGAAGAGGAAGAAAGCAGTTCTGAGGAGGAGGCACCGCGGAGGCTCATGATACGGCCAAAATTCGTGCGGAAGCAAGACAGGGAGAAGAGCGCCGGCGACACAAATGGCAAAGGAGCTGCGTCAAAATCTGAGGATCCGGAGGCCGATGCTGAGGCTGCCGCGGAAGAGGCGCGAAGGAAAGCGGCGGACGAGCTGGTAGAAGAACAGATCAAGAAGGACATCGCAGCGCGAGCTGCTGGCAAGAAGCATTGGGAAGACGACGACGACGAAGCTGGGGATGAGGTCGACGACCGCGACGACTTGGATCCAGAAGCCGAATACGCAGCGTGGAAACTCCGAGAGCTGAAACGGATTAAGCGCGCACGCGAAGCAATCGAAGCCAAGGAACGCGAGCGAGAGGAGATTGAGCGGCGCCAGAACCTGACAGAAGAAGAGCGGCAACGCGAAGACGAAGAGTTCCTCGAGAAACAGAAGGAGGAGCGTGAGAACCGCGGCAAGATGAGCTACATGCAAAAATACTTCCACAAGGGCGCTTTCTACCAGGATGAGAGCAAGTCTGAGGGCCTAGACCGTCGCGACATCATGGGTACACGTTTCCAGGACGATGTACGCAACCGCGAGCTGCTCCCCAAGGCACTGCAGATGCGTGATATGACGAAGCTGGGTAAAAAGGGCGCAACAAAGTATAGAGATCTGAAGAGTGAGGACACAGGACGCTGGGGCCAGTTTGATGACCCACGCTACTCCAAGAGAGATGATGGCTACGGCTACGATAGGGGAGGAGACGACAGGTTCCGCTCTGACCGGGATAGGGACGGTGGCAAGGGCGCGAATGCCATTCCATTAGGTCAACGAAAGACCGTCCCCGAGGCTCCTGATGGGCCCCGTGGCGATAGATCCCGCGACCAGGATCGAAGTACTTATCGGCCCCGCGACGATGACCGGGAGAGGAGGCGCTCACGGTCAAGATCAAGGTCTCCCAGGCGAGATGATCGGGACGACTATAGGGACCGCAGGAAACGAGATTACTCTAACGAGCGCGAAGACCGTTATGACAGTGACAAACGCCGGAGAGTAGATGCCAGATAGAAAAATATCTCACGAGGAGATAACATAGGCGCATCAAAGCTACCTGTAATTATATGCGATACCCAAACACCGAGTCCCCATCATCATGCCCCATTACGTGGGTAGCGTACAAACGTGATCAAATTCTCGTGATCTCAACACGGGCGCGGTCGAATATTCTGTGGCCCAGCATGCCCCCAGTGCTTTCTGCGTCGGTCAATGACGGGGGAGACAATGTCATCCGTGCATAAGTCCCTGCACCTCGTCGCTTGGACAAGTAACCTGGGTTGATAACTAACACGCTCTCGACGACCTGCCACAATTGTCAGTATCAGCTGTGTTTTGTATAATTTCCATTACATACCTTTGCAAAAGGAGGTAACGCGCTTGGCACAATTAGCACATCTGGTCGTACGTTAACCATCTCACCGAGCTTCAGATAGCTCAGATCCAGCATAGCACCGGGTGGTATGCCTTCGGTAGTCCCTGTCTTCGGCAACTTCTGCCTGTCTGTTGGTGGATATAAAGGAAAGTAATGCCTTTGCTCAATGAGATATCTACTGAGTCTTGACAACGCGTTCGAGTCAGTGGGCTTCCCACCAACTAACTCTTCGTGCCGCAACTCGTGGAGAATGTCCTGAGAGGAGATTCCAAGAACCATCTCATTGATTGACAGAGTCATTGGGTTGCCTATGATTTTCGCTGTCTTTGGTAGACCTAGCTCTTTTCTCGGAAACGCGTCTTGGGGCCAGGATACGTGCTTGTCGATTACATCTCGGGTTGATGGGACTAAAAGGATAGTGACATTGGGATTGGAGGCAACGAGCCGGTTCAGAGCTGGAGAGATCATGTACTTGAACACGGTTGACATAGTAGCCGTGTCTGGCTCTACAATCGCTTCATCTGGTAGGTCGAAATCTCCTGTGGCAATCAATGGATGGTCCGCATCGATGAATGGCCCGGTTAGTATAAGAGCATCTGCATAAGTGTCAGCTGCCTGGCTGCAGATTTGGTGAAGAGGCTCGAAGTCGAGGTTGTCATCTGCTGTATACGGCCCAGACGCAAAATACACATTTAGAGGCATCGGATCACTATCCGAGTCCATGGCATCGGGGCCCCCGCGCAGCTTCTCTCGATGGGTCGCGAGTGCAGCAGGTGTTGATGCAGCATTCGGAAGCAGTGGTATCTCGAGAACATCAGTGATGGTGAAGTGTTGCCCAGAGGTGTTACTGCCCCTCAGAGCGACTATCTGACCAGGAAAGAACTGGTAACCTTTGATCTTCTCGACGTCCAAGGGAACCCGGAGCCCACCACCCATCCTTCTTGAAGTTTCAAGTAGTAAGGAGGCAGTATTGAGTTTGCCTTCAGCGGAGTCAGACGCAATACGGCCAACGGCAATAATTTCTGTTATGCTTTGACTAGCTGCGCTACCGAATTCGGAGTAGTCAATCTTATGGTGCTCCATGACTATGTTCATAAAGTCGTCTATCCTGTCGTCTAGGATTTCTGAGGCTTCGGACAGTTTCATTGCTAATGGCTTATATCCCAGCTTCTTTTGATCAGAAGCCGCTGTCAATTTAATGCGGGACTCGCTGAACGGCGCAATTGGCGGTTCGGCAGCTTGCAGGTGTTCATTGAGGACCTCGAGGATCTCGCCAGCATTAGGACGATCGTTGAAGGAGCTCGGTCTAACGAGTTAGAACGAAGCTACTCAAGTCTTCTGAAAGGATATACACACGGAAGCATAGAATTTAGTTGATCTTCTAGTTTAGAGGAAGATTTGTAATCGGGTGAGCTGCTTGGAATGTCCGCTTTCACCCGCGATACGGAGGGAGTTTCGTACGCTCGTTTCTTGATCGAGCTTTTGTTCAGCTTCCCGGAACCCGGAGTGTTAGGCACAATGCCATCGAGGCTTGGTATCAATCAGCATCATGAAGCAACTTTGACCACCACATAACGTACATGCCGAATACATCGCCACTTTTTACAGCACCTCGTGGAGTTGCGCCAACCCGCTTGTCGGGCCTAGAGTGCACCTGGGTGCGGTGGCTCTTTTCTAAGGCGTCCTGTAGGTCTTGCTTGAAAGCTCGTAGTCGTTGGACAGATGGCCTCATTTCGTCCATGTCCAGTTTTATGCAGTACGACTCCCATTTGAAGAAGAGATCCTGCGTCGACAGCGAGTAGAGGCGCATGATGGACTGCAGCTCGGCGATGACATCTGATTCCAAGTCCTTAGTGCCGATGGCGAACTTGTCGTTCAACTCCGCTATTGTTGGGTCAGCCATATTGCCGGTGCTGATTTGGCATTCATGTGCTGTGATCGGTGTGTCGTTCTATGGAACAAGCAGACAATGTGAGTTGTGCAAAAGAGGACTTGGGAGATAATTCTGGGAGACGCGACTAGACGCGTTTTGGAGTGACGACCCGCGTTAATTGACCTCTTTTCGTCTTATCTTATCGCTGAACCACAGGATCCGACGTGCAATGTGGACAGGGGGCGCGAGGTCTGAGCACTTAGTATTTAGTGGGGTCTATTTAACCCGGTTGCAGAAAGTACAGCCTTGGGTTGGCATTAAGATCCCTGCTGATCGACTTGATGATGGAATCAAAACTATGCATTGTGTTTAACTTAATAAAGGGTGCTCAAACCTCATAGATGTCGCATCTGTGCCCTGGTTCCATCATAGGCAACCCTCCATATCATAATTACAGCCGTCCCAAGTAGAGAGAGAGAGCCCCATCTCGAGCAGGTCTTGGCAACCTTTCTCTGGCTACGTAGATTACGGATTTATGTAAGTAGATGTGCCCATGATCGATAATAAGTTCCATCAGCCATTCCATCAGGTTTGTCCTTGATTACCGTTGAATTGCGATCACAAAGATACCTAGCAGGATGGACTCCTCATCGACGGCTAGGGTATCTGCAGGCCCAATTACCAGCCATCATCTCTAGGCCCCATCTAGTAAAGTGGCAGTGGCGTTTAGCGCTATAAGTCCAAACGGTGCACCGGGAAACGTCCAGCCGGCGCCAGGGTCACGGCGTGATAGCGAGAGGCCCAGCATCTCAGCAAATTATTTATTTGTATCAATGTTTTCTTCCCATCAGCAACCTTGACGATCGGAAGTCTTCTCGCCATCAGTCCTCCCATCACCTCCTCGCTGTCATCTGGGCTAGTCTATTCCACAGAAAATACTTTCCCCAAGTCGAATTAGCAGATCAGAGCCTTGAGCTGCTGTCTCGTTTAGATTGGTTGGTTATCGGCCACTTCTTATCTGCTCAATCTGTCCGGGCCTTAAGCGGTGAGGCTGTCTTGTCTGCAAGTCGACTCTTCACTTAGCTTCATCCAGCCACTGGGTCTATGAAACTTTGATTTGAGGACCTTTGATCTGCAATGGCTACGGTAGCACCGCCTGATTCCGGCGCCAGCTCGTCGGTCCAGGAAAAGACGTCTGGCCCTCTCAAAACGCCGATCCCGTTCCCCGTGGCGGAGAGTAAGCCCAAGGAGCGGGCGACGCTCACTGCTGACCAGAAATCAAAATACGACTGGCTGCTTGAGCAGGTGAAGGGCTGGAAAGAGATCCCATCAGATAAAGGCAAAACTGGCCCTCTCGCCGACAATGAGAAAATGTGGCTAACTCGGGAATGCCTTCTACGTTATCTCCGTGCCACCAAATGGCATCAGAAGGAGGCCGAGAAGCGACTGAAGGAAACTGTGTCTTGGCGGAGAGATTACGGCGTCGAGGAGCTTACTCCGGAGCACATTTCACCTGAGAACGAGACTGGCAAACAAGTCATTCTGGGCTATGACAAACAAGGCCGAGTGTGCCACTACTTGAACCCGGGCCGCCAGAACACCGATCCCAGCCCACGACAAGTGCAACATCTTGTTTTCATGGTGGAGCGTGTGATAGAACTCATGCCAGCTCAGCAGGAGACTTTGGCGTTGCTCATCAACTTCAAGACTAGCAAAAGCCGCACCAATACGGCTCCAGGTATCAGCACTGGTCGCGAGGTCCTCCATATCTTGCAGACACATTACCCGGAGAGACTTGGACGGGCTCTAATCATAAATGGTTAGTATTTATTCGCGCCTAGCCGTACGATCATCTACTGATAACGCACAGTGCCATGGGTTGTCTGGGGCTTCTTCAAGCTCATTACACCTTTCATTGACCCTCTGACTCGTGAAAAGCTCAAATTTAACGAGGATATGCGTCAGTACGTCCCCACTGAGCAGTTGTGGACAGAGTTCCATGGTGACCTTGAGTTCGAATATGAGCACTCTGTTTACTGGCCTGCGCTCCAAAAGCTCTGCCAGGAGCGCCGGGAGGAGAAGAAGAAACGATGGGAAGCCGGTGGCAAGCAAATCGGCGAGCACGAGGACTACCTTACCGGTCACGACGAGTTTGGTGTTGCGGGCGCGCCTGCCAAGGTTGAGGAGAAACTTGAGCAGCTGAAAATCGCCGATGTCACTCCTGCTGCAGCAAATTCGGAGTCTGAGGAAGTTAAGTCTGAAGAGACCAAGCCTCAGGAGGTGAAAGCCGAGGAGGCCAAAGCTACTGAGCCTAGTGCGGGGGATATACAAGAAACCAAGCCGACTGAAGGAGATGAGGCACAGAAGTCTGCATAGTATCGCTTCTGGTTCGAAAGAAGGCAAGATCACCGGTTAGCTTGATGACTCGAGTGACAGTCCTCGCGTGAGTCCATAATTTTAGCAATGTGATGGGGTCGATCCCCTGCGGCGCGCAAGCCTCGCTTTACTATGATTACCTAAACTTGAGATTTTAGCTATAGACACCCTTAATTAATAGAAGCAAAGTAGAATTGTTCAGACACATTGGCGATACGGGGATTGGAAGCTTAGTGCTTTCTACAACAGTGTTATCGAGTTCAATAAGAGATAGGCTCATAAAGGTCGAGTTTAGACTGGGGCCAGGCAAGGCAAGACAAGTGGAAGGTACACACCACGCCACGATGGAAGCTTGGCCATCTGGTTGCACAATTCGGGTTCCTGCATGTTCAGCTAGTGGTGAGTAGCGCATCGTGCTTTCCTTGCTTGAGATTGGAGTCAACTGAAAAGCACACGACATGCCTTCCTTTTCACATTTGTCTGATATAGCTCAAGCTGTCATCCAGACCATATCCGTGAGCTTGAATCTTCAACACATCACACCTGATACACATTGGCGTTCAGGGCTCTGATGTGCCGTTCTTTCATGTCTCGATATTTTGTTGCTACCTCAGTCTTCGCCTGAAAAGCTCACCTGCTCTTCTCAACGGCGTAGCTGAGCCGTACGAATAACCATCTTTTCTTCGTTCATGACGGTCAACATTAGCCAACATCGCCACGATGGAAATCTCAAGACACGCAGTATTTGGGCGTGTCTTGCCGATACTCCTTTTCACATCCTTCTGCATTCCCATCTGTTTCCTGAAACGGGCAGCCGCAAATTGCGAATGTGGCTACTCGACAACAATAGGAAGCAAAGCGACACCACATGTTTTCACAGACCTGATTGAAACTGACTTTCAGGCTCTAGAGGACATAGCTAAGGACACCGACTGGGTGCGGCAAGAGTTCAACCTCACAGCCAAGAGAGCTCGCGGAGACTTCGGGGAAATGTTCGTAGTCAATAATGTCTACACCGACCTGGGAAGAGATGACGACCGTAACGAAAACAACGAGGGAGACGCTGGCTTGCAGTTGGTGGTTCAGACCTCGCCGGTGGACGGCATGGTACCTGTGGCGGAAATCGACTCATCAAGAGTCGACCTCCGGTGGGGATCATTCCGGGCTGGCATCAAAGTTCCCGATGTCCCCGGCACATGTGCTGCCTTCTTTTGGGTACAACGATGCCTTCTCTTCAAAACAACACGTATTGACATGTTTTCTTAGTACTTCAACGACACACAAGAGATAGATATGGAGTTTCTGTCAAAGGACTTCCATGACAACAACTCCAGCTATCCCGTCAACCTGGTTCTTCAGTCCCGTCAAGCAACGGCAAACGGCTTTGATGCGCAGAAAACGACCAACTTTGTGACGGCATATCTGCCCTTCAATCCTACCATGGGCTTCCATGAGTATCGGATCGACTTCCTGCCTGAGCAGGTCATTTGGTATGCGGATGATCATTTGTTGGCACAGATGACCGGCAGTGCAGTTCCAACGTCCGGCGGCCACATTGTACTCCAACATTGGAGCAATGGCAACCCTTTATGGTCTGGTGGACCACCCGCTCGAAATGCAATCATGACGGTGAGCCATGTCAGAGCTTATTTCAACTCAACTCAAGCAGAAAGGCAGCATGACTGGGCAACAAGGTGTGTAAACGCAAAGGCACCGAATGCCATTTGCGCTATCCCAGGCTTCATATTTTCAGATGACCGGAATCCAAAGCCGTGGCTTTTCAGTGAGCAGAACAACATGACGAACAATCAGACCGTATATGTGGAAAATGGTGGCAATTCGGGACTCGGACAGTCGTTGTGGCCGTTGCTCGCATTGTACTTCTTTGTCAGTGGATGGCTCATCGGTGTGTGATTGAGAAATGGTGAAAATAGGTGGTGTTGTGCGGGTGGTAGAAGGATCAAGTTGGCCTGATATTCTATCGTGGATGCGATGCCGCTATGCTCTGTGGGATCTAGCGAATGGTAACCAAACGGGAAAGGGGGCGCGCCTAGGAACAGGCACTACACTTGTTCGTCATTTTACCTTGCAGCTGGGGAACCGCTGATACTACTTCACTTGCGATAAGTTTAGTACGAATTGTACCGAGGATGCTACACAGAACTGCTGTTCCATTGACATAACACCTAGAATCATTTGTAGAAGAGTAACGTTCCAATGGAGTCATCGAGCTTGCCTCGAAGTGTCGTGATGGTCATGGACTTACTTGCATCTCCCAGTGTCTGCTTCGAGTTCAGTTGTGCAGCAACGGCGAAAGACTGTTTGGGCAGACTTGGAGTCTCCCCGCAAGTGCTACGAAGCACATGACCTCAAGCTTAAACAGAGCTTACTGCATATCAGATCAAACGACTGACAACCCAAATACTAGAGGTGTCATAGGCAGTTGCCAGAGTGTAGGTTGTAAGGAGGTCATTCTGTTCATATCTCGGAACTCCACTGGCGGGCGGCCTATAGCGGCCCCACCCACTAGCAAAGCCCCAGGCTCATCTCCTAACAACCACTAAGCTTGGCCACATCCTACCCTCCATCGCCGAAGCCACGACACCATCCCGCACCATACCAGGTCGCCTGGCCTTTTTGACGGCCCGATAGGCTGTGCGGAGATGGCCTCGATGTCCTTTGCCATGCGGAGATTCTGTCTCTGCCCCGCAAAGGCTGGACAGGTACAGTCCACCGGCAAGGCTAACGAAGCCCTCACGATCGGCCGGGATGTCAGACTTGGTGGTTGTCAGCCGCTGCCACCTGCTTCACGCACCTGGCGCTCCATCTTTCACCCTCTCGGCCACAGTGTGGTTGAGCCATGGCGCGTGCGCAGGTGTGGCTCTTGGTTTCTGGAAATGATCCTCGACTACAGTTCAGAGACGATGGTCACACTGCTGACCGACTGTCAAATACGTCTCTGAGAAGCCAACAAGTGTTGGTAAGATGGCGATATCAGAGCTGGCTCTGAGCTCTCTTCTGCCGTTGGGAGACTTGTCATCTGCAATGGTGCCAATATCACAAGTTTTCGATGTACGCGCGGAGATAACTGCTGACTTGGATCCCAAGACCCTGGTTCAGGACAAGATATACTCCTTCCTTCTCCTATACAAATCTCCGGTATATCACGCACACGTGTTGGTCAACCGTCAAGTGTGATTCGACCAACCATACAAGGTAGTTCGGTACAGTAGCCGGGCCGCTGAACATGCTTGAACCCGGGTTTTCCTTGTGAGCCGCCACTTCATGTTTCTTTTGCTTCCTAAATCGTTTCAGTAGCCCGGCCCTTCCAATGCTTTTTGGCCGTGAGAGGAGCAGTTCCGGTCCACTCCACCAGTTGAACTCTTCACTACGAGCCCTACTTCGTCAACATGGATCTTACGGCTCACTCTAGGGGTTCCTGAAGTAGGTGTTGACCTGGGTCCGCTTGCCTCAAATGAAGCACCATCCAATACCGTATGGAAGCTTCCCAAGATGGCCTGGTGATAAAGCAACTATTGAGAACCTGCATTCGACCAGGGTACGCCTACAACATGGCCAACCTCTCACAGCCTCAGTCGACACGTTACTCTGTAGCATTATCACAATTCTGTCGCAGCGCTAAGGTCAAGTATCCATCACAGGTATCTCTCATATCGATTACGCAAACTGTTTCCAGGTAGGCTTGTCACGCTTCTCTCGACGATATAACTCCCTGAGACATCCCTCCAAAAACTAAGTAAAGTCTCTTGACAATTCCATATCCACATGCTCAAGTCAGCACAGTTCGCAGGGTCCCTCACCACTGCTGTTGCTTGTTTTTGTCATTCTTTTGAGACATTATAGAGATTACTCGAATCTCTTGCTCATTCCTTATAACTCGAGAAATTAAGTTATCCTCGTATACTCTCATTATCCGAAAGTACTACATCGCGAATAACAGTCCCTACTATCGGAAACGCCTCTCGCAACAAAGGCACATTTTGCATGATATATACCGCCTAGCTCGAAAAGATGGCTACCCTTGAAGATGTTCTCGAGATCCAGAAGAAGGAGGGTATTTTGATGGCCCCGGCTACAAGTAGCAATACGTCCAAAGGCACACTCTCTACTCAGACGAACAGCACGGTGAACTTCGCTCTTCGAAACAACACGAGCTCTTCAAACGCATATGCTTATGTTACTGGTCTCGATATTAACAGGAACAATATTCCCTTTCTTCTGCAAAGCGATAGGGTTACTCCTTACTATCCGGCTTCGCCATCCAGCACTCTGCAGCCACTCCAGGCCAACTGCGCTATCTCCCTAGGAGCCCCAGGGACTACCACGACAGTCACAGTTCCACAGGCTGCAGGAGGTAGAGTCTGGTTCTGTCAAAATGGAACCTTGACCTTCCGTCTGAACCCAGGCCCAGCCATAGTCGAGCCCTCTGTCATGAACACCTCTGATCCCAACTACAATTTACCATGGGGTTTCTGCGAGTTTACCTTTAACAGCTTCCAGCTCTTCGTGAACATTAGCTACGTGGACTTTGTTGCTCTTCCGATAGCTCTACAGCTAGAAAACACTTCCGGCACCGTGACCAGCGTGCAAGGTATACCCAAGAATGGACTGGATCTTGTTTGCTCTCAGCTCCAGGCACAAGATGCGAAAGACAACGCCGGGTGGAGTCAACTCATCATCCCGTCACCTTCTGGAGGTAATCTTCGAGCTCTTAGTCCGAACAGTGGGATCAACATGAATAGCAGTCTATTCCAGGGCTATTACCAGTCATATGTTGACCAGGTCTGGGCCAAGTACGCCAGCACAGGTCTGACCGTCGACACACAAGCTGCATATGGCGTGGTCACGGGTAAAGTGTCTACTAGCACTGGCAAATTGACGTTTGATAATGTTGGCGGGTTCTCCCAACCCAGCGCAGCAGACATATTTTCGTGCAGCTCGGGCGCATTTGGATACTATGATACCAATACGGATGAGATGGCCAACATCACCGCTCGCTTGGCGGCCGCTTTCAACAGGAGCACCCTCTTGATTAACACCAGCCAGCCTGACAACGAGAACGTGAGCAACTACTATCAAGATGCCATCACCAACCACTACTCGCGCATCTGCCATCTTGTCAACCTTGACAAGCGCGGCTATGCCTTCCCGTACGATGATGTTGGTCCGTCAAGCGGAGTCGACCAGTCCGGCTCGGTGTATGACTCCAACCCGAAGCTGCTCACCATCACGGTGGGCGGGTCCACCACAACCTCATCCGTGCGCCTCCGGGACATGGCACGCGCTGGCAAGCAGCTTGTTGGCGGCCGCAGGGCTGCCGGGCACCACGTGCGGCGAGATCTCACTTGGGATGACGATTCCGCTGTCGAGGTGGAGGTGGATGAGAAACACTCGGAAGTGGACCTCGAAAAGGGCCTCGGCCGAGGTAAGCAAGACAGCATTTCTGCTGATACCCTGGTGTCCTCATCAGTCATGTCTAGGTCTCTGACCTCGCTCGTCCCGCCGTCCTGGCAGCGAAGGGCCGAAGCGTGGGTGGCGCGGCTGGAAGCAATGCCGCTGTACGTCCGTATGAAGCCGGTGGTTGACCTTTTCATTCGTTGCATGATCTTGTTCATGTCTCTTTCTGTGCGTGCTGTTGTCAGTCGGGTCAGCATGGTGCTTCTGTTCCTATTTTTCTATTTGCTTATGCCATTGGCCGGGACACACGAGCCGGCCAAGACAGTTGTGGTTCATGGCATGTACAATGGGACGCTCATTTCGTGAGGTAAATATGCATTTTCTTGGATATCATGGGTAATGGCAAGTCTTCAATGAGGCCTTGGTGGCGTTGCTTGTTGGAGAGTTGGATCTTCATGGATTTGTATGTGTATTACTATATTCCTGTGTTTCTTCTACTGTATATAGCTGCTACGTGTTTATCTCATCCTCTCTTTTATCTCTGTATCAATCTACTGTAAATCGTACGATATAAAACCAAAGGATGCCGTATTCGCCTGCGCAGGGACCCTATGCCGGCAGTTGCCGTTGTCGAGGTGCAGAGACCCGTAATGAGGCCGACTGGGTCTCTTGGCGAGATGAACCCTCAAGCCCTTTGCCTTTACTTTAAATGGCGTTGTTAATACAGTAGGACAAGGAGTGCGATCTGTTCAGGGGTCCTTTGCGCCATCACAGGGGTTCCTGCATTAGGGGTCTTCAAGGCCGTTAATTGGCGCAGCGCTTTCTCAGCTCCTCGGCCCCCGCAGCCAATGGCGCTTCGTAACAGGTTTCCAACGTGAATTGCCCACTTCGTCTGAAACTCTCTACAACCATAACGTTCGCGTCTCAGCCGTCTCATTCGACATGTGATGGCTTCAAAGGAGCCTTGATCGGGCTCTCCGGGTCATGTTCACTGTCTGTCAGTGGTAAAGCCTATATGAGCAGAAAGGAGCCTCACCGCCACTGGCCTCCTTACTCCAGGGATACTGGTCGGCTCAGCCACTGTGCTGCTCGAGCTCATAGGAGGTAGGAAATGCCCACTCTCGCTCTCTAGGGGTAGTCCCTCTGAGTGGCTCTTGGCATTAAGGCTCTCTTATACGCATTGCGGAGCTATCCCGAACTTTTTGTGCGCGCGGACGTCGGTATGGGTAAGGCAGACGGGAACAAGCCGTCGATAAAGATGGCCGTGCTGCTGCGCATCCCCCACCGACACCGACACCCCCCTTTCCTTTCGAGAAGCCTTCTCCCGTCCCGTCGTGTTTTTGGACTACCTGCCTCTTTCGTGGTTTGCTTTTGTAGCTGCCTGTCACTCGTTTTCTCTTGCTTTAAGCAAGCATTGCCGCTCTTTACGCTTGTTTGATATATCGGTTTTTACCGTCGTCACTCTTTACTCCTGTTCAACGTCACTCTTTCTATCATGTTGTTTTCTCGCTTCAACCCCCTGACCTTGGCCGCCGTGTTGGCCTCAGTGGTCAACGGTAGTCCGACTCCACTGGACCTGGCACTGGCCCGACCCCAGACCGACCTTGCCGTCCGAGGGGCTATGGATTTGGCTGAACATCATCTGGAGAAGAGATTGTCTGCCGACTTCAGTCTTGACAAAGCCTGGAATAATGAAGTCCTTTTCTCTGGGTAAGACTACATTTCGGCTACCATAGCTCTCTTTTCCGGCTGACTGACGATATCTAGGTCATGGATAAACAACGACGGGGGAGCGACCGAGGGTGTTTCTCTAGCCATCACTTGCGTGGAGTGTTACACCAAAGGTGTTGTTACGGCCAAGCTGACGGACAAGGAGATCATCAACCCAAAGGTCCGTCTCTCTTTCGAGGGTGTTGAGGCTTATGTCGATTTGCGCATTGCCATGAGTGCTGGTGCCACCTATGTGGTTAATCTTTTCACTTCTAATTCACCAATTGGCCTTGGCTTTCCTGGCCTAAGCGTCGGCGTGGTCTTCTATGTTGATCTTGTCTTTGCCTTAACTGAGGAGATTGATCTAGAGGCCGGCTTCTACGTCAAGTTGGCTGATGATGCCTTCCTTGAAGCCAGTGTCTTTGGTGGTGATATCACGGATCATTTCTTGTAAGTCCTCAGTTAAGTTGCTACTGTATCTGAAGTCGCAAACCGCTAACATTCAATCACAGCGACGGGATCAGCAGCAAGTCCCTCCCCATCACTGTATTTACCGGAAAGGCGACTTTCAAGGCTGACCTCAGAGTCCGCGTGCAATGCGGTGCTGAGGCCGAGCTTGACATTTTTGGCATCGGTGCCGGTGCCGAGGTCGGAATTTACGCCAATCTGATTGAGTTTGTTGCTGTACTGGACTCAACGCCCGACTGCGCCCTCCAGAGTCGTGAATGGTGGGATCTTAATGTCGGTGCTTATGCTCACTTGGATGTTGTTATCGATTATAAGACTATTGGGCCTGTGCCTACCGTCTCAACTACACTTCTCACTGCTCCGACCCTCACACAGTGCTGGATCCAAGGGCCGTCACCCTCAGAAACCGGCGCCATCACAGCAACAACTCTCACAACTATCGCGCCTCCTGCTTACTCGGCCACGGTTTCTCTTCTACCATCATTGAGCGACAGCAGTGCGCAAGAAACAATCTCCTCCCTGACAACGATCGTGTTCTCCGGCACCGGAGTTACCACCCCGCCACCATCAACGGCAACCGGTTCCGCAGAACAATCTTCTCTGCCTTCTTCCAGCTTCAAGTATCCCATTAGCAATTCATCTACTCCGGCAGGCACCTCGACTGGAGATGAGCTCATCACTTCTACCGTGTACAGCACGACCACGTACACCATCACCAGCTGCGCAGCCAGCGTGGTCAACTGCCCGGCCTCGTACCAGAAGGAGATTGTTGTCACGCAGACCATCGACCTCTTCACAACGGTGTGCCCTGCCACGGCGAGCATCACCGCTCCCGCTAATTCTACCTCGGCCTCGGCGGCTGCTTCCAGCACGGCAACTGCCTTGCCCTCGTCAGGAGCCATCACCGTTCATGTCATCACGGACGTTATTGTCCTCGTGCCCTGCGAGAGCCCTGTTGTCGAGACCTTCGTAGCGCCTAGCACCCTGTCCGCGCCGAGTGTGCAACATGTCACTGGCACTGCGATTATTGCCAATCCCAGCTCGACATCGACATCTACGTCTACGACTCTGTCACTTCCGTATGTGGGCGGCGGTGGTGGTAAAGAGGTGTTCCAGTGGAGCAATGCCACCGCATCGACTTACAACCAGGGCACTGGCAAGCCTAGCGCGAGCCTCGTGCAGACTACCACAGTTGTTTCTCCTCTGCCGACGAGCGGAGCAGCTGACCGGGCTTTGGGTGGCAGCTTTGCTGGTGTAGTAGGAGTCGTTGCAGCGGCGTTGATTTTGTTCTAAAGATACCTCTTCTTTTTTGTACTAGGGTGGCGGTCGTATTTACTCAGGGGTAATTTCCACGGCTTGAGAGTTACACAGCCAAGCATCAGAAGCAAGATACAAATCTAACACAAGTCGGTTCTTTAATGAAACGGCACGACATCGACCATGGCCCGCTTGTTCCAAGGAAGAGGCGAACCGAGAAAACGGGTCACCCGGACGGTACGGCTCTGCAGGACTCGGCAGAAGGGCCTGTATGTCCTCTCAAATGCGTCTCTTGGAGCTTCTTAAGCCGCTGCTTCCTTCATAGCCTAGCGATATATTCTAGATTCTGAACTCCCACTTAATTCAAACATAATGAGACATAAGACAATCCGAACTGGATGCAAGATAAGCAATTACATAATTCGCTCTCTGAATGCCGTATAAGTTCTTTATCTTATCGCGAACAACCTAACCTTGGGACCTGATGTACTTGATGCAGTTCAAGCCTCTGCCAAGGCGGAAGCACAGGTGACGGTGTTCACTCAAGCTCACGCATGCCCCGCCTTACCCGTGTAAGAGCGGCGATTCCAGAGGCTTTAGTGCGGTTCTGCTATCGTCTTTTGGCGGGGAAGACCCTTGCATCACCAGTGACGTCAACTGTGATCCCCCCAACTGCCCCGCCAAGCCAAGCCGCCCAGAGACGTCATCGAACGAGCCCCACCACCATCTAGACTTGAGCTTCGAGCTGCAGAGAAGTTATGATATAAAATAGTGACTGAGAGTTTCAAATTCCGAGAAGAAGAAGCTATTTGAAGTAGATTATAGATACATACATTTATACAGAGTAGGCTTCATTAGTTGCGCAACGCCGTCCTATACAGTAGCTCACGGTTCGTTGGTGAGCGACGGGCAATCTAGCTTATGATATCTAGACTTGCACAGGAGCCTACGAGGCACCTATGTGCGTAGCGCATTCTGTTCGCCTGGCGTGATCAAGGGCGATATGACCGAATTCCCCCTTATTAGTGTCCCAAAAGCACGGAAGTCCACCAGTCATTGAGACTGCTTGGCCGATGGAAGCTTTCCAGATGTTCGATCCTCGAATCAAGCCACAGCTTTGCGGATGGGGCCACTCAGAGGCCAGCCAATGCTAACTCGTGAATATCCTGGATAAGGCAGTTCAAGGAGGGTAGATCCACCACCATCGCTGTGTGGCTGATGACGGTCTTTGTCCGGGAACAGAAGGCAAACGGCTCCCCTCGCTCCCTGCACCGAAGACGTCACTCGTCCCCGGTCCCAGCTGGCCTGGTTTGGGTCGGTTTGGATAGATGACATCCTACTCGCGTGGCTCGGTTTGCTCCTGTACCTCAACTAGAACGCCCATATAACCTTTCCGTAGTCCCTTCTTCCCGTTGAACATTGTCTCATCTTCCAAATATCCCAAGACATACCACGAAATACCCTGCCAAGCCTTTAGCCGTTTAATCATTGCTTCTTCGATCAACATAAACCATCGCATTGCCCTAAGCAACCTATAGAACCAAATTGTAATACCGTCGTAACAGCCACACATTAACATCATGGAAACCATCAACAACATGGCAACTGCCGCCGCCAAGGCCGTCTGGGGCGAGGGTGCCGACGGAAAGAAAGAGGAGCCCGTCTCTGGTGTCCAGGGAGACACATCCAAGGGCGAGCCGTTTGACGCTGGCAACATTGGTGGTAAGTGGCCCGCAGTACAAGCAATTGCCAAGTAGTTACTAACACACGCCCAGAGTTCCTCAAGCCGTCGTGTTACCACATCCGGCGCATGACTGACTAAACCGTTCCAGATGCCAATGGCAAGGAAGAAACAACAACGAAAGTGGGAGGGTCTTCAGACCCCGCCGAAATGAAGCCTAGCAGCAGCGTCCCCGGCGACAGTACTAAAGGGCAGAACGACGTGCGAGACCCCGAGGATGCGACGACGGACCACAAGACCTCCGAGGCCCGCAAGAACGTCGATGATTCCGGCGAGGGCATCGACAACGCAGACAACCCGGTCAAGGTCGACGGACCGGGCCCGAAGCCAATTGACGAGGTGGCCAAGGAGCACGGCGGCGATGCAGGCAGGAGCGACGAGAACGTCGACAAGAGGGAGGGCGACAGCGGGGATGCTGAGGCGCCGGCAGACGACGGCGAGGGAGATGGCCCACAGAAGCAGAGCCACGGCGAGGGCACCGGTGAGCAGTACGTGAAGAGCTCGGGACTGCAGGCGGACGGCGGCGACTTTGATGCCACGAAGCCCGGCGCGGGACGGGAGGCCGATCGTAAGTTATCTCTTCCTGTTGCTCTACATCTCGAGAACCCCCACGCACAAGTTACATGACAGCTTACAACTAGCTGCCGTGGCAGTGGGGTTTTATGCCTTGGGAGAGCAAATTGCTGACCACGTCATATCAGGTCTCCTAGAAGAGAAGGGCGTGCACAACCCAGCTCAGGATGCGTCAAAGCCTACTCCTGCGGAGGACACCGGATCGCCAGAAAGGAAGGAGAAGAAGAGCCTTAAGGAGAAGATCAAGGACAAGCTGCATAAGAACTAGATTCCTTAGTCTGGTTTTGTAGCAATTAAGCGTCACGATAAACCAGGGTTCAGGCAACGAGGAGAGATGAACACGGCAGGCTTGAGCGTAGCGCTTCCGCGTTGCCTCCTGTAATAGCTATGTAGACTTATGTTGGGCTAGGCCTCCATGAATTATGATGATTTTGTTGATACCTTGTTGTCTTCTCAACAAGCAACATGCTTCTTGATCTACTTCATCAGTTAACGGCGAAGCCAACCTTGTATGTATGTTTGTCTGCCGTCTGATACTGGACCTTGATCTTCAAGGCCTCGCAAGCTCTTGTATATCTGATCTTTGACCACATTGTCGAGACGAATAGGCCAATCTATTATAAATGCGACAGGCTAGTCTGCAGAGAGCTTCACGTATTTAATCTAGGCAATCAAGATATCTAGAGAGAGTTCAAAAGAGTCAAGTGCTACACACTTGAAGCGAATGAAGGAAGAGGAGTGTTGGGTCATGTGCGTTATCTCAGCCCTGCAGGCGGTTGCCTTAGTGCATGTGCTGAGCTCATTGGTTGTGGATCCTTCGCGCAGTTCGCTATCTCGGACCCCATCACTCTGAACCGCCGCATTTCGTCTCAGATAGTAAAACATTCACTCTTTCATGGGCTTCACTTGTCCAGAGACGCCCGATGTTTACATGGCGTCTCGTTTGATACAATAGACAAGAATTCGGCCGACGGGCACCATGCGATTTGCGAGAGTATTTGGTACAATACTCGGTCTGACTGTGACCGGTCATCAAACGACAGCACTCGCCACGCAACGTCCTAGTAATCAACATGTCCTCGATGCAGATAACTCGGACATTTTGGCAATCTTCGCCCAGCACCGCTCCAGCTATACAAGGGGATTTGTCGCATTAGGCGATAGCTACTCCGCAGGCATCGGCACCGGCGTTGACGGCAAGGAGGACGAGTGTCGGCGCGGCTTGCATGCGTACCCGGCTTTGATCTTCGCGGATCTCGCGGCCCACCAGAAGCCGAACAGCACAGCTTCCTTCCAGTGGATGTCCTGCACCGGCGCCGTCACCGAGGACCTACTGTCAGGCGGTGTCTCTAGTCAGATCGACTCCTTCAACACAAGCTCGCCTACGCGGCCTGAATTTGCTCTGTTATCTATCGGCGGCAACGATTTAGGTTTCTTCGACGTGATCAACGCGTGTATCTTCCGCTTCTATAGCTACTACAGTGGCACATGCGAGTCCGCGCTCGCTGCGGCAGATGCGCGCATTGCAAGCGACGATTTTGAGCGACGTCTGCGTATCATCCTACTAGAGGTCTTGGACAAGGTGCGCTGGGAGAAGCACCCCAAATTCACGATCACGGTGACGGGGTACGCGCAATTCTTCAACGCCGAGACACCTGAGTGCGACGAGGACAGCTTTGGGGTTTGGTGGGGTGGACCCAAGCTGACAAGCGACATTCGTCATAAGATGAATGCCATGGTGTTGGCGGTCAACAAGAAGTTGCAGAGGGCGGTCGATGAAGTGAATAGTCGGTGGTTCACAAAGCGGCCCAAGGTGCTTTTCATCGACTACGATCGAGAGTTTGAGGGCCATCGTTTCTGCGAGCCTAACATAACGGAGCCGGCGTACAACCGCACTGACACATGGTTCTTCCTCATCGGCGGTCCTGATAACGCGCACAACGAGACACAGTGGCCGAATGTTACCACCTCAACCCAGACAGAAGGCGTCCTGTCACCATCGTCAGCGTTGATAGATCCTGACAGTTGTCTCGAGGGGGCGCAAAGGTCGGGAGACTGGGGCGAACTCGCACTATGCTTTATGGCTATGGCTAAGCAGCGAGACCCGACTCTTCAGCTCGCGAAAGATAATTTCGTCACCGAGAACTCAATGTGGTATGTGCCGACATACTACGGAAAGACATTTCATCCGGTAAGTTGTTTTCAAGAACTATCGTAACTGATTACTCGTCACTAACAGACAAAGCGTACACTTGGACATGAAGTCATTAGGGACAAGATCTACGAAGAATGGGCAAAGCACGATCTCTACTAGTATCCCTTCACATCACGGCCCGAATAGTTTGGAAACGATTACATGAAGTTGCATTGGGGGTTCACGCCTGGATCCGGAAAGCATATTGTAGCGCAGCGTATACCCTTTGATTTTTTCCCCATTTCTCTTCAACAGTCTGTAGATCTCATAGTCCTCATATCTGAATATGACGCCAAATATTGATAATCTCGAGCATTCTTCGGTTCAGCAAGCTTTAAAGCATTCAAACTGAACAATAGCCGACTGCTTCGTCCGTTCATCATATACCAGAAATACAAAAGTTCATGGCCCCCAATATGGGTTGCCATACAGGCCCAAGGATATGATAGTCATTCACAATCACCGATCTAGGGTTTCAAGCATCTTATGCTCTATTCACCCTTTTCTGTCCGAATGAGACATCTGTCTTTACACACTCTCATCTCCCTCGATCCTCATCTTCGTACCTTAGGCTGCACCTCCGCCTCGTCAACAGGATGCAGCATCAACTTGATCGGATAATCTGGCCGGTTCTTGGCGTATCCTTGGGACCATTCGTACCCGACGGCATATGCAAAGATGGTGCCGTCGCGATTGAACGACGTCGCGGTGATCGCGCCACCGACGGGGGAGAATCCCCGAAGCCGTTGGTGGGCGACCCGGTCCCAGAAGTGAAAGGTGCCATCGGCGCCCGCTGTGGTGAAAGTGGTGGTATGTACGGGGTGGAAATTGACATCTCGGACGGTCCAGATCTTGACGACTTTCTGGGGGTCCGGCGCGTCACGATGGCACCTGAAGGTGAAGTTGATGTTGTTGACGCTTGATCATGTTAGTCCATAGCCATCCGATGCTGAAGTGTTGTAACCTACCGGTTCTTAACCTCCTCAACGCCGTTAATTCCGCAGCGCCCCTCAATACCTGCCGTAGCCCAGCCCTTGCCATCCGGGAAGGCGGCTACAGCGGTCGTCTGGTGCTTGAGGGGCGACTCAGTCGTGCGTAGAAACTTGGTGGGCTGAGCAAGATCCACAAGATGAATGTGCTGCTCAGCGGTGCCGATGACAAGCAGCTTGGAGGCGCTGTCCATGCAGTAGACGCGATCGGCGCAGTCCAACGTAAAGATGTGAGGGTTGGACATGCGCATGTCCCAGTAGCGGACGGTCTTGTCCCACGAGCCCGTGGCGATGATGGGGGACGCGGACAAGACGTCGACGAAGCGCACGGCGCGAACCGGAGCGTCGTGAGACCCAATCGTCATGGTCTGACCCGTTGCGACGTCTAGGATGTGCAATTTCTTGTCTGCACCTCCGGCGGCAACAAAGCTTCCGTCCTACCGTATGGTTAGTTTGTGATATTCCCCATTCCACCAGGGCCCAAATCTCACCTAAAGAGAATGCATTGTTCGTTTTTTTCTTTTATATCGAGGAGCTATGGGTTAGAAATCTCAAACTTCACTTACCTTGCTCCAGTCGCAGCTGAAGACCGGCCCGTCTGCGGACAACATAGTTAGACCACGGGCGGATCCATCTGTCGCAATGTCGTAGATGCGCATCTTGCCGTCCCAGGACCCAGCCGCGAGATGATTGCGGACTGGAGACCAGCGGACGGACGAGATGGTGTCGGAAGCATCAGCAGGCAAAGCCAAGTCTTTCGATGTGCTTGCCTCACTGGTGCTGGCTGCTGTGATAGTTGCTGTATTGCCGAACACCATCCTGAATTGATATGAAGGGGTGTTAAAAGGGTATCCTGAGAGTGACAGTATTCAAAAGTGAAGAGCTGAGGAGGGTCTGGCATTGTTATAAGTAAGCCAACGGCGGATGCCTAAAGCAGCAGGGTGCCCCAGACTAGCCGGCGGAACTGCGCCAGCCAGTTACACGCCTAACGACGTGCTAAAGTAGTCCGGCATGCAGGGATTGAGGCGCTTTCCAACTGCTTGACTCATTCCTCAGTGCCAGGGTGCATAGCTCTCAATACTCGACTACCCTCCGCTAAGGGTAGTAAATGTCAATCAAGCCTGAGTTACCCTTTTCGAGGTCTCAATCATTGATTCTGTTTATTGCTATTGCTTGAACATCCTCAACGAAAGAAAGACAACCTCGTTGAGGACGAGCTAACCTTACAAGAGAAGGAGAATTAGAAGAGAGGCTTAGACTAATCTAATTCCCATAGATCATCGACTTCACCAGATGTCAAAAGCCCTCAAGACTTGATAAATCGATGATTTTATGCTATTTACATTTAGGTAGAGCTAGGTTGCGTGTTTTATCTCCTAGTCTCTGTCCCACTTATGGGATATCTTCGAGCGTCACTTAGTGTAGTCTTGCTTTTACATGATTATGTACAAATTTTGTCCCGTATTTATATCTAATCCGCCCAGCCAAAAACCTCACTGATAGCCATGGTATTTGATCGTACGCCGGTCAGCGTTGCCGCTATGCCAATAAAGTCAACAATTAGGAGAAGAATGGCCGCCGTCATGAAACGGGGCATGAAGACACGGTAGAGCATGAGATGTCTCCTCAGCCATCCAGACCATGCCATGGTCGCTAGAGCCTCAACGGCGAAGTAGGCAATGAAGACGCCAAGGCTACGACTGACGCTCTCCAGGACACCCTTTCGCTTCGGTCCAACCTTCCAGAGGGAGATCAGCGGGACGGAAACCGCCGCGAGGATCTGGCCCGCGAAGGTGTTAAGGACAATGATGATCGGGCTCCATGGATAGCGGATTGTGAATAATGGGATGAATGCAGCATCCCATTGTATCGTACTGAGTGCAGCTTGGTGGCCCGTCTTGAAGAAGTAATAGTTGCCTAGAATTCCTAGCATTACAGGGCCAATGGTCTCGGTTGTAAGCGAGTTGAGATCGAGTATTTCGACGAGTGACATGACTTGCCACATCATCAGGGCCATCGCACCACCGCCCACAGGTTTGGATAGAAGGATACAAGCCCCCATGATATTAATGGGTAGTAGGAGATAGCGGGCGCCGTTTGCGTTTCCGTAGCCCAAAACTGTGACTTGCGCCCAGTTGTTGTTCGATGTTGTAAATATAGAAATACAAGGTGGAGCCCATATAAATGCTGTTGTTCCCGCGACTAAGGCAAGGGCGAGTACTACCTGTGCAATGTACACTCGGATGTTTTTCAAAGTGCCTTCAGGCAAGCCCGGGATCCAGTTACCATCGTCCGCAGAGTTCAATGTCCAGTATGCCGCTGACATAAATAGTCCCGTGCGAAGGACGTAGCCGATCCAAGTGGGCGCCAGTCCTTCATAAGATCGGGTAGGTAGATAGTATGCTTTGATGATAGAGGGAAGAATGGCGAAGACAGCGAAGGGAATGACGAGCTGCCATGGAGCTGATGTCGAGGAAGTTACAGAGGCGTAATAAGTTGATTTGCAGTACGGCATTTGTTCCTCTCTGCAAAGCTTCGAAAATGATGCTAGCCGAGCTAGAAGGACGAAGAGGATGGAGTGATATACGGCTAAGTATCGGTCTGCCTTAGAAGGTAGACACAGCGCTTTTATGGCATTGACAAAACCGAAAGTCGTGATGAAGAAGAGCAGGATTGAATCTTCCCATATAGTGTAGGAATTAGAGGCAAATCCAATCGACTGGCTGACCGTAAACACCACAGCTAGCCACCCCCACGTGCTGGTTGGAAGAAGGTTCAGGACGCTTCGTTTCGGAAGAGCCGCTGTTATGGTAGCAGTACTTGCCAATGCACCAGTGGCACCAATAAGGCGGAAATCGTGCCCTTCAGTAAATATAGCCAAAAGCAATCCAAGTCCAGCACCTGGTACTGCACCTGCTAACGCTGCCTTGACAAGACTTTTACTATACGTTTGGTAAGTGAAAAAGTCAGGACCGGCAGTCACACCTTCGATCTCGAGTTTCTTCTCCGCAATGTCGAGTTCCAAATCGTCCAAGTCAGCAAAGTCGTCTTCATCGTCTCGAGCGACGTATAATAGCAGCACGACTACACCAGCAGCCATAATGGAAACTCCCATGACCATAGCTCTAAGGTCAAATCTCGCCCAAAGGCTTTTACCAACACTGAGATTCTCGTGCTGATAAGCTGAAAAGGCTGTATGAGCAAGAGCCAGGGATTTCCCTTTAGGGTCGTCCTTGAGACCTTTCTCTGCGGTATTATACAGATCAGCGGGTGACCCAGAAACCAAATTTTGTTCCATCCCACGCGCAGCATAGTACGATGCTTGGTATCGATTGATACCTGCAGCAGTAACTCTTGAAGCTGCTGCTAGATTGGCCCAAGCATCTCCGCTTCTACCGATAAAAGCTTCCTCAATTGGCCCGCCAAGGTTGTTGTAAGGAATAGGCGTGCCGAGAAGAAGGGCAAGAGTGGGCACAAGATCAATTTGGTTGACAGGGCGCATTTTGGCTGTCTCAGGGGGCGTGACGAACTCGGGATTTGTCCGACCAAAGACTGGCTTGGATGAGTACATCCACAATGCAGCCTCGACCTCGTCCTCGCTCTCCCCCCCATGGTCTCCTTTACTGTCCATGCCATGATCGCCCATCACGATCAACAAAGTATCGTCATCTATTGTCTCTACAAGCTCTCGGATGAACCCATCCATTTGTTGTAGCTTACTTCTCATTGCTGGGTGTGCCGGTCCATAACGATGACCCGCATGATCAACACCAAGAAGATGACCAATAAGGACATCCCACTCGTTTGCCCTGCCGGACTTCATCAAGGGGAATATATGCTCCAATACGCCATTATCCACTGTATGCAGATCCCAGACGTTGAAACTATCATATGATCTGCTCAGATTACCCAAAAAGTAGTCTGGAAACAGAGCATCCCAGGTGTCGTCTCCAAGGTGAACTATACGCTTGCCCGCGTCCCGCAGCTGAATGAGTAGATTGTCTTCATCGATAGCGGTCCCAGCAAAGCTACTCCCCAAATCAAGCAAAACAGGTAACGTTCCAGTCGTTAGACCCTTCAGCCTTTGCAATGTACTCGTAGGAGGATCGGCGATAAACGGTCGAAGGAAAGCGTGGTTGGGTTTGTTGACAGCGGTTTCGTACAAGAAAGGGAACGCGTTGTGGAACTCGGCGTCATCCTCGACTGGCACTGTGAAATCATACCGCAGAGCATCAATCAAGACCACCACGGCTCGCTCGAAAGTCTTTGGGTGCCAGCATCCGCCTTCCACCGTGCCCCGCCCCTTCCAGGCCGGAATTATGTTCTCGCTGCCCTCTACAGGCGACACTGCACAGCTGCTCTTCTCATCCAGCACCAGACGCGTCAGAAGAAAGCCGGAGGTGAAGTATGCAATGCCAACGACGTGGATGCACAGCATCCACACCCAGAACCCAACCGTCCAAGCCCATCTCCGCTCGTACGACTTCTTGCGTCGCGCCTCGAGGGCTTCGCGTTGTCGCTGAGCGACGCTCGACTTCTGCTGCTCATCGAAAGGGTCATCAGCTTTTCGATTGGCCTCCTCCAGCTCTTTGGCGCGTTTTGCCGCAGCGAATTGAGCTGCAATACTCTTGTAGTCGGTTGCTGGTGGCTTCGACCGGAGCTTGGCTCGCGGATCTGGGGGAGGCATGACGTTCCTTGTTGTCGTAGGTCGTGGGAGGGATGGGGGAGGGGTCTAGGAGGATTCTCGCCGTAATTCCATGAGACTACAGCAACATGTCTTCAGATCTTTTGCGTGTTTGAGTTGTGCAAATCCGAGGAGCGCGATTTACAAGCTGGTGGATACAGGATTCGGAGCCTTTTTTGTGTCTGACCCCAAGGGTTGCGATTCTGAAGCTGCGGCAGCCGAACTCCACTTGCTGGAGCTCACTAATGAGATCGTGCAGCCGGCCCCACGTTGCTTAAATACTCCATGACAGGCCCCTTTTCGAGTCTAAAAGGGGCAATGGCAATTACCCATCCTTCGCCAATCCACAGGTCTGCGTCAAAACACCTGGACCTGCGAGCCTTAGCACTTGCTCGCACAATTGTGGTGACTTGAGGAATTTGAAGCAGTCACAAATTTCAGGATGCGTAATGCGCTATTGCTCGAGATATGAACTCTTTTTGTCATCCGCTGCATCAGCCCTGTATCATCACCTCTTCAATTTCTGTATGGAGTAAACTGTCCAACTTCAAAGCCAAGTCTATCAAGTGGAACATGAACCACTATTTATCCAGGGAGACGACATCTCTGTGAGTTTTACAGCTTTTCAGGTTTTGTCTCGTCGACGCGGGTTGCCCGACCCTCCTCTGCCGAGCTTGGGGCGTCCGCTTCTGCAGCATCCACCTCAATCTGAATCTTTGCATGAGTCCTGAACTGCCTGATGGGAACGTGCTCGATGAACATCCTATCGATCTCTTCCAGACTCCTTCCCTTGCACTCAGGCACACAGAAGTAGGTGAAGACACCTGCCAGGACACTGATCGAGCCGAAGATGAAGCCGACTTTGCTATGCAGATTTGCGTACGGTGCGTTGAGGAGGTAGGGGACTATGAAGGTTACCAGGAAGTTCATAAATATATTCATGATTGATGCGACGCGTTGTGATCTGTCGCGGAGCCGCAGCGCGGGTATCTCGGTTGTCACGACGTAGGTGATAGGACCCCATGAGTACAGGAATGCTGCAGTAAAGATAATGAGCATGGCCACTTCACCGCTCTTATGGCCGTATGTAGGGGGGTCTTGGAGACCTAGACCACCCATTGCAAAGAGGGCACCGGTTTGGATCGTGGCGCCTATAAGCAGCATGTATCTGAAGTACCATGAGTGACTGAGCTGATCGGAGGACTCTCATTTTACTTGCCTTCGGCCGAGCTTATCTGCAGTAAGTAAAGCAATTATGAGCATGAAAATGCCCACTGCTGAGTTTCCGATAGACACAGAAAACGGGTTGACAGTCCCCAAACTTTTGATGAAAATTGTGCCTAACTCTATGTTAGCAATCTTCCGAAGTGAACAGGGGTAATGGAGATGCCCAACCATATTGAGAAGCAAAAGTCTGGCCGGTTGCCTGCTGGAAGAAGTTCATTCCCAACACGATAGCAGTACGCTTGATGTTGGTGCCCTGAAACAATTCAACTGTGTGGCCCTGCTCAGGCTCGGCAAGCAATGCCTCGTGGAGATGCTGGAACTCGAGCTCGATTGCCTGATCCGGCATTGTCCCTTCCCGGTACTTCTTGTGAGCAATTCGAGCTTCGTCAAGGCGATTCTGGACCATGAGCCATCTAGGTGACTAAAACTTGTTGTCAATTTCAATAATCGAGATTTTTACATGTCTTTACAAACCTCGGGGATGAACCAAATCAGAGAGATGATGATACTGGGAACAATGTAGAAGAGCCCATAAGGAATAGCATATGCACTTCTTCCAGTATTAGTGCTGGTCGCCCGGCAAATACCGTTCACCAAAAGTCCACCAGCCTATGTTAATTCGTTAGATAAGAGTGCAAACATAACGAGTTAGGAAGGCCTACGCCTATGCTGAGTTGGTATGTGCTAACCGCGAGACCTCGAACGGGAGCAGGGACAATCTCAGCCTGGAATACGGGAACGGTTGCCAATTCGCAACCAATGTAGATATCTATATAGTTGTGAGACAATGAATCAGAGGATTAAACATGTATGGGAAGGGAGCATACAATTAAGAATACGGCCCGCCATGATCTGGCCTTTTGTCTGTGCTGTGACAACAATAGTTGCGGAGATCAGTGCGTACATGCTCATACAAAACATTGCCATTCGTCGACCCCATTTGGCGCTGACTATGCTCCCAATGATCAAGCCTGACAAAAGGTATCAATATCTGCCTCTAGATATATGGACATTGAGTGTTCTCACCAATTGCGAATCCTATAAAGGGTAGACTATTGAACAGGGACAGCCAGTACGTCTTCAACCCGTACTTCTTTGTCTTGGGGTCATAATCTCCGAATTGTGCCTGGAAAGCGTCCATCGCCTGGGTTTGGGCGAAGGCTTGGTTGTCGAAGCCATAGTTAAATTGCGACACGGCAATGAGCACGACTGATAGGAAGAGGCGTCGGTTGAAATGTTTAGCGATGGACGGCATCTTGAGCGTCAGTGAAAGCAGCTGGGACTGCACAACGGCAAGGATGCATGTCAGTAACTATGTTCAACTGCTGCGGAACGGGCCGCGGTGTTCTTTATGAACCAACATGCCCAACAGTCAGTAGAGCCTTATGATAACAATTTGAGAAAAGAGAAGGTGTGGGCTCTCCTTTCATTACGAATAGCAATGCCGTATGATAATTCAAAGTGACAGGTAGGGATGGACGGGGGATTTCCTAGGTACATAGAGAGCTCTTGTGGAGTCTTTACTGCATCAATCGACTCGCATTGGACGCTAGCCTGCAAACCCACCCTCCCCGGATGCGACAACGGCATTCTGCCATGTGTGGTGGCACCGGGGAAGTGACGGAACTATGCCAAGGAACTATATACCTACGGCGCAAAGCCCATCGTAATACAGGGTCCAGGCATAGGTTGCTCGAGGCATGTATAAAATAGGTATGCACTATGACCTCTTGTCTATTCGTTATATCACCTTGTACTCTAGTCCTAGTATGGGGGACTTTAAACTTTGTAATGTTTAACTGGCTAGACTCGAATTGCTTTATTCAACGGAGACTGGAATGAGTTGAGAAAGCGATGACTGAAAGTAGAAGGTGTAATTATAGGTCAAGGAGCAAGACCACAAGGATAAAGAGGAACTGGATTACCGGGTTTATCACATCGGCCCTCCCCGGCAGTGTGTCTTTGCTCTCTAATTACGAGCACCACTTCCAGAGGTAGCTCACCGGCTTCGATTACAGAGCGCCAGACTTCGTTATTCCTAGAGCCTCTTGAGGAGTGTCTTTTTATCTCATCATATGTTCGAATTGCACCCTGTCGATCCTCGATGTCTCTTTTGCTTGAATGGTACAAAACTCCCGAATATCTCGAACATCTAAAAAGCTAGCTATGCCGCGAAAAGCTAAATACATTGTGAACCCTCCTTGACGACTGAACGAGATAAAGTCCAAGCCAATTATTAATGAATAAGATTTCGGCAGGGTGTATGCCGTGGGAGCCGATGTAGTAGCCGTAGGTCAATGAAATAGAAGGCGTGGGGGAGTCCATACCAGCCATTCCATGGTTTCTGCAGCAAGATTAAGTGGTTTTGGTAACGCTAGAGAGCCATGCATCAGCACTTGGCCTGTAAAAGGGGACACCGGCTGCATCAGGTCTAAACCTTAAAGAGCTGGCGAGGCTGCGGCCTTCTCAAAACTCATATTGACCAAGGACTCAAGCAGGCACTTAAATTGAAGACGCGAAGATTCTTCAGACCAAGAGAGACGCGAGACTTCCGAAACCTGCCCAAAGACTTCGTTTTGGTATGAAATACCATGATAGAAACTCTTCCTACTCAGATACTTCAACGCTGATTTATCTTCCCTTTGTCCCAACAGTATGGTACTGTGACCGGTAAGGGAGGCTAGTGATACAGGGCACAACCCAGCCTAATGCCGGGATCCTCCTCTAGTGTCATTGCAAGGTTAAAAGGCGTAGCCACTATCCCGGCCGACTGACGTGAGCAGCCCAGTCGATGGCGTTTGATCGTTGCAGCAAATGAACCGTAGACGGGCAGCATTTCACCGACGGAATAGCCATCTGGGTCGTATTCCAGTTTGCTTTCCAGGCGGGAGCAGTGTCTGTCTACCAGCCATCTAGCCCCCCTCGCTGTCTTAAACGGAAAACCCTTAGTCCCAGTCGAGCCTGGCTGTCTCTCAGGTCAACGAAATTTCCACATTCTATCACACTCGTCGTATGGCCATCCAGTCTGACCTGGGTTGTCGATGCTGCTAATCTGACAAGAATTCGCCGTTGGGAATCGGGGCGCGTATGCAACAATCCCCGCTCTCCCCCCGGACAGGAGTGACGCCTGCCGGATATGCCGTATTATCATGGAGACGGCGCGCATACCAAGCGCTGACGGCGAGTCCCCGGGGTCTCCAACATCGTTCTCCGCTACATCAGGCCCGAAAAGTAAACGACGCCGGAGCACAGCTAATACAGAGTGCTGCCGCACTTGTAGACTGAGAAAGGTAAGTTTCTTTTCACAAAGCTTGTTCTTTCTATTGCTTTATATCCCAATTGGCAAAGGATCCAGGCTTATGTGGGCTCGGCTGGCTCTCGCCCATCATTTGCTCCCCGAGAACCGACACTGCAGTGGGCGCCACTTATGATTCTGTGCAGGATTCTTGGCTTGTTATAGATTAATCATGAGTCCTCATCTGGCAAGGGATGGATACTTTCCTTCGAACCGTGGCTTACTAACTCGCTGGCTGTAGGTCAAATGTACGGGCAACCCAGGAGACGGACCTTGTTCTAATTGTTCTCGCCTCGACTTATCGTGTAGCTTCGTGCAGGGAGCCGTCACTGGCTCCCATGCTCCAAGTAGGTACCACTCACCTCTGAATAGTGCCATCAATTCTAATACCTCCGTAGCGAAAGTCTCCAGGACTATTCCATCCCGAAGCCTTACAGAAGCGGGTACGGTTCGGAAGAGGGCTCAGCGCGCATGTAGACAATGCCACACTCACAAGGTATGTTTCCCATTTCTCTCTCTCCTCTTCATTTGAGCCAGACTGACTCTACTGGCTAAAGACGAAGTGCTCTGGGGATCTTCCTAGATGTAAACGCTGTGAAGGCGCTGGTCTGATCTGCGAATATATCCCGGCTAAGAGGAAGTTCTCTAATGTGCCCTCTCAAGAAGAAACTGCAACGGACGAAATCGATGTAGCGGATAGTATAGTTGTTAAGGAAGAAGAATCAGGAGCCGGCCTGGGTATTACGGTTTCCCAGTCACCTGGTCCAATATGGCCGACAGATCCTGCGCAGTCCGGCCAACTAGTTACTGAGTGAGTGTTAAACCCCAAGAGCCGCATTTTAATCTAACATCTTTTCAAAGGGATCAACTATTCAAGAAAGACCTTGTTGCAAAACATCTTGGTGTTTATTTTCAATTCTACTTCCCTCTTCCATGTTATGGCTTCCTACATCCTGCTACGACTTATGATGACTTGGACAACGGAAATATCTCAGAGCCTCTAGCTGCCGGAATCTGTGCCTTGACTTCGAGACTCTTGCCTGCGAGCCACTGCAATGACGACTTTCGAACCCGCTGTACCGATATCGTCGACTTTCATATATTTCGAAATATGGATGCATTCCTGCGTGTCAACTCTAGAGAAAATCTAGTCATCCTCGTCCTAGCTGTTTGCTACAATTGGATGGAAGGTTTATGGAACAAAGTATGGATGTACTTGGCGTTAGCTGCGAGAGTCGTCACGGCACTTCAGATGAATTGGGACGAGCCGGGTTTGTCTGCCAAGCAAGAAAGCAGCCGACGGCTGGTCTGGATGATCTGGCTTCTCGATCGCTTTCTGGCTGGCGGATTTGACGATCATCTTGTTCTACGGGACGACATGATGAATCTGAGGTTGCCTTGCAGCAACGAGACATTCCGCGATGGGACAGTTCCCTATGCTGATACGTCCTCCCGTAACCCTGGCAGTCTTAAACGATCTACTGAGCTATCAATGTACGCCTGTCATATCAAGCTATCTCGCATACGACATCAAATACTTGCGTAAGTTGTTCTTTTTATACCTTCAAGAAAATTTGAATTACAATAATATCTTTTGCCAATATCAAATATTTCTACCAGAGGCGTTTATTTTCTAACAGTTTCTCTTTCTCCAGCGTTACGAAAAGATTTGCTGTGCCGCCAACTCCACACCCACGCAGACCGCGCGTAGAAGCTTCTCAAGTAATGGAAAGCGTTACAAGCCTCCAAGCACAGCTGAGCAATTTTAATGAGAGTCTTCCCGTTCCGTTCAAATTCTCTGAATCCAACATACATAATAATTTCGACACTTCAGAAGGACCCGCCTTCATCATGCTCTCCACGTGGTATTTTCAGCTACACATAGACTTATATCGCTTCTCTGTACCTGGGCTCAGGGAGGAAGCGAACTCGGAGCTTTCTCGCCAGCTACCTAAAGCCTTCATTCTCAAGTCTCAAAAGCAGGCAGTTGGCTACGCTGTCACTCTTGCACGCTTCTGGGAGAAGTTGCAGCGTCGTGTATCTCATAGAGCGCCTGGTATCGACCTACTAGTGACAGCCGACCATAATCTTGCGATTTGCATCATTCAGAGTTCCAAGGTGCTCTTGGCGGCTAGACAGCACCGTTTATACACCGACCTACAAGAACACAGCACAGCTCCCCTTTGCCGCAACAAACCTGTGGATGATGAGGGACTGGCAGCACTCATCCAGTCTAATCTGGAGATGTTAGACCCAATATCAGCTTACCTTCCTAGGATAAACATATTGGTATGGCATACCGTTGCTGTCGCCCTTTCAAGCGTCGAGGCTAACACTTTCACAGGCACAGGATCTCAAAACTACTGTCGCCAATTTCCAACACAGGCCTGAATACGATAAGCCACAGATGATAGGGTAAGTTCTGTCTGAAACTAGTCTTCTGTGCGACTCAGGATAATAGTGGCTAATGTACGCTCTTGACAGAATGCCTGGAGTAAAACCTCCTGAAAATGTCCGCCTTCCAGGTCCTCACTACGTCCTCGAAAATGCCCTTGTAGAGGAGGTCGGCGATGAAGAGTCGGACCGTCGAAGAACAGCTTCCGTAGCTGATCGCTGGTTTCGCAACCGGCCACTGGCTGAGAGGAAACGCTCTGAAGCAGACACCGACAAGAAGTTGTCGTACGATTTCGGACGCCCTGAGATTCCGTTTTTCCTTGCGCAGGCACGAGGTTGCAATACCATAACACAGCCTGAGGCGCCTTCGCAAGAAAGATACAGGGCCATGACTTCACCACCTATGGAATCAGGGAGCTTCTTGCCCCAGGTCACAAACTATGGCCTGATGCCACACACACCTCTACCACCACAGCAAGGATTCGCGGCAATGGCTATAGACCCCAATATGGATCCTCATCTCATACCTGATATTCATCCCCAGCACCAGCTGCCTGTGGATGTGCAACAAGGGACATTCCTCAGTCCTTACCCCAACCAATATCCGGATAGCGGGCCAGCACCACAATTCCCGTTTCCAAGTCGATCTTACTCCTATGGCAACCCATGAGGCACTACAGTGTATACTTCGACCTATGAAGATTCACTAATATGCGGAATACGACGTAGACCACGCTACTTATAGAAGCTATCAACAAATTATCAACACAATTTTCGAACACCTTACATTATTCGACAAAGGAAATTCATTGACCCCTCTTATCCCATTGGCTTCGGGGATCCTCGAGGTTCACATCGGGAAATCTGGGATCTTTCTTCCAGGGCAAGAAATCGCTGCTAGAGACCATCCATCGCAACACTTCAGCCTCTAGTCTTCGTCGCTCACCTGCGTGGTCAGCCACCCCAGCGAGATTGTGCAGCTCTTGCGGATCAGCATTGCGGCTGTACAACTCAGGGGGCTCATAGAGCCGGTAGATATATGTCCACTCCTTGTCGCGAATTGAGACCGCCTTTCCTACCGTGGCAGTGTCGGTATGCTGCAGAGTCGCCTTGATATCATAAGGGTAGGGCGCCTGTTCGAGCAACGGCTCTTCACTTAGGAGGAAACCACCCTCAGTAAAGGCGAAGTCCCGGTGTTTTATGACCTCTCCGTCCGCGGTCTTCCCTCCCGAAACAAGCAGATCGGCCATCGACTTGCCGCAGTGAGGGAAGTGCTCGCCAATGCCTGCCAATTGGAAAACAGTGGGAACCAGATCAACCATCTCGGTCATCTCGTCATATACGACGCCCTTTGGCAGACCCGCTCCACCAACGATGAGAGGCTCGCGGGTTAGGCTGTCAGACAGGCCTGATGGCCATTTCTCGATGAGACCGTGGTCACCCAGGTATTCTCCGTGATCGGTGAAGAAGAGAGTTACAGTGCTGTCCCAGTAGCCTAATTCCTCAGTCTTCTTGACTACCCGACCGAATTGGTCGTCTAGCCGGGAGATCATACCGAAGTATGTCGCTGTCACTTCCGCCCATACATCCCGGCTTGCACGATGTGTGCCATATTGTTCGCGAAGGATGGACATATATCGTGGCTCGTAGCCAGTCTATAAGAAAGTTAGCCAAACTCCTGGTACCGCAGAGTTCTGTTAATGGATATCATACCTTGTCAGCCTTGTTCGATGGAACCGGCATCTCCTTCCGATCGTACATGGAGAAATATGGCTCCTCGACTTGAAACGGGCAGTGTGGGAAGATGAGCGGCATGAATAACACCCACGGCTTGTCTTTTGGAGGCCGCTCCAACCACTTCAGTGCGCTCCTCACGACAGCGTCGTCGTAATCCATCGCAGCATTCTGATTCCTCAGCCCCTTATAGAAGAGCCGTTTCCAAATATTCTCTTTGTCCGGATCATCGCCGCCGCCGCCACCAAATTTGGGCACGAACTCGGGCGTCTCTAGAAACCCGTACTCGTCGACGCTCAGCTCGGTCACGGTGGGCGCGAACGTGTCGCCGCGCGGAGCGAGGCACGCTACGTGGTATCCGCCCTCTTCTTTCAGCGAGCGGAAGAGGTTTGGCTCCCACGGCTTGATCAAGTTTTCGAGCGACCGGTGCCCCGTGACGTGCGGGTAGTTCCCCGTAAACATGCTGCAGCGGCTCTGGGAACAGACCGAGGCCTGTACGAAGCAGTTGCTGAAGCGGGTGCCTCGGGCGGCGAAGGCGTCGATGTTTGGCGTTTTGACGACCTAGAAACTGTCAGTCATGTTCCAGAAGTACGGTCTATACGAGAACATAAAAACATTATGGAGGATAGGGGAGTAGCACACCTACATTATTTCCGCAACAACCCAAGGAATCGTATCGGAGCTGATCTGGCATGAATATGATAAAGTTGGGCTTCTCAACTTTGAGCCCGCTTGGCTTGGGAGGCTCTCTATAAGGAGGCTCTTCAGGCTGCTTTGGCCTATTTGGCCATGTCCCTTTCTTGGTTTCTGCCATATTGATGGGCTAGATAGCGTTGCTGTAAAGAGTGATATTGACCAAGTGATTAAAGGATATCAAAGATAGAAAGATAATCAAGTGGGACTATTCTCACTCGACGACCTAGTTATAACTGACTATCAGGTTGCTTATCACAGAGGCTACGAGGGAAGTGCAAGGGAGACAGGCACAGATAGATATATGTCCAATTCAACTACAATCTCGACAGATACCTATATCCAGTGGCGCCAGTTACTGTACCCGACTTAGTCGTTCCCTCGGGACTCTCACACTGGAAGCCTTCACTAATCCTGGCCACTCATGACGACTGCCGAAGGTGATAAAAACACCCAACCCTGTTTCCAGTAGCATCACGTCCGTCAGTTGCCGGCCTGGGCGTTCTTGAAGTGGGCAAGGGTCCAGAGTAGGGAGCAGTGTGGGGTGGTAAGTGTCGGCCGAGAGCAGGATGGCGGGGGGCGAGAGCCGTGACCATTGTCCCTTAACTGCGATAAAGAAGCGATAACCAGAGGCTAACGCACGAGATCTCTATCTGTATGTAGGAGCTGTCGGTGATCCATCTCCAGAAGCAGCAGCTGCCCGGGAGCTAAGCCGCGGCGCAGACGCTGTCGCTGATTAGCATGCTTTTTGAGAATCACGCTTCTGGCTCCCTGCAGCACGTATAATTTCGTGACCGATCGAGTCACCTTTCCAGGTCACAGTCCGAGGAGGCATGGAGCGCAGGAGTCATTGGCACTGTCGTGATCGCGCCGAAATGCTCGTCATTCCACGACGGCTCGGCCAGTCGCTCGACTGGGCCGATAGATACCGGTATTCGCCCCAGACGCCCGGCGGACGAAGGAGAGCGGCTGCAGGCGCGCGGTGGCTTGAACTTATACTACTAGGTAAAAGACGGGGGTCGTAATTCAGCCAGTGAAGTGTCAGCCTTATGACTTTCCTCAGTCTCTCGAGAGAAGAGCCCAGGGGACGGTAGGTCCCGCATCTAAAGGGCTACGAAACCGGTGTATGAGACGGATTGTTTGGGCTTTGATATTGATAGTAAGTGGGGGAAACTGAGTTGACGACAGCCGGACGGCCCACATCAGGGTTTCAGTTGCATTGCATTTTCGATCTGCAAGCAGGACGATGGCTAAGGCGGTGGCTGCAGACTGTTCGTTATTGGTTATCACTTACTCATCGTCCAAGTTCAACATCATGAAATTCAATGGGTCTCGGCTACAGGATGTGGTCAACGAGACGGCAAGTGTTCCGGGATAGGAGACTCCCTATCCAGGTCATTGGCGGCTCAGATGACAACATATATGGTAGTAGGGATAACGTGCTCCCTCGAGCGACTGGCGGATGTGGAGTTGGATAAGGCAGATACATTACTTCACTTCTCATCGCATACTCGAAAAAGGTTCTGCACTTTGGTGAGGTGTTTCGGGGCGTAATGTTCAGGAGGGAAGGTCGTCTAGGCTACGGTGGCTGAGACCCATTCCTCGTGAGACCTTCAACTTTGGTGGCGGCAAGCACACCCACAGCAACTGCTGCCATATAGAAGACATTGATTGGAAATAAATAAACAAAATTAAGCAATGGGAGGCGAGGTAAGTAGCGCAGTCACAATGAAGGCGACGGTTGGGTCGTGGTCATAATAGTTAAATTATACAGTATTAGAATATACAGAGAGCACAAGCACTGAGGTTCTCAGTGGGAGCTTGCTTCTCATGTTTTGCCTTCCTTGTCGAAGCGAAGGCCAAAGGGTTCCGTATATACACCGCGCTTGCGCTTGGTACTGCCTCTGAATGAAGGTGCTGAGGGAATCGTGACACCAGCATCCTGTCCATCATTATGGTGCCATCCAAAATCATGGCTAGTAGGGGGTAATGATGGTGTAGTTGTTTTCGTTTCCAATCGAACTCTCTCCAAACTCCGTTAATCGAATTGAGCACCAGGTCGTTTCTTTGCAATGGCATGGTGTCCACCAGGGGACAAAATGTGGTTCGTAACGTAGATCGAGGGTTGGATTAGTGGTAGTCGCTCCGCTCCTTCTCCCTCAGACCACCAATGCGGTCAATATCAATCGAATAGAACTGCGTGCTGCTCTCCTTCTCATAGGCCGGCAGCTGCTCATCGTGCAGGGGTTCCAGACCGACTGAGGCGTTGTCACCGACACGCACGACAACAACGCGGCCGCTCTTGCGGCGGCCTTGCGCATCCTCCTCTTCAGGGAAAGTAATGTGAATCTCCGGGACATTGTCGGGAGAGTAAGGCGGTGAGTTGGGGTTAGAAAGCATGGGCTGGCCGTCCTTGTAAACAACAACACTCGAGTGCCCGTTGCGGGTCTCGATTGTCAGACGGCGGTGGTTGCCACCTCGCTTGACATCGTGCTGGATGTCGTTGTATCGAGGCAGTGTGTCCTTCTGCATCTGCTTGTTCTGGCGCATGCGCTTGAGCAGGACCAGAGTGGCAGCTAACAGGAGGCCAAAGAAGACAAGGCTGAGAACGGCAATCATCAAGTTGATGGTCTTGTCAGAGCCATCGGCAAAGTCCCGGACGGCAAGATTGCCTCGGGCAACCAGGTTCTGGAAGGACTGCATCTTGTCGAAGAAGGCGACGAAAGGAGTGAGCGATGGCAGCCAAAAGTCAAGACGGGGTTCGATAAAGTAATAATAACGCTATATAATAGCAAAGCGGTGGGATCAGGTCAATTCTGGGGTCATGGTCAGCACTTGTCATCGCACAGCCTTCAATGGATGACCTGGCGATGCCATTGACCGTGCCACATTGGAGCAGACCAGGCCAGGCTCGGCAACATCAGACTCTATTAAAAGGAAGCAATGGAATAGTTGCCCCCGAAATTCCGACGCGGGGCAAGGGATTGAATTCTTCGTTCCACGGCAGCAACGAAGAATGAGAAGAGAGGGAGGATAGGATAGACATACGCAAGGGATGGTGGCTCCAAACAATCGGGATATGGAGTATCGCCTAGTTTCGTCGTCGGATTCGCGGGTGGCTGGGGGTTTAGGGGGTAAGAATGACTGGACGGATCGACTGAAAGAATGAAGTCGAATCCAAGGGCTGCGCAGGGCTGCGAGCACGCGTAAAAAGAGAGTGAGGGAAGGGACGAGAGGGACTCTCAAAAGCCTGTGATGCCGGCGACGATGGACCTGGTGGTGAAGAAGGGAAGAAGGAGAGGAGGAGTCGGTAATAAGAGGAGATGCATCCTTCTTGCATACATACACCCACCTCACACACTGAGCCGCCCGCGAGAGAGCAGCGCACGCACACACCACGCACACCCACTGCTTGCTTGCCTGTTCCAGGGGGCCCAGGGGACCCATCCCACCCCCAGTGCAACGGCCAGTCGAGGCGAAGCGCTGTGATTAGCTGCATCCCCTGACTAACGGCCCCTAGCGAAGCGCCAATTTCGCGATATCTCCATCGCTGCCGAGCTACAGCCAATAGCACCACGAAAGCCTCGACTTTGAGGTGGGTCTCAAATTTGGCAATCAACAGTGTTGGCGTTCTTCACGCTCAAGGGAGCTCTTCTCTCACCAAGTCTCACCACAGGAAAACCCCTGCAGAACGCCAGAAACGTCGCCGCTGCTGCTTGCTACCGGTACTCGACTTCAAGCAGCAGAGAAGCAGGAGGAGCCTGGTCTGTGCACACAAGTCGGCAGTGCAAGTCTGCGAGTTTGAGATGTGTTGATAACATCCTGGTAATTATAGAAGAAGCGTGGGTCCCCCGCCGCCATCTCGTCTTGTCTTGATAAGCCAATCCTCTACAACCAGACAGGATGAAACGGGGCTTTTACTTGTGGCTGTCGCTGAGCCTCCTCACTTCCTAGCTACCTACAAAGCAGCCAAGCTGCCTTCGTGAACGTTCATCGACCCCAGACTTTGGGGGTCCATGTGCCTGCCAAACCTGCAGGCTATATAAAGACCAGTTATGTGGAGTTATCACCATCCTTTCTTGCTCGGGAAGAAGCTAATTTCTTATCGATGCGATTCAAGATCCTGCAACACAACTGAGGGCGACTTTTTAGGCCACTGTTTTGGTGCAAGTCGCCCGAATTACACGACCCATGTCTTCTATTTCCTAGAAATCCTCGTCTAAGTGGACGGGCGTTTCATATAATAGAGCCTAAAACTCTAATCCGTTGCATTGGTTCTATACTCTCTGGCTTTCTGGAGATCTCCATGTTTCTACTACTCGGAATTATGATTTTGCCTCAGATTTCAGCTAGGTCTACTCGAGCTTGCTTAGTTGATGGCAGTGTTGTGGACTGACGGCTCCTGTCAGCATGACCTGAGGCTCTAGAGAGGGGCAAGCTCCTTCGCAGGATCACAGATGTGGCTGACAACCCAGCCTTTTGACCACAGTCATTATATACCGAAAGCCATTTGCTTTTGGAGAGGAAACAGGCGACGTCTAAGTCACAATCTTCTGCTTTCCTTTTCGTGCTATTTAGTTGTGGCTACCCAAGTAGAAGCAGAGCAGGTCTCAGCGTATTACCTGAGCTCTCCCAAGAGCCAAGATCTTGACACCGTACAAGATACAGCACATTTTTATCATCATGAGATCCAAGTTCAAGCTCGTGACTGGCTCATTTCACCGAGCAATGTCATGGCACTGCCTTTGCAAATGACGGTGGTATTCTAGCGATACCTTGAGGAACGGCTCTGGTCTATGCAGCCTTGTCTAATACTCTCACTTAAGAGGCTCCTGCGTGACCTAGCAGCCTCACAAATGCCTTCAAAAGCCGAGTGCAAACGGTCTCGCCCCTTCATTTGACTTGACAGGTTGAACCTCATGGTCGTGGGCAGCCTGCTGCGTTAGTGGCATGGCTGCCTATAGTCCTCTTCTGCTGCTGCCTCCAATGGCGAAGAAGCCGGCATCAACGCAAAGAGCGGTGAGACTATATCTTATCTGCCAATGGAGTCGAGGGTGAGTCCTGGCAGCGTGACGATTTGTATGGGCAAAGATTTGCGCCCGGTTGACTACGAAGTATGCCGCTTCAACCCTTTCCAAGACCAGGTACGAAGGAATACCTCGTCGACCGGCTTCCGTCGTGGCTTCTCCTGCTTTCAACTCTTCTTGTCAGGGGCTTGGATGGGGCTGGTGTATCACGCCAGCGAAACTAACCAAGCTACGCGGGGCTTCAAGTATCGCAAACCCTCTCGGTCTGACGCTGGGCCCTTGTGTCTAACTGCAGAGAACCATACAGAAGGCCGCCCAGGTCATACAGAACTCGGTTCATGGAAGCTGCCTTGGCCGTCAGGCAATGCGGGCGGCCACCTTGCATGAGGCTAGGGCCTCCGACGATATCAGTGGAGGCAATCTCGATTGTCCTCCGAGCAATAGGCGAAGCACGTAGCAGCGTTGAGATCTCGGGCCTGTTGGGCCAACACAGAAGCCTACGCAGACTCGCACAACAGGCATACACTTAGCAATATTGCTCCTCATATGGATTCTTCACATGGTGAGTCTCTGTTCAAAGTGTAATCTATCACTTCAAAAGCCGACCGATGGTAGGACGGCTCCAGTTCCGTAGCCGGGAGTTGACATACAAAAGAACATTCATATTACAGAATTTGAGATACCGCCATACTCCCTGTCACTTAGACGAGGCCGTCACTTTGCCAGCCTGATCCGCGTGACGTAACTTTCGTGGGGAGGGCTTTGATCTCATGAAGATTCCGCGAGGTGCTATCATTGGATGATTAGATCGAGGGGTTGAGAGACATGCTCCCACAGGGCACGGGATGCTTCTCATTAGCGCAAGGTCTGCTTGTCTCTCTGGACAGCCAGTCTGAGTCCACGAGGCTCTACCAAAAGCTAACTCTTTCGCTTCGTCTCTGCGATTTCGGCTGGAGGAAGCCCAGGAATTGATATCTGTTGTGACACACGACCCGTTGTTCTAGTTCGGGATTGGCAGTGGCTAGGATGCTGCGTTTCTGACCGGGCAAAACATCCTGCACTTCTGCTTTGCCCTGCCATGTCATGCATTCCGATGCCTGCCTCAGAGGCAACCTCACCGATACTAGACAACTCTTCGTCTGTCAAGAGGCTTCAACCCTTCTTGCAGATCTTTTTCAAGGGTTCTCAGAGCACCAGCCAATGGGCGTTGAGTGTCCCGATTGAGGGAGCAGCAGTGCTGGGATGAGGAGGAGAGGAGCCACAACGTCCCTAAGAAATTGATATCATTTACATGCCATTGATCCGTGTATTACTCTACCGCAATAGAAAGGTGCGGCTTGTTCTCCCTCCACAGGGAATACTTCGAGCCCAGACTCCCAGACTCGCAGACTCGCCAGAGTCCAGCCCTGTCGTTGTGCAGCCCACCTTTTCGTCCCTTAGATGCGTGGGGCCGTCTTTGCTTCTGAAACATTGCCACAGGCTAGCTGTCCAAGCTCTCCTTGGCCCACGATGCACCGCAGAGCGCTAGACTTGAAAGGCCATCTGAAGTCCAAGAGGTAAAAAAGCTACAGTATGTACAGGCGACAGACACGAGGCACACGAGAGCTTCTGCGGGGCACGTACAGTAGCAGCAGCTGAGCCTCTACAACGCCTTTGCCCCTCAGCCGCCAGACGGCGAAATGTAACGCACAGGATTTGCCAACGAACAATACGTCTACGGCAGATTATAGGTTGGTCTGCTCGACTGAGGGGTTCCTCTGGATTCGGGGCAGCAAGTGAGTGGCCAGACTCACCGTGGAGGCGCCACGATTGGGGATGTGGAGTCGCCGTGTTACAGCTTCTCACATGTGTTTGGGGCAAAATTGACGGTTCTAGCGGGAGATTCCTTCATGGATGAGAGACAGAGTTGAGATAACACACTGAGCCAAGAGCGCCATCCGATGTAGATGTACGGGGGAGCAGCCAGAGGTGCACACAACAGACAGCAAAGTCCAAGTAGCCCATCGAGCCCATATCAGCGACCAAGAAGCGGCAAGGCGGGGCTCAAGTATGGTCGGATATTGTGGTGCATTCCATGCAAAGATGACAGGCTCGATTTCGTTGCGTGGCTTCGTTCCTGAACTGGCTGGACCCAATTTGTCCATCTGTCCTCCCCTTTCGATATCGTCCTCCGTTGGTTCAAGCCGCTGCCCACTAACATGACCTACATTGTAGTAATTATCCTTTGGTCTCCCTTGCACCGCCGCGAGATGAAGCCTCATCTGGCAGACTCTCCACCAAAGCCTCCTGTCGGGGCTACTTACCTGGCTGCAGTCCATACTACGCATGGAAAGAACCCAAAACCCCTGTCTGGATGCCAATCGCGCGAAGGGGTGCCAATGAGTGATGGCGACATGTCGTCCACCTCAGTGTCTTCCATACCACCCATTATATTGACCCGCAGCCACTCGGGCAATAAGAAAAGCCCCCCATGCCGCCGCCAAATGGGCGCTCGATAGCTTTTGAAGCCCCCCCTTGTAGTCGAGTATATACTATCTACCGGTCAAAGTCATATATGTCTTAATATGGCCCTGTACGTCTGCACTATTGCGTTATCTGGCGCCAGGGTCTGGATACTGCGCTGCGGTGATGTGCAGAATGACTTAGCAAACAGTACTCCCATTGCTTGACTGTAATTAGTAGATGTAGGCAAACAGCTCGCACAGAAGGAGGCACAAGACAGACGAAGGACCTGCCACTGCATCGGGGCTGGCTACCTCGTGCATTGCCAGGGGCGCTCGTTGCGATACATGGCACATGCCATCGGCCTGTGGTCTACTATGTGACTATCTGCCTGCCTTTGTGACCCGAAACAGACTCCCTACTAGTAGGTCTGTGGCAGCGGCAGAGTCTACAACAGGCGCAGCACGAGAGGGTTTCGTCAGTCGTGATGGGGACGCCGGTGTTGTAGTACACAACAGGTGCCCACCTACAATTAAAAACTGACGCCCGCCCTCCCTTTTCGCGTGAGGCCCAATGTTGCTCTTTTGCCCTTTTCCCCTTGGGTTACCCTTTGCCAGAAGGGATAGAGAGGAGAGCCTGACCAATATTTTCGGCATTGCCTTACATACATGCACTTTCACACATACGCTACTTTACATTACATACATGCCTGCCCGCCCTGCACTGCACGTTAGTTACCAAGGTGGGAAGAAGCTCTCTACCTTGCCTCATTAGCTTCGAGCAATCTTCGAAAGTACAAAACTGCTAGCCATTTCCCTTCCCGTCCCGCTTCTTCTGCTCTCGTTCTTGGGATTCCCGTTGTTGCTTGTTGCTTGCTTGCTGCTGCTGTTGCTGCCACTACCACCACTGCGACTGCCTACTGCCTGCATATAAAGACACACATATATACTTACATACGCCAAGCTTGTTTGTATATTCTGTCTATCTCGAGCAACTGCATCTGTCTTTTCCTGCCGTCCTTACCCGAAGCAGCATATCAGCTTTCTTTTTTCAAGAACAAGAACGAACTAAGCCGGGATTTGCTGTGTCGGCTATCAAAGCATCACACGGAGAAGCAACCACAGCAAGAAAAGGAACAACCACACACCCTTCGATCCTCTCTTTTGGACGAATAGGTCTTGGGCAGATCCTCGGGACGAGCTAAGGCTGCGGATCAGCACGCCCACGGTACGCCGACATTTTGCATGGGATACAATTCGATACAATACGACTCTGCCTGTACTCTACCCCAGGCTTCGCCTCTGGCCCCTCCATCGAAATCCAAGTCACCCATAAGCTCTCTCCCAGACCGGATCAGACACCAATCTTGTCGACGAGAGGAACCTGGCACCTATCAAGCTTCCTCTTACGAAGGAAGCCGTTTGTTTGTTGGAAGAGTGAAGCCGAAGATAAGAAAAGGTCGAATAACAAGAAGGGACGACAAGCGCGCGGACAACGAAACACTCGGATCTGTGCCTTTGTCTAACTAAGCTCGCCTCCTGAGCCCTGCACGCCCGGCCAACGACCGAAAACTGGCAGTTTCAGAGCTGCGCGTACGAGGCACACGACCTGAACCCCTCGAAGGAGTCTCTTTCCGGAGCGACATCGCCATCGAGTTGCGCAGCCGTGTTGAAGCTGTACATCACTACCGCAACGACGCACGAGGCAAGACGAGGCACCGTGCTCTAATTGCCCGGTCTCTACCTTGAGCCATCCTCGCCCTGCCGCTATCATTCGCGTGCGTGTCGTGTGCAACGTGTAAGTCGGCGGAGTTCTCTGTCTGGCCTGCACGCACCGCGCTCGACTTACAAGCAACGGGGCACCCCGCAAAAGTACCCGTAAGTACCGATCCTTTTCTTCTCCCGTGCGCCCCCATCGCTCCGCGATACCATGAGGCCTGGTGCACGCCCTCTGCCATAGTGTCTATCTGCCCATGTCTTGCAAAACAGGCAAACAGACAGACAGACTTAGACTCATCAGCGACCCAAAAGGTACTGCACAGAAAGAGAGGCAGGGTGGTCCACCAAGCGGTGCCCTTTTTTTTTTTCTTCGGGCGCTGAACCGACCGTGCTGGCTGACCACTGAGCCATCCGAAAGGTGTCGCTCCGTGCCAGCCCCAGTTCCCAGTTCCCTTAGGGTCTTAGACCAGGCCCATCCCGGTCCCTGGTCGACTCAATCGACTCCCGGGCCCCCCCTTCCCACCCCCCTCCACTCGCTGGGCTACCAATAGCCTTTGCTTGTTGGTCTCTGCCTTACCTCACTTGGGTCGTCGTCCTACCAGCATTCTTTTGCTGGCTGCATTTTCCTGGCGCGCAGTGGTACCTGTAGTACTCTGTTGTGGACTAACTAACGTGTTCAAACCAGACCTGGCCCTGCCCTGACCTGGCCTGACTCGACTTGACCTGGTCCAGGCTGTTGTTAATAAGGTGGCACCTATCTTAGCTTATCCCAGGCTAAGGGAGCTCTAAACTTGTCTTCAGATTGGATCAGCCCAATCGCACCTGCCAGAGCCAGACAACCTTACCTTGGGGGAATTGGGAACTAACACCCCCCCCCCTCTCCGCGACCAACCTAAACTTTACCGTCCTTGCCTCAATTGTTATTGCTGCAGAGTACATCCCCATCAAACATTCACCCATCTGCGGCTTGTCTCTGTCTCTCGCTCTCTCGACTTTTACACACAGACATCCCTCCATACCAGCAATCCTCTTACCTGACCTGACCTTACCTTCCCTAACCTTCCAATACGGTATTCCTTCTCCCTACCCTCCTTTTTTCCTCCCTTTCCTTGCAACCCTCGACGATTTCGCTCTGCTCTCGTATCGCTGCGCTACCGACTCTACTCGACGACAGCCTGCTCTGCTCTCTGGTTGCATGCAGATGACGGAAAGGGAACAACCATATACCTACTCCTGAATAACGGTCGGTTCTTTTTCTTATTCCTGTAAGATATTATCATTATCGCCTTGTCTGGTCACCCCCAGCACCGAGCACCCAACACCCAGCACACTCTCCACCTGCTGTTAGTCTCTACCGACTCTAGCAGCAAGCAGCAAGCACCTAGCACCGGCACCGGCACCAGGTCCCACGTCCAGGTCCAAGACCCCAAGACGGGCTGCATCTGCCTTGGCCCCAGTCACTCTGCATAATCCTCCTTTCCCTTGGCGCACCGTCCGGCCCCTTCGATGGTCCTTTTTGGTCCATAGCAAAGCAAGCAAAAAAATACCCCTACCATTAGGAGCGGCGTGTGGTGAGTAAAGGACTTGCATTGCAGCCAGCTGGTCGTCAGCTTCAATCTTTTCCCAACTCGACACATCTTCTCCTGGGTCGACATTGCTGCTATCGCCGCGACGACTCTTCACCCTGTTTTAAAGGGAGAAGAAATAAGCGATACCGACACCAGACAGAAAAAGGTGTGGGTGTGTGTGGTGCTGCGTCCACTCATGTTAGACGTGCTCTCCTCCTCGCTGCCATCATCCATCATCAGCCTTACATACTAAACTGCACAATACCTCCACCACGCAGTAGTGCCGCCTGCCTGCCTGCCTACCTGTCTGCCTCAACCCCATCCCCAGCCCGTCCCCCGTTGTCATACCATTTCCCCCGGCGCCCACAGACTTCCCCGACGCTGACGCTGACTTTTCGACTTGTTTGACAGTCCTATAGATCCGGCGAAATCGACTCTGTCACATAAATTTCGGTCTACTATAGAAGATTCTTCTGGGCACAGCGACGCCTCCCAAGCGATCCTTCCCCAAAGACCCACATACATAGCGAGTCCCCAGCCTAAGCAGGTCTACCCAGCATTTTTCTGCCGTTGACACTGCACCAAATCTCTCTTCAGAAGAGCGAATACGATACACAAAGTTCTTCTATGACATCGGCCTCTACGCAGAGACCTGCCGCCGCCATGACGACTGCTGTAAGCCTCACCCTATAGTATTCTCCTTATTTAGATCAAGGACGCTCTGTCGCGCAAATGGACCCGCTTGCAGGTCGCGTGTGTCGCAACTGCTGAACGGGCAGATGTCTTCACAGCCTTATGTGGCATTTTCCAGTCCTGTGGGGATGTTGTTATACGCATTTCTGCTTCAGACCTCTTTGGACATCATGCTGACCAGACAATCTGACAGGCAAGGGCAAGTCGTTTCCCCAATCTGACGATGGGCAACGGAACTGGCGACAAGGCATCCCAATCCCTCGGAACGTCCTTCCCGAGCTCGAGCTGGCAATCAGGTGGAGGAATATGGGGAAATGGTCCTATCGGGTCGAACAGCTTCAGCAAGAGAGAGACATCGGCATCTCGAGGTTCGTGCAATGAACAGGGAAGACATGGCTATTGACTTCAGGAGCTGACATTGATGATAGCATCTGACGAGTCCTTCAACGGTGCCTCTGGCATAAGCCAACTAGCTGCACAGTCCGAAGCAGACTCGTGGGTACGACCTGGACCTTGGAACACAGAGAATCCTTCAAATGGCAACACATCGGGCAGCACCTCACCAACCCGTAGGAGAGACGGCCAGCAGTCGATTCATGAGATCTCGAACACTTCACCTTACTTCACAACCCGCACGGCTGCGATTGGTCAAGGTCCAGGATTTGGAAACCGGCCTAAGCAGAACACCTCGTTAGATCCTTCCACGGGCGCTTTTAAACAGGGGCTGAATGGCATTGCCGACGACAAGGAGAGTTTCCATGCTTTCCAAGTGCCGGGCTTCAATACCTTCAAGCGTCCTTCCCAGGATGCAGGCTACCTCAATGTTGGCGGATCTCCCAACCTTCCTCATTCGCGACCCTCTGAGACCGACAAGTTTGAAGAGAGCGGCAATGCCTATGGTTATCAAGGCACTCAATCTCATCGGCCTCAGCTCGCGGGTCCTTCAAACTCATTCCCACGTACTAACTCCTCGTACAGCGTCAATCAGTCGCATGTTAACGAAGAGGAACTTCGCGAGAAGCTGAGGAGGAGCCTAACCCTGGAGGAGTCATCCGAGCAAATCACGAATGGGTTATACTCAACCTCGTCTCAGCCCTTCCAGTTTAACCCGGGCTCGCAACCCTGGGAGACATCGATTGGTGGTGGTTCCAAGGTGTACGGTGGATACCAGCAACAAGACCCGTACGCGGAGTCGTTGGCACCTCCTTATCTCTCAAATGTGCACCGGCGGGGCCCATCAGTATCGCGTGAGTCGCCCGCCAGCAGCGTATACCGTCAACCACTTCAAAGCCCTACCAAGAGCTACGGTGGAACACCTCCGGCCGATGCTTGGAGTCGGCCCGGATCTCGAGACCCCAGGATGACCTCAGAAACGGACCGCAGGACACCAGGCCAACCATTCCTGCAGCAGCCCGCTTACTATCCGCCTCCTTACTACAACCCGAACTTCCCTAGTCAATATCCCCCACAGCTCTTTGACCCATACACTGGCCATCCTACCTTCAGGCCGCCCATGCCGATGCCAAACTATGGGCTGCCCGTAAACCCATACCTACCCGGTGGCGTTCCCATCCGTCCTGGAAAAGACAGGGACCCTGGACAAGGGGTGCGAAGCATGCTTCTTGAGGAGTTCCGATCAAGCTCGAAGTCCAACAAGCGCTACGAGCTGAAGGTTTGATGCTGCCATCTCTAATTGTCTCCGTTGCAGTAAGCTAACATATATCCAGGATATCTACAATCATGTCGTCGAGTTCAGTGGAGACCAGCACGGGTCTCGTTTTATCCAGCAAAAACTCGAAACTGCCAATAGCGATGAGAAGGATCAGGTCTTCCGGGAGATAGAGCCGAATGCCGTGCAGCTCATGAAGGATGTATTTGGCAACTATGTCATCCAGAAATTTTTCGAGCACGGCAACCAAGTTCAGAAGAAGGTGCTTGCAGCACAGATGAAGGGCAAGGTTGTTGATTTGTCCACACAGATGTATGCCTGCAGAGTTGTCCAGAAGGTATGTCGATTGTAACAGACTGTGAGTAACGGACACTAATCATATAACAGGCCCTGGAGCATGTTCTTGTCGAGCAACAGGCCGAACTAGTCAAGGAACTAGAACCTGAGATCCTGCGAATTGTCAAGGATCAAAACGGCAACCACGTTGTCCAGAAGATCATTGAACTTGTTCCCCGCCAATACATCGACTTCATCATGGATGCATTCCGGGGTCAAGTCAGCGGCTTGGCATCTCACAGTTATGGTTGCCGAGTGGTCCAACGTATGCTTGAGTATGGTTCAGAGGCAGACAAGAATACTATCATGGAGGAGCTACATGCCTGCTCCCAGGTCCTGATTACTGACCAATACGGAAACTATGTCACTCAACATGTGATCCAGCATGGCAAACCCGAAGACCGATCAAAGATGATCCGCATCGTCATCAGTCAATTAGTGACCCTATCAAAGCACAAGTTCGCATCCAATGTTGTGGAGAAATGTATAGAATATGGAACTCAGGACGAGCGACGGGCCATTCGCGATGAGCTAACTACCATTGGGAGCGACGGTACGAGCCCCTTGCAACTCATGATGAAGGATCAATATGGCAACTACGTCATCCGTAAGTATTTACTGTGCTGTCGACTGATGTGCCGAAGCTGACCTTGCCAGAAAAACTCCTTAGCCAGTTGGAAGGTGAAGAGCGGGAGGCCTTCGTTGAGGAGATGAAGCCACAATTCACCTCCTTGAAGAAGGTCAGCACTGGTCGCCAGATTGCAGCGATTGACAGATTGATGTCAGCCGTTTCTTCGCCTACTCCCGGCAAGCCTGCCAGTCTCAGCGGGAGCGTCAACGGCAGTGTCAACGGCAGCGTCTCCGGCGCGGCTCCTGCCTCGCCGGGGTTGCAGGTAGAGGTCAACTCGGCTGCCCCTACACCTGTCTTGACGATGGAGCCGAACAGCCCTCAAAGCAGCAGCCCCCCAAGCACTAATGCTAGTGCTGTCGAGGACACGGCTGAGGAACCCATAAACAACAAGGAGTCTGCTAATGCAGCTGATCCCAAGGTTCGCGTGGATGATATTGAGGCTTAACCATGTCCTTCACTCCAACAAACATGGGTTCGATAATCAAAGACGATTTTGTTCAACCTCGGGCGGTTCCAAATTGAATCTGCAAACTCTTGTTCAAATACTGGTATTACGACGATTATGACTTATAACCTCTCCAGGACCTTGGCAATGCCTCTATGCACTGGGCTTAGCAGAGAACCTGACTCTTCGGATAGGGCTTCTCGGCTAGCCTTCTTCTGATCATAGCTTTACATTCTGGCCCCTGGCCATTGAACATTTCACTTTCTTCTCATACCTTCCGACATACTATATTCCGATACATGTCTAAATAATGGGCTTTGGCAAGCACACCTTCAGGAGAGTCGGGTCTGCATACACGCCGCATCTTGATATGAAAACAAAAGAGGGGCGAGAATAGCTCCGGACCGAAAACAAAAGGGAGAGGCAACATGGGTTTCGCTTCATGTGTGTTATCTTCTTCGCGCACCACTTATTTTGGCTTCTTTCCCATATGGCTGGAAATCTGGTGCCTTCGTTGTGCTTGAACATTTACGAGAGATATTTGAGGCGGTAATATTAGGGTTCAAGGTCAATCGGAGCTGCAGGGGACCGGATGGGTTGGCAAACGGCATTCGGGTTGTTCCACAGGGGTGAAGGCGGAAAGGATGGGCATTCAAGGACTCGGTTTCAGGGGACAAATACGGCGCTTCTTGATTTATCTGTAACTCGTTTTATCGACACAAAGGCGCAAAGTTTGCCAAAGCTTATACCTGGCTGGATAGATAACTAGATCTATTCAATAGAAGCATTCACAACACCACCTCTTGAACTGTTGGCTCTGGCAATGAGAATGTGCAAATTCTAGGACATTGATTAAACGCATATTCGGTAATAAACTCTTGAAAATGGTAAGGGTATAGACAAATCAGGTTCTTCAAGTAAACCATGAATAGAATCGTTAGGGTATCAGAAACTCCATAAAGACTTGCAAACAAGACACTAATCATCACCCATCCAGCCGCGGACTAACCCCTTTCCCCCGTTGCATGCTAAGCACCGCCAACACCACCACCACCACCATCACCACCACCACCGTTGGCCGCAATGCCCTTCCCAACACCGGTTGCCCTCATCTCTCCGCCCACCTGGTCCGCCCAGGCATCGATCTGGTCCCAGTCCCGCAAGTCCTGGAATGTCTTCTTGTCGTCCCGGGCCACGAGCCACAGGAAGGGCACCACGAACCACGGCGCGTCGGCCCGCTCGAAGCGCCCCCGGAACAGCGCGTGGCCCCTCAGCGTGGCCTCGCCGACGAGGTGCGCCCGCAGGGACTTGGCCATGGCCGCCTCCTCGTCGCGGCGCTTGGTCTCGTCGCGCGGCATGCCGACGCTAAAGGCCCACAGCGGTGGGGGCGGGGGCGGGGGGCGGACCCCCGGGGTGGTGCCGGTGCCAGAGAGGTAGGCGCCGTTCCGCGCCATGAAGCGCCGCCCGGGCCCGAGCCACCGGCCGGCGTGGATGGCGCTGCCGACGACGACCGCGGCGTACTGCTGCTGCTGCTGCGCGAGTGGCCGGACGGCGTCGACGGGCTGGCAGTCCACCACCGTGGAAGGTGGGGGGAATTGTGCTGCGAGACGCGTGGCGATGCGCTCTGCGATCTCCCGGGTTGAGCCGTGAGAGGAGGCGTATGCGACCAGGATGGAGGAGGACATGATTTTTTTTCTTCTTTTTTTTTCAAGCCTTTTGAAGTGCGACGGTGGTTATATTAGGAATACCCAAGTCGGGATCATACGTCGTCGTCGTTGTGTTTGTGTGTCGTGAGATGGCGGCTGGACTTGCTTGCCGCCGTGGTGATGGCCTTGACCTTGTTTGTCGGGTGGTAGTTGTCTCGACAGAAGAGGAGGATGAAGCCGAATGTGAAGAGGTTGACGATCAGCCAGAAGACGAGGGAGAGGGACAGCAGCAGCGTCATCGTGGTTGCTGCCATTGCGTCCCTTGATATGCTACTACTGGTATCGAACCTCCAGGGACTTTGGGGGGAATGTCACATCATGGGTACCGAGACGGGTGATGCTCTTCAGTGTCTCTCTTGCAATAGTTTACTGAGTGGCTTCAGGCTTCAGAGGCCAAGCAACGCCATGATGTGTTGCGGGTCGCCACTTGACGAGGCAGGTCGCGCAAAATGCGAGCAATGCGAAGAGGGTGACGAGATCGTAGAGGTGATGGAGGCCCTCTAGTGAGAGATGGCGAGGTTATAGCTAAAGAGGCGTAGAGGCACAGAGGCCACATGTCAGAAATGCAGGCAGGGCCACCGCCCGTGTCATGCGCCTGGCCGAGTTGGTGGGCGGCATGGCAAGCACCGGTGGCCTGATGCAATCCGTCTAGTCCAGGTAGTATTTGGAGAGATCTGGATGGGTGGGCGGGTGTGCTGACGATAAATTGAGTGCATGATAGCTGTGCCTTTTCAGGTATGGCTCAACGGCTTGATGGGTAGGATCAGTGCAACTGGCGCTACAACATCAAAGTAAAGTCTGGGGGAAATTTTAGACAAGACACACACTTGACCTGAGAGAAGGATATGTGAAGAGTACACTACGCTGAGAGTCGAAGATAATATATTTATTATGTTATAGTCGTCGTTATCCAAATGGGACCAAGTATCTATAGTAACAATTATATCATGATATCATCTTGTGACACTTGACTTCCAGCACCTATTTCTACATACCGTAGCTGTCAATTAACGCCTTCCCAGGTACTATTGGCTACCGTCACTAAAACTGGGTACTATACTGCTAGGGCCAGGGGTCTGAACTGCTGGGCCCGATGCCGCCCGCCACGTGCTCCACTCTCGACTGCAATTGCCGGGGGACACAACGCCAACTGTCGGCTCAAATTTCGTGCGGCATTGCATCAACACTCACTTCACTTCACTTTTATGTCCCGCACTGCGATATTGATATTATACGTAGCTCTTGCTCTCCTCGCCACAAAGCGCATCTCTATGGACTGACAAGCTGCGTCGTCTATACGAATCTCTATCCACCATGTCGACCGTCAGGTTGACTTTTCTCTATCCGCAGCTGTTTCGCTCCGCCCGAGTTGGCGAGTCCGCAGCTGCTGCCCATGCAGCTGTGAGAGCTCGTGCCCCCAGAGCTGCGTCTTCCGCATCGCGGCCTCGTCGCCAACGTGCAGCGCCTTTTTCGACAACATCCTCAGCCAAGAAGTCAGCCTTTGCTCCACGCGTCGGCAAGGCGGTAGAACCAAGGCCTCTTGGCGACACGCAAGCCGCGCCCGCTCTTGAGGCGCCCGGAAAGGTCGACGACGCCGCCCCACCTGCATCGAGCGAGTCCCCAGCCGCAGAAGAGACAAGGGAGAGCACTCCGGAGCAGAAGAAAGATGCCGCGCAGAAGCTAGACCCGGCCGTCGAACCGAAGAAGGAGACGCTGAGCTTACCGGGCGAGTCGTCCAAGGACAAGGCCAAGGACGAGGACAAGGCAAAGGAGCAGGACAAAGACAAGGAGGATGCGGCAACCCAAGACGCGAGCGGCAAGAAGAAGGGCGGCGGCAGCGGGCCCATGGACGCGATCCTGCACCTGGAGCCGCCCGAGTCCAAGGAGCACAAGCCGCCGCACCTGACGCCGCCGCCCTACGTGCATCACTTCGACAGCTACTCGCTGGTCAAGCAGCTCGAGGTGGGCGGCTACACGCAGGACCAGGCCATCACGGCCATGAAGGCGGTGCGCGCCATCCTCGCGCAGAACCTCGACGTCGCCCAGGACAGCCTCGTCAGCAAGAGCGACGTCGAGAACGAGACGTACCTGTTCCGCGCCGCCTGCTCCGAGCTCAGCACCGAGATCAAGAACAGCAGCCGCGTCGCCGACGAGCAGCTGCGCCAGCAGCGCACGCTGCTGCAGCACGAGGTCGACATCTTGACCCAGACCCTGAACCAGGAGCTGCTGACCCTCAACGATAACGTCAGGGGCATGTTCAATGACCGCAAGATGGCGGTGCGGGAGGAGCAGAAGGCTGCTGAGAGTGCGGTAAGCTCTTCGTCTCCACCGGGGTTTTCACTCAGCGAGACATGGTGCTAATAGTCATAGATTCAACAAATCAACTACAAGATCAGCGTCATCCTCAACAGTGACTCGAGATCAGAAATTGAGGGTGTTCGATGGGTACTCATCAGGCGATCGGTCTTGGGAATTATATTCATGGCCATCCTTACCCTGGGCACCCTGCGTTACTCTAGCTATCTGGGGCATGAGAGGCAGAAGGAGGCCGAACAGAAGGCCAAGGAGGCAGAGACACTCCGCATGAATGCAGGGAGACACGATCAGAGCTCGGCGCCAGACGCGGCCGAGATCCTCGCGGCGAATTGAAAAACGTACTTAGGATATAGACAGATACCCAGGGACACACATACTATAGATATACAAATGTAACAATACCTATTGCATGCTGAGCCGTCCATCGCCGTCTGTTCCCCTTCTTTTATGCGCATGGCCATTCAAGAGCTGTACGGAATTGGATCCAGACATCACCTCCCACAGGAGCAATGCCGTCCCCTAGGTCGGAGGTGTTTGGTCATGATGACATTCACTGTACGATCACTAGCAAGTTTACTTGACCAACATGGCTTAAATTCCGTTGTTTATTCTTCACTAATTCTAGGCGGCTTGGGCTCCTCAGCTCCCAAAGTTCATCTTCAGCGCAATAGTCGGTTGTCCGCCGCTTGCCCCCGTGTCCGTCTCCGTGACCCCGGTCTGCCGGCCCGACTTGATGACCTCTTCCATGAAGGCCTTCTGGCCCTCGCTCATGCCGGCCACAATGCCCCTGAAGGAAGCCTGGTCTACAGACGCCATCTCCAGGAGCCGGGCACTGGTCTCCCGATAAACGTTACCCTCGGCGCCCTCGCTGGCAGCGCGCGACAGAAGGGTTGGCACGACGAGTGCCATTGCAATGGCGACGTGGTCCTTGGACACCGTCGCTACGTACTGCGACAGCGTCAGAGAGACGAGGCTCCGAGCACGCTCTGGATCCTCTGGCTCTGTGTTGCTGACGAACGAAAGCAGCCGCGGCAGCAAGTAGCGGGCTATCGACTCGTCCGCGGGAGTGGGTGATGACTGAAGCAGCAGCGACCTGATGCAATTCGCAGCGATCTTAGCAGTCTGTGCAGTCTTGTCAGCTCCTTGATGCCCTCACGTATAAGAATTTGATTTCACTTACCATACGATCCGTGAGACAGTCGACCACCTCTTCAAGGTACCGCGCCACCAGGGGATCATTCGCCGGCAACTGATTCTGCCCGCTAGTGAAGAGAATAGTGCTGGCCAAAAGGCTGTTCTTGACGTTTTGCAGGGATGTCGCTTCCTCTCGCTTTTGCGCGTGTAGATAGATGGACAAGAATCTGCGTAGGCATCCCTGTAGTTGCACATCGGTGCTGCCATCACCTGGTTTTCTTGTTCTTGTCATCGTGATGATGAACCGTTTTAGCGTAGAAAGAGACTGAGGAACTATGACTTCTTGACATGAGGGTGTTGCAAGTATGGTCGCGAATATATGGATGATGCAGGCATGCAGATCTGTCCTGATGATAGAGGGGAACACTTCTGCAGCGTCTACCAACGCATTAAGGGACGTTCGCACCAAGAGTATTGCCTCCTCCGTCAGTACATGTCGCACTGGCTGATTGGCTTCGGTAAGGTTAGGTAGAAGGCCTGAGAGAACAAGGACGATGATCCGGGTCAGCTCAAATAGCTGTTCAATATCGTCAGACAGCTCGCTGTTGTCAGGCTCTTCAGCTTTCCTTGCTGCCGGATGGGCAACGCATAGGGCCCTGGCAATTTCGACAATCACTCGTTGCACGTCAAGGCCCTCGGTAAGTACCATGCGGTCCAGGATATCCATAGTCTCTGAGAATATCGCTTCTCGGTAGATAGCAAGACCGGAGACACTAGGATGTAATATCTTCTTGAGAGCCTGGAGAATCTCAAGTGTCTGTTCCTGCGTTGCTAGTGAATCGACTTGGCCTGGCTTTGTCGCAAGTGCTTCAAATGCAATGCCGAAAAGGACAAAGAAGAATGCGACTGGCTCATCACGATAATTGATATCGGGTCCTTTGGAGTGACCGTTCGTAGATGGAGCCGTTGGTCCTTTGCCATCCAGTGCTTCGAAGACGAATTCGCTGTCTTGTTCAATCAGGCTTGCAATGGCATCTACAAGTTTGAGCCAAGTGTCTTGGTAGAATCTCAGAAGCGTCTCCCGATTTAGAGCAGCGTAAATTGTGTCGAGACTTCCGGACAATGATGGAGGCCCAAGGGTCATAGAGATGTCCGGCTCGAAGCGTAGGCGGGCGAACTCTCTCAGAGACTCAAGCCACAGTGGTGTTAGCTTCCCAATATGCGGTTTTAGCACATCAAGCAGATATTTCTGCTCTGAGCTGGCAACCTGAAGTTCAGCCCATGCCGCAAAGACTGACATTTTCACCATTACTTGAGCATTTGAGCTCAAGCCCTTGAGGTCTCCGATGCCGACGTTCTCATTGTCTTGTGCAAAGTTCTCAAGAGCACTGACAAGAGTCTTGAGAATTCTGCCCATTCTATCGATATCTGTCACGATTCCGGTGGCAATAAACGCAGCACAGACGTTGACGGCTTCGGAGGCCAACTCTGGAGAGGAGTCCGCGGCAAATGCTGGTGTCAGGGCTGAGCTGATTTGAGCTTGGTATTGCTCAAGAAGCATTGCCTCGTCAAAATCCGGATCAGGACTCTTGCCAAACATTTTAAGGACAGCACCAATGATCTTAAGACCCCAGATACGTTGCTCCAGAACTCCCGAGGTTGAAGCCGAGAATGCCATGCGAACCACATCGGCAATCTTGCCTTGTAGTGCTGTCTGTGCTGGTGATTCTCCATTTGTCATGATATCCTTGTTGGTGAGGAGGAATATGTCATTTAAACAGCCCATGGCGAAGGTTGTTACTTGCCACCTAAGTGGTTCAACATCCGAGCCTGAACCTCCCTCCTTCTCATCTTTAGCAACGCCACCTGCTGCAGCAAAGCCAGCGACTTCCTCATCTTGAAGATCTGGCATATTGCTGACCTTCTTTGTAGAGGCTCGATTATCTTCGACCGCCTTGGGCCGAGTCATTCTTAGAACACCTTGGAAGCGTTGCAACCAGAGCGCCGTGTCCGTCAGGCAGGTCTGCCGCATCCAATTGCGAATGATATTTCGAATCCCATCGTGGCTGGGAACGGTGTCAAGGACAAGCCACAATTGGTCTTCAAAGCCTTGCTCGGCGGCTTCGATAACATCGTAGGGGTTTCTCTTCATGATGTTATAGAGACCGTCTACGGCGGCGTCTCGCAGAGTCGGATGTTCTGAATTGAGGTATTTTTGCAAGAGCCTCACGTAGTCTCCAAAGACCATATAGCCAGGGGCGTACAGAGACAGATGCTCAAGACAATTAAGGCTTGCCCTCTGGACCTCTAGATCTTCTTCTTCTTGGAATTGTCCAACCAGTGTGAAGATCAACTCCCGAGATTTTGTAATGTCTTGTAAGTCAGGGCCAAGAACATTGATCAGGGAATCGACAGAGCGAGTTATCGCTGCAGCGGTAGAAAGCTCCATCTCCAAGTTCATGGAGATCGCAGAAGCTATTTCGGGATTATGGGTGTCTGACACGTAAAGCTGAGCCAGCATCCCCAGCGTACTTGATACATATGGTGAAAAACCAAGGCCGGCGGCGTCAGCTGCTCGAGCAAGGGCTTCAAGTGCCCAGAAGTGCACAGTTGGATGTGGGTCGTTGCACAAAGACATCAAAATGCCCAAGATTGTCTTCAGATGATAGCCAGCAGCCATGCCACCGACCTTAGCTTGGATACAACCCAGGGCCATGGCGCAGCCGGCTCGTGCGCTGGGCTCACGGTTGATGACAATAGTATCGACCAAAAACTTGATCTCGTGGTTCGTGAAGGCGTTGCCACTGGCATTGCAAAGTCGGGCCACCGCGGCGTAGCCAATGCTACGGACATACTGATCTGGATCAAGTACGAAGTTCCTGATCATGTCTTGAAGGAGTTTCTCAACAGCCAGAGCAGTGACGTCGCCAGGCGATGACTGAGTCTCCTTGACGGCAACTCTCAGAGTCAATAAGAGGGCGACTGCAACATTGACGTTGATAGCCGCTTTGCGTGCTGTATCTCTCTGTAAAGAACCAGCGGCCATGAATGTAGCAATTTGCTCTAAAATGCTTTCTTGGACTTTGGCCGGTGTGAGAGGGAAAACAAATGCAAACAGCTGGATGGCCATGTTGACTACCTCAGTTGCTGGTGGGTCTGGAAGTCCGCTTGGGTGATCAGCACCCTCAATGTACAAAAGAGAGGCATCATGCTCAAGTGTGCCACAGACGGGCGACAATAGGAGGTTTTCGATGATGTCCTCCGGCCCATTTTCATCGTTGAAGGATGGTTCAATTGAACTCTCATGTTGGCCAGGTAGGCTCTTGACCTTGAAACCAGATACAAGACCAGTAACGCCAAAGCCTGAATTGTCACCAACGTCCCATATAGTCTCAAATGTGCCAGCCGCATTAGCAATAGCGGCACTGAGCGAACTTGGCGAATAGTTATCCGGGTCAGCGAACAAAGATACGGCTTGGGTGAGCAGATTCGACTGCAGCAAAGCCTCACTACCTCCGGCTGGACTGGTGTTTACCAACTTGATATAACACTGCATCACACGGCGCTGTACCATCATATCAATGTCCTGGAGTTGTAATGCAGGTGCTAGGCGCTCTGAGATGTCATCTGTAGTCTTTTTCCTGGGCAATGTCCTAAGAAACGCAGTGGTGCTTTGTAGCATAGTTGCGATGCGCTTGGAGACGTCGACAGTCAATAGACGACTGTTGAACTGAAGGAAAGCTAGAATGGATCCAAGCGCACACTCTCTGACATGTGCGAGGAAAGATGCTTCTGTGTAGTTGCGAGCAGATGTGTTGTCTTTCGCAAGGGGTTTTGGCAGCGCATTCTTCCACAGCAGCAAAAGTTGTGACAGATGTATCTTGACAAAATTGGGTCCCAGCGACATCAAGCCCCCGATCAACATCCATGCGACTTGTATTTGGGTGCTGGCGACTCGCAGTTCGTTTGTGCTGCTAGATTTGAGCAGGTTTGTCGCCATTGTGAGTACCCTGCTATTGATATCTACTGAGCCGTAAAGGGGCCGCTGCGGACTTGCGCTCAGAGTGGCCGCAAGACCATGAGCAAAGCCGATACATCTGCGAGGAGAATTGCGGCCAGTCCCGAGCAAGCCTAATTCTCTGCTAAGACTGTTCATGCACACGGAAAGACATGGCAAAAGCTGCTGAGGGCATGCCAAAACGAACGTTTTCAAGCAAGCTGAGGCATATACCTGGACGGTATAGCTAGGATGCTGCAAGGCTTGCAAAAGACCATCTCTACAGGACTCTGCAAAGTTGTTTGCTGCAGACCCAAGAGCCGTAATGAGAGAACCTAAGGCACCCATCGCCGCAATAAGAGTGTTCTTTGTCGGTTCAGGGCGCTCTTTGAGTGCCTGGGGGTAGTTCTTGAGGATGTCGTTTATGAGCGCTTTGGCAACGTGAGTCTGCCCAGTCTCTCCCAGGATCTTAGCTCCAACAACATCCTGGAGGATCGTATCTACAATGCGACGGGATATCAAAAGGCGATACCGATTGTTTGTGATGCTCGAATGGCCAAGGATATCCAAGGTCAAGTTTTCGACGATCCTGAGGTAGTTAATTTCGATGATTTTCTCCCCTAGGCGCTGCAGCAGTCTACTATAGCAGACCCCTAACGCGGCTCTAGCTTTGTTCGAAGTTGACATGCGAACATATTGGGTGGACAACACTTTCAGAATATCTGTAAGTGATAGCGCAAGATCTTGCCTCCTCGATGTTGGAGCCGGGCTCTCCGATCTAGGCGGAAGCTCATCTTCATCTTGTAAGGCTCCTGGCTGTGTCGACATACGTTTCGCTGCTTTCGACTTGACCCTCTTCAGCGCTGGCAGCTCGCTCACAGCAGTCTCAGAGTAGCCTCGATGGGCAGCCTCAGCCAGGCAGTCAGCGGCAGCATGTCGGGCTTGCTGGGAAGCAAGTTCGAATGCCTTGAAGATAGTCGACTGCAACTTCTCAAAGTCGCTCGAATTCTTGAAGTACGACGTATGTCGAACAAGAGCCTTCAAACAGCGGCATGCAGCCACCACCACCAAAGATCCCTTGTCAGAGGATGCGTGGCTCCGTGCTTGTTTCCAAATATCACGGGCGATGTTCTCGTCCAAGCTGCCTTCCACCATCTTGGCTATCTTGCTCAGAGCTATAAGGACAGCCGCGCGCATGCCCGCATTGTTCCCCGAGTTCTTCAGAAGCTTGACCAATGTCGAGCATGCTAGCTGATGCAAGCCGATGGCACTATCGCCTGCGGCCCCGTATACATCACCCAAGCACACGACCGCCGCATGCTTCGTCCGTGTCTCGCCATCGCCTTTGGACTTGCCGCTGGACGCAAGTGTGACAAGATCATTGATTGTCTCGAATAGCAATTTCCTGTCTCCGCGTTCGAAGATGTGTGCTAGGCATTTCCCCAGGTTGTTGCGTATGACCCGCGTCGGCGCAGGAGTGGTCAGATTGATGATCTGGAAGACCTCCTTCTTCAGGTAGAATTGCTGCGCTGTGCAGTCGTCTGCAGAGAGGGACAAGACATGCTTGCTAAACGTCGATACGAAGGTCAATAGGAACAAGTCTTGCTGTTCGGCGGGGAGCGACTGTAGCTTGGAGAGCTCGAGCTCTGGGTTCGTGCTTCGAGGAGATGCCGCTGACGCTGCCACAGCTGGGGGAGCTTGCTGGTCCCCGTCAGCACCATTGGGAGCTTCTGGCGTCGGCGCTGACGACATCGGACACGGCGTATGTAGTTGAATGAATAGATTGGTGTTTCGGAATGCAGGAAATGGCTTTCGTGATGGTTGTACGCTGCGACAGGAGGGATATAGGGGGTCGCAGCCGAATACCTGGCCTGGGGACTTGAAGGACAGAGTGCGAATGAACGTGCGTGCATCCCACCTGCTAAAGGTCGAGTAGTACGCCAATCACGGCAGCACAGCGAGCTAGGGGTCCGCCCCGGCGCGAGCCACTGCACAGCCAATTCTCCCGACACTAACAGACAGTACGCAGGTAACGGCATCTGAAAAAGTTCACGATTCCAATGCGCCGGATTGGAGCTCCATTGTGAAGTGCGCCTCGGATTGATATGGCTATTCACTTTTGCGAGTAATTCGCACTTGCATTTGTACATATACTTATATTATTCCGTCTTCCGTACTCGTTAAGGTCAAGCAGAAAACGAAGCATCATGGCTTCTATTTCCAGGAGCGCAAGCCCATTCATGCAGTCAACTGCACAGTTGTGCCGGCAATGTCGTCGCTCCTTCGCCTCCACAGCCCAGGCGTACAGTGGTCATAATAAGTGGTCTAAGATCAAGCACACAAAGGGAGCCGAGGATGCGAAGAAGAATGCAATGCGCAGCCAATTCTCCAAAACGCTTACCATGTACTCACGATGTCAGTGCAGTCTCGTATGCGCAGATCGTTCTTTGTGTTGACTCGAGGCTACAGTATATGGCGCAAACCCAGACAACAATCCAGCATTAGCAACCACAATTGCGGCAGCGAAGAAAGCAGGCGTGCCAAAGAACACTCTGGAGCAAGCCATTGCGCGCGGACAAGGCCGGTCGACCACGGGTGCCAGTCTGGAGAGTATCACCTTCGAGGTCATGATGCCCCCCTCAGTGGCGCTGATGCTGGACGTTGAAACGGACAATAGGCTTCGTTCGCTACAGGACCTTAACCAGATTGTCAAGAAGCACAAAGGTAGGACAGCATCCACGGAGTTCTTCTTTTCCAGGCTTGGGCGTGTCGTCTTTGAGAAGAAAGACGGCGTGGGAATAGACGAGATCATGGATGAGGCAATTGAGGCCGGAGCTGAGGACCTGGAAGCAGACGACGAAGGCAACATCATGGTGTGGACGCAGCCGAGCCAGACCATGCAGATAGCGCAGAGCGTGGGAAAGCGTTTCGATTTGAAGGTGCTAAATTCTGAGATCATATGGTCTGCGAACGAGGGAACACAAGCGCAAATCGACTCAATGGACGATCTGAAGAAATTGGCCGACCTCGTCGCCGCTCTGCAGGATTTTCCAGACGTGCAGGCCGTATACTCCAATGCCTCGCGAGGGAATGTGCCCGAAGAAGAATGGGCTAAGTTGGAGGACAATCTGGACATGTAAATACATAGTGTACATATACCCTTGTTGTACAATAACTGTATTCCTCAAATTCATCTCATATCGAATGCCAAAGAGCGGAGATCCGAGCCATCATAACGCCGGATGTGCCGCCCTATCTTTTCCAAGCCCGAACGCCAGTGTTGCGCATCACAAATCCTACAGAATCTTCTCGCAACGGTTGCTCGCCTATGACTGGGAGTCATTTTGATCTTGCGCTTGCGCCTGTGCCTGCAGCTGCTGTTGCCTTGCCTCCTCTGCCAATCTTCTGTCCCTGACGAAGAGTCTTCGGGCCCTCAGTCTCTCCAGCTCAGCGTGGATCTCGTCCCTCTCCAACGGCACCTTGTTCGCCTGCTCGGGTTTCGGCCAGAAGTCTGGAACTGCGAATCGGTTGTCGAGGTTCGTGCCGAAGTAGTACATGATCCCAATAGGAAACATGACGTACATGCCAAACTGTGAAGAGAGATCAGACCACTTGCCGATAATAAATGAGTCGCCGTGTATCCTTACCTTGAAAACTTCTAAGTTGAGGCCACCCATGATGATATGTGCGATGCAATGTTTAGTTCAGCAGGTTGGGCGCGGTGACAATTCGGACACGGTGAGTGAGTGTAGCGAGGTGGACCGAGAAGTCAATTGAAGCTGTCGAAAATGTCATGCAGTCCGATGGTCATCGGCAGCTAACTGGCAAGGCACGATTGGTGGTTAGCTCATCAAGCACCCACATTTACCGGCAGGCAGTAGACCCCCCGGCGCGTGCCGCTTGGTGAGACAAGCAAAGCCAAGTTGGAGATCACATACAGGCATCACAGAACTTTAAGAAGCGTGAATTAGGGGTATCATTCGAGAAAAAGAATCTATCAGCGCCTTTTGCCGGCGCAGCTTTTGGTCACTCGCCAAGCTGCCAGACCTCGCCTGCCTATGACCCTGCTCAGTGTGCCCCAAACGCCGTCCTCTCCAAAGTCCAAATCATCCAAGTTTAGATGATGCCTATGCCTCCATACCTCGCGGAATCGCAAGCCCTCCAGGCCCTTATTTGACAAATAGGGGTCCAGCCACGCGGCTGATAACGGCGCGATCAGGTAGGTCCCATTTGTCTCCTTCAGATACTCCTGGTTCCTCCTGTCCGCCGGTGTGTCGCAAGTCGCGATCTTATCAAGTTCTGTGAGTAAAGACTCGCCGTCCAGGCCCATCACATCGCGCGTCTCGAGAACTTCGTTCTTTCCATTCAGCAACCAGATTGGTGGCATATAGGTCTTCCACCAAATTGCCCTTGTCGCGTCAGGCTGTTTGCTCATGAATACCTGGGCAGGAACTATTCCACCCTGGTGATAAATACCCATGAGCACTCCAAAGATCAGATTAAAGGCAATCCAAGACGCCACCCAAAGGCGCAATGCATTTTGCTGTTTCGGGAGTCGCACAGATGACAAAATCAGAGGAATTGTGGGTAACAAGAAGCGCGCTTCTTGGTGCTGGAATATAGAGAGTACAGAGATTCCAGATATGGCCGAGTATAATCTCAGCGATAGACCCGGCTGAGTGAATAGCAAAACAGTAACCGGCCCGATGAGTTGAGGGAGATTCACTAGAAGATGCTGGTACCAAGGATGGAGTCCATGCTGCGCCAAGTTGGCCGGAGAAATGTTGTACATTAGATTGTTCAGGGGTGTGATGACAGGGTGGCGGACGAGATTGAGCCAAGTAATCGGGTAAGGTGTGTAGAACACGGTATCAAGCGATATAGCAATTATAGTAGTGCAGAGCGCAGATAGGACCAGTACGCCCAAGGACAACGGCCTTTTGTATGAAATATCAGCGGATGAGCTCTATGGGAATCGCAAGAAGCACAAACCTGCTCCAGAAGTGAGGCACAAGTCGAACCCCAGGAATTAAGAGAAAGGCTGGGAATGTAATTCTGTTGAAGATTCCAAACACAACGACGATACCGAGTATAGTAGGCGCCAAAAGCGAGGTGCCATGCTAGAACAGATCAGCAAACAGCAACGTCGGCGCGAGCGCTGGTAGACATACCAAGCCTGTAGGAATCGCGACAATGCGTTCTATCAATACCAAGCTCCACGCGACAACCAGAGTTTCCACAGCATTTGAAAAAGTATGCGTCTGATACGTCCAGGTAACGTATGACGAAGCGACTAGCAGCATTGCGACGCGTCGTTGCCGCGGGCTCTGCACAAGCTCATAGATTGCCCAGTCTTCCAAGACGAAGCTGAGGATGAACATAAGAATCCGGAGCGTCCAGAAGACAGCGATCGGTGGGATTTCGCCATCTTTCCCGTTCCCTATCCACAGCCATCGCAAAAGCAGCATCGGAAGTCCGTAGACAGGCCATAGAGGGAAAACGCTCCGGATAGGGTTGTCGCTTGTGAACTCCCATGTGTGTCGGACAGGGTATTTGTAAATTTCTCCTGTAGGCAAAGAGCGCGGTCAGTCTCGTGTTTCCTTCTCGGCGCAACAGCTAAAACCAAGATCTGTATGGAGACATGCGCAGTGTAATTCCATCAGGACTCGTGGCGCGTATGCGACTCATACGGGGTCGCAGCGTCCCCAGCCTCCACCCGGTCCAGCAAACACGGGTGCAGAATACAACAAAGGGAATCTGTCTTACCGGCAATCACTTCTGGGCCTTGGAAGTTTTCATCCGGATGTAGGTAGCTAGGCGACAAAGCAAACCATAGCCGGACAAGGACGAGGAGTAGATAGGTACGCCGCCACATTTTGGTCTGGCCGTTTTCTTCCTACGGGTGGTAGCTCAAGCATTTGGCAGGCTGGACCACACGTTGGGATTCGAGATGGGCATCCAAGTTCGAGGATGACGGGAAAACGTGTGGCATGGTCGAAGGCGAAAAAGAAGAGAAGGGAAAGGAAGGGGGGTGAGGCTGTCGAGAGCAAAAGGAGATTATTCCTGTGTTATTATTATTATGATTTTTTTCCCTGGGGCGGGATGGATGGATGGATGGGCTGGTAAAGGAGCACCGTAAGGCAGGTGGTAGCTCGCTCTCGAGACCAGGCTGGCCACATGGGCTGGTCAACTGTCGATGCTGGACCGCCGCGCCGTTATTGCAAAGCTGCCTCCCTTGCAGGGTACAGGGGTAAATGTGTTTATCAGCAATCAATTACCACTAAGCAAACCCCGTAAATTCCGGCAGCCCACTGAACCAGCGCACTTGCAGCAGAGATGATGGGCAGGTCGACGGCCCACAAGGCTCGCTTTTGGTAATTAGCTTGCTAGCACCCAGGCCGGGGACCTTGCATTGACCCTTTATTTAGGCCCAACCCGTAGCGCTGGGTCGGGCTGTTTGACTGCCGCACCTTGGCCAGGCAGATTGCCTGCCCAGTTATGACATGACACAACCATGGGCATGGGCGGTTTCCATGCCTCGAAAGACATTGACGACTCGTCAATATCAAGTCGCTTCTTTGGAGACTACGGTGCATCAAGGCTCCTCTTCATATTGCTATGACAATAAGGCACACCCTAAGGTGCCTTAGTTCGAAGACAGGCTTGAGGAAGGACATCTAACCAAGCCAATTCCGATCAGAGAAGACCTATGTCATAGCTTTGCGATATCCCCTCTCTCAAGCCTCTCTACGACATCTCGCCTTCGGTGCCAGCACTAAACGGCTCGTCCATTGGCAACTAATGCATGTATTGGCTCTTCCTCTCTACATGCAGATCCAAGATACATCGTTTCGAAGCATGCATCCGGAAGTTAGCTATGTGATATTGCCTATGAGTTCCACTGTGGCCTAGTGGAGAGTTCAGATGAAGACTGCCATGATGGAAGCCCACCTCGTCAACAACTAGGTGGTTTTTTTTAGTCACGTAAAGACTTATAGTTCCCTGATAAACATAGGCTTGCATCATATTCATTTTGTTTCCTGAAAATACATATCTTACTACTTCACCATGCTAATACATGTTAGTTCGCTAAGGGTACCACTACCTCTTCAACAAGGCATTACTCTCTTTGTAGAAGTTGATAGCCCCATAGTAATAAAACCGCAGAATATTCGAGAGCTTGATGAGTATTACTACTCTTAGCATTGAGTATCGTCACCCTTCAAGAATTCTTCTTTATTACCCCGGCGGAGGAGCACTGTGTAGCGGTCCTAGCTTGTTCAGTCACTGGATTCTGCCCTCTCCCATGCCTTTCTGTGAAGGTTACCTACACAAAGAGGTTCAAATTCTTCCTAAGCCACGGGTACCATCATCAAAGAGTTTTGGATCAACCACAAACTTTGCACACAAAAATCCTCTCCCATGGGGTATTGTGAGCTACTACCTACTGACGCAGCATTCCGCGATCAAGAAGGCCGAAAGATTACTTGCGTGGTAACTGCTCCCTGCTAATCACCTACCAAGAAGTCCGACTAGGTGAGTGTGATCAGTTTTGGTCTCTCCTGCATCTCGAATTCGCTATATTTCCTTGTCCATCTTATGACAGCCCGCCAACCAGCCACCGATCTTTGTCCTACCTTTCATTTCTAGAGCTGGCTTTGAGGATTCTATAGGACTTAGCGGCTAGGAACAGCTGTGTTTGTGCCTGCGCTTTCGTTTGACTTTCTGCCAAACCTACCCATCCAGACTGCAGGCACCAACCAGCCAGGCCCACTTCTCCATTCCCCCTCCACCAATCAACTGCGCTTGGCGGCACAGCAGTCGCTGTTCTGCCTTCAGCTGGTTCTCCGCCATTGTCCATCCCACTCTGACTCTCGTACCTCAAAGCAGCGTCACCGTCGCCAACAGACAAGAACGCTTCGTCCCATCTCCGTTAGGTTTAACAGGCAGAACACAGGTACGATCTCTCCCCACTACTTAAGAACTGGCAGACGATTTTCCTTTCCTTTTCTGCACCTCTTTTCTTTGCAGCTTCTCTATTCGCGCCGCTCACACCCCTCCTTCTGGACAGTTTCTGACATCAGCGGCAGACTTCGCCTCCATCCAGGTCCTCACAGATCACCCTAGTCTTTCCAAGCACCCTCACGAAAACAACAAATCCCGAACATCACATTCTCATCACAATGTCTGAAGCTAAGATGCAAAAGGTCATTCTGACCAGCAACGATGGTGCTTCCATCGAAGTCGACCGTGCCGTCGCAGAGCGTTCCATGCTCCTCAAGAACATGATCGACGATCTAGGCGAGGAAGCTATTGGTTCCAATCCGATCCCCATTCCCAACGTGAGTTTATTTCTCAAGCTCCTTCAGACGTAGCTCCTTTGCTGATTTCGATCTTCAGGTCAACGAGGCTGTTCTGCGCAAGGTCATCGAGTGGTGCGAGCACCACCGCAACGACCCCCTCCCCACTGCCGACGAGGAGAACGACAACCGCAAGAAGACCACCGACATTGAGGAGTGGGATCAGAAGTTCATGCAGGTTGACCAGGAGATGCTGTTCGAGATCATCCTAGCCTCCAACTACCTCGACATCAAGCCCCTGCTGGACGTTGGCTGCAAGACTGTCGCCAACATGATCAAGGGCAAGTCCCCCGAGGAGATCCGCAAGACCTTCAACATCACCAACGACTTCACCCCCGAGGAGGAGGAGCAGATTCGTCGCGAGAACGAGTGGGCCGAGGATCGTTAAACGTCACCCGCCCTCACTCTTCCCATACGGAGCATGCACGTGTGACTACCCCTACGGCTTGCTCGTTTCACCAGTTTCCCGCCTCTCGTGGCGGCTTCTTTTTATGGCATCAGGAAGGCGTTGATCCTCTGCTTTGGCTTACTATTGGAACGGTGGAATCTGATTACGGTTGGCCATTCGGCAAGGAATTGCTTTGTCCATCCACAATCTCTTCTCGCAGACTTCACAACTGTGGATGTGAGATGGTCAGTGAAATACGTAGGCTTACTTAACGGCCTCGGAAGGATTGAGCCTCGGTTATTTTCCGGTCTAATAGACTTTCTACGTTGGGCAAGCCCGTGTGTTTATTTATATGCTTCATTCGTGAATTACTTTTGTGACTTCCGATGCAGTGTCGCCCAATTCTTCTTGCGTATACAGTTGACCATCACATCGGCCCTTTCCATTGCGTACCAGAACTGCCAAAGTCTAGACGCAAGGCGGTTCATCAAGAAGTCGACACAATCAGAATTTGGATTAACAACACAGCGTAGGCATGAGCAAAGAGTCACGGTCACATTAAGCAACACCACACTACGGCACGGACGCAGCATGACATGGAGACTCTTCAGCAGATTGTTGTGCATCAAATGCTTGTTCTCATTTTGAATCCCTGAGACCTAAATGCAATGACTCTAAGACCAAGTAACCAGCGAGACTCCGCTCCAGACCACGTTGTCCATAAGACTCCCTCAGTCGTTCCTCATGGTCCCCCAAGCCCGTTGCGCATGCCTCTCCATCACAGCGGAGGGCAGCAGATGGGCGTTTGATTGAAATGATATCGTTGAGAGAAAAAGGGAAACGGCCGCGGCGAGACAGTGCATCTAGATGCCGAGACGAGTCTTGCGCCAGTGCCTTCTCTTGGCGTTGTATCTGTTCACATGACCTGGTCAGTACGGGATTTTCTTGCGGGAATACAATGTGTCCTCGTTGCGCAGCGCCGTGACAGTCTGTCCCTCTCGTGGGAAAAGGCGTGACCATCATCAATGTGCTGGCCGGTCGCAGGATTCTCGATTCGTGGAGCGTTTCGTACCTGATGGTGTTACCAGTTCGGAGACGGATCCATTGAGGGATCGGTCGGTTCTGCTTCTGCGCCTTGGCGAGCTTCTGCTTCGTGCGGAAAGACTTGTGGCTCTGTTCGTGATAATCTGTCAGCCCCTCGTTTCCATCATGCTTCAGTACCCGCCCGTATTTTACACCCGGCTCTCATCCGCAGACGGTCGCCGAAGAACCCGTTCGTCGAGGTCGATGAACCGTCTGCCAGACTCGAGTGGTATGCGGCGTCCCAGACTTCTTCGTACGTACCGGCATTTTGACTGTGGTTGTCGATGTCGAGTCGTGATCTTTGCTTTGACAAGTGACAGTGAGGAAGTTGGATTTTTGCTAGCCGCACCAAAATTTCGTAAAGGCTAGCACACAAATCTGGCTGTCACGTGGAGACTAGCTTGCTGTGGCTTAAAGGTGGGTTAACCTGAAAGGCTGCGTGGCTGTTTCTCTGACTAGCTGCCTGGATATTATGGCGTCAATAAAGACGCGCTTTGACTTAGGTAATCTGGCAGCCGATCTTGCCGGGTCGGCAGCTGCGTTGAAGCGGCCGGGGATCTGGGCTAGGCACTGCCCTCTTTCTTGAATGGAACCCCTGTCCGCAGTCCTGCGTCTTAGATTTCTTAGAAATCACTTTTCGACCCTTTGCCACGAGACCAACGAAGCTCTAAACGGTTCTGCGCATTTACGAATATCATCACCCGGGGCGTTTTGGGAAGGCTTGGTTTTTCCCGCGATCGACTTATTCCCTTGTTTACGACCACTAAGAGAACGAAGGCTGTTTTGTCCACTTGGGGGCGTCGGGCGCTATCTCAAACTAGGTACAAGCTGTCAAGATGGGTCAGGGCATGTCATGGCTGTCCGGCCTGCTGTGGGCGAAGAAGGAAATAAGGATACTGATCCTGGGACTTGTGCGTTTCTTTTGCCCAGGTCAAAAGCGCATGTCGCCCGCATTGCTGACACGGTGTCAAGGATAACGCCGGCAAAACGACGTTGCTTTACAGACTGAAGGTCCGCCCGTCTGCTTCACGAACTCTTCCCGACCATGGCATCGACTAACGCAGCCCGCAGATAGGAGAAGTGGTCACAACGATACCTACGATTGGGTTCAACGTGGAATCAGTTACATACAAGAATCTCAACTTCAATGTCTGGGTATGTTGAGGATACCATGGCGACCTAGTGGAACCTACTAAGCTAAGCAACCATGTGTATAGGATCTCGGTGGCCAGACGAGTATCAGGCCATACTGGAGATGCTACTATGCCAACACTGCGGCTGTCATTTTCGTCGTCGACTCTACTGATATCGAGCGTCTACAAACCGCCGCCGATGAGCTAGCTGCAATGCTCAACGAAGAAGAGCTAAAGGACGCCGCGCTTCTCGTCTTCGCAAACAAGCAAGATCAGCCCGGCGCAAAGGGCGCAGGCGATATTTCTCAAGCCCTGCGGCTCGGCGAACTAAGAGATAGGAACTGGAGCATCATGGCATGCTCAGCGGTGGACGGCAGCGGTGTCAACGAGGGTATGGACTGGTTGGTGGTGAGTCTCGTCTTGATAAGCATGCTTCCTGCATGTTATGTTTGGATGTGCTTGGTGCTAATAAGATGCGCAGCAAACGGTATCGCAAGATTAAGTGACTGGCATTTTCGGCGCAGCGAAAAACCCTTCCCATGTACAACGGACCTTAACCAATTACCCTTTTTCTTCCCGTTTGGGTAGAATGCAATCCTCGACAGAGGAAGCAAAGTTGTGCTCAGCATTGGCGTTTTGAGGCAGGCATGGATTGCGTCTGGATTAATCGACATGTGCTCATAGTCGACGAGCATATACATTACAGCAGGTTGGAATGGCCTTTACATATATATATATATATATATACACACACAAGCTTATACGTATCAAGCTTTAATTAGAGTCGCCGAATGGAATGAACGTCTATACCTATGTGTCCTCGCGCTAGACTCAACTGGCATGGCTTGTGATCAGTGTGGTATGGCTCGTTTGATTCTCATGCAGAGCACCCTCCTACCACTTGCAGACACCTCTCAGCTCTGCGAAGTGTAATCATTGGAGACTACCTTGTTCTTGCTGGTATCTCCTCGAGTGCAGCCTTGTAACGGCTTTCCCCACCCAGCGACGTGCTCTCCTCACTCAATATAGCAGAACTTAAGATGGTCTTACGTCAAGAGTTACTACATCAGGTGAGCGGAAGGCAATGGTGGCATCCCCGGGACTCGCTTTACATCGGTCTACGAGAGGATGCGTTTCCTCCCTATAGTGTCGCTGGGTTGACGTTGGCCATGCAATACAATAATTGGAGGCAATCCACCTGTTCATGACATTTCCAGGGGAAGATGCAGACCACGTGCACACGTGGCTACCACGGGTATCAAAGGACGCGCGACACCTGCCAAGTTTGTCGTGTCCGAGGCATCCGCGTCTCATCATGCAGGCCGGTTCCGGTGGACGGCAGTTCGTAAAAGCAGCCTGCATATCCTCCTGCCAGTCAAAGATCACTAATTGGCATCGAAGATGTCATAATTGACTCACTCAGACATTGCGACTAGAAGTTTCAAGCCGATTTAGCTGATGATAAGGCGACGAGGTGGACGGAGACGGCCTGACTTCGGGAAGTGATCATGAGTAGGCATTCTTGGCCTGGCCCGCCGTGCTTATAGTCCTCAATTGCAACGCGGATTCTGGTTCGACATCGGGCCCACTCCCACGAGGAATCAGTGTAAGTCATCAAGGTTGTGTCCCCTCGGGTCACCCGACGGCCTGAGATCGACGAGTTCCAAGCGGTGCTTAGCTCGGTTTTCCGACAAGTTGAAGAGACGAAGCCGTCGAAATCGGCGGAAATTGTAGCAATACCGCAAGAAAGGCTTGTACCTCTGAAAGCTCACAGGCAAGTCGAGCATGACTTCCGTATTTCGGAAATGTCAGGTACCTTCAATTGTGGCCATCATGTAGCAGTATGTACCGATAGTCACTTCCCGAACTTATGAAGGGTTTGGATCTGTCTGGAGAGTTTTGGAAGTTTTAGAGATCTTTCTTTAGACTGCCAAAGGGCACAAATTCTAATCACTGATGTCATCAGCTGGTGTGGCCAGTAGGGACTTAGTATTGCTAAAAAGATGGCTCCTATCGGTCTGTAACAGTCTTGCAGGGCTGGTTTAGCGTGGGATGAAGGGCGCCAGTGTCCTTACTGAGCGACAGCAGGCAGTTTACACCTTTCCCTTCTTAGGGAGATCCGTCTCCCCGTTCAAAACATACTTGGAGAGCTACATTGACTGTCCTCATGAATAATGTCCGTTATGCTCCGTCACCTCAATCTGGCCTGGCTGCAACCTTTTCGTTCGAGTCAGTTGCGGGTCCAGCGGAGAGATGCCGCGTGCTCATCTAGCTGAATAGTATCCAAGGCAGGTAGATACCATCGATACAGAGTTCCGATGTTGTCTCTACTCGTACCATCGAACACCAGACATATCCGAAGCCGAACTGCACAATCCCTGTCTCAAACTCTCATGGTGGTGTTATTTCTCCGCATTATTCGCGTTTCATGGTGTTCTCGATAGCATATGAAGTGTTTAACTTTGCAGAAGAGCAAACCCCGAAGGGTGACAAGCCTTCTGATACGCCGAGATACTCTTTCCTGATTTCTCAGCTTACAGTAATGAAATGGCAGTTTTCATCTATCGAATGAACCAACCTTTGAGTCACCTCCACAGGCAAGGTAAGTGATTGCCGATACATCAGGGTTCCCGAGTTTCGGACAACTGAGTAGACTCCTGTCCTTTGTACTTGTCTTTGGTACTTACCGAGACCCCGGCCACAAAACTACGTAGCCCTATGAGCTGACCAGACTGAATGTCATCCACAAAGTGCCCGTGGAAGTACATCCGTAGCTCCGCATCACCGCTTGGCCGATCTTTGCGACTATGGCCCCTTGACACTCTTAGCGGCTTGCATTTACCATCCGTGCCATTGGCTCATCCCCACCTAAGAACTACTACCCACAGTTCCCGCGGATGTACACACTATTGAGGTTGAGCTAAATACGTCAGGGCCGTTGTCTTTCCATGCTCGTAGTTTATAGCGTGAGCACGAGGTAAGAGATGTAAGTGGGAGAATGTTAGAAAGCTCTGTGGGTGCTTATATATATGTACCATGGCTCTCATGCTCGGCGTTCGTTTACATTTTCCTCCTTTTCTTGATCTCCCCTTCCGTCTTATATTTGCGAGGATTTTTGTTTCTGATCCCCAGCCCTGCTCTTGTCCTTGCTTATTAGAGCCAACATAAACCGAGACTTCTCACGCTCCCGTCTTCAACATGGTTGCTGACGACAAACCTGCCTCTACTTATCAGTACAACGAGAAGCCGGTGTACACAACCAGCAATGGCTGTCCTGTTGAGAATCCGTCTTCGTGGCAACGAATTGGATCCGGCGGACCAGCTCCTTTACTCCTGCAAGACTTCCATTTGATTGACTTGCTTGCTCACTTTGATCGTGAACGGATTCCTGAACGTGTTGTCCACGCAAAGGGTGCTGGCGCATATGGAGAGGTAAGACCCTCACATGCACGCGTGATTCTTATAGTTGCTGACGAAATGCTTTCTCATTAGTTTGAGCTTACCGACGATATCAGTGACCTAACATCTGCCGACCTATTCAATGGAGTTGGCAAGAAGACCCCATTGGCCGTAAGGTTCTCTACAGTCGGAGGCGAGAAAGGCTCGCCCGACTCAGCTCGTGATCCCAGGGGTACAGTTTCAACCGCTATTGACCTCAAGGAGTATAAGGCTGATCATTATCACAGGGTTCGCCATCAAGTTCTATACGCAAGAGGGCAATTTTGACTTGGTCTGTAACAATACACCAGTCTTCTTCTTGCGCGATCCGTCGAACTTCCCGTTGTTCATCCATACTCAAAAGCGGAATCCACAAACCAACCTCAAGGATGCCACGATGTAAGCTGAAACACCGAACCTGAAGGGTATCATCCACTAACAAGCCCAAGGTTTTGGGATTATCTCTCAACCCATCAGGAGTCTATACACCAAGTTATGGTCCTCTTTTCTGATCGAGGGACTCCCTACTCTTACAGACATATGAATGGCTACTCTGGTCACACCTTCAAATTTACAAAACCTGATGGGTCCTTCGTTTATGTTCAGATTCATTTCAAGACAGACCAAGGCAGCAAGACTTTCAACAACGAGGAAGCCGGCAAGATGGCATCAGAGAATCCCGATTGGCACACCCAGGATCTCTTCGAAGCAATTCAGCGCGGCGAATATCCCAGCTGGACCGCTTATGTTCAGGTCCTCACTCCGGAGCAGGCTCAGAAGTTCCGCTGGAACATTTTCGATCTGACCAAGGTCTGGCCACAGAAGGAAGTGCCTCTCCGCCGATTTGGCAAGTTCACTCTCAACAAGAACGCGGAGAACTACTTTGCCGAGATTGAACAAGCTGCATTCTCGCCCTCACACTTGGTGCCAGGTATCGAGCCGTCTGCCGACCCTGTTCTCCAGTCCCGTTTGTTCTCCTATCCCGACACCCACCGTCACCGTCTCGGCGTCAACTACCAGCAAATACCTGTAAATGCACCTCTAAGAGCCTTCAACCCCTTCCAACGTGACGGTGCGATGGCTGTAAACGGCAACTATGGAGCCAATCCCAACTACCCGAGCAGCTACCGGCCACTGACTTACAAACCTGTCAAGCCGACTGTCGCTCATGAGCAATGGACCGGCGAGGCCACAACTGCCCTTTTCGGCGAGATCACTCCAGACGATTATGTGCAAGCCAATGGCCTCTGGGAGGTTCTCGGTAGAACTCCTGGCCAGCAGGACAACTTCGTCCACAATGTCGCTGGCCACCTCAGCGCCGCTCACGAAGCAACACGCAACCGGACGTACGAGATGTTTACCAGAGTAAACCCCACTTTGGGAGAACGCATCAAAACAGAAACAGAGAAGAATGCGAAGGCGTGAGAGCGCCTACCGTTTCCTTTAGATGATGTTATTATGAGTTCTGCTTTTGGTTTCCTGGGCTGGAAAGTGTCTTCACAAACGGATCAAATCCGTATCGGAAAGTTAAATGTATCCATTTGGCATAATAATTCTTTTGAATATGGATGAGTCAAACTTATTGTATGTCTTGCTATCCCTCGCTGTGACAGGTGAGAGGGTTGGTATAGGTATGGTAGCCAGCCATGACATTCTGCTGCAGAGGCTGAAACAAGCTTCCATGAAAGTGATCATCAGCCTTCCACACTTTAGACGCTGCTTGCCCCTGCATTAGCCCTCGAAACATGAAGCCGTTGCTGCCATGATTTAGTTGAGGGCTAATCTTAAATCTACTCGACGGAAAGGGTTGTCTTCTTGGCTAGTCATCGTGTGAAGGTATCTCAACGTCATACATCCGTCAACAGTCGGAAGTGACACCGCAACTCCGATGAACACAATAAACCAGACATTACAGCAGTGGAGAGTTGTCCTAAGAATTTTTATTGACAGAAGTTATCCCTCGAATACTAGGTCAGAGGGAAGCTTTAATTGTTGATATCGGATCTCTTTGCTTCTTTTAAATAAGACCTCTCCAGAAATGCAAAGCAAGTTAATTCGTTTTGTTTGAGGAAGACCAGCCTCAATTGATAAAATATCGCATTCACATTAAACATAAATCATTCATGCCGCCATTAGGTCATGATACCGTTTGTAAATCTCGCCATTGCTCAGTCCCAGATAACTCGAGAATAAGGAAGAAAGTGCGCGACTCCGTAACCCATCACGTATTTAACAGCAACACTTGCAACACTCATAGCAAGCGAAGGCACTACAGATGGCACACAGTCCACAACATATATCCTGTATCACCGAATGTCAGCACATGTTATGAGCTCTTTTCTTAGATTTAGCTACTCACGCCGCTGTCAATGCCATCATCACCTCCGCGCAGTGTCATCGTCATCGGCTGCTCCGGGGCCTAAAACCATCACCAATGTCATTAATAACAAGTTCCTCAGAATGGCAACATATCTATGTTCTGCCCCGTTCGGGACGACATGTTGCCGGCTAAGATCGCTGTCGGGTACACTTACCGGTTGCTCGTCGGTGAGGTGGGGTTTCTGAAGCGTCACCGGAGCCGGCTCTTGTGGCATTTTCATGTCGACCTTGTCTGAATCCATTATTTTCTATTTCTGAGTTTCTGTCCTGTTGTATTCAACGGTCTTCAACGGCTGCTTTTGGGAAGATCAAAATTAACTGTTCGCTACGATTCGCTTCTCTCGGCAACAATTGGAATACAGGCTATTGTGATCACTGATTTCGACCTTCGAGTTCCAAGTGTTCTCGTAATGGCGGACTGAGCAGAACCAAATCGATCAAAAGGTCTACAATTACGATGACGTGACTACAAATATCTTCCTCAGGGTCCTCCAGGGTCCTGCAAGACCCTTAAATACGATGCGACCCTCCCTGAAGACAAGCACCTGACCTTGACCCAGCTTCTCCCAGCCCTGCATTCAAGATGGGAAAGCCTTGCACTTACCGAAAGCGAAGTATCAAATTCCGAATCACGGCTGCCTTAGTCGTGGCTCCCGTGGGGCTGCTTACACGGCATGACCAACGGTTGCCGAACGAGCCGTCGCACCCGCTTGGGATTCGTCTGCTGTAGGTATACGACTGCCGGTCGAGGCGGGAATTCCAAACCTGAGTAAGAGGTGCCTCGGTGGAGAGCAAGGCTCTCCGAGCCTCCTGCGAGAAAAGCGGTCCAGCGGGCGCCTCTCATACATGAATGGCTTTCAGAGCAAGATATAGGTCGGGCAAATATACCCAAGATTCAAGACTTCTTGCGGAGCCAGCAATCCACTGCCGCGGGGAACCCCGGTAAAGTGACGAATAAAACTAGATTTCTATACCATTTCCAAGAAAATTGATGGTTGCGTATCAAGTTTCGATACCAAATGTTCGAAGGCTGTCTCCCATGAGATTGTGATTGTTGTTAAACGGAAATCGGAACGTACAGGGGTCGCTTGTTAGATATATTCTTCCAAGTCCCTGCTCGACAGACATCGACGGGAAAAGCCTCGATGCCTTCGTTATTAATTAATGCTATACCGCCGTGCTCGCACGCGATTAACTCGGGCAGGCTGGACGATAGTGCCAACTAAGGCTCTTATTTTATCAACATGTGGTGTTCTCTCCATTCTCTCTTCCATAAATCGGCTTCTTTCTCCACGGCAAAAGATATAGTGCTCACCAGCGTTATCTATATTAATTGAGCTGCTGGTGCCATGACCACGGCGCCCTGAAACATGCTACGTTACCCGAATCCGAATCTCAACCTAATTATATAATAGCTTGATTGCTTTACCTCGTTTCTAGGACGTTCGTCTCGACACAACTCATTGCCAAGGTCGGTAATGAGGCGAATTATAGGATTGCGATGACTTCATGTTGGCATGTAGGATTCCCCCAGGAAGGAGAACTGTGCGCTGTGACCCAGCGACTACCCTGGTATGAGACAGCTCTTGAATCTGCATGGTGAGCGAACTGATCGGCGGCCACTCGCTCGTTGGGCCTCACGGAACCCGGCATTAGTTCGGGCACTCCCATTGAGCGCAACACGGCGTATTGAGTCTGTCCCTGGGGTAGATCATCGGAAGTCGTGCCGGGCCATTGGCGGGTATCTTGCTCTTCAAAGGAAAAATCATGATGTCTAATACCTCTTCACATGCCTGAAGCGGAGACCGCCAGATAACGATAGAAAAGCAGTCAGCTGGTAACCCCCAGGGCATTGACGTGGGCCTTCTTGGGGGAGGTCAATATGGCGGCAAATCGTAAACGTACTCATCTGGTCGTCTGGGGGCCGGGATCCTACATGTGTCTTACTGTAACCCTTCAATACGCACCCTACATTGATTTAGCTGCACTGTAATGTGTCACCGACATGTAGGATGGGTAGGACTTTGAGCCTAGAGCATGGAATGAGGACACGAGGCTCCGGCTGAATTTGATCTCGCTTGTGTGAAAGCACCCAGTTCCTCATGATGTTCTTCCCCTCACCACACAAGTGGGCATATCCCATCCTTGGCCTTTGCACCAACTCTCCCGTCCAGCTCGTTTGTTCCAGAGAACGCAACGAGTGTCTCGGAGTCACGCGCGCAAGTGTGTCCTTGGCGGCGAGTGGCATTTCGTGACTCTTCGCTGCTGCATCCCGCCAGTGCAGGGAGTGTGGCATTGAGAAACTGGCTGCCTGGGATGAATTCGGTTGCCTTACCGCGAGACATTTCTCAAGCGACGATCCAATTGCAAGAGCCCCGGGCGGACACTTGTGAGACTTGGGACACGGCACTGGACGGCCGAGGTCCTCTAGACCTGCATGGCGATGTGCAGGCCAGGGTGCCTCAATTGGTTCGCCAACCCCGATAATGCTCCAGCTGGCCATTCGCTGAGAGACCACTGTGTCCGGATCCCAAGTGCGTGCCAACGAGCCCATAACGCAAGCCAAGCCATGCAAGTCTGACCAAGTCCTGTCTTAGTCCTCTCAGCCCTAAGGTAGGGTGCACTGCACTCTGGGCGACGTGATTGTATTGATTGACATTGACTGTCTCTGGTGGCCCAAGTCGAGGCCCGCCTGTGTGTGTCTGTGAATTATAAGAAGAGAGCCTCGGCGAGGTGGTGCAAGCGGTCTGAGTCCCTCTCTCCTCCTCTCGTGATACCTCTGTACTCGTTGATACCCTACATCCTAAACTCCCCATTGCACCAGGCGTGCCTATCTGGATCCCTGGAGGGCCTTCTCGTGATTGCTTCAGTGAAGCATACTTCCAGTCTCTGAAACATCCGGAGCGAGCTTGAGGCCCCCGGACGACAACAAACACTGCAAATAAACGCCACTACGACAATTACACAATTGCTTTCGACCTCACTCAGTCTTACTGAGGACCCGGACATAACTCGCTGAGCAAGCAACTACCACCAACACAACAAAGCCACCATCTGATATAATGGGCTCTTCTTCTCGAGCACCTCCCCCGGCTCCTCTTTACATCGCCGGGTCCAACGGCACAGACGCTCAGTCTCCTACGTCACCTTACGACGCTGTAAGTCATTAATGCTCCAAAACAGCCCCATAATTGCTAGAATGCTGACCTTGATTGAATTAGGCGTACTCACCGCCGAGCTACACAACTATGCCACCTCATCACCGTCAGAGCTCGTCGAGCTCGACAGCCACTAATTCATCCACCGGAAGCCATTCTCACAAGAAGCCTCGCTCACCAACCGTCAACGTCTACACTACATGTGGCCGTCACACGGACCAGTTCCTGTTCGGCGGACGTTCGTTTAGCGACATGCTCAACGGTGTCTTCAATAAGAAGGAGTGAAGAGCCAGGCTGACATGGACATAAACCACCCCGCAGAAAGCTGTACTTGATCTAGCTCTCTCCTCACTTGAGATTTTCGCTCTTCTTCAGACTGTGCAAAAATTATCAATTTGCATTTATTTTAATGAATGTTGCTGGCTGGTTCAGTCATGTTACTACGACAAGCATATGAACGGAATCGGAAACTACTTAGGGAAATGCATAATCATGACAAAGGAAAAGCGGTCTTGATTTGGAGTATGGCTGTTAGTCAGTTGTTACTTATGAGATTGATATCCTGAATAAACGCAAAAGCAACGGCGGACATGTTCTCTCTCCGTCTACAAGTACATGATGATATCTGGTCTTATGAATTGACTTGGTCTCTGGATTAAGATCATTTCCCACAAGCTTATGATCCTTAATTGTGTCTTTCTTCTGCGAGACCATGTACAGTCTACACCGTAACAGCTGCCTGGATTGACAGTTTCACCTCATCTTTCTTGATATTTTCGATTATTGATACGACCACCATCCATGAACAGGCTTTTTGCTACTGCACCCTCACACAGGGCCATCCACACACACATCCAATTCGTCTCTCGGGAAGATCTGATCTCTATCTGGCCTTGTCAGTCGTAGGGCTGACCAAGTCAGGTACAATGCGTGCACTGCCACGATGCGCCAAGGCCATTAAGGTTGGGCCGGGACACCGTTGCCGTCCCCACTGGAGCTGGAGCTGGCGGGAAGTCGGGACGGCCCTCTGGAAACTCCGAGAACCGCCCGTGGGCGGGCTCTCAACAAGTCGATAGCCCAACCAGTCCGATTTAGAGCGAGCTTCCTCGCCAGAAGAGAAATTCCATCTTTGCCCTTTGTCCATATCAGAGCGCCGCCTGCAGCTTACTCTGCACACACTCCTTCCCACTCATTGTCACCGACAGGGAGAGGCTCCATTCATCTCCCTTGACAAGTATAAAGTGCATCTTTCCAGCGCACTGCTCGTCAATTGTGGTCGAGGAACACGGTGTCTCATCCCCTACGAGCGTAGCACAACACCAAACCAAGCCTATACAATATGGCTGACGCTGCTACCGCGAAGGCCCCGGCGCCGAAGGTGTCCAAGCCAATGCCTGCTTGGAAGAGATACTACCTCATCTTTTACAATGCTGTGTCTGCACTTCTGTGGTCTGTCGTCTGGGGGAGAGTAGTCGGCGTGTATGCCCTGCGCGGCTTAGGCGCCTATACGCTCGTTCCGAGTGTGACGCTCGAGTTCACCAAATGGACGCAAACACTGGCTGCGATGGAGATTCTTCACTCTCTACTGGGTAGGTGCTCTGCTATACAAACATGATAGGTGCATTCAATGACTAACTTCATCTCCCAGGCATTGTGCGCGCCCCCTTGTTCACAACCGCGATGCAGGTTGGTAGCCGCTTCGGCATTGTATGGGTAGCCACCTACTTCTATCCGACCGTCGCCTACAGCCCGTGGTACTCGTCGATGCTGCTCGCCTGGAGCACGACCGAGGTCGTCCGCTACCTCTTCTTCGCGCTCACACTAGCCGACTACCAGCCCTACCCGATCTTCTGGATGCGCTACAGCGGCTTCTACATCCTCTACCCTATCGGCATCTCTAGCGAGCTGGCCATGATGTACTTTGCGTTCCTGAAGGCCCGCGAGCAAGGCGACGACCTGATTGCCATTGGTCTCGTGGCGATTGCTGTTGCTTACATCCCTGGGAGCCCTATATTGTACAATCACATGCGCAAACAGCGAAAGAAGGTTATGCGCAGCCAGAAGACTGAGTAAGAGCTTGTTCTAGATTGCACGTACAAGCATACAGTCGAGACTCTACTTCGTTCTTTAAAACCCTGGGGCCATATGGAGATATCAAGGACTCAAATCTGAATTAGCATAATTAGGTATCATTGGTGTTGCTAAAAGCTAAAGGACTAGGTATAGAGGACGGCGCTATAGAGGGAAATATCTAATAGGCGGAACCGTACTCGTCATGAGGATGATAGAGGACGACGGATCAAAAGTCGTATATCAATAATGTTGCTTTATTCAATCGCCTCCTTAGTGGCACTCTCGTACCAGTCGTTCTTCGTCCATGCCGTAATAAGCTGTTTCGCATCATTGGCAAGCTTCTCGTACGCCGGATTCTCTTTCGGCTCAAACATTGCTAGGTACCTTGGTCAGTCTCACCTGGCAAGCAAGACTCGCAATCTGGAAATACTCACACATATGTGCCCAAGTCTCGTCGGTTGCAGCATCGTTGATGGCCTCCTTCCACACACCAACGATCTGCTTGGACGGCAGGTTGCAGAACGTCCTCTGGCTCCCAAGTACGGTACCGACCATGCTGACCTGCTTCGACGAGGCCGCCTTACCCAGTCGTGTGTACAGGTTAGCGAAACCAACCCCGAGTTCTTTGTCCAGGCGCCCCATGTAAGCCACTCGCTTTCGTAGCTCCTCACCCTTGGCCAACACGCCGACGAACTCGAGGTGTGAATACACCCAGGTCCATCCTTCTGTGAGCTGGTCCCGTTTCAGATACGCCGCCGCTCCCCCAGCCGCAACAGCACCCGCAGCACCAGCATACATGGCAATCTTGCCCCACCGCTCCCATGGCTTCGGACTGCCGGCGTTGGCCTCCGGTGCCGGGAGCGCGGCCACGGGCTTGGTCGTCCTGCCGCTGTCCTTGTCCTTGGCGGCCGTCTCGGTCGCCGCCTTGCTGCCGCCCCAGAACATGCCCGCCAGGCCGCTCAGCTGCGTGAGAGTCTCGCTCGCGGTGGTGTAGTGGCCCTCGGCGCCGTGGGCGACGACGCCCGGCGAGATGCCCAGGTACGGCGTGTCGAAGGCCAGCACGCCCTGGATGTACGGGAACATGAGGCTGTTGAAGGAGGGCGAGTCCGGAGCGTCGGCGGTCGGTGTGTCGCCGGCGGGTATGGGCTTATCGGACGTCAATGCGATGGCCGTCTCGGCGGCCACGATGCCGCCCATGGAGTGCCCGATCAGGATCACCCGGACGGAGGGATCGATCGTGGGCGACGGTGTGCCGTTGGCGACTTCGAGGTCGATCACCTTCTCGAGCAGCCTGGTGCAAGCATGTTAGTCTTAAATTACATAGCGACGTGTGGATTGTCACAGCTAACCAGTCTCTGAATCTTCCGACGCAGTCTCCTAGATCCCCTCGAGTCTCGTACTTGGGGTATATTATGACTTGGGTATCGATCTTGGGCAGCTCTTGTTGCACGAGCTTGCGGAGATGTTCTGTGAAGGCATAATTGTTCCCAAACGTCTCCTCACCCCCCTTGAAGCCATGGATGAAGCACAGCAAGAGTGTCTTCTTCATCTTGCGCCCCCATCGAGAGAACAGACAAGGTGATGGTGAGGCTGTAGGGATGATATACCTAGGTAGTACCTAGGTAGGCTGGAGGCCTAGATTATAGCTTGAGCCAGGTGGCGAATGGGTGCCGGGCAGGGGTGATAACCCCACCATGGCGCTGTGATGTCAATACTCGAGACCCAGCAATATCGAAGCTCTAGCACGTTTCAGGCGATAGAACATGTGTTTTAAAGATTGGCGATCCCGTCCCGGCTCCTTGGGTGCGTCTTTCCCATTAAGCCAACATGTGTGCATGTGAACCGATAGTATTGCCCTTGGACGTGGGATCAGCATTATGATAAAATTCTATATCTTTACCACGACCCCGTGCCTCTATTTACATGTAGCAAGAGCGGCTTAAACGTTTTCCTACGAATCCTCGTGTAATCGTAGCACACTTACAGCGTTGCTGCCCATGACTGCGAGAGCCTCTTTGCTTCCCTCACCAAGAGCCTTATTCACAGCTTCGGCGTTCATACCAACGCTCTCCCACTCCCCTTGCTCGTCACTTGTAAGTGGCGGGAAGAATGGGTGATCTGTCCCGAACATGAGTCGGTCTGCTCCACTGGCATCGATGGCCGCCTTGAGGCCGACCTCCGAGTAGATGACGGCATCCAGGTATACCTGCTCCTTGAGGACGTCCCACACGGTTCTCCTCTTCGGCCCAACCTTTCCTTCCCTGACCAGATGCCCATCGTGAAGCACGCAGCTTTCAATACGACCTGCCAGGAATGGTAGAGTACCTCCGCTGTGAGCAAGAATCATCCTTAGGGATGGCACACTGTCAAAGACGCCGGCCAAGTACATTCTCGTAACGGCTATTGTAGTCTCCATGGGAAATCCGAGAGCGAGAGGGAGGACATGGCCATACTCAGCACTTGCTCTTGGCCCCCAGACATCATTGGGCAGACCGTAATGAGGATGAAGGAAAATGATCAGCCCGGCAGCTCCAAGAGCCTCAAAAATGGGAAGTAGGGCAGGATCATCGAGACCTTTTCCTAGCCCTGATGTGCCAAGGATAATACCTCTGCAATATTTGAGCGTCTGAAGATGTTTTATGGAATCCTGTATGGTCTCCAAGGACGCAGTCAGGGGTAAAGTACCGAAGAAAAACAAGCGACCTGGATGTTGCGCACACATAGACGAGAACTCCTCATTGACCGACTCTGCAATTTTGCCCGATTCAGATGATGCCAGGAAGTCCAACCAGGGATTTGCTAATGATATCACAGAAATATCAATCTTATGTGTGTCCATGAAATGTATCTTCTGGTCTAGCGAAGAGTAATGTTTCGTGAGCGGCCGCCCCGGAGGCTTGGTCGAGGCAACATCCTCGTCTAGAGACGGGACCTCAGCCGACAGAAGAATAAGCCGTGGATCTGGAGAGCTCGGATAACTGCGGACCAAGGGAATTTCGTTTCTTGACTCTAGTATCCTCACATAAGACGGAGGATACATGTGAGTGTGGATGTCCACGATCTTTGCCATGATGTAGCTCCTGACACAGGGGCTTTGCGTCGTACAGGCCGAGCTTATGACGGGGAAGTTTTATGTATATCGTAAGTCGAAAGGAGTGACGCCAAGAACAGAGTGTCATATGCGGTCTGAAAAAGAATGTGAAGAGGGTTGTTCTTCCTCAGCCGACCCCCTTTTAGAGCTGTTAGAGGAAGCTATTCGGCCAGCTCCATCATTGCGCTTAAAGTCTATCTAGGCTGGGCCCGCCAACCCCGCACTTATCAAGCTGTTATCACTCTATCTTACGTCTAATCGCTTGCATCTCTAATCGCTATCACTCATAGGGTGTCTTATCGTCCAGCGAGGTATTACAACCAAGACTGACTGATAGGTTGTCGGGATCAAGTGGCCAATCCAAACTTCTACCGAGAGAGGCAGGTGCCTCCGATCTCAACAGCATCGTACGTCTCTCGAAGACTTCTTCGGAAGCGCGCGATTCCACAGAACCAACCCTACCCCATAAATACGATCTTCCCCCTAAGTTGTGGATTCGAGCTACGCTCCCACTCTTTGTTCACTTGAAGCTAGGCTGAGCATTAGGTTGAGTGCGGCTCACTTCTGTCTTCACACCAAGTACGCTTTTGGATCTCCAAATCGTGACCACACAACTTCCAACATGGAGAAGGCAGCGGTTGAGGATCAGGGGCTCTTGATCCCAGTATGTGCACATGAAGCTTGAGTATGAGGTTAGAGCAGGGTACTAAATATCACATACAGCTCATTGACTTCTCCAAATTCCTTGAAGGAGACGAGGCGCAGAAAAAGGAGACTGCAGATGCTATCCTCCGTGGATTTCAGACTGCCGGCTTCATCTATCTGAAGAACATCCCGGTCACACCCGAGACGCGGAAGCATGTCTTCGACACATCAGCCAAGCTATTCAGGTTGCCACTAGAGACCAAGTTGGCGCATGGCTGGACCACGCCTGAAGCCAACAGAGGATACTCAGCTCCCGGACGGGAGAAGGTGACGCAGCTCAAGGATCTCGCCGACGTCGCGAAGCTCAAGGAGGGCAACCCAGATATCAAGGAGAGCTTCGAAATTGGTCGTGAGGGTGAGCCAGATCACCCAAACCAATGGCCACCGGAGGAAGGTGAAATGGTCGGGTTCAAGTCAACAATGCTGGACTTCCACGATCAGTGCAAGGCCCTCCATGTAGAGGTTATGCGTGCCATTGCCGTTGGCATGAACCTAGACGCCGGATTCTTCGACGACTTCGTCGATGTTGGCGATAACACGCTTCGATTGCTGCACTATCCGGCGGTGAATAAGGAGATATTTAAAATAAACCCGGGCCAAGTGCGCGCTGGTGAGCATTCAGACTATGGCTCCATCACACTCCTATTCCAGGACTCCGCAGGCGGCCTCCAGGTGAAGAGCCCCAACGGCAAGTTTGTCGATGCCACTCCCATTGAGAACACATGCGTGGTCAACGCTGGTGACCTCCTGGCTAGATGGAGCAATGATACTATCAAGAGCACTATCCACCGTGTTGTTGAGCCACCTCATAAGGACTCCGATGTATACCCGGCGAGATATAGCATCGCGTAAGTTTCCCTCTGCTCCCTTTTGCGGATTGAGTTGTCTCTACAAAATGATACTCACGTTCGAGAACAGTTATTTCTGCAACCCCAACTTTAAGAGCCATATCGAGGCGATTCCTGGCACATTTGCAACCGAAACCGAGAAGAAGTACGATGGCATCAACAGCGGACAATACCTGGTGCAAAGACTTGCAGCAACTTATTGATGACTTAACGATATGAATGTAAGACTGTAGCTTCCAAAGACGAAATAACTTCATGAAAGGTTGTTTTTTACCGAGCCGCCTGTTATTGTGAAAATAGTCCATAGATGAATGTTATGTTATGTTCAAGTTATTACCCCTGGGTAGAAAATAAAGTGCTTGGGATTTGGTGTGGCGCCAACCAGCACCCGCCTGCGTCCATTGCGCTAAGATTGCTGATACATCAAACTGGACCTCCAAAAACATTTATTCTTCACCCACTTGCACCTCTTCTACCTTTCATCGACAAACCTGCGATTGCGCAACAGCGCTCTCTGTCCGGAACCCTTTGATTTAAATCCCGTAACCTAAATCAAACTCGAGAGGGGGGCTTTGAACGCTGATTAAACGACGTCTGCGCAGTCTCACGAGCGCTCTCTGCCTTGCCACTCGAGGGTCAGTTGCATCGGGTACGACAGCCATACACGCGCATTCCCTGCTTTTCCTAGCCGCGCTCAACGAAGATGGAGAAGGACAAGCAGGAACTCCTCGTGGCCGCAAAGGCTTTCGCTGCCGACAATGTCGACCTATACGAACTTCTCGGGCTGGAAGACAAGACAGTCACAGAGCAGTCTGTGATCCAGCGAGCATGGCGAAAGGCATCCATGCACGCGCATCCCGACAAGGCGCGCGAATCCTTTTCCAAAGACGTATGGGAGCGCTACGGCCTCGCGCGCGACGTCCTAATAGACGAGGACGCGCGAGCGACATATCAGAAATCCCGCGCCGCGGCGGCGCAGCGTAAACTCCAGACCGAAGCCCTGTCAGCGAAGAGGCGGCGCCTGAAGGATGAGCTTGAGGAGGCAGAGCGCGGGGCAAAGCGCATGAAAGAAGACGATATCGCGCGCCAGGCAGAGCTTGAGCGTGAGAGAGTGGCATCTGCTGCGAAGGGTCGAGCCTACATGGAAGAACGCAAGCGACAACTAGCAGAGGCAGAGGCCCGCGAGAAAGATAGAGAGAAGCAGAAGGAAGAAAATCTGGACGATAAGATCCGTGAACTTGAAAGGCGCCTCGAAGAGAAGGCTCGAAAGAAGGCCGAGAAGAAGGCACGCAAAAATGGTCTTCCGGTTGTACCTCAACAATCAGATGCTACTAAGACCGCTGAACCATCACCCAAAGCTTCAGAAAGTGTTCCTCCACCACCACCACAAAACCCACGAGCGGATCCCCTAATACCTACCGACCAGAACGGCGCCGCGGCCCCAGCAGCCGTACCCAAGCCTAACTGGAAAACCACGATGGAAAGATTGAAAGCGGCTGAAGCTGCACGTCAGGAGCGGAAACGTAGAGAGGTGGAGCCGGCAGAGGCGCCAAAGGTAGTTTCTTAGAACTTCTCTCTTACACGAGACTTTATGATACCCAATATTACGAATAGAACTGACGCTGTGTCAACGTTTAAGGCATTCTCGGACTCCCCCTCTCCACTCGGCAAGCCCAGAGCTTGTCCTTTGTGTAAGTGATTTTAGACTTTGAGTGAATGCTATGCTACTTCGTGACTATGATGATATGTTACAATTCTCAGGATTCTGGTCGGTGAGTTGTTTGTAGATTGTAGATGTTTATTTCTCAACGTAGTATTCGAGCTTATGCTTTGCTCTTTGGTGAGAGCTATTGTGGTGCGTCAAGTCCTTGCCTTAGCCAATCTGGCACAAAGGCTTTGATCTTGACCGAAAGGTCTTCGCGATCCTCTCCGAGTTTGTGCTGCATGATGAACTCATCTTCCGGGTTGTATGCCGCTGCCGCTGTTTCTCCCGGCAGCACGACATCTGTCATTATCTCCAGCCTACAGAGAGCGAGGCCAACATTACCTACGCCCTTGAGCCATTTCCCTGCACTTCTTCCTCGTTTCTCGAAGCGGCCGATGCTGGTATCTGAGGGGATCATCGCAGCATCGAGGTCTTCTAGCCCACTTGAAGTCTCGATAGAAGGGTGGTACGCCAGATGGTCTGGCATCGCCTTGTCTGGCGTGTAGAGGATGCACGGCAATATCCTCTTGCGGACCACGCCCCGATGCTTTGTCCGGATCGTGAGCTCCTGACCCACGTAACACCCCTTTCTAAAGTCGATGCCCCCCATAAGATCAATATTGCTGTCTAAAGGCAAAGAATGCTCTCGCGGGATCTCCTCCTGGCCTTCCGGTACACCATTCAGATATCTTCGGACTTGATATGCTTCCTCGTTGACATTGTCCAGGTCTAGTGGTGGTAGATCGGTACCCGCTCTGATGAGCCGGTATCCCAGAGCTGGGGCTCTTGTGTCTTTCATCTGGATGCCTGAATCCTTCGAGACCTGAGCCGCAGCTTCCAGTCCTGACTTGCCGCCATCATCCCAAGCTTGCCACACGGTGAACTCCTCCTTGTCCAGGAGCCGCACGTTAAACTTCGCCCGGAGCTTGTACCGCTTGATGTGCGCCGCCAGCCTCTGCGCTTCATTTGAATCGACCTCGATCAAAAAGCTCTCGCCAGCAGCCGTCTTTCCCCCATTCAAGATGGTGTCCGGGTATATGAAGACATCGTAGAGCACACGGCCTGTCGCGTTAAGAAAGGCAGTGTAGAACCCGGTGTCTCGAGGTTGGCCGTCGGCGGAAAGTATGCTCGATGTTATGATACCCTGCAAGAACTTGGGCGCATCGGGGCCGGAGACGGAAATCAGTCGGCGGGATGGCAGTGCGGCGAACCCGGAGGAGGGTGGTGGTGGAGGAGCTGCGCGGCGAGAGGAGCTCGAGAACTGGCGCGCTGCTGAGAGGCAGCTTCGGCAGATGAAAGTCGGCCGCACCTGTCGAGAGGCTCGAGCTGCAGGATGCATTGTTCCTCGGGGTAGAGTGCTGCTTCAAGAAAAGAGTAGCATCACGATGTGTTGCGTTGCGTTGTGCAGAAAGGTTGGAGATGGACCCAAAAATTCAGACGTAGCTACGGCGATGACATAAGGTCTCCGGAGATTTGGTGGGGCCGGGGTGTATAGCACGCGGCAGCCACACGGAGTGTCTCGAGTTGCGAAAGGATCCCGCCCGGGATAGGGTACCTTCTTTCACAATACATTCATAGGGCAATATTTCTATTCCTTGGTTGAATATACGGTAATTTAGGTATTCATCTATGCTTTACCGTTGCTTTGATAGCCATGGCTAAATTTGGATGAGAGTGAAAGGCGAAAGAGTCTCGTAACACAGCGAAGGTGGTAGTCCCTTACTAACTACAGCTACAATTTTGCTCCGTTTAAGAAGATAACATCAATGTACGGCTTCACTCATCTCGGCACTGTAATATGACCCAAAGAAAGCCTGTCAATCCAATGGTCCTTTTCGTGTGCGAAAATCGGCAGCTCTAAGCTCTTTAAGAGCACCCTCCGACATCGCCTTGTTGAGGGTCTAAGGAAGATCATGAGGCCGAATCGTTCCTTACGCCGGTCATCGTTGCCGGTTGCCCGATCATCCCGGACCGTTGCTATCGATGAAGAGACATCCCAAAGTACCGATAAGTCTTGTTGAGGACCTTCCGTAGCTCCGATTTCCTCCTAGTGGGGTCAATGGTTCATAATATCAGACCAGGCCTCATCCAAATGCATGATACCTTTGACATTATCCCCGCCCTCTTGCTAGGCTCATTTCCCTCTCGGGCAGGGTCCCTAATCATTCTATCCAAAGGTTAGGAAGGAAGCCTAGGATTTTCGACGCGGCCCATGGGAATAATTGTACTGCCTTGTCAGGCTCGTCTGGAAGTCCTAGAAAGGCAGACTCTACGAGCTGTAACAAGCAGGCCAGGCATCCTTTTACCCCACCCCCCACGACACTCACGGCGGCTAGCGGGCTCTACTGTGTATGTCACTTGACCTCCTCGGCCTTTCATAACTCGGCACCACGATGATGAGACCGAGCTTGGGTATACCCGACCCTGTTGAGTACCCAGAATGACCCGAAGGAAGCGGAGGGAAAGCGGAATGATCTTTTGATGAATTGTCGTCGTATCTACGAGCCCCAAACAGGAGCCGTACGATCACTTACCACGAGGATATACGCAGACTGATCATGCAGCATCCACAGTCTCTGCTAGCCAAGCTGTGTCAAGTAGTAAAACGTGACGTTGCGTTCTGTTGGCCTCAACATATACGAAACCAAGCCTCAGCAGAGATTGACGCCCGATCTTAAGTATCTGGCAGGATCCCCCATAAGCCTCACCGCAACTTGAAGGATTTCACGCTGGCTGCACGATGCATGATTGGCCAGGCAGTGACTCTGAAGCGTCTTGTCCGCTTCATGCCGCCATATGCACGAGCGAGCACCGAGCCCCTCAAGACTGCGGGTGCCCGACGCAGGGGCGGAGGCAGAAGCCTACCCTATCCTCTCCCCGTAGCCCCTTCACCCACGGCCGATCGCAGCCTTGATCGGGTCCGGCGGGAAACTCGTTGGACGTGTTTCTCAAATGCAATGCATTGAATGAAACCCGCAGAGAGCCCGGCGAGCAGATGCGTACCAGACGGGAGTCACCCGCTTGAGTCAGCCTGGCAACCTTTGCTGCCTTCCTATCTGATCTGATAGGTATCCCGAATGTCTCTTATGTGCCTCTGTGTCTCGGAGATGCACAAAGTCCCAGACACCGTCCGTCGATCACCCACCGCTCGAGTGCACCTGGTCTTATCGTCTGATGGGCGGAGATGTCGCAAGATGGTGTCAGTGAGTCTAGAGGTGCACACATACTACCACGGTTCTACTACTAAGTGTCATGCTGTGCACCTTTGAACGGATGCCCATGGGATCTAATCCCACTCCTACCGTACATAGGTACCATCCAGATAATGAATGATCTTATCTCATCAGGAAGTTTGATAGCCTGCCCCACCATCAGTGACAAAGGTGCCACGACTCATACGCGCACGCGCACCAGCACATTTTCTGCGGGAGACCGAGATGCCGAGAACACGGCGGAAGTCTACGCACCAAGTCCCTGCGTTCTTACACCGCTGACCAAAGCAACATTATGTCAGCTTTCATTAAAACTAATGTGGGCCTCGTCTATTCCGCCGGCCATGCCAACAGCACCGCCCCGTGTCGGACGGTACCTTCTGAATTATTTGAGATAATTCATGCCGCCGTGCTGATACTTGTCGTGAACCTTGAAGACTGCCCTGCATCGCATCGTGTCCTATTTTGTGTCTCTCGGCCGAAGGCACACACGGATGCCCAGCCCAGGGTCCGCTGAGGTCTCAAATTTCCACAACAGCCTCTATTGAATCAATCTCATCGCCGTGCCCGTGTCAAGCTGAAAAAGTTATTGATCGTGGACTCCGTTGTGGGCGGTGTTCTCGACCCCCAATAATGAAACTCTATTGACTCGATGTGCGCAAATGGTAACAAGCCCAACCTCGGCCGGGACCCATTGTAGCTGCCGGGGCTCTTTGTCGAGGCCTAGCAAAGGTTCTCGACTGTTAATAATCGGGCTGGCTGAGCACGAAACTCCAAGGACAGCGGGGCCCGGTGATTGGTCCAGATGCGACGTGTCAGCACAGACCAGCATTCCGAGTGCTTGGGATTTGAGTAATTGTCGTGTAGCTTTCTAATCAGGACTGGACGCACTGGGGTAAGCGAAGGGAGCGCGGGATCGCCAAAGGTACCCAGGTACCTCTTACCTGCGAAAAGGCCGAGTCATAGACTCGTACCCGCCTTGGGCTTGCTGACATTTTTTTTCTTCTTCCTGCTTCCGGGACTAGCGGCCGGATACCCTCTTGGCCCCGGTCGGTGTTTGGCTGAATGCCGTGGTCGATTGTGAGTGAGTGAATCACACCGACCACCCGAGCAGAACATTTTGCTCTGCATTTGCCAGCAAACCCCACCCGACTTCGGCGGTGTGGTTTGATGACTGTTAGTCCTGTGATCAAATTACTGAGAACGATAGAGAAATCACGATGCACCGGTTAAGGAATGATGGAAGGTCACCAGTGGCAAGTCACAAATGAGACAAGTAAATTGATTGAGTTGAAATTGTTTGTTATTTTTTTGGTATCCATTTTGCCAATTATTATGGTATCGCACTGTAGAAAAGCTCCATTCTCACTCTACCTTGGGTGCTGACCAGCTTATGGTTGCACCAGGGAGCGAGAGCCAAGAAAAGTACTACCCCTCAGTCACCAATCCTCCAAAGTGCTTCTGTATATCCTGTTCTCATAAAAAATCCTGCTGAAGAGTGGTGACATCTGAATGTCTATGGCAATCCCGTTGCCAGTAGTGGTAGTTCTAGATCGCTCGCTTTTGTTTCTCGTAAGGACCCCAATGCCATGCCGCTGTGTGGTATTGAACGCCGTGCTATGCAGATGGAAAAATCAAATCGCTTTTTGTTTGTTTGAAAGACACAAAGATGAAGGGCTTAGTAGACAGATATCGCCGAGACCAGCCTTGCCGGATTTCGCGGCGGCAAGTAGTAGCCTTGGTCGTAGAAATCTGAGTCCTTCTCTGAGTATTCTGTCGAAGCGATTGATTCCCTCTGCTTTTCCGAGAATGTCGGTAGCACGGTGGATGGCGGGGATGGCGGCATCGACTCGTCTTCTGATGAGTCGGAGTCGTGCTCAAGCTCCGGTGGTGATGCGGAGTGAGACGGTGATCGGGTCAGGGTAAGGTGTGCGTAGTCCTCCTCCTCATCCTCCTCCTCAAAGTCCTCGTCCACCTCCATAGCCGGGCTCTGCGGCACAATCTTGTTTGAAGCCACCCGGGTCAGGGAGACAATGTCGGCCATCTCAACATCCTCGTCATCAAAGTCGCTATCGGAGTCTGATGAGGAGTCGGAGTCGGCGTCCTCGGCATCCCAGTCCTCCTCCGGGTCCTCGATGACGGTGTCGGCCCACTGGATGTGCTTCTCCTCCTTCTTCGGTGATGCGCTGCGGACGGATTGGTTGAACCACGACTCTTGCTCACGCTCGGCATCGGCAAGCTCAACCATCAGGGAGTCTAGCAGGTTGGCGTGGCCAACGAGCAGGCGGAGGTTGTGATCGGGGCGGGCAGCCTCGTGAGAGAGCTTAGACCTGGCCTTGTGGGCCAGGTAGTAAGTCTGGGTGATGCTCATGGTCTTTCTCTTGAAAGGTGAGGCAATCAACGGTGATGCAGGAGTAGCTGATGATGTGGAGAGGGGAGAGGAAGTTGTTGTTGTTATTGTAGAATGCATTTTGTATGAAAGCCCAAGGCAGAAGGCAGAATCTAGGACTCTATTCGTCTTATGGTGCAATTGCTTCGATTGTGACTCAAGGCAGCGAGGGCCGATTGCGGAAAGGCGCGCTATGACAGGGGTGCCTCGCCGAAAAATATGTAATTTAGGGCGCTGGGGACATGTAATTGTGTACCTTTTGGCGTTTGTGGTAATGTCCAAGACTGTTTAAGTGAAGACAGTTTGAAGAGTCTTTCTGAGTCTCTTGATATCTTGTTATGATGTTGGTGAGTGTGAATGCTGATGATGATGAGAACGGCTTGGACGGAAGAGAAGGGGTTGACAATTCTTATGTATCTACTGCTGACGACTGACCGACTGTCCGCAAGTGTCGCTTTCGCAGCGTCGTGGCTCGGCTTTCGCAAGGATGGAGACCAGCGGGCTGAATAAACGAGAGTCGGGGTTTGCGAGGACCCGTGCCCTGCCCGAAAGTACCCCCTCAGTGGCCGGCCCAGCCAAAGTGTACCTGGAATTAGAGTGTGCATGCGGCCGGCCCCCCCTGCACACCCGTCTCCTCCGAGAGTTTGTCCCCTTGTCTCCGACAAATCCAGATGACTCGCAAACGATGGATGACTGGGCGGTGACTTACCAATCCACCCTCCTCGTCTTAATTCCTTAGAAACACCCTGACACTACTCGAGCAGGTACCCAGGTAGCTCAGGTATCATCTTCATTGCCTGACCCGGCCGAGGTACCTCATCGGGCTCTTTTGTGCACGCTCGCAATCGCTTTTTGGTCGGTTTCAAAGCCAGCTTCAATTCCCCCGGAGTCTGGAAATGTTGCTAGACCCGCCCCGTCTCGTCTCATGCACAGCATCAGGCACTTTCTACGATGCAACGATTCTCAGATCATCATGGCCCAGGCTATGGGTTATGCTACGCTTTGCTATGTGCCGACCCTCCGACATCTTTCATTTCCCAGAATGTCATGATTAACTAACATGAAGGGCTGCATGTCGCGAAAAAAGGCTTACGCCCTGCTAATCGTCATCCTCGCAGCGTGTGTCCTCAAATGAGATGCTGGGATGCCAGGTGCCATGGAGAGTCATGACCGCATGAGACAAGCTTGATTTGTTATTGACGCCATGATCCGATTCCTAAGCACCGACGAGCCTTACTGCTGGACCCCGCAAGTCCGATGACAATCGCTGCTAAGGAGCCCTGCACGCTAGATCTTCCCTTAGAAATTGGATGCGTCTGTTTGAAATGCCATCTTTCCACCCGATTCTTTTTCACACACCTCCCCGGATTTCAGTTATCTAATCTCCTACAGGCACCACCATTTTATCTCCAGCACTTAATTCCACCGCAACCATACGGGTGGATCATGATGCATAATCCCAAGACAAGGCCTTGATGACTATTTTCCCGTCTCATTCTCCCTGGGCGTCAACATCTCCCATTCCGCAATTGGAAGGTTTCAGAACACATCCGCGTATCCTCACTAATTCACTAATGTGCTACACAAGTAATCGCACGTAGACTCATGGCACCGGGGCGGGGCCTCGTCAAAGCAAGCGTAACGCCCAGAAACCAATTGGTGATTCCGCGTAATGCTCTCCCCAGGCTCATTAGGGGAAATTGCTGCGAGCTCCAAGCCACCGTAGGCACCATCAATTTGGCGGGGGTGGCAGCACGGAGGAAGCGGGTGACTTGATCAGGAACGGATGAACAGAAAGGAGCCTCCTGACCAGGCTGTCGAATTACCACAGCAACAGGTAGCAGGTAGACCGTGTGCACTGCAAGCCTGCTGACATTGACACCTGGCAGCATCGGTGCACAGTCGTATGGCGGGTAGCAATACGCTGGTGAGCAACCCGCGCGGGGTGTCCAAGACGCCCGAGTAGCTCCGCCTCAGCGTCGTGTCCTACATACAGAGCAACTCTAGGGAGCTTCGCAACGCATACGAGGGGTACGAGTACCCCACTGCTGCATTTTGGCTGGCGGCTCGGGTGCGACCTTGACGCCGACCACCGGTTTGTGGCTCAGCACCCAATTTGCACGGGGTGAATCCCTGCCTGAGGAGTCAGTCGGCAGGCCACGAATCCACCATTTTGTGCTGCGTCAGCTCGGGTCTGCCACTATGCGAAAGCGAGCGAGGCCAGCATTCGCGAGCGAAGCGGGTACGGGCCAAGTTGGATTTGCCCGACTCCATTCTTGCAGATCTGTAGGGCTGTGGTCGCCAGGTACCGTACACTGGTACGCATCATCACTATGGATCCTTCCTCTCAATCGGATTCGCGTCAAAGTTGCTCAATCCCGTCCCATATGATCCTACGCGACAATCGTGCCCCATTTGACATCCTAAACGAAGCATAGAGGGTCGGTCTCAATTGAATCCCTACTGTTGAGTCCATGCCACTCACCGCGCATAGTGCTTTAGTAGACCGTCTCAGTAATTGACATCAGGCACATGCACTGTTGATTGTATACACGTCTTGTCAGACTGGATCATGGTGTATTTTGAGTATACGGCTTACCAGGCACAATTTGTTCCTAGTGACACCTTGCCTAAACGAGCAAAACTGTCCTACAGGGCTTGAGTTACCTACTGCCTGAAGCGCTCGCCGCGCAGGTGCGCCTGCAAAGCCTCAAGCGGGACGCCAGCGCCCTACGACTGCTGATATTACAGAGAGAGTGTGTGCGCCCAGCCATGTAAGCAACGTAACACGGCCTCGAGAAAATTCGGCGTGCGCATTTCCACGGAGTCGCCAGAGAGCATGCACACCGACTATTCCTCTATTCTATTCTTGCGAACTGCCTGCTGTTGTCATCGCTTGTGGCTGACCGCGCGAACACGTCAATATACACCTACACATACGAGGGAAATATTGGTGCTACCTAATTTCACGGCTACGAGGTTTGGGACTTAGCATCAATTGCCGGTTTAGGAAGATGATAACGGCTCTTGCAGGTTTGTCCTGCTCGCGTGCCCTGCGGCCGGGTGACTACGGACGGTACGAAAATGCCCGGCTGACGACCCCGTCCACGACCGATGCCCTGTCCCGGTGCGCTCTTTTTGTCCCCTGCCGTACTTGCACTGGTCCCCAAACAAGGCCGGCTCTCAGAAATGTGCGAAATCGTGATTGCTTCTTGATTAATGATACCTAATTAGCAGCGATGCGCCCGGCGCGTCATTTTGTTGTTTTGTGTGCAGCACCCCGGGACCGACTGCCAGAAACCTGTCAAAGCAGGTAGGTCCCCACGTCTCCGTAGAATGCCCGTCCGTCAATCCCGAGCCAGCAACCGCCCAGTCCTCGAATAGCGGGGCTCGAGGGCGGACAGGTTCGGGAGCCTTAATGCACACTGATTACTCACTCTCGCTCATACTCAGTCACCTACCGTGACGGCTGCAACCAGTAGGCGGGCTTCTGTCGAATCAGAGCCGTCCATGCTGTCCCTCGCTCTTCGCTCTGTCGCCGACTTTGATTGTACCGCGCCGACAAAAGCGGGTCCAAATAGGGTTTCTGGGTTGCAAATTCTTCCACGCGCCTTCTAGCGTCGTTCTAGCGCCCCTCTTCAACCCTTCTAGTGCATCAACTCGCTTTCGTCTCTTCGATCACATCACTGCACGATCTTTCTGTTACCTTGACCGCCGCCAGACGGAGACAGCAGGCCTGACTGTGGTCTATGCAGCAGTCCCTGCATCGCCATGCGCGGATGACTCCATCGCATTTCGGAGGTAAGAAATGGAAGGATGCTCATCTCAGCCCCAAAGCGGTCTTTGCCGGATTAGGCAAGGCGCGTAACCCAGAGGACAGGACTGGACTTTCGGTGTTAAGTGAGCTCCGTGCACAGGCCGATGCATAACTTTATTTTTGCGGGCTGCTCCACAAGTCCGGCAGGCCGGTACTGTGACGCACACAACTTGGACCCTGGAAAGGAGTTTTCGCAGCGTCGCTTAAGTCCGCGAAGGTTTGTGCTCGCGCGGGAGTGGCTGGCCCCGGTGAGGTCAATGACTCTGGAACGCGGGTTTGAAGCGGCGGTCTTAATTCATGTACACGATCTTGACTGCGATGAAGCTTTTCTGGGGATCGTGTCTATTGATCGATCGTCCACATCGATTGTTTGCGATACCACCGTATCGAGGTGTTAGGGTAGATCGATAGAGTAACCGTACTATGGCAATCTGGGCAAGTGGCATGAGTGGGCCAGGAATCAATGCGAGGTAATCGTTGTATACGCCGTAGTAATAATGTGAGAAGAGTACCTGCTGAAGCACGCCTATATTGTGGTATCCCATCATGACGCAGACTTGACTACACCGGCTTCAAGCGAGGTTCCACCACGACGGAACGCCCTCCATCTGCAAGTCGTATACGCCATAGCCGGCTTACCTCAGCTGCTTAGGTTGGAGTGGTGGTGGACTCTTTGGGAACAGTCGGCGTGGCATCGCAGCCTCAACTCCCCTCAGCCCAAGCCACACATCCCAGCGTTCTGTCACGGCTGCGCTGTGTAGAAGAGAGCACGCCTGAGATTCCCCACCCCCTGCATCGAGTGTGTTGACCCTTCAGCCCTAAGACCTGCCTCCTCAGGCTGCCACTCTCCTGCTCGGCATGCCTGAGGGACGAGGTACCTAGGTAGTGTGAAGCTCGGGAGGACAAGCTTCTTCAGACATGAGATATGGATCACGCCCGAATCGGAGGAAAATTTAACACTCAATTAACAGCATCGAGAATTTCGAGGTTTTAGAGGGATAGATAGTTCGGAGCCGAGATTGTATGAAAATTTCTTTCTGTGGATCTCATCGTTGAAAAGTACCCGCTCCATAGTAAACAAAAACCTGTGACTCTTCCGTCCCATCGCGAACCGGCCCGCTACTCACCTAAGTGACAGGTCCCGAAGGTCATGGCTATCGGCATGCCGACTCAGAGAGGTGCCCGGCTCCTCTATAACAGGGCAGCAGACCTTGATTACGGAAGAAGTAGGCGACTGGGAGGAAGTGATTAGCTCTCTTAGGATTAGTCACCTAGGTGAAGCCCGGTATTTGCCTGGCCTTGTGGGGGTTGACGAGCCCGCAAGCAGCAGCAGGGGCCGGTTTGGTCCGAGGTATATACACATGATCCCCGGCAGTGAGGGACGCACAGATTTGCAGCAGGCACTTTGTCAGACAGGGACCACACGTGGCATTGCCGTTCGAGCCGTTATATGCATTGGGGGTAAGTCTAGTAGAGCTGGATATGTACTCCCTCCCCCCCAGTCCAAAGTCGGCGTCGGGGGTTCATGCCGCCCGAAGGGCCTGATGCCCTCTTTTCCTCTTGCCGCCCGCTTCCCGGCGCTCCTCGATGTCCAATAGGGCCTCTCGCTTCTTCTCGCCGACGATCTTGAGCGCGTCCCTCATGACCCTCGTCTCCAGGTTGACGCCCGCCTCCCGCCAGGGCTCCAGCGGCCGGCCGACCCGCTCCTCGATGGCCAGCACCAGCTCCACGTCCCGCTGGCCCACGAACGTGACTGCGTCGCCCTTGCGCCCGGCTCGCGCGGTACGGCCGACCCGGTGGATGTAGTCGTCCGGATCGCGCGGGATGTCGTAGTTGATCACGAGGCTCACCTCCGGGATGTCGAGACCACGCGCTGCGACGTCGGTCGCGACGAGGATGCGCGCGGCGGCTGCCCGGAAACGGCCGAGGTTGTCGATGCGCTGGCGCTGGGGCAGCTTCGAGTGCAGCGCTGTGACGCGGTGCTCGAGCAGCATCAGCAGGTGGTGCAGGTAGTTGGCGGTGTCGGTGCGGTTGCAGAAGATGATGACCGACTTGTCCGCGTTGGCCTCGGTCAGAAGGAAGACGTGGAGGTAGTGCTCCCGGTGCGTCACCTGGACCTGGATGAAGGTCTGGTGAAGGCTGGCGGGAATGGCCATCACCTGAGTATCGACTTCGCACACAAACACGGGCTCCTTGCCCGGTTTGGGCGGCATGTTCTTGAGAGCTCGGACCTCTGGCGTGATTGTTGCGGTGAAGAGCAGCGTCTGCCTCTGCGCAGGCGGTGGTAAGACACCCAGACACTCTTCAACATCCGGGAGCATGCTTCCAGGACCGGCAGCAGACAGCAGACGATCTGCCTCATCGAGCACAACGAAGCGGACTCTCCTCAGACCGCAAATGGTGTCTTCCCCTGAAGTGCGGATGTGATCTGCCAGCCGGCCAGGGGTAGCAATGACAACGTGAGGACGCTGAGCCAGCGCGATGGCTTGCGGCCGCATATCAGCACCTCCTGTCACAAGAACCGCCTTCAGAGTTTGCGGTGATGATATGGCCTTGAATTGCTCGAACATCTGGAGGGCCAGTTCACTATCATGGTGTCAGTATTCGGAGTGCAAAATTGTGATATATGTGATCATATCTTACCGCGTAGGGGTAAGAACGACAGCAAAGATTGCAGATGGATCTTCTGCCCATTTCTGTAATATAGGTACAGCAAAAGCCATCGTCTTTCCTGAACCTGTCCTGCTCCCACCGATACAATTCCTCCCTTTTAGAATTTCTGGGATACAGCCTTTCTGGATACCCGTAGGTCTCCTGATAGCCATGTTGGCCAGCGACTGCACCAGCCATGGCCGAACATTGAGAGACTCAAAAGTCGTGTTCGGGTCTGTAAGGGCAAGAACCGTCTGAAGGGGCTCTTTGACATGCTGAGGCTCTGGTCTGGGCTCGGGCTTGTGCTCAGCCCTCCGCTTGATACGTGAGGGGACGTTCACAATGGACACCGCTGGCTCATCGTCCTCTTTGGCAGCAGGTGCGACTTTGCGCCTCTTCCGCGACTCGACGCTGTCGAGGTGGTCTGACTCGGAACCACTATCTTGTGAGTCTGCATCGTCTTCAGACACAGATGGCGACGATGAAGTCTGTGCATCGGACTCATTGCCCGAAGAAGAAGCCTCAGACGCGGCGACCCCAGAGGCTCTGCGCGGCACGCGCTTGACGGTCGAGGAGGGCATTGGCGAGATTACAAGAAGGATTGGTCTAATATGTCATCATCATAAGATGATCGTGCCGTGATATGCGGATGTGATGGCTGCAGGTTGGGTATGTCCAAGCCGACTTTTGGGAAAATTTTAGTTTGCCTGCACAGTGCGCTACAGAAGGAGACCGCCATTGGGAGGGATCCGCTGGGTGCATCAACGAGGTGGATTTAGCGGCAGCGGTGGGCCAGGGGCACCTGGCCAATTAGCGCCATTTAGATGGGAAACGCATGAAAGCTAAGACAACGGGCACCCGTTGACGCGCGCTTGGAACCTTGACAATGACGATCTGTGCCCGTGCCATGTTACAGACAGAGGCCGTGTAATTTGCTGGAAATGCATCGACTCAGGGATAGCTGGTGACGTCCCCAGGCGATGCCACAGAGGTTAAGGACGCTCTGAAAGCGGAGGGTGGGACACCTATATGGCTTGTCAAAGGTGTTCAGGGCTACCTATTACCTTAGCAAGCATTGATCAATATGTCCATTCAACGGCAGCGAAACTGCCAGTGGTGACACTTGGAAATTGGTGAAATCCGAGTTTCAAACCAACCGAGGACCATTTAGGCGCGCTTGGAAGTGTGCAACGGCCATTCTCCATGCGGAATGCTACCATTCGTGATGGAGATGGTGCTTGCTGTGTCTGTGTGCAGGTATGTATGTACCACCTAGGTAAGTATGTAGGGGATGGTAAGTGGAGGTGTGTGGGCTGCCACATGGGGGACGTTACTGGCAGATCTGCAAGCTGGGCGCCTCAGTCACTATCACCTCGGCCCTGGCGCCCAACGAGATCGCTGGAGTTTGCGCCCATCTTAGCCCTCCCACCGCTCGCATTTGGACAAAGGCGTTCCTGATTGAATATTTAGGGGGGAGGGCATGTTGACTAAGGGCGGACATATCATGCATTGAAGCGTTGATGCTCGGCAGATGCATTCACCACCAAAGGCAACCCACGATCACAATGATTGTCCGAGATGCCGTCAGAGATTATCATGCAATGAGTGCGAAGGAATGGTAAGGCGGCCTTGAGTTTTCTGGATCAGATTTGGGGGCCTTTGTGCCTAGGAAGCAGAGGGATTGCCGAGCGCAACGTGACGCAACGCAACAGCATTGCATTATGATCCCTCCGATCTCTCGTTTACGCAGGAGAACAGTCCTCAGTGGATGCCCTCCTGCCACGTTATTACCGCACTACATGACCTGGGACAGACACCATTATCGAATCCTTACGGCAGAGTGGTTTTGGACCCCAACTACTGGGGGCTGCAGGTCGTCAGCAGAGCTCTCGGCCCTACGGGTCATTTTCTCATCAATCACAAGCCGCTGCAGCCTCTGGTGGAGTGACATTGACAAGACTGCGCTGCAGAGGACTCTGACGTGAGTTGACCGAGAACAGTCAGTCCTACGAGAGTGAGTAGGATGGAAGGACATAGACGTGTCCTGGCACATAAAGTTTCGCTGCTTTTTGTATCATGATTAGGGCATGAGAGTATACGTAGGACCACTCCCACTTGGTCGTCACTGAGGTCTGCTGGCTCTGCGAGCATGGAGAACTCGATAGGTCAGGTCGAGGAGACATCTGGTCCCATCTTCTGAGAGGACACATTCTGGGTGGGCATGATCTTTGAATGTGATTGGAGTTGATGAGAGATGAGGTTGCCAGACAGCACAGTGCAGCAGGCAAGACATGAGGACTGTTCACAGCACAAAGCCACTCCGGACCGTGGCCCCCTGAACATTTGGACCTGCTATGCTCTACCATGCAGTAGCTGGCCGTTGAGGATCGTCCCATTGGACTCATCCGAGCCGTCTCCCTGGTGGGCCTGCATCCCAGCTCCCAGCTGCAGACGGCGATGCAGGCCAGGTTGTGTTGTGTGTTGGGTTGAGGTCCTTGTTCTTGGGTCTCTCTAGTCCCGGTCCTAGCTGGCCTGTCTCCTTGTGTTTCCGACTGACTGACTGACTGACTGACTGACTGCGCATTTGAGAAGATGTCCATGCCAGAGAGTGAGAAAAAGGACTGGCGATCTGGCGATCTGGCGATCTGATGATCTGGCATATGGCGAATATGTCGTTGGGCCCGTCATGCTGTCTGCTGTCTATTGTACTGCTGCTTGTCTAGATGTCTGATATCAGAATTCAACTCAGCCGACATCGAAGATGACAGTGATGATCAGTACCTCTGCCCAGCGCCCCAGCGCCCAGCGCCCATCCCACGTAGGTCCTGTAGTTACGCCACGACAGCGATCGTCTCGGTAGCCGCCCCGAGGTGTGTCGTGTTGTCTGGCCTTGCCTTTTCTGGTCGTCGCTTTCTGCAGCACACCTACCTCCCTAGGTACCTACCTCACAGCAAACCATCATAGCAATCGGGCTCTTTACCTATTAACAGGACTTGCCTAGAGAGCCTAGGTACTTACTATGTAGTTAGAGTAAGCAGGAGCGGGAGGAGGTCAGGAGAAACACGCCAAAACGGCGCCGTCCCTCTTACCCAAGGTAGCACGGGTAGGTACATGTAGAGAGTAGGTTCCGGCACCAAAGCATGCCTACTATGCAGTATAACGAACGTTAGCATCCCCTCCCCGCTCTTTGCCGTGCACCAAGCAAACAGTCGCTGTAACTTAGCCCTGGGGCCCCCTGTTCCTGGCCCTGGACTGGGCAGTTGAACCCTGCACATCTCGTCACAATCCGCTTTCACTTGGCCCAAGCACAGTGCACGACCCTGTTTCCCCCTACTTCCTTACTGCGTAGTACCTCCACCTCGCTACGCTAGGCCCACCCAGGTCAAGTCAGCACTCAGGCCCGTCAGGGTCGGCACCCCCGCTACTTCTCTTCAGCGGCTGTCTGAGGTGTCTAGGTGGCTGCTTGGGTAGCCATAGGGGGGGAACACAGCTGCAGACAGCAAGAGCAGTCACCTACCGGTACCTACCTGGACTAGTGACATGCAACATCAACCGCAGAGCTCCCACCTCCTCTTCCTCCTCCTCCTCGTCGTCCACACTTCACTTCGACCAACTTCTTCTGCCTCTTCACGAGACATCCCTCTCTTCTCTCTTTTTCTCCTCTTCTCTATCCTCCCTCCTGTTCTCGCAAACCAACGCCGCTGAGCTGAAGATCTCGACTGCTGTACAAGACTCAAACGCGGCCAGCCAGCCCCATCGCTCGATCCACTTCGGCCGAAACCGCGCGTCTGCCGCCCACCTCCATCGACGTCAGCCGTACGGGGGGCATCCAGCATCTATCATCCAGCATCCGGCTCCAACCAGCCCCAGCTTCTGTAGCCTTCGCCGCCGCCGACCTTGCCTCACTTCGTCTGAGCAAGCCTCACCACCGTTGAGCCGCCTCGTTATAGCCGCCCCTCCCATTTCCGGCGTATTTTGCCAGCAGACCATCTCCTCCCCGAGTCTTCTCGGCGGCCAGGCCAGACGCCTGTGCTCTTCAGATCATTTCTTGGTTATACAAAGACATAGAGACGTGCAGCTCGAGCCACAATGATGCACGACCACGAGAACTCAAATCTTGCCGCTCCCACCGGCGCTGCGGCGCCTTTACCTGTACGTCCTCTTTGTTCCGTTGTTCTAGACTTAAGCCTCTCCGTGCCATCGCCCCCCGTCGACAAACGTTTCTTTTTTTCCGGGCTGAACCCTGCTGTTTTTACTTTTTCATGGCGGCATCTGTTGCTTGTCTCTTGACATAACATAGCTAACTCTTGTGCTTTCCGCAACAAAGGTTTCCAATCCCTCTGAAGGAGGTGTTTCTCTGCCATCACAATCTGCCAGCCCGATCCCCATCATGTCTGCATCTCCTGTGCCTCTCCTCCGCCCAGCTATCCCCGGAGCTCGCTCCAACAGCGGCACGCGGACACCGCGTCTCGGCCTCGCCATCCCTCCATCTCCTAATGTTAAACCTCTAGGAGGTGCCGGTCCCCAACCGGTGTCATCTCGACCGCCTCTGCCTATACTTCACCTAGCCACGCCCATGGGCAGCACTGCAACCCCACAAGAGCACCCTGCCGGCCGTTCATCGGGACCACAGCCCGGACAGAGCGCCAGTGGTGGGAGTGAGAGCAGTGCGGCACACAGCAGATCAGGGAGTTTCGGGCCCCTGGATGGCAGGGCCAGCAATCCCACGTCCGCTGGCTCCCAGTACTCGGCGTTGTCATTTGCCTCACAGTATGGTATCGGCTCAACGAGGCCACAGGGTACACCAGATCCCGTCAGTGCTGTCGGCTCGCTCTACTCGAATGCCAGTGAAGGCGGAGCCGGCATGGAGCGGGAAGGCAGCTTACATGGCCTGGAAGCATTCGACAAGCTTACCCTCGAGAAGGCCAGGACACTGGATGTGGAAGATCTTGATGACGAGGGTTGGCGAATTGCAAGTCTGGAAAAGCGAATCGTAGAGCTGGGCAGCCTTGGTGAAGGTGCCGGCGGAGCTGTAACGAGGGCTATGCTCAAGGGTGGAAAGACTGTCTTTGCGCTGAAGGTAAGCTTACTGCAGACATCATCATTACGAATCTCAATTCACTGACACCACTCCCAGGTAATAACAACCAACCCTGACCCAGATGTCAAGAAACAGATTGTGCGAGAATTGGGTTTCAACAAGGAATGCGCGTCTGAGCATATCTGTCGGTACTATGGAGCATTTGTTGACCCGCAGACTGCCACCATCTCTATTGCGATGGAGTTCTGTGAGGGAGGTTCTCTGGACAGCATCTACAAGGAGGTGAAACGCCTCGGCGGCCGAACAGGCGAGAAGGTCTTGGGAAAGATCGCCGAAGGCGTCCTCCGCGGCCTGACCTACTTGCACAGCAAGAAGATCATTCATCGTGACATTAAGCCTTCCAACATCCTGCTATGCCGCAATGGCGAGGTCAAGCTGTGCGACTTTGGCGTGTCTGGTGACTTCGGTACCAAGGGCGAGGCAAACACGTTCATCGGCACGAGCTACTATATGGCTCCTGAGCGAATCACAGGCCAGAGCTACACCATCACTTCTGACGTCTGGTCCACGGGTGTAACCCTCCTGGAGGTTGCACAGCACAGGTTCCCCTTCCCCGCGGACGGTACGGAGATGCAGCCGCGCGCTGGGTTGATCGATCTCTTGACGTACATCGTCCGGCAGGCGATCCCGAAACTCAAGGATGAGCCTGATGCGAATATCTTTTGGAGTGATAACTTCAAGTACTTCATTGAGTGCTGGTAAGTAAAGAAATACCTACCTCCTCAACGCAAGTACGTAGCTGACCACGTGTTTTAGTCTCGAAAAGGAGCCGAGCCGCCGAGCCAGCCCATGGAGGATGCTAGAGCATCCTTGGATGGTCGAGATGCGCTCCAAGCGTGTCAACATGGCTCGATACCTCGCCCAGGTCTGGGGATGGGACAGCCAGGAAGAGACCAAGGCGGAATGAGAGCAGGGCGCACGGCCAGCAAAGTCTTTGAGCGAGAAAGCACACCACCATGGAAACTTGAGATACCCGGCTTGACTTGACGGAAACAAAACAAGCTATCACACTACAGAACCAGACTATCTGCGACACAGGCTCGGGGGACTTATATATAGCTATCGGAAAGGGGGGAAGTAGTAGCATACCATATCAGGGACGTCCACGGACGGCGTCGGCGGTATGATATCCAAGAAGTACGACTGGATATCTGTGGGTCATTGATGTCGACCAAGGCATCGAAGAAGCGCAGGGATATGGGATTTATGATGAAGGCGGTGGGGTAACTTGGATGTTTAGGATACCTAGTGAGGCCAGGGGCAGTACGAGAGATTGACAGCAGCCGCGAGAGTCGTTGCGGCTTTGTTGCGGGTCGAGGCTGGGCCTACTCAGCATGGAAATGAATCAAAACATCTACTTGTGCTTATAACCAATTATGTAGCCGGCGCCTTTGGGACAGAATAGCTAACCGTGCCATCATCAAATTCTAAAGTGACCAAGCAATAAGGCGATCAAATGCACCATTTCTTTAGTCGCCGAGAGCTAAGAATCGTGCCAAGGCCTTTTCTTCTCTTTTTTTCTCTGTTCCGCGATCAGGCGCGAGCTACATGGGGGTATCTAGTCTAAACAAGTCCTTGCACTGAATGTCTACTCAAACAAATACAGATCAGCTAGATGAACATCAGAATGTCTTGCCCGAATGCTGCCTCGAAGTGAGAAGGAGCATGGAGAACATGGCATCGTCACTCGTCATGTAGCCAACTCTGGTCCCTCTGCCTTTCAGGTCAGGGGAAGGACATTATCTGCCAAGAACCTTGGATCTCGTTATGTGCAAGTGCAAAGAGGTGAGAGTATTTGTCCCGAGGTACCAAAAGCATCCCCTTTGAAACTGAGAATGCCGGATGCCACATCCGCCTTCGTTGCTCCTTGTGAAGCAACATGTCGAAGGGCTTTTGAAAGGCGTTGATGTCGTTTGCTTCGGTACGTGGTGGCCAATGGGGAAACGTTGAATTGAGCCTCCTTGTTGCCATCCGCCTCCGATAAGGTGGCTGAGCAGGTTTGCATCTAAGATGCCACAAGAGATGGCCATGTTAAAGTGACGTCGAAAGTGTTGGGTATCGTGACAATATCATGAGGCGTTTTGAGAGTCGAAAAGGCATGGAGCGATGCCGGGTTGCAGCAAGTTGAGAGCAAAATGCAAATTTCTCGTCCATGCCTCCCTCTCAATCAGCTTAGACCGGCGAAGCCGGGAACTCGATACTAAAATCGGGATCCATAGTCCCCATTAGCTCGCGGAGGAATATCGTGGCATAGTTGCTGGATCTGAGTTGAAACTTGAGGACGACTGCAAGCTTCATGTCCTCCTTCAGCTCATTAACCCCAGGAGGCGCGCTGACGCGGCTGCGTTTCGGAGGGGCACGTTGGAAGTCTGGTTTGTCGGCCATCATTGCTAGAGCTTCCGGTTGCTTGTTGGATGGCGTCTGCTTAGCTGGAGCTTGCTCCAGGTACGAACTCGGCGCCTGGGTAAGCTCAGGGCGGGTGTCCTTTTCACCTTGACCTTGCGGTAGAACTTCAGGATGAGGGCCGGACTGGTCGAGTGACGCTTGATTCAACGGCGACGCTTGGAATGGCGTGTGCCCAAGTTGTGGATAGGCATCCTGGGGTTGGCTGAAGTGTGATTGACCAAACGTGTCTGAGGCACGTTGCTTGGTAGACCGCTCTAGATCTCGCAGAAATTGAGAATCGACACTAATGACTCCCCATCCAGCGTTATGCTCCTCCATTGTCTTGGGTACTGTGCTAGGCCAAGTAAACCCGGGTACTGCATCTTCTAGGGGTACTGTGGGCTGGCGAATAGGCTTTATTGATGCAGCGCCGAGATTGGACGCCGAATTGTCCACAGGCCTGGCTTGGCTCAGGAGATCACCAGTGACCGGGGGATTGTTTAGATGATTGTTCGCATCCGCCATATGACCATCACTCGGAAAATCTTGTGCCACCTTAAGACGCTTGCTCGTTCCTTGGGATGTGCTTTCCACCCATGTATCGCTAGTCCGTAAGTCGGATGGTGAGTTTGTATCGTTCTCTCGCTGACGGCGACGACTATCGGTGGCCGCATCGTCAAAGGTCGGCTGTTGAGGGCTGTTGTTTCCGCTTTTCTTCTCCGCGCCTTTTCGCTCTTCGATCACATCCAAGTCTGTGGGGTGCATCTGCTCGTTATCGTCTCGGTAGGCGCGAGCTGTGCCAGATGCTTCTCCAACGAAACGAGCCATGAGCTTTCGATAACCTCCGCTCAAGCTGAACTCCCGCTGTCGTCGGCGCATGTTGTAGGGATCCAGGCACCCGTGCTCAGGTAATCCCATGAGCTCAACATAGTAAGCACCAATGTCGTTGTCAGGATACATGACATCGTATCCGGGTAGCGGTAAAAGAATGTCAAAGATAGAGTATTTTCCGCTTTCTGCTTCTTCCACAGTCAGTGCACGAGCTCGGTCGCGCGATGGCTCCGCTGAGTCGATAGTCGAAGCTTCATTATCGTCCTCCGCCAGGTCACCAGAGTGGTTGGGGTCAACGAACACTAGGTCCCCCTTGACAACTCTACTACCATACCGTTCCCAGCGTCTGCTGGCAGCAAAGTTCCAAATGCAAGACTGGTAGGCATGAATATACAACATACGCATCCCTCGAGTAATCGAAAGAATCGCCCCGCAAAAGTCTCGACGACCACCTGGGTTCTTGCCGAGGTGATGAATTATTGTAGATTCGGCACTGAAACGGCGTGGCATGTGTTTCAAGGCGGCAATAGAGTTTCCACTCGACTTCCAGACCGAAATTGCCCTAGCGCGAGCGAGTTCATCGTGTGTAAAGCCAGCTTCATCTTCATTCTCAGAAAACGCGTGAGAAGCCACATCAGGGTCTACATAAAGGAGAGCATCAACGGCTCTCTCAAAGTCCTCGGTCAGAATCATCGTGCCCACCTCCTGAGTGCCGATTGTATGCGTTCCGAAGCGTTGAAGGCCAAAGTAGTTGAGAAATCCATTATCCTTGATGTTTGCTAGACCGAGGGATACGGCTTGCTGCAACATCTGTACTCTGCGCTCAATAGAGCAACCTCCAGCTCGCCGAAGGACGCAATCCTTGACGACTATGACAAACTCGTTGCCACCATGGTCACCAAGGCTGATAGGATGCGGCTGATACTTGTAATCTCCAAGTTTGTACCCCTGCATGCGGCCGTTGAGCCAGTCCAGCGACTCCTTACGTCCTCGAAGGACACACACTCGTTGAGTCGTTGCAGCCCTTCGATCTTTGGTTCCAGCGAAGTTGAAATTCGTAGATTTGATCCTGAGCATTCGGGCAATATTGTTGATCACCTCCATTGTGTCTTTGTTTTCCTTGTATAGGGTGAAATGCAGGTATTCGCCTCCAAGCTGGGAAAAATCACGATTTGCACCCCGACCGCCTCGTGGATTTCGACCGCCACCCTGGCGACCACCACCTCGTGAGCGGCGATTTGCTTTAGGTGCTGAAGTGGCAGTGATAACGCCATTATCATCAGTCTGTGTTTCTATCTGTCCACTAAAAATACGTCGGATCTCCTGTTTTTTTTGTTAGTATCCAAGACTGCCAACCATATTCAAGATTGTACGTACCCTATGGACCAGGCCGCGTTCTGCCTTATCAACAATTGGAGGGAATACGATTTTAGTTGCCGCATTGTTACTGGCGGGCTCCTTCTTGACAGGTTGATTGTAGAGGGTAGTGAGTTCACTGCTAGTGGACGCACCGACAAGCTTTTCCAAGAGTACCAGATCCTCCTGAGCAATAGCAGGAACTTCTGGCTCGTGCGACTGATCTGCAGCCGAGCCACTCACACCATTTGTATTTGTGGTAGATGGAGTGTTCTGAGAAATAGATTAGTAGAGTCCTTGTTTCTGGGCCTAGCTAACATACAAGGCTCTGCGGCTCTTCAGCGAGATTATAGTCGGAAAGATGGAGAACGGTGCCGTCCTTTCGCACCTCGTTGACGATAAAGTCGGTATATCTAGATGAGAAGCCTAGTGATTAGTCACAGTGAAATCGATGGCATATTGAAATCAACAAAAGAATCCAAAAGTTGCAGATATATGTGGTAGGTGGCGTAGTAGGACCAGAAGATTTGACCGATGTGGCAGAGCAAATACACTGTAGAGTAATCACATTGTCAGTCAACATACCTTTTGCGAATATCACCGTGCCAGCCAAAGTCGACAGGAGAGACATGGTGAATAATGCCAAGTTTATTCTCAGTGGTCGCCCGTACCACGGCGGAGGAGCTCGGTGGTGCAGGTGCCATCGTAGCAGTAGGTGGGCAAGCCCAGCCTTTGAAGGTGTGGAATCTGCAATCAGATTTCCTTCACAGCCCTACCAGATTCCAAGCAAATTGACAACGATCCTTGAAGCGGATGAGGGAGGAATGTACTGAAGAGAATTCATGCACTGCAATGCATACTTCCAAAGGTTATTTGAGTGAAGATGGAGGGATGGGAGCAGAAGTGTCGCAAACTTAGGTTGGTGGATAGCAGAGGTGTTTCGCAGAATAGCAAAATCGTCAATTGATGGAGGGGAGTTTTTGCGGCAGAACGACAGCCTGAAGCTGTTATCGTCGACTGTCCAGCCTTTAGGGAAGGCGGTGAAGATGATAAGCAGCTTGTGTCGTGGTGACCCGTGCGTAGACATCTGCCGGCTAATGGGTATGTAGGTCCAGGCGACTCTTCCACCTAACATATGTCACTCTCAGCTGACGGCGACCTCCTAAATCATCCTTACGTAGCATTTCCAATTCTTTCTTAGGTAGGAAGATTCATTATGCTACACTAACATCCAGTACCACTTCATCGAGCCAATTTATTCGAGAAATATATGAGAAACTTACGCTCTTTCTGATCTCCTAACCCTTCTGCCCTTTTTGCAACAGCTCTTGATGATCTGCTACATCACAATAAGCTTACAGTATCAAGGCCCCATTCTCCATTTGCTATTTCTAAGCCGATTATTCCTGGATCAACTCATTCAAAGACCCAACTTCTTTGCCGGGGTGACTCGGAATTGCTTGCAGGATATGAATTTATCAATTAGACTATTTTTTTGGCTACGATCCAGCAAGCAACCTTTTATAGTCGAGATTCAACTCCAACAATTGGTTTGTGAAATATTACTTTGACGTTCTCGCATAGACTCTCAGCTTCCATGGCCTTGATAAATACCTGGCAGTCCGAACCAGCGATGTGTGTCTGCATGGCTTCCTCGCTGGCATAACTATGTCTTGGTGAGCCAGTATCAGGCTTGTACAAATCGACCGACACTTACACTTCGCGGACTACTAACTCCTCGACACCTCCATTCTTGTCCTTGATTCCCTTGTGCATCTCATAGCGTAATGTGCCTGGCTCCCCGGCTTTGGCTGCCTTCTCCACGGCTCGGAACAGTGCAACGATCTTACACAACGGTCAATCATTTGTAGATAACTAAAGTCGGATTTACTTACCCTTTCGATCTTCCCCGGGTTTGGGGTAAGAATAGCTGTCAAATCAACCACCTTAGACATCGCAATTGACTTCTAGAAAACCGATGAAGTGTAATGAAAGAAAATGATATCTATGGAGCTCTTGAGGATGCAGCTCATGAAATTAGGTTACTGTAGATATTTATTGTGAGTTGGTACTTGCGGAGGCCGGCCAGGCATCTCGGAAAAAGAACACCGATTTTGGTGGACCCCTCTTCTCTTTGGGACTTGCTACCAACAGAGCGAAGCGTCTTTCCTGTGTCTCAGGTATCTCTTCTAAATGTATACTAACAGCGTATCTGACGCTATTCGTGTTCTCTAGCTGCAATGTTGGATTCATAATGACAATTGGTGCGGCGATGCTACACATTGGGTTACGCCGTGCTTCCTGTCCAAGCCTCTGTGAAATGGTGCTCCAGGGACTGTACGCTTTACTCTTTCCTTCCTTCGATGCACGGTGCTATCATAAGACTCTGGTTTTATGATCAGTGAAGGGCCTCTCTTGTTTTTTTGGGGGTCGCCGGTATCAATTGATGTCTTGGCTTTCTGGACGGGACCATGTCTCATATCTAAACTACTATTTTCAGGGTCGTGAGGCGGGTGTCGTTGGAATGGAGACTACCACTGAATCGGGTCTCAATCACCTGGGGAGGCACTTTTAAGGTTCAACCCCAGCAACATGACTAAATGGGAACACGTGCAGCCATAGACCTACATGAATCATGCCTTCCTTATTCGGGAGACAAATGACCTCAAATTTCAAACTGTTCTCTCTCCCTTGCGAGCCAATCGTGTTTTTATTTTTATTTTTACAATGAGCTCATGTCTCTGAGTCCTGACAGGATTGATTATTTCCGTCACTGAGATCATCATTAAGATACCAAAAGCATTAGTCCCTCTTATTTCGCGCCAAAACAACGCAGTTGAGGTCATTGCTAGGCTAGGGAAGAGCCGAGAAGTGGACAATGTCCGTGACGGCGCACGCAAGATCAACCTCTGATGATGGGCTACTGCCATGCCTAAGCACTTCGTTGTAGAGAAGCGACCTAGGAAATTCTGATGGCAGTGCCGAGGACAACCAAGGTAAGTTGGGCTTGCATACTGTTCCTTGCAACTCTGCTGACTGCACCTTCAGGCATAAGATCCCTCACACGCTCACCCTACAATCTTAACATTACCAGGATCGATAATGAATGGAATGTAAAGGGGCTTGTCGAGCTATCCGATACTGTGCGAGAAACCCTAGAGAACGGCAAGACGCTGGGACCGGACTCTGAAGAGCTACCTCTACTTCTGCAGGCGCTCATTGCCGCTGAAGTCAACAAATCTGCCACAATCACGTTCGATACGATCCGCGAAGCTTCCTTGGACAAACTCCTCGAAGACATACAAGATGGAACCAAAGGCCCACCTGATGCTCCTCCAACCTTTCACGCTATTAAACACATGGCAGCCGAGTTGCAGAAACACTGGAAGACCCGGTTCACTAGTCGATATTTCTTTATTGATGAGCTCCGCCGTACCGAATTGATAACGTCGGGCCGCCTGAGAGGCGTGAGGTTCTCCATGGACGCCACCGGCGAGCAAGGGATCTGGAGATCAAAGAACAAAATGTCTTCGACAGAAGCCGATGATGGATTTTCAGTAGAAGCAGGACAGTGAGTGCCATTATGATGAGGCTGTTACCACAGTCTTTCTGATTACAGTACAGTTGGTGGTTGAATATTGCTTGTGCTCAACGAGATGGCATGGTCGGAAGTAATAAAGAAGAATCGTCAAAGGGACCGTACGATGTGCCCGCTCTTCCCTTACTCAAAGGCGCGGAAGAAATGCTTGATGCCTATACGGTCAAATATTCACGCGAAGGTGCACTTGGAGACATGTTCGTACACCTTATCTCCCAAGTTGGCTCTCGAATTCGAATCTTCAGGGGTCACCAGCTGAGAAGTCTCCTCGCCCCACAAGCTGGGGTGAGGTATGACGGCCTGTATGTATTAATCTCTTATAGAAAGTGTTTTATTGCTAATGTAGAATTATACAGATACAGAATCCGACAGTATGGGCACAAGCTAGACGTAAACACAGAAGTATACCGTCTCGAATTAGTCTTGGAGCGTCTTAGAGGCCAACGTTCCATGCATGACTTGCGCCGCATTCCCCGGCCGTCCCAGCTGGATGACTGGAGAGTCTACGAGAGGCTTGAGGCGGATAAGTTGAAGCGATTGGCACGGAGTGATGCTTATCTGGCGTGGAGAGATCAGAAAGAACATGAACAGGACAGCAGAATCACATGGGAGCATAAGCAAGAATTCAGGCCGAGCATGAGCGGAATCAGTATTCACCCGTCTTGCAAGACCGGCACTAAGTTGAAGAGAGAGCCCGCTCGAGACCGGACCGTCACTAGCTATTTCGATCTTGGAGCTGAGCGTGGGCGGTAAGAAGCGAAAGTAGGAGGCTCAACATGCTCAGCCGCCAATGTTTCACACAACATGGGGTTACATTGAAGATTTCAAGGTGCTAACATCAATGAGGATGAGCCAAGGAATGCTACATAGACTGTCAAACGGAGCCTCAATCCTGAAGACAAGAGTTGGAAAGGAAATCCGGAGAAAAAAGGGGAAAGGAGCTTGAGCTGGAGGGAGGATGGCAAGGGTTAGGGTTGTTACTCCCTTTGTGTGGAGGGGACGAAAATTGACCAGACAGTCCCACACCCCTCAGTACCTATCAAAGACAGCTTCCACTGTATAAATAGAAATCACACAGACAACTGAGCATCATACCAAGATCAGCGTGTGATCACATTCACAGTGGTTGTAACTTCCCTGGGCCCGTATCTCAAATTCCTTCTATTTCTGTGAGGGTACGGCAATGATTTATGCCTAGTGACACAAATTTCGTGATCTCACCCACATCTTTCTTGTGCTGAGCTTGCACACGCATCTAGTCAAGATGGGCAAACAGAAAGGCGGAGACAGCAAGCCTTCTGATAAGAACGGTGGTGGCAAGTCGGCTAAAGGCAAGGGGAAAGGGAAAGATGATGCAACAGAGAAAGACACAAAGGCGAAAGGTGGACAGTCGATAAATGTCCGCCATATACTTGTATGGCCTTTGATCTGTACACCCTTCTGCTCCCTATTGACTTTCATATAGTGTGAGAAGCATGCAAAGAAGGAAGAAGCACTCGCCAAGCTAAGGGATGGTGTGAAATTCGACGAAGTCGCCAGAGAGTTCTCCGAGGACAAAGCGAGGCAAGGTGAGTTGGCGCCGATCAAGTAAGTTATATTCTTGAAGCAGCTGACATTATGCAGGTGGTTCATTGGGCTGGAAAGCAAAAGGGAGCTTGGATCCGCAATTTGAAAAAGTAGCATTCGAGCTTGAGACAAGCACAACTGCCAGTCCTAAGTATGTCGAGGTCAAAACGCAGTTCGGATACCACATCATCATGGTCGAGGGGAAAAAATAGATGCAATTTTACGATATATTCGAGGTCACAACAGCATTCACTTCACATGCATAGTGCCAATGAATAGCAAAGTAGTTTGACGAAGTTTTTTATGCCCTGATGCGAATTTTCTGTCCGTATGCAAGGTGACCTGGTGTTTGGTCCCTAATTCCTGCACCGATGCCAGCTGAAAAAGCTAGAGTACATCCGAAAAGTCGTGGACGCGACTTGAAATAGCCTCAATCTCTATGCCCCCCCGGATCGTAACGCCTGCTTAATGCCTTTTTATTGCTCGGTTTGGAAGTAGTTGAGGAGAATGGAACGCTCCTGGCTCTCCTCACCCCAGTCCTTGACGACGACGCAAGAGCAGTTGACGACCTTGCGTGCGTTACCCTCACGGTCCAGAACGCCTGTGAGCCCCATGTTAGCAACGAATTTCCTAGCAGCAAATTTTCTCAGAGATTACTCACAAAGACCAGCCCACTCGCCGAGCTGCTTGCCATCGGGAACCTTGATCAGAGGAATTTTATGCTGGGAGCACAGAGCGATGACCAGCTTCTTGTAGGCCTCCTCCTCGCAAGACTCGTTCAGGACGCACATGTGCGCCTGTCTCCGGTCCAGGGCCTTCGAAGCCTCGCGCAGACCACGGGCAAGACCATCGTGCATCAGAGCAAGCTTCAGCACACCCTTCAGGGCGTCCAGAACGGACATCTGACCCTTGGAGGCGGCATCGGCGGAGACTTCGACTTCCTCCGCAACATCGGGGGCGTTGTTCTCTTCTACGTCCGACTAGACGATTGCCACACAGGTTAGCCGGACAAGTTCAATGGTTTTGGATTATTATTTTTTTTGGCGACTTTGCGCTGCAGGATCAGGCCCGGCTTAGGAACCGAGCCAAGCCAGCTGAAAGCTGCGCAAAGGAGGCGTATAAAAGGCATCTTACCATCTTGATGGTGCTGTTGTCAAGTGCGTGTCGGTGCGATCCTCGAAGAGTGTTTGGTGTGATATGGGGGAGATTTCGAGAGTTGGGAATTTGAGGTGTCGTGAAAAGTTACAATTGGGTCGCGGTGTGCGAGGCGGGATGGCGGGCGAGTCTGTCTCGCTTGTGTGCTACTGGCCCGTTCGCCTAGATTAGGGCAAATTTCCCCACTTTTCTCCACCCACCAAAAATGCTCTTTGCGCACTTCAATTCTGCCCTTTCTCGAATTTTTCGTAGGAGTAGCTTTGATCTTCGACCTTCGACCGCCAACCCACAAAGGACCATCCCCAATCTTCGTCCTCAACCCCCCGATCCGAACGGATAAATCATCGAGGTATGTAGGCAACGCCAGGAAAAATGACTTGAAAATATGCAGGAAGAGCCCTTCGTGACGGCCGGGGAGAGCAATCAGGTGCAGCACCGGTGGTGGTGAGACGCTTTTCGTGGTCGACACTGTGGTGATGCGCCTCGATACGCTTCTCCTCATCGGTACTGAGCAGGCAGAACCCTCATATGAATTGTCATGAGAGGGCACTCTCCACGCTCTATGAGCCTCGAGGGCTAACGTTACTCTGTCGGCAGATACCTCATCTCAATTTCTACGATTTGAGAATCTCCGCACCAATCCTTCAAGATGGTCCGCACTTCCGTTCTCAACGATGCTCTTAAGAACATCAACAACGCCGAGAAGGCCGGCAAGCGCCAGGTCCTGATCCGACCCAGCTCCAAGGTCATCATCAAGTTCCTCAGCGTCATGCAGCGACACGGTATGTGGCTTATTTCTTTTCCTCTTCTCAACGATCTAGCATGGTCACTTCCCTTTCCGATTCGGCATGATAACTGGACGACGGTCTCAAAAACCCAACGACTCTAGTCTTTTAAGTTGCCGATAGATTGACCTGCGAAGATCTTACACGTTCTCTGAGTTTTTTTCGCCATGACGTCTAACGTTTAGTCTTACGCAACATCCACTGACATGCTTCATTCTCTAGGCTACATTGGCGAATTCGAGGAGGTTGACGACCACCGCTCCGGCAAGATCGTTGTCCAGCTCAACGGTCGTCTCAACAAGACCGGTGTCATCTCTCCCCGCTACAACGTCCGCCTGGCCGATCTCGAGAAGTGGGTTGTGCGCCTGCTGCCCGCCCGTCAGTTCGGCTACGTTATCCTGACCACCTCTGCTGGTATCATGGACCACGAGGAGGCAAGAAGGAAGCACGTTGCTGGCAAGGTTATCGGCTTCTTCTACTAGGGTAGTGCAGGGATGGACTGGCATGGCATACTCGGCGTTTCGGGGTCTCATTAATGGCCAATACCACTTCAAGCCAAATGGACAAAAGTGTTTTACCGCAAACAGCAGAAGAATTCATGCAAAGTGATGACCCTTATATGAAATTTCCAACTGTGAATGATCATTACAAGAGACGGGGAATGCAGTGTCTCGTGAATGAATGAACAAACTAGCATTGTACTATCAAGACAAAGTTCGGTATCCTGCCCTGAAGCTCAAACTTATAGCATGAAACTGTAGCTGACCTCGCTTGTTGTCATGCCCAAGAGGTAGTACTGGGTTGGCGCTTGGTGGCGCTCGGCGAGGCTCTTGTCTGCCAATTGCATTGACCACTTGGGCAAAGCGCGGGTTCGTGGCCAAGTTTGGTTTCTGTGGTTGCGTGTTTATCTTGAAGCGAAGATTAAGAGGTACCAGAGTTTTCGCGGGAGCATGCATAGAAACTTGCGTACAGTCTTAGCTGACAGACGCCCCTGTAAATAATCAATACTGTCCAACTTTAAAGTCCTGTTTGCGTCTTGTTATCTGTGTCTTGTTATTCCCATTAATCTGTACACTATATTCTCATGCAATGCTGTTACGGTACCGGTACTTCGATTCTGTGCGCCGTATGTGAGGAGGTCGTTGAAATACCGGCGTTCTGTCAAGGGTCTCTTAAATCGTCATTGTGCCTCACGGACGGATGATCCGTCGTCGCGTGCCAAAGATGCGGCCGCGTCAAGTCGTACTACTTGCGCTTCTGGTTTTCTTGACATTCTGCACATATTCTATCCGTCGCCTCACATCGACATCCACGCAACCGGATCCCATCGTTAGCTCAGATGGAACAAGATTATCACCATTGAATGGCCCTGGAGGCGATGTCGACGCGGAACCAGAGCCACCAAGAAGAGAGCCAAAGCCGGCACCGGCGGGGACACACCCAGTATGGCACCTTATCACAGACGCCGAGAGAGAGTTGGAGAGCATGAGAGAGCGCCAGTCTAGGACACTACAAGAAGCCGTTGCAGAGTATCGAAGACGTTACCAGGTTCCTCCGCCGCCGAACTTCGACAAGTGGTACGAATTCGCCAGGAAAAGGGGGGTGCAACTGATCGATGAGTTCGATACCATACACGAGCTTTTGACGCCATTCTGGGGCCTTAAGCCGGCGACAATCCGAGCAAGGGCAAAGGAGGCAATGGGGTTTGCCAACCAGTTAATGGGGTTTCAATTGCGGCAGGGGAAGATCACAAACATCCAGGGAGGGAAGGAATACAAACGAGAGGCTGTGGAGGAAATGATGAAGAATTTCGTCCAGTATCTCCCGAGTATGGACCTAGCATTCAACATCCACGACGAGCCAAGGGTGATTCTGCAGCATGCGGATATGTCACGGCTGGTCCAGACTGCAAAGACGGTGAACATGCCTGCTGCAAATTCTGTTCTTACGCCACGGAATTCGTTCACAAAGCGGCCGAAAGGCTTGAACGATGGATCTCGCTTCGAAGAAGTTAGGACGACGAGGTTCACCATTCTTGAGCACCAGCCCATTTGGTCTCTTTCACGAATGTCATGCCCTGCAGAGAGCCCTGCACGTGCTCTTGAGGATGAGGACAGGATCGACGCCGTTGGCGCATATGGGCTAGGGGAACTTGGATTTGTATACAACACAACGGCAATGTCAGACATCTGCCTGTCACCGTCGCTAAGGAACACGTACGGCTTCTTCGATCATCCCAATTATTGCACTGTGGTTCATGATCTCTTCCCAATCTTCTCGCAGTCAAAGCTGTCGGCATACGCGGACTTGGTATATCCGTCGCCATGGTACTGGCTTGACAAGGTCGAATATATTGAGAAGAAGGACATGTCATGGGCGAATAAAGAAGACAGACTATACTGGCGAGGGTCGACCACGGGTGGCTACAGCCGAAACGGAGGGTGGCGGAGACAACACCGTCAGCGGTTTGTCCAGAAAATCAACGCTGCTGACCAGGCAAGAGTCCTCGAGAACAACGGCAATGAAGAAAACCAGGACTGGAAAGTCAAGGACGTCGCTCGCAGCGACTACAAGGATATCATGGACGTCCATTTCTCCCATGTTGGTCAATGTGACCCTGGCGACTGTACTGCCCAAGAGCAATTCTTCGACATTGCGCCCGCCGCTGACCAGCAGGAGGCCTGGGGTTATAAATTCCTCCTTGACATAGATGGCAATGCATTTTCAGGCCGCTTCCACGCGTTCCTACGGAGCAAGAGCCTTGTTTTCAAATGGGCCATCTTCCGTGAATGGCATTTTGAGTGGCTCAAGCCTTGGGTACATTACATACCCTTGAGCCTCCAGGGCGATGATTGGCTAGAATCGGTACGCTTCTTCGAGGACAGAACCCTGGGTAAAGATGATGCCGAGCGCATGGCTATGCAAGGACGAGATTGGGCGAACAAGGTGCTCAGAAAAGAAGACATGGAAGTCTGGTTTTTCAGGCTATTGCTAGAGTAAGCTCCCTCATCCACTGCAACGTCCGCTGCAGAGGACTACCCTTGCTGACTATGTATAGGTATGGCAGAGTCATTGATGATGATCGTGACAAGATAGGGTTTTCCCCTGAAAGTCCCCGGGTCGTCGTAGAGTGAAGAGGCGTGTCTTTGGCTCCTTGGACTTTGTAGAAATAGGCGTTGTTAGGGCGGAAAGTCTTCATGACGATATGGACACACACGGCACATGCATATGGAAGGGCGTTATTTGAGCTGCTACGTGTTGGATGAATGGAATCGGTAAACTGATGCAATCTTACATGTATACATACTATGATACCACCTACAAACATCTATCAAGCCTACGACAGCTTGTATGAAGGCTAATCTCGCATATCGGTTCTCCCCTTGTTTTCTGATCTCATAACGATCATTTCCTGGAATTACCTTTCACTATCGCTGTCCGATCGCCGAGTTTTAGAGTACAACATTCGCCTCATTTCCAACCTCGCATTGGTATCAAAGCTACTCATCATCGTCGCCGTCGGCATCCGGCTCATCGGCAGAATCCGCAGCATCCTCGCTATGGTGGCCGTTTGTCGGGCCGTCATCATCTCTTCCATGCTGCGACGGCTGCGTGTCGCCGGCAGCATCCTCATCGTCCTCATCGCTAATTCCGAGAGGGTTCTCTTTATATCTCCGCATGTACTCGAGAATCTCCTCTGTGGGATCCTCAACCGTCACCTCCAACTGGTCGACAACCTGCTCATCTTCGCCCGCGACACCGATAGCTCGGCCAATGTTCTTGCCTCGCTGCGCGCGGATCGTGCTGCGCTGCATCACCGGATAGTACCACGCCGCCTTCTTGCCATCGCTGCTGCCCTTCGAGGTGGCGATGATGATCTCGTCGTCGTACTTGGTCGCGTGATCAAGCTCGGTCTCATGGGCAGTCTCGTACGCGCGCAGCCGGTTGAACATGAAGCAGGCATCATCATCGCTAGTGCGCGCCGTATACAAGCTCTCGTCCTCGCGCTCCGGGTTTGTGATGTCAAATTTGACGCGGAAGTTGGTGGCAGATCGTGCCGTGTCCGCGAGGTAGTAGTCATAGTTCATGAGATTTGCTGGTCGGGCACCGGTCGGGTCCGCCTCCCACGCCTGTAGCGCCAGCTCGTACGCCTTCTCCTCGGCCTCAGTCTTCTCGATGGGTTTGAAGATGCCGGACAGAAGGCGGCCATCATACGTGTCACTTACTGTGACCGGATTGTGCTGAAATCTGATCGTTACGTACGCGCCTGAGTCGGGGAAAGCATCTAGATCGGGTAGCAGAGGGTAGGCATCCTTAACCTTGATGCCTTTAGCTCGCTTGGCTGGTGCAGGATTTTTGATCGTGCGCGGGTTCTTCGCGAATTGCTCCCCGGTTTGGAAGCTCTTCGCAATCTTGCGCTTGATGTAAGCAGGTGAGCCGGCCTCTGGCTCAGGCGACTTTCTCTTCAGCGGCCGTCTTAAAGCGTTGTTGTTCAACGACCTCAGTGCACCCGAGTCTTTATGGGTTTTACTGGCAGCTGAAGAGATATACTCAGTGCGGCGCAGGAAAGACACTGCTGATTCGGAGACCTTAGGTTTTCCGAGTGTGGAGAGAGGTCTCAGGAGCGCTCGATCATGGGGATGAACTTGGGGTGTATGAGTTGGGGCCTGAATAGCTATGTAGATGTTAGCATATGCTCTCCCGCTGCAGCCCAGAGGATCTCCACATACAACTCTCGTCACCATCGAAGATCCCGGGCATGCCCACCAGGTCCAATGGCATTCCAAGCTCGGCATCGGCCTCGATGTTCAGCGGCTGCTCTCGCGCTAGACGAGAGGCAAAGCCGGCTGCTGTATATACGCCGCTGGAGAGACCAGTGTTTGGGATATCGAGAAGTTTGGGTGGGATTGGCGGCGGTGGCAGCGCATTCGAGTACCGGATTCGCGCGATGAAATCTTGATGAATTACGCGCTCGCTGCCGCGCGAAGAAGATTGAGACATTTTGAAAGAAAGCCTAATCAAGTGCTTCAGGCACAGCTAAGGAGCTGCGACAAAAGGTCGAGATGTTGGTGGTGTGGAGGAGGGCAATTTTTTGGTGGTTGTTTGGTTTGGGGTGAGGTTGCCGTAAATTCAAAGAAATTGGCGTGAGGCTGACCTTGGAGAGACAAAGCTCAAGGCTGGCTTCACAACAAAATACTAACCAAAAAACGAAGCCAGCCACCAGTACACCACAAATCCGTCGTTGCAAACACCTTCACGATTGAATTGATGAATTGGACTCTTGAAATATTTTGTGCTTGATAAAATTTGTTTGTTTTTCATCTATGAAAGTTGCCATAACCACAGTCTACCTACAGCCTTTGCACACATACTCCCCGTGTCCCTCCCGAGCCTGGCAGCAAAAGTGCCTTGTATCCCAAGAATGGCAAAAAGGCGCCGTAATTTGCAGCCTCGCAGCCGTTACCATCGAGCATGGCTGCTGATTAAAAGGTGTAGTAGAATTACACACGTAGTATCGTCATGAGCTCCGCAGAGTATGCTGGTCATAATACAGTGATAGGATGAGCTTATTCCCTTGAAGCAACTAGCGGCCTCGAGAATCTCGTGCGACATCTTATTTAGTTTGAGTTCTTGTTGTACCTAGCCTTGCCGAATGAGAACGGGACGTAGCGGTACTTGATCATGTGTTGGATTTGCTTGCGCACTAGAGACAAGATTAACGTTGTGTCCGGGAGGTTGTACACATTTTTGGGGGACTCACTAGTGAGGAAGAAGAGGATGAACCAGTACATGACCAGGACTGGCCAGAAGACCGGGACATTGAAGATCTCGAACCAACTGCAGAGGAAGGAAATGGCGATGGCTCGAGTGGCCGAGTGCCAGAACTTGAACTCTGGCAGTCTTCGAATGAATGGTCGGAATTCCTCGTCCTGCTTGGTGGGCAGGCCACCAGCTGAGCCATCTTCCATATCATTGTCGATGGCTTCGTTAGAGGGGTCAAACTTGGGCTGGAGGAAAGCGAGGAACAGGTTGAGAAGGTAGATGCCAAGCGCATACGCAACTAGACGATCATCAGCAACGTTATCTTCTCAACAAGAACATCTGCAAGAGATACGGACCAATGTACCAGCCTTGCGCCAGCAGAATCCTCAGGAAGAAGAGGAAGAGACCAACACCAGTGCCGATCCATCGATATAGGACGAAGGGGGTAGACTGGTCGAGCAGGGCTTGATATTGCTGTTGAATCGTATTAGCAGTCTGTTGTAGACTTCCCCTGACACCGAGTACGCACCCTCTGCAACTTAGATGTCTGCGCGCTGACGGCAGCGAAAGGGGTCTGATCAGGCTCTCCGGCATCCATCTTGACGCGGCTTCAACGGGGCGGCTCTTAGGGGAAGGATGTGAGTTCGTTGATATCGAAAGCCTGGTAGCCTCACGGTAATACTCAAGTTTTAGATATTCAGTGACACTGGAGGGCGCGTTGCGAAAAAGGTCGGTTTTGTGTGATAAGGAGTGCAAGCTCTGGCTGGGAAAATCTGTCGCGAAACTGCAATCTTGAATAATGGGAAATCTGGCCGTCTAGGCTGGTACGTACATCGCCTCACTAGCGCAGAGCAGATTGAGTGCCCGCTTGCGGTTCACGGGATGGCGAATAGAAGGGACATTTTTTAATTGGGCTGGGGTCAGGGGTCCACCCGTACTGTATCTACCCCCAAAATAGTGAACTAACAGAAGTAAGTACCTAGACACGCGCCCCGCAGCCTAACTGCCTCGCAGGTTCCAGTTTCGATACATGTCCCTCGCTAAGCTGATGATTGACAACGGCTCCCTCCCAGTGCCTTGCAAAACCGACCGGCCTTTCGACTACCAACACTTTCATGTATATTCAAACCAGACGGAACCTTACATATTTAGCGAGTGTGCATGATCATGATCCCCTCCGTCACGATAACATAATTCAAATGAGTTGCTCAACCGCTGCTATAGGAGTGATTTACACTATGTAAGGATCTGTGGTTGATAGCTACGATGACTGAAATAACCAAAACACCAACCATCCATGAAACCTAGAACGAGAATCATTCAATTTCTGTTCCTTTCCAAAGCTCCTTTGCTCTGCTCACGTCTGGATACTCAATGTAATTAGTACATCAACCTAGTAGAAAAAGGTATAACCAGATACTCACGAGAGCCTTTCCGAGCCATCGCTCTCGACGCCACTAATCACTTCCCGGTGTTTGGATCGTTTGTAAGCGTTGAACCACGGGCCCTTAAAAATATCGTCAATCTCTTCAACACTCAGGCCAGCAGTCTCAGGCACCATCAGGTACACATAAATGAGAGCAATAAAGCACCAAGAAGCAAAGAATATGAAAGCTCCCCAGTTGTTGGTCTTCTCAAGAAGCGACGGTGTGCCATACGCCATGGCGTAGATGAAAAGCCAATGGAAGCAGGAAGAGATCGCGCCGCCGAAGGATCGGATATGATTTGGCCACAGCTCGCCGCCAAACACGTAGGGAAGAACAAACAAGCCTGTAGGTATAAGTTAGAGAGTCGTCCGTTTGAATTGGGGTAATTTGACCTGCCAAGAATGTAACCCAGCGCGTGAAAGAAGATAAATGCAATGGCTCCCTGTGACGCAGACTCGTTGACAGCGTCCTCTTGTTTATATTTGATGTAAATGCCGATGTAAAGATCCGATATCATTTGCAAAGTTGCCCCAATGAAGAGCGACTTCCGGCGGCCAAGAGCGTCGATAAAGAAGAATGAAGCAATTAGTGTGAAAAACAATTTGGACATGGCGTACATGCCGGACAGGAATAGATTTCTCAAAGTTCCACCACCGACACCCATCAGGGTCAAGATAGGCACGAAGTATGAGGTGACGGAGTTCGCACCAGATAGTTGTGCAAGTGCGTAAGACACCAGTGTTTGCTGAACGCGTCGCAAATTAGCCGGCACAGTGAAAGTCTCTTTGACTATGCCCGTAAAGCTGAGTGTATGGACGCCATCACCAAAAGCCGCTCGCTCCTTGTGTATTGACTCTTCAATCTCTCGGAGCTCTATCTGCAATCGATGGTGTGTGGTAGGCAGGCCTCGAAGTTTTATAAGCATGTTAACGGCCTCATCGTGTCGTTCGGTGAGGAAGAGCCACCTCGGCGATTCGCATACGAAGAAACTGGCCGCTATGCAAATAGCCATCCAGATACATGGCGCGAAAAACACCGTCTGATACTGAAGTCTGCTAGTGGCAACATGGGCAAAAACACCGTAAACGGTGAAGGTGGAAGAAGTCAGCGCACATCCCATAGCGACATTGAACCACGCAGTTAGAAGCCCGCGGATTTCTGTCGGCGCGATTTCGACTATAGACATCGGACCAGAGACTGTCAGAGAACCAATCCCCCAGCCTGAGATAATACGAGAAGCATATAGTCCTGCTATGTTAGGTGAGAAAGTCGCTACAAGTTGTCCAACGATGTAAATTATGCTGTAAAGGCGGAAGGACCAAAGGCGGCCAATTCGATCGTTGATAAAGAATGACAAAGCCGCACCAAAAGCATAGCCAAGGTACACGATCGAAACGAAATTCTTGATCTGTTTAGGATTCGCTCCAGAGCTGATTCCGAATTGTTCTTGAAAGCCGGGAAGAGACGGAATGACCGAAGAGGAGCCCTGATCCCAGGCTAGTATGACTGATTAGCAGGCGATTTAACAGGTATGTATAACCAGGTCAGACTCACTTGCGGGAATAGCAGACATGGCATATAGAATAGCAGACAGAATCAAGTTGCGATTGAAAACAACTTCGCGTGGTGTGTTTCTGATTGCTCTGCCATAATTCGCCAAGGGTGACTTGGCAGCAATGTTGCGAAGATTCATCATACCGGGATACAAAACACGTTGGTTCTAATAGACAGGTTCCGAGTTCTTCTTTGCATCATCTTAAAAACAAAAGTGAGGACACCGCCTTATATCGGCAGAGATGCTGGCGCACTGCTTTTCGTGATCCATATGACTTAACCCAGTATTGTTGGTGAGTGACGTGCAATTGATTCTCCTCAGCTCGGGAATTTCCTTGATAGAAGCTTTGGATAGCATATGGAACCATGACTGAATTGGAATAGGGTGTAAGATGATTGGGTCAAAGAGTTCGGAAAGTTACGACACACCAATCACATTTCAGGGACGATCTCCGCCTTCATGAGTGGCATCTCGTGGAAAGATACGGTGCCTTATTGTAGGTAGGTATTTGCTCTTCAACCTCATACTCTTGAAGGTCAATACGAATAGGGCTCGATATGTATTCCATCTCATTAGTCGAGCTTTCGGAAAGATACGATGAGCGATGATTAGCACCATTTTTATGATTAAAAGCACAACATTTCAACATTTCAAATCCTTCGAATTCGGAAATTCCTCTCAAATTACATTGCTATTATCTGGCATCAATTAGTTCAAATACAAGACTAACAATGGTTTCCGTTGATTCCAAGATCATCATTGTCGGCGGCGGCGTTTTCGGCCTCAGCACCGCTTTGTGGCTTGCCCGTGGCGGATACAAGAACATTACTGTTTTTGACCGATGCGCTTTTGACGAAAACCATTATGATCCATCGAAGGGCTGTGATGGCGCTTCTGCTGACCTCAACAAAGTCTTTCGCATGGCATATGGAGATAATTTGAAGTAAGCACATTATGCGGGCCAGCAAAGTTTCCGTGCCAATTTTTGACGATGAGTTAGCTATCAAAACCTGGCACTCGAAGCCCGGAATCTTTGGCTAGCATGGAACCGTGATATCAAGAAGAGCAAGGCTTCTGAGCTGCCCGGTTCTCTTACCCCTGAAGATCAACTTCTCTGCATATGCGGCTCGTATCTTCTGTCAGAAGGCCGGGAAATGCGAGACTACTATGCAGAGAGCTTGAAATTGATGGAAAAGACCGCACCTGAACAACGGAAAATGCAGTTCATCAAGGTATATGTTTATAATAGAAGATATTCTTGTGAGGCAAGATTGCTGATGGAGCGAGTGACAGGGTGAGACTGAGGACGAGGAACGTTTGAAGAAAATTAGCCCAAAATGGGTTGAGAAATACCACATTATCGATAAGATCAACGATGGCAACACGAAAGGCTTCATCGACATCAATGCTGGTATCATGTATGCCGACAAGGTGAATACTGAAATTCTCACAATGGGTGACTATTCCAGTGCTGATGATATGCATGATACAGGCCTGTGATTACGCTCGGTTCTTATGCCAGAAAGCTGGCGTTCAATTCATTTTAGGCGATCCTGCAGGCAAGCTAGAAACCTTGATAATCGAAAAGCGCGGCACAACGAAGAGGGTTTCCGGTATTCAGACGTGCGATGGTCGTAGTCATTATGGCGACCTGGTGATAGTTGCTGGTGAGTTCTTTTCGATTGCCAGTCTTTGCAACTTCCAATTTTAACGAGTGATTGTCATAGCTGGTGGCTGGACCACGTCAATACTCCCTGAAGCCCATCGTACAGTAGAAGCAACGGCGGGGACTGTCATGTTCATGGATGTTCCTAAGCATAGGAAAGACTTGTGGGAAAAGTTCCATCCTGACAACTGTCCTGTGTGGTCGTATCGTAGAGGATACGGCGATGAGTAAGCACGACTGTTCAAATCTAGAGACAATTCATAACAACGAATCAGTTATTACCAAGGATACGGATTTCCTATTACCAAAGATGGACGACTAAAATTTGGTTTCCGTGGCCGAAAAGCAAGTCCCAGCTGCCATTTTCCCTCAGGCACTTGACTAATCGATTGATTGTGCACAGTGGACTAACTTCCAGAATCACCCGACTGAACAAAATCTGTATGCCTTTGCTTTTCCGCAACATGTTCGGCTCTCCTTAATTTCTTCCCCTAACAATTAGCAGTCGTATATCAATTCCTCGGACTAAATACACTGAGAATCCTATCAGCACTGTACCGCTTTATGGACTCTCCCGCATGAAGGAGGTCATTTCTCAGGCTTTCCCGGAGCTAGTGGGCCTGCCATTTGTAGAGAGTAGGGTGAGTGATACAATTCGCCAAATGTACAGCACTCAATCTAACACAACATGTAGTTGTGCTGGTACACAGACAGCATCGACAACAATGTGAGCCCGCAAGCTAACGCTGTATTGGGACAACACTGACACAGCTTAGTATGTCATTGATTATGTCCCTGGGTATTCAGACTCGTTGTTCATTTGCACAGGAGGCTCGTGAGTATCTCCATTTTATTATCTTTTCTTATCTCCTTCTTTGCTCTTTCGGTCTATGGGATCTTACTCAAAATTCTATAGTGGACATGCATTCAAATTTTTGCCCATTCTTGGTAGGGTAAGTCTAATTGGTGTTCTTCTTGCACGATCATGGCTCTTACGTTTTTTTCTAGCATGTAAAGAACCAATTGGAACGGACTCCCGATCAGTTCACCTCCTTATGGATGTGGCGTGTTGCCAGAAATGGGGAGGAAAACAACGGCCTAGCTGATGGAGAAGCTGGACCTCGAGAGATGTCTCGACTTCAAATGGCTGAGGGTAAGTATCGAATTAGCATGTGTCTGTGAACATTTAACTAACTCGAATGTGCTTAGTGACCGACTTCAACCTGGAAACGGTAAGAAAATGGGCTCTTCCTTAAAACGTTAATTAACAAGTGCTAGCGGCCAGCATTGAAGCTATGAGTATCATTTATATACTTTTTGATGAGTGCTTTGTTGCAGAGCCATAGCATCTATACAATAGAAAATGCAGCTGGCTTTAAAAACATACTTCTATTATCTACCGTATGCTCTCGTACGCGGCTTCACAAGCGGTAGTTCAATTGCTGAAAAGAAAGTTATATACGAAAAGTTGACTGGCATCGTTGTAGTTGTTGATGAGAATTACGATGTGTATTTTCAAATCTGAGTTACAAGTGGCCTCTGTTATATATCGATGCTCCAATGTGCCTAATTGTACCATTCAGTAACAATCTTGGAAGTTCTTGACAAGAGATTGTAGTAATGGTGTGCCTAAGTTTGAAAGGACTACATGCGCCTACCGACTAATTAGAGAATGACTTTGTAGATTGAGGCAGGGTGACAGAGCTTGTCATGGCTCCCCTACTCGGCAAAGTATGAGCTGAGAGGGGTGGCTTAGAGTTGGCTCTTATGTAACATTGCTTTTAAAAATAGAGTTGTTACGTGGGTTGACATGCGGGGATATGAGTTCCTACGGAGTTACAGTGTAGGATTTTGGCGTATTCGTTATATGTTGCGATTCGTCAATTCAACACTAAATCTGGCTGTAAGCAGAAGGATCTTCAAAGCCATACTCAATCACATGGTTCAGTTATGTCGTAAGACCTGGAAGCCTATGTAGTGGCATATATGACCCACCCTAATTGAAGAAGCAACACTAGTCACTCATTTTAAGATACTACTCCTCTAAATAATTGTCCAATCTGCTAAAAAGAGTGTCACAGAGATCGCGTGAGAAAAAGCCCATTGCTGTTTGTCTTCCAGGTCACCGCTTGTTAGACCAGCATGGGAGGTTAATTATCTTACCAATCATTTCATATTAACACCAAGGCCATACTTCGGTCGGATACGTGAGCTATGTGGTTTCTTTGAATGCCTCCTTCCTCTTTGAGACTCTGGTTCATCGATCAACGGTTAGACTTGAGCCACTTTGCATCGCGGATGGAACCACGAGACGATCAATATAAGTTCCCGGGGCACGTTACGAATCTTATTAACAACTTGTCTCTCGAGAACCTGAGTCATAGTTGAACAGAAACCCGGGAACGCTGATAGGTGACCGGAATGCGACTTGTTGCGGCATGTCGAGATGCATGTGTTTACAGCAACTGTGTGTCTGGTAGCAGTACGGCATGTCCGTGGCACCAACTTCCTCAACCACAATCAACTCCTTGGCAACGTAGAAAACCCCGACTGGTTTGAGCATAACGTTCCATTTCTCGACGTCCCCGAGCCACAGATTCAGGATGTTTATTACTATCGCTGGCAGACATATAAGGAACATTTAGTTTACACAGGTGCGCAATATGGCTATTTGGCTAGCGAGTATTTACACCCGGTCGATTATGGGGCGCCTTACGGGGGCATCGTGGCTGCGGCGGGCCACCATATCAACGAGGGCCGATGGTTGCGTGACTTGAAGTATGGCCAGGACATTGTTGACTTCTGGCTTGCCGGGCCAGGACAGCTCCCGAAGCCTGCAACTGAGGCCTTAAACAAAGACACGTCCGACTGGGCGCATGAGTACAGTTTCTGGGCTGCCGATTCCGTGTGGAAGCAGTACCTGGTGACTGGAGATCAGGATTTTGCTGTTGGCCAGCTCGACAACTTGGTCAAGCAATATCGTGGATGGGATAACCACTTCGACTCTAATCTCGGACTGTACTGGCAGGTCCCAGTATGGGATGCTACAGAATATACAGCAGCTTCGTTTGAATCAGGGGATGCTTATCATGGAGGCGCTGGCTTCCGTCCTACCATCAATGCCTATCAGTATGGCGATGCCCGAGCAATCTCTGCCATCGCGAGCTTGAAAGGTGATGCTACACTGGCATCCGAATATAATGCACGAGCCGATTCTCTTCAGAACGCTCTTCAGAGTCACCTCTGGGACAAAGATGCTCAGTTCTTTAAGCATCAGGCCCGCGACAATAATTCGGCTGGAACACTGCTCGACACTCGCGAAATCATGGGCTACATTCCATGGATGTTCAATATGCCAACGCAGAATTCCTTTTTGGCTGCTTTTACTCAGCTCATGGATTCACAGGGCTTCTCATCGCCGTTCGGCCCGACAACTACGGAAAGACGGAGCTCTTGGTTTATGTATCAGGCGCAGAATTGTTGTCATTGGGATGGTCCCTCGTGGCCATTTGCCACAGCACAAACCCTGACCGCTGTAGCAAATGTGCTCAATGACTATCCGTCGCAGACTTACATTACGTCTTCTGATTATTACACGCTCCTTCTCCGTTATGCTGCTACCCAGCATAAAAATGGCAAGCCATACATTGCAGAGGCTCACGATCCAGATACAGAGACATGGATGTACGACTATAGCGATAGAAGTGAAGATTATAATCACTCGACCTTCATTGACAATATCATAGCCGGACTTATCGGTTTACGTGCACAGCCAGACGATACGCTTATTGTAAGTCCCTTGGTACCTTCCACATGGAGCTATTTTGCCCTTGAAAATGCGGCATACCATGGTCACTCTGTTACCATTCTATGGGACAACACAGGCTTGCATTACAATCAGGGCAAGGGCTTAAGGGTCTTCGTTGATGGCAATCTCGCAGGCATGCGTGACACGTTGGGGTCTCTTCAAGTCAATGTTGGCACTACATCTATATCGATTTCAAATTCGCTTGTCAACATCGCTGCCAACGGACAACAGTTCCCTCAGCTGACCAAGGCGTTTGCCTCATACACATTTACTGTTGATGATGCTGCGCGTGCGATTGATGGTATCGTTTGGCGCACTGGGATCCCTGAAAACACCCGTTGGACGTCATACAACAGTCCCAATGCGCAGGACTATCTTGGCGTTGACCTTCGGCGAAGTCAGTCCGTAAGCGACGTTCGACTATTCTTCTACGACGATGGTGGCGGAGTCCGGATCCCGTCTACTTATGATCTCCAGTATTGGACTGGTAGTGTCTGGGTCACAGTGCCTAACCAACAGCGCAGCCCACTATCAGTTGCGTCTAACACTGAAACGAAGATAACATTCCCAGCAATTACAACTTCTCAACTGCGTGTCGTGGCGCCAAATGCCGGCGGCGGAACTGGTTGGGGACTTTCCGAGTTTGAAGTCTGGTCTGCGGCTATCTTCCAAATCCGCAATGAAAACAGTGGGAAGCTCATGGGAGTAGCTCAGATGTCGACTGCCAACAGCGCCAATATTCAGCAGTATGATGATAACGGGACCCGTGATCATTTATGGCAATTTATACCGGCCCCAGGCGGCTGGTTTAAATTGAAAAATCTCAACAGCGGCCTGTTGTTGGCTGTGCAGCAAGCGTCGACATCAAACAGTGCACAGTTGCAACAGTATGCGGACAGTGGGACAGACGATCACCTATGGCGAGTGGACTCACAGGGCGGTGGTCTCTTCTTCATTCGGAACAAGAATAGCAACAAATTAGCGGGCGTTGATGGTATGTCAACAGCTAATAGTGCGAACATCGTCCAGTTCGAGGACAACGGAACGAAGGACCATTTATGGAACATACTTCCAGCTGTGCCTAGTTTTTAAACTGCTGAAAAACTGTTGATATCAATTGATTATGCATGAGTCAATTTTTCATTAGATAGCTTCAAATCCTAATGCGCTACGTGATTCATCAAGTCGTCCATCCATCTCTTCATGCAACATCTTACCCTAGAAACTCCTGATTTGAGACAAGCTGCCAGCCATTATGTCTACGCAGCATTGTCGTTTAATATACGTACGTATGGAGAAGGGAATAGTCCCTTAGCGCCCATGTAGACGCCATGGAACCATTCCCCGTTCACATCCTCAACCTCCCGGATCTCAGCGCCCTTAGGGAAGAGTAACTCGTCCTCTGACCCCGCAGCAGGAAGCCATGTCCATCGTGCGAAAGCTCGCCAACCTATACCGCCATTGGGTGGGAACTTGTCTGTATAAGTGGCCGAGTCATCCGTTGAGACAGCCGTAGCCGAAACATCTTTCGCTACGAGCCTCTCCAGCTTTTGGTTGCCCTCGTACCAGAACCATTTCTGCAGGCCGGAATCGCCAACAGGCTCGATTTGCAGTCGGCGTCCGCCTACAAGATCCTGCAACGTGTAACGCAGCTGTCCGCCTTTGCCATCTTGGAAACCTATCACAACCATGCGGTGGCCCTGCGGGCAACGTCTCCAGCCACCCGGTCCGTTATCTGGACTGATTCGCTTCTCTGTAACAATTTTTACATAGCAGTTCTGACATATATCGTAGTCTCCAGGCCGTGAGTCAGGTTCGATGGAGCTTGTACAAGAGAAGCAGTGATACCGACTTTGGGTCGGCGGGATTGGATTTCGACAGTTGTCACACCTCGTAGTAAAGGTCAGAGCCCGAAATGGTCCAATTCTTGGAGCATTCGGCCCAGTCATGACGGAAGCAGAATAAGGCCGGCCTTGTGATCGAGGGCTGTTATGAAGAGGTGGCGTAGGTTCCGCGGGATAATGCGCTAGAGGCAATAAGGGATGCGTGCACGATCGCCCTTGGTTAACACAGTCATTACAAAACCCCCAGTCGCCATCATTGCAGACATCGCATCGCCAATAGCAGTCGTTTGTCCAAGCAAAACATCTCACGCAGAAAGTACCGCTTTGGAGACGGTCATCAGGATCCTCGGTCGTGAGCGTGTTACGTCCTTCCGCTCCCCCAGGTGCGCTCTTCGGGGGAATATATCTGCTGGCAAGTAGCTTATGAGGTTCCGCGAGAGACGGATCCGTCTTTCGATATCTTTCCCATTTGTTCCAGCCTCCGAAACCGAAGCCGTACCAGTGCAGGCACCCTTTGCCTTGTCTGTAACAGCTAAGACAAATATTCCAGTTGCCATCCTTACAAATTGCACAGTTGTAATGTAATTCGTACTCGATATGACCTCTACCACACCGCGAGCAAGTGATTGATGGCTCTTGATATAGTTGTGGCCGTTGTCTTGAATGACCTGGTGAGTCAAACGGAGGAGATACGAGCCCTGGGCTTGAAGGATTTGACCGCGAAGCGAAATTTGCTCCTGGTGCAAGTACAAGATCAGCTGGCCGTCTCCTCACGGGTGCCGCTGGTAGCTCGACCGCAGCTGTCACCTGGGGTTGCAAGATATTCAGCCCGCCCGCAGCCCTGGCACTGAAAGGCAAGACAGTTCCGGTAGGAGACTCCACTGAGTGAGAGTTTGTGCCCACAATGGGGGAGCTTGAGCTCCGCCCGTCAGAAATGCTCGGCCTATTTCCATTTGGGCCATTGTTCGTAGATCTAAGACTCAAATCAGTCTGTGATCGAGCAGCAGGCCTTGTCTCTGGTTGAGTTGGTGCAATCGGCACTGTTGCACTCCTGTCTCTGCTTCCGCTTGTTCGTCGACGGCGCCTGGGCTCATGAACCTCTAGGTGAGTCGTGCTTGCAGATGGCGGATATCTACTTCGCTCTTCAGATTGGCTTGTAGCGCTTGGTGTCCTTGAATGGCTTGAATGAGCCCTTTGCCGACTCGCCGATCGTGATGAGCTTGGCGGGTGTGGTCTCGTTTCTGATATTAGTGGATCAGAGTTCCGTGATGCACCGCTCGCGTTACTTCTCCTGCTTCCGTCATGACGTGTCCTTTCCCGCTGCCGCCTGCGATACGCCTCCGTAATTTTGCGACTAAGCTCGTCGTTGTTTGTGAGGTCAATATTGTCTAGATCAAGCCCGTCCAAGAGGCCTTCTTCCTGGATCTGCCGTGCAAACTCTTCGACCTCCCGATCCATATCCAGCGACTCGACATCGGATGACCCGATGAGTGATCTAATAGACGACTGGTGTTCAATTTGCCGTCTCCGAGTATCAGAGGAGTCATCCCGACGTTGTCTCGACTCGCTACGATGCCGTCGGCGCTCGCTAGTAGAGGCAGTTTCTGGCTGTAGCATCACGGTCTGCTCTGCCCTACGCCTGTTGTCCTCCTCAGTAGTCTGCCTTCTCCGTTCACGATCTCGAGCAGCTCGTGCTGGGTTTTCTCTTGGCTCCCGAGTGGACTCTCGGCTCGGATCCCTGCTTCGCCTAGTCCTGCCGTCACTAGACCGACTCTCACCACCTCTTCTACGCGATCTTGACTGTGACGAATCCGCGACAGCTTCCCGTAGACTCAACTCCCGCACCTCATCGATTAGACGTCTTTCTTGCTGGTCTAGTCGCCGTTCTTCAGGGGTCCTTTCTAGGATATCAAGCTTGGGAAGCACTGTGTCGCCCGGCTTGTATTTCTTGTTCATCTCCTCCTTCTCGTCGTCCGGCTTGGCCTTGTCCGGGTTCGCCGTCAGGTACATGTCGAGTAGCGTCGCGACAGTGGCATTGTGCCTCGTATCTCGGACCGGCGCCCGACATGACGGGCATGTAAAGACCGGCGAACCGGGGGCCGGGGGAGTTTGCGCATTCTCGACGGCGGCGGCTTGCCAGCTAAACCATTCCTTGAGACAAGCACCGCAGAAAGTGTGCAGGCAGTCCAGCAGTGTCAGCGGCTGGTAGAGAAGTTCTGTGCAGATCTAGGAGAGCGGTTAGCGCCTGGATGGATGGTGGAGCGGGCCGAAGCCGGCGGGACGTTATGATGGCGTAGACTTACAGAGCAAGTTAGTTCCTTCTCTAAATCTACTGCTGGCCTTGGTGAGTCCATTCTGACGCAACTTCGCTCCGTGGAGAGGGAGGATGTCAAGGAGAGTTGCGTGGGAAAAAGATTCGCAGACTTGGAGGGAGGACTATCACTGCAATACGAGCTTTCACCAAGGGACTAACAGGGCTGACAAGGATGACTGTGCGGGGCGCGGGGCGATAGAGTAGGAGAAAAAAAGTCCCAAAGAAATGGCACGCAGTATCTCTTCACAGAATCCAAGGCAGCATGATTTGAGATTCAAGGTTATTGGCCGCCTCTTCAGCTCTCGTATCCACGCCATAGGTGCATATTGCAGCTTGGAAGCTTCCACAATGTCATTATTCCGAGGAAGCTTGCAGGATAGTGGCTTCGCTGAATGGCTCGGCCTAAGCGATCTTGTTCCATAATCCAATACCTTACAATGATGCGCCGTTACAGTGCCAGAACACCCACTTCAAAAGTCCAGGATACTTTGCGCCGCAAGCCGCTGACCACCTCCAAGTGCTGATTGCTGATCCAGCCAGTCTGCGAACGGCCGCTTCTCTATTCATGAGTCCACTCAGCTTTCTTCTTCTCTGCAAAGGCCTTCATGCCTATTTTTTGATCTTGGCTGCCGAACAAGCTGTGGAAAACTCTCCTCTCAAACTCGACACCATCCCTCAGCGGTAGGTCCTGGCTCTTGTTTACGACCTCCTTGCAGCCCTGTATGGCGACTCTCGAGTAGCTTGCGATGGTCTCGGCAGTCTTCAGAGTTGCTTCCATGAGCTCTTCATAAGTCGGGAAGGTCCTGGCAGCAAGTCCCCATTGGTAAGCCTCAGCCCCGGAGAACGACTTGCCCGTGAGGATAAGTTCCATTGCTCTCGACTTGCCAATCGCTCTCGTCAGGCGCTGGCTGCCTCCAGCCCCGGGGATGGTGCCGAGCTTGATCTCTGGCTGGCCGAAGTTGGCGTTGTCGGTGCAGTACAGGATGTCGCACATCATCGAAAGCTCGCATCCACCACCAAGGGCGTGGCCGGAGACGGCAGCGATGATAGGCTTCTTCACCTGAGTGGTAAGGTTAGACCAAGATTCGATAAAGGAGTTGGTGTAAGCCTGGGAGAAGGTCAATGGAGCCATCTCCTTGATGTCTGCACCCGCTGCGAAAGCCTTTTGCGATCCAGTAAGAATGATGGCGGAGACGCTGTCTGAGGTATTGAAAGCGAGGAGAGCTTCATTGAGTTCGTTGATCAATGGCGTGCACAGGGCATTGAGCGCCTTTGGTCGATTCAACGTAACTAATGGTGCTTGTCAGTAATTGACTAATATTTACGACCTCAAACGTCGTAATCACCTTGGCCAACGCCTGGTTTTGGCTCTGACACCTGAATGTATTCGTATTTGCGGCTCGCACTTGCAGAGAAAGGCCGGGACAGTCGAGGTAAACTGGTAGGCTGAATGCGGGACGCAATCGGTCGTAGGCTCTTCAGAGGGTTCATCTTGCCGACTGACAGGCAATTCGTCCAAGGTTGATGGAAGGGACACCAAGGGAGATCTCGAGCTCATATAAAGATAGGAGAGATGGGACCCCGGGCAGTTTGTTAATCAGCTGCGTGTTGTTGGAGAGGGAAGCGTCACATAAGCCTGGAGTATCATAATTCCTGAGCTCCCCCAAAGCTCCGATAGAAACCGAGGATAAAGAGCTCCGGCACAACGTCACTAGCCCCCCACCCTGACAACCGAGCCTAGGTGCGCCACAGCCCCTGGCCCCTAGCCACAGAAGATAACCAGTCTCGCCAGTGCAGGTGCACTAGCACCCCAGGGTGCCCCCCACTGAGGAGATATGAAGTGCGGAGGAGGCTTCGAGTAGTTGGACTTGACAGTTTCCTTCAATCCGAACCGGAGGACCTCGTAATGAACGGAAAGACATGACAGTCCGCATTACTTAGAGATATCGCGCAGTGTCAAGTTTTCTATTGAAGAATCATCGCCGTACGACTGTTGATGGTGTTGCAACATGCTGCCCAATAGTGGCTCGCAACGAGTTCCAAGCGGACCCATCAAACGCAGGCGAACAACAGGAATCAGAGCCCAGGATGCCTGCATCACTTGTAAAGAGCGAAAGCTGAAAGTCTGTACTCAACGATACTTTCGAGGACCCGAGCTTATCGAATTCTAATTATATGTTTTAGTGTGATGATCAACTCCCAGCGTGTGCGAATTGTCTGCGGCTAGGCTTGAGTGAGTAGACAGCTTATTCATCGTCTTATCAACCGTGATTCTTACTGCGAACTAGGTTGTCTTGTAGAGTATCCGAATACAAAACGACGAGGTCCACGTAACTATGTGGAAATATTGGAAGAACGAGTCGCTCAGCTCGAGACTTTACTGCAAGAGAGAGCGGCGCCTCCTGAAGCCAACCACTCCCCGTTACCATCGAGTCGTCTCATCGATGAGGAGAGTAGCATCACTTCGGTCACCGTCCAGAACAGCAAAGATGCTGATGCAAGAAGCCAGTTAGCCTCAGAGGTTGGAATGTTAAGCCTAAATGCAGCTGGAGCGGAACCACACTATCTCGGATCCTCATCTGCGTTTGCTTTCTCCCGCATCATCAGTTCATCCCTGCAGAAGCTCGTGCCAGAGAAAACCACCGCTGCTTTCGGCGGACTTGACGACCAGATTTCCCACTTGACACCCTGCCCATTACCAGATTACAACACAGGTGTGATGCTTAGCAACGCATACTTTCGAAATATCCACCCTCAATATCCGTTTCTTCACGAACCTTCATTCAGAATGTTAGAGACAAAAATAATGAGGCCTTCTCTTGGGATTGAGAGTTCTGAATTTGATCCTGTGTCATTGTTCTTCGTCAATATGGTAATCAAAGCTTTAACATCCTTGAGGCGAGTCGTTTGATTGATTGTAATAGGTCTACGCCGTTGGTGCTTTACTATTACCGCGCGCAGAAGTCTTGTCAAAAGTAAGCAAGCTCGACAATACTCTTCACTAAAAGCTCAGCATGACTTACCTACCCTTCTAGAGACTGTATATTACAGCACAACTTTATATAGGCCACGTTGTCGAACAGGACAATCTAGAAGCAATACAAGCTCTTCTCTGCTGCGCAATGTATTCTCTCCGGTCGCCGGTTGGGCCATCTATATGGTAAGCAACGAGCTATGCCCTTTCAGAGAGATCTTGAGTAATATATGAATAGGAAATTATCTGGTCTGGCGCTTCGCCAATGTATTGAGTTGGGCTATCACCGGCGGGTCAAGCGAACAGGATCATCGCTGGAGCCGCTTCGACTTGAATTGCAAAAGAGAGTTTTCTGGTGTGCCTATATTATTGATTGTACCGCTGCAAGCATGTTGGGTCGACCCCTTGGTATACCTCCACAAGAGATTGACGCAGAAGTACGCATGGATATTGTCATGCCAGGTTTGCTTGCTTTGACTGACATGCTTTAGTTTCCACTAGACATTAACGACTCTGCCCTCACCGCGTCGGAAATCCGCGAGAAACCTCGGGGCTCATCTAGTGACCCTCCGACCACTATGTCTAACGCAATACATGTTATTCGGCTTCGATGGCTTTGGGCTCGCATTCATACCTCTCTATACTCGGATATCTCAGCCTGTGACCCGAATCACCCGACATATATAAGTCGTATTCAGCAACTACGAGCTGAAGCTGAAGAGTGGCGGGCTTCAGCGCCCCCTATCGGCCCGCGCATTGGTGATGCCTTGACCATCTTTTCCAGTAAAGACTGGTTCGATTTAAATTACAGTGGCACCATTCTCTATATCTATCGTGGGCAATTGATTGATGGCAGGGGTACTTCCGAAGCTGTTTTTTCCGAATGTGTACACGCCGCAAAAACGATCTGTCATGGTTATCGGCGTTTATACGTCGGCCGTCCGCTGAACTACACTTGGGGAGCGATTCACGTCATCTTCATGGCTGGGCTATTGTACCTGCATTGCCTCTGGACATCACCTAGTGTTCGAGATAGTACTCGACAGGACGAATTCAGTCGCATCTGTACTGACTGCACAATGGTCCTTGTGGTGATGGCTGAGCGGTGGGAAGGTGCCGCGCCGTTTCGCGATATTTTCGAAGCACTTGCTGGTGGCACGATGACAATGATGACGGAAGAAAGCCACAGAGACTCGGAAATGGCTATTCCTCAGGCACTGTCTAATGACGTAGACCAAGGTGATCTTTCCCGTTGGATGGCTGAAATCGGGGATCTGGGTACCTCGGATTGGATTGATGACTTTCTGACTGGGCTGATTCATGATCATCCATCCGACACAGCTCTTAGCAACCCCGGTGAAGCAGTAGCCAGCCCAACAGCTCCCGGAGGCGGCCATGATTTCAATTACTTAGACGCAGGAAGTTGGACAAATTCATGAGTTTCATGAAGATGTCATGAGTAACTCTAATTTATCAGCTTATACTTAACAAATTTGTTTACACCAAATTTTCTCTTGAATATCAGCCTGTAAACAGTGCTTCACGTTACCTATACTAAATATACTTTCTTAAATTAGAAGTTCCTCTTCATGAGATGGCTCCTGCTACACGGATCATGCATTCTCATAAGGCCCTTGGGACAGTTTTCTTTCATTGAGATAAGAATCTGCCATATATATTATAGGTTTGACTACCTGCCTGCTTTCTCTTAGCGATGCCTCTTTAAGGATAATACTTATCTAATTGTTGTTTCTAGGAAAAGTATTTGTTTCAAGAAGATTATCTAAAGCCTTAGACAAAACTAAAAAAAGAATGTGTATGTCGCAACTAAGGTAAGAAGAGGTGATCAGGGAGCAGATTGAAAGAAGATTAGGTGAAAATCCTCGCACCCCTTTGAGGCTTACAAGAGGTTTAGAAAAAATAGAAAAATAGAGAATAGAGCCAAATTCACTCCGAAAAGAATTCTTTCTTTTTTGCTAATCTTTTAGTTGTCATGTTATTTACTTAATTTGCTAGGTTAATCAAATGTGTATAGTCTACTATCAGCATATCTAGTAGCTATAGATTTGTCTCATACGATTTTTTATTTTATTTTTTTGATTTATTTTTCTAGAGTTTTCCTCCCTTGTTGTTGCTTTCTTTATCTTTTTCTTAGTATAGCCAACTGAACCGGCAGTGGAGAAATTACCAACCAAAGGCCTGGAAGAGCAGTTGGAGAAGAATGCTGTGAATAGGTTGTGCCAGGAACGTTGTATATCTCTATATTTACTAAGAACATACTAAAGTATAAGGAAATACATTTATGTTGGGGCTATTCATGCCCCCCAGGGAGGTTTCCAATCAGTTTCCTGAGCTCAGGACCAGTCCCAGGTGGACTTCGTTTAGCTATATTGCAGTCAAAGCCTCCATTCTCCTGTAGTTCAAGCCCTCCCATCTGATCTCCAGAACATGGTCGGCGACAACTCTTTGTAGACATCTCTTTTGATATATACGAAATCGTCCAACAATCTCATTGCCCTTTCCGCTTGACACGTTTCTCCATGTTCTGTGACACTAAGAAACCGGGGACGTATACCACTTCTTTTGTTTACCATCGATCGTCTCTGTTGCAAATCTCCTGGGCATGTCGTTGACCTCCGCACGAGTCATACGTTCCAGGAGATTGACTGCCGTGTTGGCTTTAGACACAGCCTCGATGGTCTCCATCGTGGGGTAGTAGAAGCCAAACGTTGGCAATGATGGGTTTCAATTTACGAGATGAATCTTCCCAAGTGTCTTTTATGTAAGAGTTATAGACTAGTCTACTTTGATAAGTATCTTCCAATTCTCTGGGCATACTAGCTATCTGGTCGCTGTTTCGAGATACGACCCGAAGCTTTTAAAATACTAAAACACTAAAGATTTCATGCTGCAACAGGTACAATCCTCCCCACCACCTCACCTCCATTTACATCAACAACAAAGTCATTAATCTTCCCATCATTCTCAGCAATCTCCTCATTCTCGTCTAGATAGACATCAACGAGCATATCCTCCACAGTCTTGACTGCGGTGATCAAACTACGAGCACCAAGGTCAATGTGGTATCCGGCTTCTGCTAAGAGCTTGCAGACTGATGCATCCCGGCGAATGCGCAGACGGACATTTCCTAGAAGCTGTTCCTTCGGGCCTGGCCGGAGACTGATAGGTGTCCTGACTTTATGTCCTAGCTCCAGAAGGAACTTGTGAACAATCACGGCTTGCTCGCCTTTAGTAAAAGGCAAGAAGGGAATAAATTCCGAAATACGACCCGTGATTGGGGCCTGAAGGGTGAGTTAGTCATGAGAGTGTATTCTAATGAAGGCCAAAAGCCACATGTGACTTACACCGAAGATTGCAACTGATCTCTCCTTGATCTCGCCAGAGAGCTTCTTCACGAGTTTTTCCTTGTCGGCCTTATCGTTGTCAAATATTGCGTCATTCTGTTTACAGAACTCCACTACGACATCCGGAGTCAGTAATTGCTTTATTAGGACAGTGAAAGAGCAGGGTAAGGCACGAAAAGCGATATTTCTGGAGTAACCGTCTACATTGGGACGGTGCTTTATCTCCATTACCCCAAACATGGCTGAAAGAGGCGAAAATGAACTCCGAAAATTGCTTACTGATCTTGTCATCCATTCCATTGGTTGCTAGGATCCAAATTGTTTGAGAGCAGTCAATGGGGGTTCTTGTACGTCTGTCCTCATATTCTCCTATATGTTATCAGCACTAGAGCGCGTCAATGTCTAATCCCGTCTCACCTTTGTCAAAGGGGAGGAGCAGAGTCTGATGGATCTCTGATGATGTCTTGTCAAACTCGTCTAGGAAGACAATACATCGTTGACCGGAATTCCTGGCGAGAAAGTTGTTGAGTTGCGAACCATTCTCAGAGCCAACATATGGAGCGCGGGCGCCAAAGAGTTCCATCTCTCGGTTATAGATGGTACAATCGACCACCTCAAGCTCGTGTGATAGTAGATATCCGAGACGTCGAGCCAGCTCAGTCTTACCGTGACCAGATGGTCCAGCAAAGCACAATACTAATGGTCGTTTGCTCGGCACCATGATATAGCTAAGAAGTTTTTGCAGAAGCTTGTTCGCAGCCGTCGTTTGACCAACAAGGAAGTACGGTATCCCGAGAAGGGGCTCTGCATTTCGAAGCTTCGCTACCTGTCTGTGCCTGGTAGATGGCTTTTTCAATCTTGTAGCCCGCTCAAGGAAATATCGCTGAGTAAGGTTCGCAGTCCTCGCGAGCCTTGCCCTAGCGGTTCCTCTGCACCAAAGCTTGTTGTCGTCGCCTCCATCTTCCAGTTTCTCGGGACCATTATCAGGCAAGTCTTGAGAAAATGGACTATAGAAAGCAGATGGGATAACGTCCGGAGAGGCCCCTAAACTTAGTAGGGTGGCGACAACGGTCGAAGTGTCCATTTGGATTGCCTCGCTGTTCATGATGGCGAAGGCAAGAAGTGGTACACCAGTAGCCTCTCTGGCCTCTACATCTCCTCCATAGGCCACCCACTCCCTGAGCAATGGTTCATAATTGGTCGCCACGACATAAAACATGGCGGGAATGCCTTCTACCAAGTCATTTATGTGCCTCTGAACTGTACTAGCGCCATAATACCCGAGATAATTCTGTATCATCTGCAGTGGTGCACCATGTTGCATAGCTCCGATGACATCCCGCAGGCTAAAGCCTTCTTGACTGTTTCCCATTCCGGGGGTCAGGCTTGGTGGCGGCGAAATCAATGGCAGCAAAAAGTTCCACTCCGGCTGTTCAAATCGGGGTTGATCTACTACCATAGGCTCCGGCTCACTGTCGGAAGTGGGAGGGTATGTACCACCACCCGGTAGCTCAATCATAGGCTCGGAAAACACAGGAATACCAGGTGTTATAGTCTTAGATATATCTGGGACTGTAGGTTCGCTTGGCGGAGGGAAGTATGCCTGGTATATAGGAAGTTGTTGGGGTCTCGCGTCAATTTTACCAATAGGCTTTCTCCTGAACGTCAAGTCGGGGGAGCTCGGGTCAGTACTCGGCGGAGGCGAAGAGAAGTCTGTGTTGGGCGTATACACTGGAGGAGATCCGCTCGAATATTCATTGTTTGGTACATCAGCAATATCAGGGGTCGGTATGTTGGAGTCTACAAACGAGTTCAATGACGACCCGGAGACGTTACGACTATGAGGACCAAGTAAGGAAGACCCGCTGGGGGTCAATCCCTCAGGTATGTCAATCGTCGGTATAGAGGACGGTTCGGATGGTCGGGTTCGGGAGTCGCTGTTCCTAGGGAGTGATGGACTCGGAGGTTTCAAGCTACCATTGCTATCAGGTGCTGACAGAGGCGAGCCTCGTGAGCCGCCGCGTGTTTCGTCTTCTCCGAGAACAGAAGGCGTTCTGGTACGAGATGTTGCTGAGGCTATTGAGGCATTCGACGGTCGTTTCATATGTATCATCAGAGTTCGGTGATGTTTCTTCGCTTTCTCAGGGTCGTTCTTCGCTCGCTGACCAAGGTGTCAGCGGTGACAAGCTAGGTGATCACGTCTTGCCATACCTTCAATAATGATATCGCTCTTTCTTCATTACACTGGCATTCCCTCATAATCTCCTGGATCAATTCCCAACTCGGCATAGCGATAGTATGTTCGGCCATTGCGAATAGATTGCAGGCTTCGGGAGCCGGGTTCGCTGTCAAGATTCTCGGTATCACTTGAGATTGCAAATACTCTGGAGAGTGTTGATTAGAACTATGGGATTCAACTCAGTTCCGGCAGAGGTTCATTTGCACGAGGATCTGGCGCAGCCTTGTCTGTACTCAGACAGGACAAGTCCGGCATGCGCCATCTTGAGGAGGCATCGGTGTGCATGAAGTGAGTTTCACCTCCTGCAAAGCCTAACCACCAACGAGACGCTAAATTATCGTCGCTTAAGATGTGGCAAATAAACGTGGTGCCAATAGCTTCAAAACGATAATATGAAATATTGGCATGCAGGTGACGGCCTCTGAAGTGGTGTGGCTCAATATCTGGCGGTTTCGGTAAGGTTGATTGCGGTGGCTGTTCAGCTGAAGGCCTGGACCTCGCGAGGCTCTGGGCCTCCGACGTGATGATAACCGACGTTGTATTCATTCCGCATTTCCTTAGCCAAGTTGGCAACGAAACGAAGAATTTTATGAACTTGACTCCAATATGTCGAATTTTCACAGAAATCGAGGGAACAACTACGGGCCAGCTGGTGCTTTTGACCAAGGAGCACAGTTCGGCATCGCTGAAGTCCAACATCTAGCTGCACAAGGCTTCAAGCAGAATCCGCCAGTACCTCCCAAGCTCAACTCTCAATTTCAAATTGGATCAGTTCAGGATAGCCTACCGGCAAGAGACTACACGGTGACTGGTAATCAAGCAATTCCACGGACTCAACTAAGTCCCCGCCAGGACATGAATCATCTCTCAGATGAGATAGCTCAACTCAGAGCAGAATTGGAAAGCAAGAATGAAGAAATCCAGTCAGCGTATGACGCAGCAGATAGTGCAGTGGAAGAGTTGACGACCGCTCAGGACGAGCTTGAAGAGACAAAGCAGCAACTGGACGAGAAGGCCAGACAACTAGACGAGAAGACCAGAGAACTAGGACGAAAAGAAAGAGAACTTCAAGCATGGAGAGGGAATGTAGAGAGACTCTCCACCGAGCTTGATGAGAGGATCCAGACAGAGGTCTCCCTCAACCAGCGGCTTTCTGCAGTGCGCTTGGAGAGAGCCGTGACGCCACAGAATGATGCAGAATTGCAAGCTCTAAGAGTCGAGGCCAGTAAAGCAAAGGCTGACTTGGAGGATGCTAGGGGTCGACTCGTCAATAAGGAGCGCGAATTTGAGACCGCCCAAGTTGACCTGTTGGACCAACGGAGGCGACGTGAACAAGCAGAAGCGAAACTTGTGGAGCTGAGAGCAAAGCAATTGGATTTTACTCAACAATCAGAAGCTCAGCGCTTAATCGAAGCAAATGCGCGGGAGGAGGTAGCAAAAGCTCAAGCAGAAGCTACCGAAGTCAAGCGTCTTGTTGATTTCTTCAAAGCTAATAGCGAGAAGATGTCTCGGCAGAATAGGGAGCTGATTTCGACGCAGCGGCTACTGCAAGAGTCATTGCAGGGCAAGGAACGTGAGCTTCAGGACCTAACAAATGAAATATCTGCTCTCAGATTTCAGATGGGAGGCCAGCACAGTCGTTGAGCCGTCCATGCGTATCGCGATCAGCCCTTGGTACGTGAAAGAGTACAAGTGACCATGCCAGCTTACTTCTATTTGATCTGGGCATGGAACTAAATTAATTTGAGAATTTCACCGTGGATGAGCAAATAATACTATTATTTTGACAAGAGCTTTTCGTTTTGCGTTGAAGTCTAATTGATGTCCTGCCACTTTAGTTTCAATTGCGGCCTTTGCCAGACAAGTGCTGTAGGTTATCAAGTACGAGATTCTGCATCCTTCGTGATAGGACTTCAGAATTATCTCAAAATAATGAATGGGTATCTTATTCTCATCTAGTTTCTCTCCTATGTACTGTTCACAAGTTATGTACTGTCGAGTGTTGCATGCAAATGATCTCAGCCTTCCGAGTAGTGACACCCAGCTTCCAAAGTTGCACATGATCGATCAGCAACAACAGCAACAGCAGCAACAACAACAGCTGCTACTGTCAGAATCATAGTTTGGCGGTGTCTCGTTGACAGGGGCCGGGTCTGTGTTCATAGGCGAACTTGGTCGTACTGGTGAAGCCGATGGCGCGGTTGAAGGAGGAAGTATTGAAGCAGCCGAGATCGAGGAGACAGTAGATGTCTCTCTAACACGACCCTGGCGAGCTTCTTCAAAAGACCTTCCCCACTCTCTCTCTGCAGGTGGTTGCACCACCAGCCTTGGCTTTTGTAGTTTTGCCTCTCGAACGCTTGGGTTATGCGCGCAGGTCGGGTTCAAGTCATCCGCGCAATATGCGTACCAGTGTTGTAAATCATAGACCCTAGGATCAGCCGTTTCGGATGTGACCAGTCGTGCTAAGGAGGCCGCTTTTAGTCCGGAGAACTCATTGTTCCCTTGGCCAAGTAAATAGTGATTCCAAGCAATCCAGTGACTGCTGAAGCGAATGATGGGCGATGCTGGAGGCGCTCTTTTCTCAAGATACTCCCATGGACCGATCGGTGTCAGGGCGATTGACTTGATGAACTGTACAAAGGCGTACTTTTCAAATTCGGCAACTTCCAAATTTCTTGCAAGAACCCAAGTTGATGCGGCATTGGAAAGCCACGGTTCTTCTGGAGTTTTGTCTGATTTTAAGTCTGGTAGCGTAGGGCGCAATTGAGCCCATTGTAAGAATAATTCGAATGCCTTAGGAGACTCCTCGGGCAATTCTATACGAATTGTCCATCCAGAGGCATAAAGTCGCCTAATATATCCCGAAACGCTGCACAGCTTCTTATTGACTCGGAAATCTTTTGCTGCTGCCCCTTGACCGACATGTATATCAATCCATCCTTGTGCCGAGGGCAGTTTTCTGATGACATGTTAACTCAAGTTCCTTCTAGCTTCAGTCTCTCGGTGAAACCCCCAGACTCATGCAAGGGCGAATTGTGAGAACTGACCCATTATGCGTGGAATCATGAATAGGCGGATTTCTTGGTGTTGCAGATTGTTTGGGAAACAAGCCACCTCCAGCTTGGGGCTTCAATTCACTCAACTCGGTGTTCCCAGGAGGCCCACCGTTCAACGACTCAAGCCGACCTGGCATTTGAGCAAGAATTATGGAGTGGTCAACTCTTCCATCATTCAGTCGCTCAAAGACAAATAGCAAGTTTATCGAGCCTCATCCATCCTCGACCCCACCATTTCAAGAGCCTTGCCTATGTTCTAGGCCAGTCTGCCTACCTGCAAGCCACATCACTCTATTGAATGTGACAGGCCATACCAGACCATCTGCGCATGTACTATTTTTCAGCTGCCGCACCTATCGAAGCCACACAACATGGGTGTCCATTCCGGCGCATTGGATGGCTATAGAGATGGCCGAAACCGTCACGAGGCTCTGCGATGTTCAAGTATTGGTCATGGCCCCAGCATGCGTCCTGGCCACAGCCCAGGGCTCGGCGTAGTCTGACAATCGAAACGAGACAAACTTGACTTCCCTAGTTCTTTTAGATCAAGGATATCCAAAGAGTTCAGAAGAGCGATTCAGCAATTTGACTCGTAGCCGCAAACCATCCTCTGTTAGTAAACTAAGGTGAGCAATTCGCAAGAGAGCGATTGTGTCACACAGACAGAAAGACTAAACACTGTTTTCAGGTGTGAAGTGGTCTATTTACCTGAACAGAGTTCAACTTCCTATGCCCTGAGTCGGCTTGGGGTCAAAGCTCGCAGAATGAACAATACAAGGCGACCAGCGTTAGGGCAAATTGCGATTCTCGGTAGTTTTTACGATGCTCGACGGGATGTGTTCGTTCCGCGTTCCTTGCTTGACGATAAACTACCACCAGAAGCAGTTCAACGAGCTGATCTCATAAGGGGGGCCATTCGAGTCAGTCTTGTGGATGCATATGAGTCAAAGTTCGACATGCTCGAAGTGAGCCCTGAGCTGGGTGGAAGCATCCTTGCCGGCTTCGTCCGACCCAGTGGTTCAGGGAGTTATGTGCTGGACAAGAGGGACAGCAACTTGGTCCTGGCTGCTGCCCTTCACCATAAAGTCGTTGCAGCTGAAGAGAAACTGAATTTCCATTACCCAGGGCTGAAGGATCGACTTACGATGACTACAATCCAGACAATGGAGGTAACTCACGTAGTCACCGAAATTGAGTGGGGTGCTCAGACAGTGCTTTCTCTCAAGCATCGTCGGCCCAACACTGACGAGGCATCTGCGGCAGAGGAAAGCTTTCGAGCGGAAGTAGAGGGTCTCAAGTCGGCTATCGAGATTGGTAGTCCTGGGGCACTAGGCCAGCCCAAAGTGCCTCTCGATATAACCGCCTATAGTGACATCCTCAATGAAGACGGGATTGTGCTGAATGATGTCCAAGAAGCATACAGCTTTCTTGATTTGGTACCCTTACAGATCAAGCATGACAACGGTGGCAAAGGCCGGCCAGTCGTCTATACCCTCCTATCAGTCGAAATGCTCAAGTACTTGCTCCAGATCAACGTCACTGTCAATGGAACCTTGAGTCAACCCAGCCCAGAATACTTGAATAAGTTCCGTGAGCTGTTCGACCAATTCATCTCTTCCCAGTCGAAACTCAACGACTATCAATCATATGTGAATAAATACAAAACTTATCTACCACAACATCATGTAGACCAAGTCAACAAGTCTGTCACCAACTTAACTAGCCTCGAGCTGCAGTTGAAGACGGAATACGCTCGAATCTTGCAGGACGTTAGACGTGGTGCTACTGACGCCACTTCTTTGTATCAACTCCTCCAGAGGTACTCCACTGACGACTTTTCCCCCAAAAAGATCGCTTCAATCAGCCATGGCTTTCAAGATAAGGTTGCATTGATCGGGACTGCCGTCGCCAAAGGGGCTACTTACATTGGGTATAATGGCCGCAACCTCCGATCCGAACTGTCAAGGCGTGGTGCATGTGATGCTTATGTCCTCTTCTTTAATGACGCAACCATGCAAGACACGCAGGCATGGAGAGCAAACCAGAATTTGTTCCTGGATATGCTCAAGCAGCACGGGAATGGTACCTTTCTCGCCATAGTAGATTGCGATGCCAGTGGAACAAGAATCGACAAGACCCACCTGTCATTCTACCAGAACGGTCAAGAGCTTGCGAATGATATAGTCGGACAACAACAATACCTTGCAGATAAATCTTTTGCAAGGTGCGCGGAGAACACTCTGGAGACCAAAGACGTCAAGAAACCCGTCAGGCGCCGTTGGATTAAGATCGCATGTCCTGGCCCCAACTGCAACAAGAATGAAATATGCGAGTGGATTTGCCCTAGATGTCTGGCTAATGTGGAGTTTGGTTACTCTGATCAGTTTGTCTATTGCGACTGTGGTCGTTCGCTCGCTACCAACTTTGATTTCAAGTGCAAAAGCGAACACCACGGGCCAGGGTTCGTCAAATATGACAACGACGAGTTGCTTGGTCTTTTGAGAAGCCTCGAACAAGATAATTACATCAATATCCTCATCCTTGGAGAGACAGGTGTCGGCAAGTCGACATTCATTAATGCTTTCGTCAACTACCTATCATTTGAGACTTTGGACGACGCCAAGGCAGAAGACGATCTGAACTGGGTTATCCCCTGCTCTTTCTCAACTCAGAAGATGGACAGATCTAACCCCAACAGCAAGATCGAGCAGATCAACATCCAAGTAGGGTCTCGAAAGGATGAGCGCGATGGCAGTAAAGGTGCATCGGCAACTCAGGAGACAGCTGTTTATCCCGTAACCATCGGTTCGCAGACGATACGCTTAATCGACACACCTGGCATAGGCGATACCAGAGGAGTTCAGTTCGATAAGACCAACATGGCCGATATCCTCTCCACCCTGAGTTCATACGACGATCTCCATGGAATTCTCATTCTATTGAAGTCGAACAACGCGAGGCTTACGGTCACTTTCAACTTCTGCATGAAGGAACTCTTGACTCATCTGCACCGAAGTGCAGCAACAAACATGGCATTTGGGTTTACCAATACCCGTATTTCAGGCTACACACCGGGCGATACATTTGGGCCCCTGAGCACACTTCTTCAAGATCATTCCGATGTTGGGCTAACGCTCGACACAGCGAGGTAAGTAAAGCCAGTGGTGACCCCTAGATTCCAATCGTGACACTAATCCGAGATCGATAGCACGTATTGCTTTGATAGCGAGTCGTTCAGATATCTAGCAGCTTTCAAGAACGGCGTAATCATGGATAATGAGCAGGATTTCCAGCGGAGTTGGAAGCATTCGAGGGATGAAGCACTGCGCCTTCTCAACCACTTCCGAACCAAGAAGCCCCATAATGTGAAAAGCACCGTTAGTCTGAACGGCACCCGTCAGCTAATCGCCGAATTAACGAAACCAATGGCCGAAATTTCTCAGACAATTCGAACAAATATCGCTCTAAGCGAGGATGAGCTACAAATGTTGAAGGACACAAGACTCACAGGAGACAATCTCCGGAAACGCCTCAAGGTGCCGAAGCTCTTGCTTGAGTCCAAGCCCCTAGACAAGCCGCGAACAGTTTGCAGAGATGAGGATTGCGTCGAATACAAGGATGATGGCAGCGGAAGCGGAACATTAATTCCAGTCTACCTCAGCCATTGCCATCCAATTTGCTATCTTGACAGCGTACAGATTGACACTGTTGGCCACGCTGGTCTCATAGACTGTGCAGCGTTTGGCGGATCCGACACGTGTACACGTTGCTCGCATCATTGGTCTGTACACTTGCATGTGTTGTATGAACTCGAAGAGAAGAACACGATAGTGACAGATACGGAAGTTGAGCGTCAATTATTGGCGAATGCTGGGGACGTCACACTGCGACAAACAGCTGTGAAGGCAAGGGAGGAACGAATCCAGGAGTACAAGGACGAGCACGCAAAGATTCAAGAGGCAGCTGCTCATTTCGGCCTATTTTTGAAGAAACACTCGATAACCCCCTACAATGACGCAACGATAGCATATTTAGAGATGCTAATTCAAGACGAGAAGGGCAAAGTAGATGCTGGTGGTAGCACAACAAAGCTGATCAACCTTCAACAAGATCTCAAAACTCACAAAGAACTGGTGCAAGTTTTGACAGCAAACATGAATGCGAAGACGGCCAAGGTCCTGGACGAAGCTGGCGTTGAGAAGAAGGTCCGGGAATTGTACAATTTGAAGCACTTTGGAGAGAACCTGAAGGCTGTCAAACAGACAGTAGCCACAGCTCACGAAGCAACGTACCGAGAGAGGCCATACAGGGTCAAGAGCCGTTATCATGGTGGGTTTAATTACTACAGTGGCCTCCCACAGTCGCCTTCACCGTATCCACAGCGTCGGACGACGATGAGATCGCAGCAATCCAGCACGGTACGACGAAAGCCCATCATGCATTCAGGCAGTGGCGGCTATCATGCAGGCGGCTCCCATGGACCATGGTCCGATCCAAGAAATAGTGTTGCAGGTTCTGCTGATGCTGGATTTTTCTCGTCATTTTTCAACCCCTTTGGACGAAAGACTTAATACAGACCATTCCAAGTTGTTTAGGGATAGTCGGAGCAGACGATCATTCATTGGAACCTGATCAGATCAACGAAGTACCATGAAAGCACTGAATCTGGGTGGATAAGGATCCTATCTAATCTGTTTGAATTTGTTGCTTGATCGCCCTACTGGCTTCCATTTGCGACAAGATCCTCTTCTTTAGTATTATTAAGGCTTCAGATCATATCCTTGAAACAATGACTCATCTTAGAATCAACGATCAGATACCAATATCCTCAGAAAACAGTAGATATCGCTCAGAGAACACTAATCTATCGTCCAACACATGATACACATGGCAGGCTCTTATCTCATCGAGAAAGCCGTCTCAAGGGCCTTATTAAAAATGTTTGAACTGCGTAGCAAGAGCCGTCTTATCAAGAGGAGATGAGACCTAAGAGAACCTATTTACGAATGGGTAATGTGAAGCAACGATACAGGCTGACACTCAAGAGAAAGGTTTCGTGGGATCAACCCCTGATACGTTACCTATAAAGTAGTATATGCCGTAGCCACTGTGAGGTTCAGAGGCTGGGCTGCTTACAGGTCGGATACACAAGGTGGTGCGCCACTTAGAGCCGCTAACTCTGACGTGATTCTCGGCTTCCCGCATTGGCCTGCCCCACCAAGAAACTTTAGCTACGAAGCTGATCGCCGAAGACCGCAAGCGCCTTTTGCTTCACTTCCCTTCTGAGAAAGCAGCATTACAGAGCAAGTTGGGGTGTAGCGGCCGGTTTCAAGGCCACACAACTCACCAACATGTTCCGTCATGGAGTCCGCACGTTCGCGACCAGCGCGCTGAGACGGGCAGAGCACAGCTCGGCCAACCTGGGCATTGCACAAGCGCAGGGTGTAGCAAGGGGTCTCACAGCAGGTGGGTGATCCTAAGAGGCTTCAATCTGAACAATGGCCGCAGGAAGCTGATGCTCGTTTGTCCATGTTAGCAATTGGCAACACACCGCTCATTCGCCTCAACCGCTTGTCCGAGGAGACGGGCTGCGAGATCCTCGGCAAGGCCGAGTTTCAGAACCCCGGCGGCTCAGTGAAGGACCGGGCGGCGCTGTTCGTCGTCAAGGATGCCGAGGAGCGCGGCCTCCTGAGGCCCGGCGGCACGGTGGTCGAGGGCACCGCCGGCAACACGGGCATTGGGCTGGCACACGTGTGCCGCAGCCGGGGCTACAAGCTGGTCATCTACATGCCCAACACGCAGTCGCAGGGAAAGATTGACCTGCTGCGTCTGCTCGGCGCCGAGGTCTATCCCGTGCCAGCCGTCGCGTTCGAGAACCCCGAGAACTACAACCACCAGGCAAAGAGGCACGCCGAGCGCCTGGACAATGCCGTGTGGACGAATCAGTTCGATAACACGGCCAACAGGAGGGCGCACATCGAGACCACCGGCCCGGAGATCTGGGCGCAAACGGGCGGAAAGGTGGACGCTTTTACTTGCGCAACTGGCACGGCGGGAACTCTGGCTGGTGTGACGAGGTCACTGAAGGAGCTTTCAGATGGCCGTGTGAAGTGCTTCCTTGCCGATCCGCCAGGAAGTGTTCTGCATTCATATATCTCTTCGGGAGGGAAGCTAATTGAGCGCACGGGATCAAGTATAACAGAGGGCATTGGACAAGGGCGTATCACAGACAACCTCAAGCCGGATATTGATCTGCTAGATGGCTCGCTGACCATTGCCGACGAGAAGAGCATCGAGATGGTCTACCGGTGTCTAGATGAGGAGGGACTATACCTGGGAGCAAGCTCGTCCCTGAACGTTGTCGCTGCGAAAGAGGTCGCTGAGAAGCTCGGCAAGGGTCATACGGTGGTCACGATGCTGTGCGATGGCGCATACCGCTACGCGGACAGGCTGTTCTCCAAGAAGTGGTTGGAGTCGAAGAATCTCCTCGGTGCGATTCCCAAACATTTGGAGAAGTATATAGTATTGCCATGAGTAGGCGTAATAATACAACATGTACTGTACAACAAACGCTCTCTATAATGCGTATCAAGCCTCAAACAGCTTTTTATACATGCTCTTTCCTCGCCCCTCTGCAGGTAGATTTTCACTTGTTAGTGCTGAGTTCACCTCAGCGGTCAGAGTGTTACTCCTTGACTCCAGTTCCTTCGCCAATGTCGGTTCTACTACTTGCGCCGCCAGCTGCATACCTTTTAGAATTGGCGCTGCGACGTACAACAGCTTGTTCTTCAAAACAAGGTACTGCACTCCACACTTATCCTCATATGACTCAGCCGGGTGCAACTCCATAAGCCCCTTGTCAGCTGGCCAGAGGTTGACAATGTCCTTGGCATACTTGGTCACCTTCTCAATGATCTCCTCATCACCGGGCTGGCTGGCAGCCAGAGAAGCGGACAAAAAGAGAGGCACCGAGAGGATTTGGGGATCCCGGTTGAGGGGAAACCTCTTCAGAAAGACCTCGTCCTTTCTCTTCGGCTGGTGTTGCTTGTCCTCGAGCATCTCCAGCACCAACTCCGACCACGTCAAGGCCTTCTTGGTGACCTCGGGATCCATCTCGGCATCGATGGCCATCAGCTGCACCCAGGACAGGAGCTCCTGCACCTTCTCGGACGTGTCGAGCCGGAAGCCAGTCTTCTTGACCTGCCGCGCGCACTCAATGATGGTGTATGTCTGACCCTTCACGCCGGCCTTCCTCGTCATCTTGGGGTAGTCCTCGGGGAGCAGTTTCCGGTTGGCGTTGTAGTACAGGCCCTCGAGTAGATGCGGCAGGTTGCTCCAGTCCTCGCGTGTCACCATCTTGTCGATCGCCTCGAAGAGGATCTTGCGCGTGTTGGGGATGTCGCCCTTCGTCGGGTCCATGCCGTAGAACTTGATCACCTCGCCATCAATCTCCATGGTGATGGGATTGCTCTTCAGCTCTTTGGCATACCGCGGGCGGAAGATCTTCTTGCGCTGCTCTGGGCGGATATAGGTCGGTAGGAGAATCTTGTGGCGGATAGTGTCCAGCACACTATCCAGCTCGGGCGATGAGGTCGGAGAGAAGGTAATAACATGGCCGGCTGTGCAACAGCATTAGATCATGATCATATGAGCTGGAGCAAACTGGAGCGTACCTTGCTTTGCTGCCGAGATTGAGAAGCATCTTTGCTGTGAAAAGCTCGGCCGCGTGGCTGCCTCCAGGGCAGAGCCACCGGCCTTGATTACGTGCCGAAAGCTTTTGTTCGACATTGCAGATTGGGCTATTGCGACGGTATGCCAACCAGCATTATTTCAGTGTTTGATGTTGAGATGGTCGTTGGTGTGATGCTATGGAGACCAGCCTTGTCAGGAAGTCCCTTCAACTTTTTGCCGGCCGGGAGACTTTTCAGCGCCAGGGGCCCAATCAGACCCGCTTATTCGAGCTACCCCAGTCAATGCACTTCAAGCCATTCGAGATTTTGACATTCGACATCCGACTACCACGTAGAAGGAAAACAGTCTCATACCACACAGCAACCATGAATGCAGCCTCATTAAGGCGGCCGTTAGGCTGCCTGAAGACTACTCTACGACAGACACGTCAACAGCGATTCTTTCGGCGATTGCTGGCCACCGCCGCAGAGACTTCGCAGCCATCCCCAAGGATACCGGATGCCGCTACCTTCCGTATGTGCAGAGGCCATTGCCCGCCCATGAATGAACCCAATTGCTAAACGCCGATTTGTAGATGCCATCCAAGATACCAGAACCAAGAAGATCCGCACCGGCTTCGCAGTCTACAACGGCGCATCCGCGATCCCGACGCTGACGCCGCCGCCCGTCAACCCGGTGGGCGCCTACCACGCCGAGCAGATCCGCAAGATGGACCCGACGGGGGCGCGGACGCGGCTCTTCTCCAAGGAGAACGCGGACAGCGCCAAGGTGGGTGACGTGCTGATGGTGACGACGCGGCGCGCGGCCGAGCCCTTCTCGGGCGTGTGCATCAGCATCCGGCGGCGGGGCATCGAGACGGCCATCCTGCTGCGCGGCCAGCTCACCAAGGTCGGCGTCGAGATGTGGTTCAAGGTCTACAGCCGCAACGTCCTCGGCATCGAGATCATCCACCGCCGGCCCAAGCGCGCCCGCCGCGCCCGCCTCACCTACATGCGCAAGCCCAAGCACGACAAGGGCAGCGTCGACGAGCTCGTCAAGAACTGGCGCAAGAGCAGGAACGTCTTCGCTACAAGAGGTGGTGCGACAGCTGCCAAGGCGACTGCGAAGAGTGCAAAGGGAGCGCCGAAGAAGAAATAACTGCCTCCCAGTCTGTTATGTAGGCGGTGGCTGTATAGTTAAGCCTCTCCAGCATGCCGAACTCGAGGGAACGTACAAAGGCTGGATGTATATGACCGTGTATTCTACAGATGAAAAGATATATACCTTGCATCAATATATCAATTCAATCCCATGCTCGAATGTCACACATTTCAAAAACAAAGTTAAAGTGAAAGATATGGACAGTTCAATATAAATATGTAGAGTACAAAGAAAGCGGACTACGTCCGGTTATGTAAGAGCGTGAGCTAGCGGTTATAGGCTTCTATGATAATGTAGTTTTTCGGGCCTGTTACCCTTCGTGTTTTGTCCAAGTCGCGCCTCGACATAAGAAACGACAGACCGATTCACAGTTAACACCCTGCCTACCCCTGAGCGCCTCCATCCCGTGAACGACATGTACCCTCCTAATATGGAAACGAAAGACCAAAATCCTGAACGCTAAAGTGTTGGAGATAACGCAAGGTTCGCTTCTCTGTGCATGCCTAAGAGTTTCATGGCTCATGGACAGAATAACGAGACGTGGTATATGTCTCAGACCGCCGAGGAAGTGCCCGAGGCTGGTCATAGGGGCCGATGTCCTCCGGTGCAGGTTCAGTGCTCATCCTCTTTGGCGGCATGATAGTAGGCTCGATCGGCATAGCCGGCCCCGGATGAAGAAATTGCGTGAAGATGTTACTGTTCACACGATCGACGCTCCTACTACGGCCGCGTTGGGCAGATGTGCCTCTTGCAGATGTGCCGCGAGCACCTTGAGTGGCCAGAGAGACTGCTGAACCCCGCCTAGCCATTCTCGCATCTGCGTCAGCCGCTTCCTTGGCGTTGAGAGATTCGCTAGGGAGGAGAATGGCTCGATCGAGTCCGTAAGGCAGACCACGATGGCGCCCACGGATCATCATCGCGCAGATGACAAGTTTTCCCACAACGCTGAACTGCGAGCAAAGTGATGCGTTGACTTTGCTGTATCCTAGGCTCATGCCTACAGTGCCGTAGGCGCTGACGATCTCGAAGAGTACAGCGAACATGGAAAAGTCATCAGACATCAAACGGTGGCCTTCGGATATGCTAAGAATGAAGAACCCAATGAAGATGTACCACAGATCGAAGGACAGCTGCCTTCGCAAATGGGCACCGACGTAGGAAAGATCGCTGGAGTTAGCCTGATCCTCCTCTTCGCCCTTGCTATATATACCGAGAGACTTCTCTTCGTACACGTTTGTGCGACGAACGGAGATAGCAATTGGGAATACAGAGATATACATCATGATTAGGTAAGATGTCTGGACCGCTGGATGGACCAATGCAAGGTTGATACAAGAGAAACCTGCTGTCCTGGTGGAAGCTGCCTGAAATAGACCATTGAGAACCCGAATCCCAGCAGGTAGATGAGCGACCGGGCCGCTACCGAGCTGAAACATGTTAGTAGCTATTGGAACGATTTGCTTCATGACTTACATCTAGAACAATGAAGAAGATCAAATCTAGACCATTGAGGATAACGAGCAACCAGAACAACCACCAAGTGGCACCAGAAGGAAAGAGAAGAGTGAAACAGCGACGTGGATGGTCCAGAAGAAAAGTCAGTTCTTCATACAACCCTGTTCCACGGGGAACAATGATGGACGAAACCCAGATGACGAATCTGAGCATGACCGGGAAGCCGGTGTTTCCGATGACAATGAGGAAGCTCATGAGAAGCAGTGGGAAAACCGCAGTGTTGAAGGAATTCATGCTGTCAGGAGTCAAAGTGAAGCCCAGATCCATAAAGGCAGACGAAGCAGTGAAGAAACCCCACCAAGTCCTTGCTTGTCCAGCATTGTCGACAATGGTTCCGTATCCACTCTTGATTATCCATGGCACGAGGCATACGACGCCGAGGAGCCAGAATCCCCAGAAATAGAAGACGAGAATCAGGGCGAGCGTCTTCAGTGAACGGTATTCGATCCCACCAAGCTCTTCTCTTTGCTCTTCGGAAAGTCCTGGAAAAGCAGAATTGCGGCCAAGAGTCGGTTCCCAACTGAGATACGGCGTCAATTCATCCTTATCTCGAGTGAAAGCCGTCTTGATGGTCTGGAAAGTCTGGCGTCTTCTCGACTGTGTTCTCGTGACGTGGAAAGCGTCTTCGTCATGATGATACCTCTGTTCTTTGGGATTAAAGATTCGTGGCTTCCGTGGCCTAAACGGAGAGAAGGTATTGGCAAGTGCCTCCGCTTGGTCAGCAAATTCCTCCCTCACTGGACGCTGTGGCTCTTCGATCGTGATGGCCCTGTTTTGGAGACCCCTGGGTGGTGACAGCATAGATGACTCTTGGCTGAAAGCTCGAGGCCTCATTGACATTGCCTCGACTTCTTCATCGTCGTCTTCATGTACACGTTCTGGCCTGATGCCTCTTTCGGCATCTCTAGGGCCTGGAATACGAAGCACTTCATCGTTGCTTTCACGCCTCTGACGTTCGAGAATCGCGATGTGCTCCTCGTCGGACCGTTGCTGCGGAATCTTCATGTCGTCTCGAACACCATCGCTCCGCTTGACGGTATTAGCAAACTTGATCTCTGTGCGGCGACTCTCGGTAGGGACGAGCGTATTTTTCGGGTCAATGTCTTCTTGATCGGGCGGTATTCCATTTTCGTGTTCGTCTTTTCGGCCATTCTCCCTGAGGGCATTTTCCTTGGCGGTAACAGGGTCAAGTAGAATGCCGTCATTAGTGATTCTAGACCTCGTGCCGTCGTGCATAACCGTGATGTTGCGGCCGTTGACGCCTGTCTCTAGTCGATTGATGTCGCCCTTGGCTTTGGACTTTGACTTGGAAATGGTGCCTCTTCTCTGACGGGCTTCTCGTGCTATATTCTGAAAGCGTTTCTCGAACCAGTATAGGCGGAGAAAGACGACAAACGAGTTGATTGTGATGGGGTTCGCCAGCATGGGAAAGAGGAAGATGCATATTTGTTGAAAGGTGTTCAGTAGATTTACATCCACTGTGTTGAGACCGGCCTGAGTATTGGCGCCACTAGCAAAGACGAGCGCGTCTATATAGGCCAAGTTCCCCCGGCCACCAGCAAAGATCAGTATGGACCCAATGATGGAGAGTGCCAAGATGTAGAAGTCTGTGTCAGGTGTCAGCGAGACGAGGCCAAAGCATCATGTCTACAGGATCTGGCATACAGTGAGTAGATATGAAGTTAAAGTGCGGCTTCTTAGAGAAAAAGGAGGGCTTAAGAGCCTTAAAGTGCTCCCAGAGATAGTCTTTGATTTCATCCATGGTTGGACAAGCAGGGGGTTTCAAGCTACCGCAGCAAAAGCGGGTGTTATAAAGTGACGAAGGCCTCAGAAAACCATACGATATGGTCAGGAAGGCTCTTGCCCATAATCATAGTGTAGACAGGTAGCGTTCAACTGAGAGTGCTCTCTGGCTTGAAGGTAGACATGAAAAGCGCAGGGAGATGTTGTTGTCTGATGGTGTGATAGCGAAGGGCGAAATGCTAGAAAAACAGGACCAATGCTCAGCAGTGAGAACACAGGATGACCCTGGGGAAAAGAGACGAAAGCTTCAGCGATGATGTAGTGAGCAATTCGGGAATCAAGAAGGTGAAGGTGAAGGTGGAGTTGGAGTTGGAGTTGTAGGCTTTCCGTCAATGCCAAGCGAGGCGCACACCGAAGTAGGTGCAGTTCCAAGATCTTGGCGGGAAGGCGATGCTGAGTGGGCGAGAGCCTATTTGACTGCGGGAATGCAGCAGTGGGATGAGATGCCTAAGTCAGGTATTGAACGATGATAGCCCCAGCGTTGAGGAAGGAGAGGACGACGCTGGAGTCGATCCAGACGTTCTGGTTCTGGTTCTGGCTGAAGAGACGCGTGAAACGAAACGAAACGGCGCGGAAGATGAGAAGAGATGCCAAGAAATACCAGGGCTGATAGTGTCGTTGTCAGGGTCTTGAGTGCGCAGTAGCCCACCCACCAGGCCAGGGCATTTACCGAGATAAGACACTACCTATACCCAGTAGGCAGGTACGTAGGTCCACGGGTGTCCTGGGAGGGAGCCCAACAAGCTCGAGCGAGAATGCCGCAGGGAGCCGTCCGGAAGCGAGAGGGTGGCAGTTAGGTCAATTGATGAAGAAGAAGAAGAAGAAGCAAAGAAGGGACGAGCCAGCTTAGTCCGTATACTGCGTAGTAGGTAAATAAGATTGATTCTCTGGGGCCATGAATAGGGAACGATAGGTGCGTGGTGATGGTGACGAGGAGAATGAGGAAGAGGAGGATGGTGGTGGTGGTGATGATGATGATGCAAAAATCGAGAATGCTGATGGGGAATTGCTCGTCCGACAAAGAACCTTATACGGCCATCGTACGGCAGACGGTGGACACTAACGTTATAAAGTCAACGGCAGGTTAGTCGACGATGCCGCGGTCGAGAACTTTGGCTGGGGTCCTAACGTTAACTTAATGCTCATGTTCAGTTAGCACTGCACTGCTATGATTTAGGGTGGTGGTGCCAAGATTGCAGTTCCACTGTTCCAGCGATCAGCGCTCGGGTACCATTACCACACCTCTGCAGTGCCACAGCTTGCAGGTGCCAGGTGGAGGCAGATAGGAGTGCCACCCGGTTACAGTGGCTGGCTGCCGCGCTTTGCCCGTTGGTAACGTGAGTGCTACACTGCTACCTCCCCGGCGCTGACACGTGGACGAGTTGCTGGGCCTCAATGGTGCTGAATCCCATCCGTCCTAGATTTTCCGACCCTCTGCAGCCAATTTGCATAGCGCGGGCGCAGGCGCAGGCGAAGGGACAGGTGCAGGTGCAGGGACAACTCACACCTCCCTGACTGACTCTCGAGTATGTGCGTGCGCGCGTCTGGCGCAAGGTTGCCCTGCAATGATGTCACCCGCCATCGCTAACATATATAAGCTCCGAAACCGCCTGATAACCATCCATGGAAGAGGTAACGAGGAGTCGGTCTGTGGCTCACCGGTATTGGCGGGTTCTACCTCTGATATTTGCTCCCCGACACATCTGCTTGAGGTAGCTACCCTGCCTCCTGTACGCCGTCGTTGCATCACATATGCTTGATAAATCTGATCTGCAGATACACCTGCGGCCGCGGCACACAAGCTTGCAGCTTCCAGATGTCGGCCACTGACTCCTGCCAGTGATACATGTCTCTCGGGATGTTGCGGCTGGCACCGTATTGGAAGATAAGGGGCAACATGGATGCCAAGACCTGCAGAGAAGGTTACTCAGGGGGCTCTGAGCGTGTTCACTGTCTGTCACAACTCAGAAAACTTTGTCCAAACTCTTTGACAATTTTTTTTTATCTTTCTCTAATATACATATCTATGGCCCCCTTGACCGCCTGTTGTTCGTGGTATGGTATCATTCTTTTCGTCCAATCTTTCCTGGAAATGCATCCCTGACGCCGTGGTTCCAATGCATGTCTAATATCAACCCGTACAAGCTGTGGCCCGGAAAGGAGCTTCCGTGACCTCCCGCATCACAGCATCACAGCTGCTGCTTACGCCTCTCCTTCTCTCGTGCAATCTTTTTGAAAAACGCGTTGCTGTCTTTCTTGTTCTTCTTTAGCGTCTTGTTGACCGACTTGTTCTGCTCAATGTACGCCATGTCCTGACCGCCACTCAGTTCGCCCAGAGTTCCCGCAGTTCGCTTGACCCCTGGCTTCTTGACACTTCGGCGTGCTGTGCCGTTATAGTAGTCGTTGCCTTCGGTCTCTTTCTCCGCGATCTCCGTCAGTTTCTTGCCCTCGGCAGACTCGACCTCCACCAATACTTTCTGGAGCAGCTCCCGTCTTTCAGCCGCAGTCGCGAACGCTAGCCCGGGGGTCTTCTCAATGTTGGCAAGCTGGGTGATAACCTTGAACGCATACCCCTGGTCTACAAGGAAAGCCTGCCGCTTTGACGAGTAGTACATCTCCGCGGTGTCCTTCGACACCAGCGAGTAAAAAAACGCATTGAAGCCCTCATCGTTTCGTCTCTTTGCTCGGAGGATTCGACCCAATCTCTGGGCTTCCTGTCTCCGAGAACCATACTGAGCCGATATCTGGATCAGGCAGGTTGCTTCAGGCAAGTCCAAGGATGTATCACCAATCTTTGACAAGAAAAGCGTATTGACCTGATTGTTGTCCTGGAAATGCTGAAGCACCTGCTGACGTTCGGCATTCGATGTACCACCGTACAAGAATGCTTTCTTGAGCTTTCGTGCATACATTGCCAAAGCGTAGACATCGTCTGAGAAGACGATAATCTTGTCTCCACGGGACTCATGATAGTTAATGAGGTACTGACACGCTTGAAATTTCCGCGGATTCATGACGTAGAGTAATGATCTCTTTCGAGTATCAGCCTTGAGGTACTCATCGTAGAACTCCGTTGTCATTGGACACCACACTTCGGCACACTGGACCTTGGCAATGTGTCCCTGCTGTGACAACTCCATCCAGTTCGCCTCGTACAGCTTAGGGCCGATGAGGAAGTTAAGATCGGAAATCTTGTCATCTTCTCGCAAGAGCGTAGCCGTAAGTCCAAGTTTCGAATGCGCTTTGATCGTTCCGGTAACTCTTCGGAACATGTTCGCAGGAACGACGTGAACTTCGTCCAAGAGCATAAGACCCCATTCACGACCTTGGAGGAACTTCATCATCTTAGCAGAGTCGTGTGCCCTTTCCCTCGAGTTTGTGACCATCGAGTACGTTGTCACAATGATGCCAGTGTTGCCAGAGAAAGTTGACTTGTTGTCTGAGGAAAAGACAGCAATGTCGTCGGGGTTGATGTTGGACCACTTCTCAAATTCCTTCTTCCACTGCACAACCGACATGTTACTCGTGCAGAGAACAATGACACCCTTTTTGATGGTACAAGCGGCAGTGATGCCCACCAAGGTCTTTCCTGCTCCACAGGGCAAGACGATGATACCACTCTTGGCTCGACCATTACCAAACATCTTGCTTAGACTCTTCTCCTGATACGATCTGATTTGAGTCGCAGGTCGCAGATCAATCTCAAGATTTGCGTTGACCTGGTCATTTCGGAAATCGTACTCTTCCAGGACAGGATACTCTAGCTCCAGACATCGCTTCTGGACTAGTTCCACAGAATGATCTTCGATTTGGAATGCGTGCACCGCTTCCTTATCGTCGTCGTCATCTTCTTCATTCAGTGCGCCGTAGATATCTTGCTCCGTCGGTTGTTCTCCGTCCTTGGGCTTCTCTAAGTTATTCGCCTCTCGAACGCCCGCTGCATTCTTCGTGCCAGGGATCACGAGGCCGGCCATGTTCGGAGCCGTCGTTCTCATCAGCTGCTCTGAACTAGACACCCGCAAGGGTCCAATGACAGGGTCCTTCAGCAGACGCTGTAACATCTCCGCATCCGCGCTTTCCAGATAGTATTTGTTGTTTTTCAGAACTAGCTTGACTTTGCCATAACTCTGAGTACAGCTCTCAATGAAGCGCCGAACTCCCTCAGGCAGCGGGATTTTCAGGAATCGATCCAGTGTATTAATAATGTCTTGCGGGTGAAGTCCGACGGAGACAGCAGCGTACAAGCTGTGTGTAGTCAATGCGTACTCATGAAGGAACGTCGGTCTGGAGAGGGGCTCTGCGATGGTGATGAGAAAGTCCTGTGCCTGCGGCGCGAGAGGGTTGAAACTTTCGAGAATGATCCTGCCTCGCTCGGGGTCAATCCATAGAGGTCGGTTGGCGTGATCCGGCTTCAGCTGGAGGTAGGAGTAGTCACGATTCCCAAAGTACTTGGAGACCGCATCATTTGCCCGTCTCTTCGGCTTGACATCGTATGTGCTGATATCAAACTTCTGAACGTTCTTCTCGACTTCCTCCTCCTCCGTATCTTCTGCCGAGTCGGACGTGGCGAGACTTCGGGGAGTCGTTGATCCCGGCGTCGACACGGCTGAGGCCCTGCCTACTTTCGCCGCCCCCTGGATGGCCGACGTTGCCTTTCGTTTCGGAGGCATAGTGATCGTTCCGGGGTAGTTGCCGAAAGAATGGAAAGGAAGCCGTCCAAAAAGCTCCTCGTTGAGAAGAATTTTGGTGGCAACCTACAAAGATGTTTGTGGTTGGAAATGGTTTCAGTCACGACAGGCTCCAGTGGCATCGAACGTTAACTTTATGCCCGTCATAGCTGCTTACTTGATCGGCGCTAACCTGTCCCGCGCCGAATACAGAACCCCGCTAAGCTAGGCACAGCTCTCTCACTCCACGCGACAAGAGAGACCCCCACCAGACCTGGACTTTCAAGATGCACAAGAATCGACCGCCACTCAGACCCAAGTTCACGCCGTGACAAGCCAAGCATAGGAAGGCAAAGGCCTATACCAAGACAGTAACACCCTGTCAGAAAAAGGAGTACAAAGTCTTCCAGAAAAAAGTCAGAGGCAGAATGTGGTGGGTGCCGCTCCGGGAAGCCAGACAGTTTTCGAACCCTGACTAATAGGGGTATTTAGCAAGCACATACTGAATGCACAGGTGTCGATTCGGTCGCCATGTTGTACGCTGCACCCCGTAACTTTCTATCAGCTCAAGCTCCAGCATACTGACTCACCTACAGGTAAGAAATGGTTCGACTGTGTTGAGTGCCACCAAGAGCAAGAGAGCCATCCGCTTCTGCAGAAGTTCGAGATGACTTTCGCCTGCAAGAAGTGCAAGAAGTGCTTCCGAAAAGATGCGCAAGAGTTTGAGGAAGCAGACGAGTACTGTCCCCACTGTGATAATCACTTTGTTCTCGAGGCTCTCACTCCCAAGCCCGCAATCTCTATCGAGGGCGAGGACGCTCGCATGGATAACAGGATGTTGAGGGACGATCGCGTAAAGGCTGAGAAGCAGAAGACAATATTCGATCCGGATGAGGATGCCGACAAGCTGGGTTGAGAGGGAGGGACATTGATGATGTTGAAGAGCAAGCATTTCGCCGCTGCAATAAGTGCACGGAACTACAAAGCCTGGCGTTCGGAAAATGTTATTACAGGCGCGAGAGACGCGCAATCTCGTAAATGATACCTGGTAGTGTACATTGCGTGACACCGCTACAGTCCTTCTAGCAGCCTATGTCTATCGGCCCCATGACTATCCGCCTTGCACGTAGAACAGCGCCAACACGGACGGATGTTGAAAGGCCCAACTCAGGTGTTCAAGTCCATCTCCAATCCCTACTCCTCGGTCTCCCCTTGCCCTCTCGTGAGAATGGCAGCGCTTCCAGTACCGGGTGTTCTACCGGTCTTCTTCTTAGCAGCCTCCTCTTGCTTCTCCTGCTCAATGTTCTTGACGTAGGTCTCGATATCCTCCACGGGTAGCATCTCGATAAGCTTGCCAGGCGCCATGATGGCAATCTCGATGTTCTTCGCTCCAGTTTGTACAACCTCCAGAAGAGATTTGATAGCAAGTCGGATAGTCTGTTCGCGATCCATTTCCTCCTTGAAGTTGCGCTCTAGGAACTCTCGGACAGTCTTGCTTGAGCGACCGATCGCGTTCGCTTTCCTATTACATTATAAGCATCTCGATGGATTGATAGCTCTTTGATAGAACCTACCATGCAGAGTAGATACCAGATGGTTCTGTCTGGTAGAGTCTCGGCACATCACTGCCTTTGTCGAATCCAACGATCAGGGTGCTGATGCCAAAGGGCCGGACACCACCGCTCTGAGTATACCGCTGCTGAACACTGGCCACATACTTGGTGATGTACTCGATCGTCACTGGGTCCTCTACTGTAAGACGATGGGATTGTGCCTCTAATCTGGCCTTGTCGACGAGAATTCGGGCATCGGCGTTCAGACCTGCAAACGCCAGGCAGACGTGGGTATCGACCAGACCAATCTTGGAGGGTGTAATTCTCGTGTCTTGTAGCTTCATCGCAGATCTCTTCTCGCATCCTAGAACGACAACATCCTTGCCCTTGACTCCAACCGCACACGTTCCTGAATCGCGGTGTTAAGGAGGTCGCTGACAATCAGACCCGGAAAGCTTACCTCTCTTGACGGCCTCGCCGGCATATTCGACCTGGAAGACGTGTCCATCGGGACTGAATCAAGTCAGTAATACTTCATAAAGCGAGTATCGAATGGAATCGGACCTAAAGACTATGTAAATGCAAGGTTAGCTATGATATGCACTCGAGTAGCTGAGCAATCAAGCCTTACCTGAAAGAGCTCTGTCGTATCCAGACGCCATGATGACAGATAATCAGAATGAAACTACGCAGGATAGAAGATGCGATTAATGCCGACAGTTAATTTCGCGATACGTGGATGTCGGCGACGCTGCGTGAGTGTTCTGTTGCTTGGCTTTTGTTGCTTGGGGTTTGAGAAGGACAGGCTGCAGCTCTGACGACGAAGCTTAGGTCGCGCTGGAAGGCTGAAGCAGCTGTCCGTAATAAGCTTCCATTGGCTGCTGCGTTAGCTATGTGAGGCTCAGGGGACGCTAGGACCAGTTTGCTTGAGCCACAGTCACGTGCATCCCCTGTGGAGGTGCAATGCTAGATCGGCCCCACGGGCGTCTGGCAGAAGCCGTGAACACCGCGGAAGCTTCCGATGTCGTAGCTATTTTCGCCTGTCAAGCCTCAGGCGGATTTAACATAAATTATTCAACGTCTTTTTCAACGCTCTTCAGAGTCCTGTTGCGCGCCACATACCTCTTGATCGCCAGGCCAGGCTTATCAAGACAGACAAGACATGGCATCAGCCGCCAGGATGAATCCGATTCTGCGAAGGATACCAAAGTCCAGGCTGTCTGGCTGCGTTAAGTATGTTGCGCCGCAGACGCCTGTTCCCGCTCGCTGCATTGCTGCAACAGCAGTGAGGCACTTCAGTGGATCACCCGTGCAGCGAATCAAGTTCACTTCAGAAAAGTATCCAGACATCAAGAGGGATTCACGCTTTGCACAATTGACGGAGGACCATGTCAAATACTTTACGGACCTCTTGGGCAGCTCCGCCGTCATTGATGCCGTCACAAATGAAGCTGCTAGTGATGACATCGAGCCCTTCAATGGGGATTGGATGCGAAAGTATCGCGGTCATGGCAAACTTCTCTTGAAACCTGGCTCGACAGAGGAGGTCAGCAAAATACTGAAATACTGCAATGACAACATGCTAGCCGTTGTGCCGCAAGGCGGCAACACTGGCCTTGTTGGCGGTTCTGTACCCGTATTCGACGAGATTATCATAAATATGAGCCGCATGAACCAAATCCGGTCTTTCGACGAAGTGAGTGGTACGCTGGTCGTTGATGCAGGCGCTATTCTAGAGTCGGTGGACAACTATCTCGCGGAGAGAGGCTACATCTTCCCACTAGACCTTGGCGCAAAGGGCTCTTGTCATGTGGGCGGCAATGTCGCAACAAATGCTGGTGGTCTACGATTACTCCGGTACGGTAGCTTGCACGGAAGTGTGCTGGGTATTGAGGCGGTCCTTCCAAACGGAACTGTTGTGGATGATCTCTTCAAGCTTCGAAAGAACAATACAGGCTACGATTTGAAGCAACTCTTCATCGGCGCTGAGGGTACGATTGGTATTATCACAGCCATCTCGATACACTGCCCTCAAAGACCCAAGGCTGTCAACGTTGCATTCTTTGGACTCGAATCGTTTGAGGCAGTGCAACAAGCCTTCCGTGAGGCCAAGTCACAACTCTCCGAGATCCTGTCTGCTTTCGAGCTCATGGACGCGAAGAGCCAGGATCTAGTGCACGCGGTCACGCAGAATAAGCGGCCTCTAGAGGGAGAGTATCCCTTCTACTGTCTCATTGAGACGAGCGGGTCGAATACCGAACACGACACTCAGAAACTCGAGACCTTCCTGGAAGATGTGATGGAGAAGGGCATTGTTGTGGACGGAGTGGTAGCGCAGGATGAGACCCAAATCAGGGCTCTGTGGGGGTGGCGCGAGGGCGTTCCCGAGTGTCTGGGACACTGGGGTGGCGTGTACAAGTACGATGTCTCGATCCCACTGGAGAAGCTGTATGAGCTAGTCGATGACACGAAGGCGCGGGTCGAGGAAGCAGGTCTGATAGGCGAGACGGACGAATACCCTGCCATCGGTGTGGTAGGTTACGGCCACATGGGAGACGCCAACCTCCATCTCAACGTTGCAGTGCGGCGGTATGACGAGAAGGTCGAAAAGGTTCTAGAGCCTTTTGTCTACGAATGGATTGCAAAGAACCAGGGCAGTATAAGTGCCGAGCATGGGCTGGGACTGGCTAAGAAGAACTATATTGGGTACAGCCGAAGTGACACAATGATTGGCTTGATGAAGCAAATCAAGGATCTTTATGACCCGGTAAGTGCAGTGCCTGGATCTCCAAGATGGTTGCCGCTGACGAGGATGCCAGAACGGGATCATGAACCCGTACAAGTACATATAAGCCGTAAAAAGACTAAAGCTCCATACCGACATCCAGGATCAGATCAGCTTGCTTGCATAAGGCAGGCAGGCATGCCATAATTACAAAGCTGGCTACGCCCTAACTGTACATATTAAGCGCGGTGTGTTAGACGTGCTCTCCGCCATTGCGGCGAATTTTCTGGCACTGCCCTCAACGGGCGCTCTCTCGAGTTGATTGTAAATCAACGGAGAACGGGTCAGAAAAGTCCAACGCGACCTCAATGTAGTCATCTTTGCGCCCCCCCTTCCCCCCGTGATGCTCCAATGCCTATTTCCCTTGTGTTGATCTGAGATCTGTGCCAGATGACATGGATGTAGTTGGTGCATTACGGAGCATTGTCTCATTGGCTCCAATACGAGCCTGAGCAATGCGAGATGGCGGGAGAGCAGGCACAAGACGTGCTGAAGCTGCCGTTTCACAGAGACAACGACCCTGATCGACAGCAACACCCCTCACTAAATCTTAGCAGTCCGTCGCCCTAAAATGACTCCCATCTGACCAACCAACCAAACATCGGGGGGCCCAGCGGGCCAACCGTGTGGGCTGCGCGAGGTCCGAGTCTCCGGGTAGTGGTGATCCCTGTCTCTTCTGCAGCCCTACGGACTCTGCCCTACCAGGGCCCTGCCCTTTGGGTAAGTAGCTACAGGTAGGCATGTACAGTAGGTACTTACCTACCTACCTTCTTACCTGTCTTACCTCCGGGCTGCCAGCAGTTCCTACTGCACTGAGAGAGCCCACCTTGCCTTGCAGATCCTCGGTATGTCGCCTGGTGGCGTGGCCCAGCTCTGGTCTGCTGCCCTGTTTCTTTCGTCAAAGACCGCCAGGCTGGGTGCGGTGCGGTGCGGTGCGGTCGGATGCGGTGCAGTGCAGTGCAGCTCAGTGTAGCTCAGTGCAGCATCCAGATAGGGCCAAGCGTAAAGCTGTCCACACAAGGCGCCTAGGAGGAGAATAGCATGGCATGGCATGGCATGGCATGGTATGGTATGGAAGCATCGGACATACATACATACATACATACATACATACGTACGTACATGTCAGTCATGTCAGTCAGTCAGTCAGTCAGTCATGGGCCCTCCCGTTGTGGCTCATGGCGTGCGCCTCCCGAGGCCACCTCCACCAATGTATGTATGTACCAAGGCCAGTAGGTACCACCCAGCGCTCTGTGTGCCGGCATCCCTCCTCTCTCTCTCTCTCTCTCTCTCTCCTCTACTCATCTCATCCTCCTCATCCTTTTACGTCTTGTCCTGTCTGTTCCATATTTCACGTAGTGTCTGTTTCTGAGGCTTTTCTCTCTCTTCCGGACGTGTCCCGAGTAGGCGAATGATACAGGCCCCCCTCCGGCGGGATGCGATTCGAGCAGACGGACGGGAGAATGTGCCGAAAGGACGTATAAGTTGCAGGACCCCCGGCAGCAGCAGCAAGTTGTTGTGCGGTGTGTGAAATAAAGGTCCCGGTCTTCGCCCCCACCTTTCCTTTCCTGGCTCCGGCCTTCTCCTGCGTTGCTCCTTTTCTCCTTCTAAGTCTCCTTACCGGACTTGACCTGGTGGTAGAGTTCCCAGTTGTCGTTTTTGTCTCTCTGGGCTCTACCTATGCGGCCATCCCATGTTCCTCGGATCTCCCCCGGCTAGTCTTTGATGACCATGATTAAACCCTGGCATGGTCCCTCCCAACAACTTAGACAGTCAGAATATCGACCATGGTTGGAGTACCCGGCAAGTACAAGGGGTGCAACACTTGTCGACTCCGGAGGGCAAAGGTATGATCATAAAAAGACTAACCAACTAATCCTAAGACTCTAATCAACTACTTTTGCAGTGTGACAACGAACGACCATTCTGTCGCAAATGCATCGACTCGGGCCGGGAGTGTAAAGGTTACGATAGGGAGACCGTCTTCATCATCGGCACCCTCGAAGATGGTGGTCGCTGCTCATCACACCCGCCTCGAGTTTTGAAGGGTTCCAAGAGGGCCAAAGCCGCGGCAAAGAACGAGGAGGATGAGAAACTGGATCTAGTTCCCGTAGAACCTCTTCAACCAGCCTGGGATGACTTGGTCTCCTTATCCAATCTCGGAACTGTATACCAGGTTCAGATTGCTGCCCTACACACCAGCCTTCAGATGATCATCCGTGACAAGGCTGAGGGCGAGAACAACAACAAGTTCACGAGGCTGTCGTTCCCTCCTTACTCACCTGCCGACACTCGACCTTCATTACAAGAAGACGAATTCGCACTACGATCGCAGTGTATGATCCATCTCTCTCCAACTGACGCAAGCGGGAGTTCAGAATCAACGGCCACGGACAGCATCTTCTTATTCCTTTACGAGGTATGTTTATACTCGACGACAACACGCCCGGGCGAAGAACAACCTAATCTAACCCTGACAACAGCTAAACTCATCTGTCGCAACAAGTAACTTGCCGCCGTGGAAAGATCCCGCGGTGCAGACAAACCGCGTGAGGCAGCTCGGACCAGAACATTTCCGAACCTTTCCAGCACATCATTTTTTTGTCCGTGTTTATAGACACAATGCCGTATGAACTCGTTCTTGTTTCTGTTGATCACCTTTGAAGACAGTTTCAACTGACTACTCTACAGATTTGCGCCGCTTTACTCAACAGAAAGGCCAGCTTCCTCGCTGGACAGGAGTGGATGACGGCCCCGTGGGAAAACCATCCCAAGTCCGTCTTCGACAAGCTCTTCGACAACGTCGTTCTTCTCCCCTCCATACTCGCCAGAGCCGATCGCATCCTTCCTCATGATCCCACGCTTGCCAGGCGCCTGATGGCGCAGGACCTGCTGGGCAACTGCATCAACGTGGACCGGCAGCTCGAGGAGTGGCACAACTCGGTCATCCTCGCAGCGGGCGACCAGTCGCGGCTCTTCTGGATCGAGGACCCGGACGGGTCGGGCGCCCAGATCCCCTTTGCGGACACGTTCGCGTTCAGGGACTCCATCACGGCCGTCATGTTCATCTACTACTGGACGTCGCTCATCGTCTTCTACCCCTGCGCCGAGCAGCTGCAGCAGGCCATCTTCCAGCCCGTGCTCGACGCCTTCCCCCAGATCTACCCGAACCTGCCGCCCAACCTGCACATCGACCCGCAGCGGTACAGCCACAAGGAGGTCCGGGAGATGGCGGCCAACGTCTGCCGCGGCCTGGACTTTGCCCTGAGCACCACCGTGCAGCCGGACATGCTGGTCGTCCCGGTCTACGTGGTGGAGCAGTTCTACGGCGCCATCAACATATCTACGGGGGACGGCGCGCTGGAGCTCATGTGGCTGGAGGCCTTCAAGATGAGACTGACGGCCAAGGGGCAGGACATTGCAGACGTCATCCAGAGCAGGAACTGGTTCGAGCTGGCACAGTATTAGATTTTGGGATAGAACAGGCATTTGGGACGTTACATGGGGGGGTCTTGGGATACGGAACTACAAGGAGCATCATAGGAATGGGAATATTCTGGGAGGTGGGAAGGAAGGGAAGGAACATGGGCAGAAACATGGGACCCTCATTTTTTCATGATTATTCGTCATTCTGGGCTTCGAGATCTGTGGATCCAGATCGCCCTGGGAGGAGGAAGAGGGGACAGAGGGGAACAGACAAGGAGAACGAAGGGCAGGGCGGCATATTTTCGGTATCTTCTTGAGTATATTAGTACGTAGATCAAAATGCCTCCTCCTCTTCTTACTCATGATGGCCGTCCAGAAAGAGATACAAGAAAACAGAGACCGAGACTCTCCACGGTAAGTCCCCGAGACAGGGAGGAGAGAGATGTCATACATGCTCGCCCTACACACCCCTCTCCCACTCTCTCGGGATACAACGTGCTAATCCAGTCCCCCTAGCATGGCACTGGAACTGCTGCTGTCAAACACTAAACTACAGCGGCAGCGGCGTTGCGGGTCTAGGTACTGTAGGCCAAGGTGTAATAGACCCTACGCCAACGCACCTCTCCGCGGCTTGCGGTGCCGAAGATACTTCCCGCTTACCATCCATGGTAACACGCCATAGGGGAGCTGGGCCGGGAGCAGAGCACGAGGGGACAAAACCCTTCTTCCAGCAGGAGATGCGTCCTAGCACACCTGTGGAGCCTGGACGGAGGTGAAGAGGACGCAAGACGGAAACCACTGGTCAGAGGAAGCGACACAATAGTCGGGCCTTCATGCAGCTTACCCTCCTCGAAGCGAACCCAGTGAGAAGGGACCCTCACATCCTTCTCTTTGACAATTACTGATTCATTCGTCCCTGTTCAGGGGACTCGAGCCCCCCGGGCAGAGGGGGGAAGGAAACAACGCGCGAGCACGGCGCGGAATCATTTCCATGTTAGGGGGTTGACTCCACGGGCGCGGGCTAAAGGGGGATAAGCTCCCACCTCGTCGAAAAGAGACCCTTCTTTCCCACTGGGGGGACGAGAGAGCAGGTGTGTGTGCTAGATGCCAGACCGCTGTTCCTGCGGGATCGGCTGGGTTTGCTGGACTATTGTATAGGTGTGGTTGGCCTTCGAGAAATCGTTCCTGTTACGGGTAGAGCCTGGCCGCTATGGAGGTTTTGGCGCCTTCTAGAAGCCCATACTGCATAGTAGCGGCAGGCATTTAAAAGTCCCCAGTCGCGTTCCTCACCAGCCTATTCGCTGTGGCGGGTGAGATTAGGGGAGATTGGCGTTGTGTCAACTGGAAATTTATCAGCATGACGCTTGGCGGTGACTGGTGGTGATCCCTGGCATCGTAATTATAAACTACTGGACTGGTACAGTAGAGCGGTCCATCATGACAGAAGGGGATCGCGCATGCGCGCCTTTGCAGGACAGCACTTGCTTGCTGCATGGTTCAATAGACATAATTCCGTGCATGTGGAGAACCGACGCCCTACAAGGCGTAGAACGGGGGGGCCAAAAAAAAAAAAAGTAGGTAGTTCTTGATAGTGTAAGACTGTAGTATCGGTAATACTAAGAGCACGCCAGTCCAGAGGGAGTGTCACTTGATGATCCCCGGCCCGGGAACAGATCGCAGGGGGAAACGTGCAGGGAGAGCCGGCGGTGGTAGATTTGAAATCTCACCGCCACGACCTTGCAGCTGGCAAGTCGACTTGCTACCTGCTACGCAGTATGCAGTAAGTCGTCAGCTCTAGGCTAGGCCCCCAGGGTTTCTTACGCAGCTTGATGCACGCCGCGGTGGACCTGGAAGCGAGGCAGCCGTTCTCGTCATGCGTACACGGACGGATACCACGGCGGCATGAGGACGCCGTGCGTACGTCGTTGCTTCGTTGCGCGGTCGAGACTTCTAGAACCGGCGCAACTATATGCTTCACCGCCCACTGCAAGGCAAGGCTGGCAGGCAGACGCTGGCCTCGGACTTCTCGATAGGGCCGTCGCCTCCCGGAGCTGGCGGAGCCTGAATGTAGAGTCGGAGATCGGGTTCAGGCAGGTCTGTTCGCTTCGCTTCGCATCGTGGCGACAAGTTTGTACTGGACTGTACCGTGCTGGACTGGACTGGACTGGAATGAGGTGGACTGAAGGATTCGGGAATCTTATTCTTATTTTGCCTAAGACCGAAAGGTGTGTGGGATGAGCTGGAATTTCACTGGACACGGCGTGACATCTGAGTGCCCCCGTCTAATTGTCAAAGGATCAGCCGCCGAAGGTTACACAAGCAAGCAACCACGGGCGTAGGAAGAGAGACTAGAGAGGCGCTCAACTAGTTTGTGGAACCAAGCCTGTCTATAGACACTACTGCATGAGGGAGGTAGGTCGTAGTCTAGACAGGAGCAGGAGCGGGCGCAGGAGCAGCTCCGAATGGGTTGTCGGGTATAGGAGACAAGAGGCCATTGCATTGCCATTGCCATTGCCATTGTCAATGCGTTGCCCAGCCCAGGATATCGGACTTAGCAAGCTTGGGCCTGGCAGGAACTGCGACAACTTGTTGAGGTTGAAGGTTCTCTGGAAGCGAAAGCAACTCTCCGCAGCTGAATAATGACTTCAGAGCTCCGTCGCCGGCCTGCTTACCTTCCTTTCATGTGATACTAAGAGATTGTAGAACAGGCAAGAGTAACATCATCAGATAATCGACGTTCGGCCCACGGAAGATGTGCCGGTCCTGTCACTTAGACCTGTAGCCAAAAACTTGCTGCTCATTAGACAATCAGACGACAGCTAACGTTAGCCGGCACCGAGGTTAAAATGTTCTGCTAGAAAGCCGTATTGGGCTAAATCCAGCCGATGGTGTGATGCACACGCCGTCTTGAAGTTGCGGGCCGCAGTTCATGCGTTGGCTGAGCGGCTGGCATCTTCGCCTCACCTATTACGACGCAGACAGAGGGATGCGGCGGAGGCTCTCCACCGTGGGCACTCTGAATAGATGAGAAGGGGCTGTCGAGGTCGCGACAGTCAACGAATAGAATGTTGATGTCGTGGCTGAGCTGACTCCTCCTTACCGCAGACCGTCTTGAGAGATCCTGGGGTTTCCTAGACTAGGAGTTGAGTGACGGCATGGACATAATAAGGGGGAGGATTGCTGTTGGCTGTACGGAAAACGTCCCACCACGCCCGTACAACATCATCCCGATCTGGATACTCGGCGATGACAACCCAGCACATGACCCGGCCCAGGCCAGTTTCGAGTTGGACTTGGGACAGATTAGACAGCAGACCCCCGCTGGCCGCGATGATCGACCTGTAGATGTCTGTCTCGCGGCCTGCGCAGACATGGGACCATGCCTGTCCCAACACGGGCGAGGACGATGGCATGCATGAACAAAGAAGCAAAGCATGGGGAGAGACATGGGGCAACCTTGAGTCTCGAGAGAGCCTAGAAAAGCCCAGAGAGCCCAGAAAGGGGTGGCTTGGAACGGGGGCCCATAATGCGACGGATTTCCACAGGGGTCGCACCTCAAGGGCTTGGGGTAAGTGCTGGACGGCATCTGATTTGTCTGCGCGCTGAGCAGCTGTTGGAGAGGCCAGAGGAGCACGTTTCAGAGATCCTAGATCCTCGAGTTGGTGTAAGTCAGGATGCACATCGCCGCCCTCATTCGTCCCTTGCTCGCCCGCGGGTTAGCCTAAGGTACGGACGCATGAAGGGGACCACGACTGCGGTTTCGCCTCCAGAGCCGGTCGGGCTGTGGTACAGCATGCTGCGTACCTATGGTACCTAGGTAGGATACCCATACAACAGATAAGGAGGTACAGAGAGAAGTATAAACCTAAATGGAGATCCTCCAAGCCCAGCTGTGACCCGAGCTGTTTCTCTCTGTCTGCCGGTCCTTTTCTGCCTCGCCTGTGTCCTTGCAGTTGTGAATGCCCTCATTGACTTTGTCAGTAGAAAGACAGACACAAAGACAAAGAGACAATAGCGGAGCCCAACCCCTGGAACTAAACTGCCGGATCTGCCCTTTTAGCGAATCGGCACATTTATTTTAATCGATAGGAAAGGCGGGAGCCCGCTAAACGGCAGCAATTGGGGGGCAAAGGGAGCCACTAGAACAGCACCAAAATGACAAGTGGGACGGAAGCCAGCGGGGAGCCACTGGGCGGCGTGGCGGCATTGGTGGCGGTGGTGCCCGGCAACGTTGAATGCGTGGAGAAGTTCCCCGAATATTGTTTACACACGCACCAAAACCACCACCACAAAGCATCAGCTACACCTGCAGCACAACCACCACCGAGAACTCCAGACGCCCAACAACCACGGCCGCTCTCAATTTCGGTGCAGTCCACCAGCTCCGCCTCCGAATACTCCGATAATACCAGCTTCAGCGGCTTCGATTCCCGCCGGGCCTCCATCATCAGCAGTGCCTCCAGCTACCTGTCGGTGTCCACCTCGTCCCCGCACCAGCACAACCACCAACACCAACAACAGCAGCCTCTGACCCGGAGCCGGCGAGACGCAAAGCAATTGCACGCCGCACGGCTCCAGCGGTCCGGATCAGCAAGCTTGACTGTCGGCAGCACGAGGGACGGCAGCCCAACCTCAAAATCAAAGTCCAGATTCGGACGCTCCCGCACCGTAGGAGGCTCACCGCAAGACGCCCTTGCCGCCACCGAGCCGCCACACGAGCAGGGCCTGACGAGGATGGCGTTCGCTGAGCAGCAGCGCTGGATCACTGTCCAGCAAAAGACCTTCACAAAATGGCTCAATACCAAGTTGGAGGCTAGGGAGCTAGAGGTCAAGGACCTGGTGAAGGATCTTAGTGATGGTGTAAGTCTCCAGTCTCTAATCTCCAATCTGACGTCAATTGGGACCGGGCTGATGATTCCTACAGGTGCTTCTTATCCATTTGCTAGAATCTCTATCAAACGAATCATTGGGACGGTATGCCGCCAAGCCCAAGCTACGAGTGCAACGCTTTGAGAATGCCAATCTTGCTCTGGACTTCATCAAGTCGAGGGGCATCCAGATGACCAACATTGGTGCTGAGGATGTCGTCGACGGGAACAGAAAGATTATATTAGGCCTAATATGGACTCTAATTCTAAGATTTACCATCAGCGATATCAACGAAGAGGGCATGACAGCAAAAGAAGGCTTGCTATTATGGTGCCAACGAAAGACAGCGTGCTACGACGAGGTGGATGTCCGAGACTTTAGTGCCAGCTGGAACGACGGGCTTGCTTTTTGTGCCTTGCTGGACATACACAGGCCGGACCTGATCGACTACGACGCATTGGACAAGTCAGACCGCCGCGGGAACATGCAGATGGCTTTTGATATAGCTCACAAGGAGATTGGCATCCCCAAACTCCTGGACGTGGAGGATGTCTGCGATGTCGCCAAGCCGGATGAGCGCAGTCTGATGACTTACATTGCCTACTGGTTCCATGCTTTCTCGCAAATGGAAAAGGTCGAAAATGCAGGTCGACGTGTGGAGAAATTCGTCAACAACATGCAAGGAGCCTGGGAAATGCAGAGTGCTTACGAGAGGCGCATGGCAGCACTCTTGAAGAATATCCGAGAGCAAGTCGAGAGGTGGCAGGCTGCCAAGTTCGAGGGGACCTATACGGATGCCAAGGCCCAAGCCACAGAATTTGCATCATACAAGAAGGGCAAGAAGAGAGAATGGGTTGCCGAGAAGAGCGAATTGGCGACATTGCTGGGGAACATCAAGACTAAGCTGGGGACATATCGACTAAGGCCATATGACCCCCCTGCTGAGTTGCGCCTCGAAGTCATGGAGAGGGAGTGGTCAAATCTGGCACGGACAGAGATGAACAGGGGCCAGTTGATCAACGAGACAATCCGAGAGTAAGCTTCACGTATGCTCATGAGCAGTGATCATTTCGCTAATACCAAGAAGCATCAAGAACGCCCTTCGCAAATCCTTTGCAGACAAGGCAAACGACTTTGCCATGGCTCTCAACACTATGCAGCTAGCTATTTCTGGTCTGGAAGGTGAGGTCGAAGACCAGCTACATCACGTCCGAAAACTCAGCGACAATCTACCACCAATGGATGCTTACCTCAAGACTATCGCTCTGGTTGACGAGAAGTGTCAGGAGGCAAACATTGAAGAAAACGATTTCACCACATACACCTACGACGAGCTTTGCTATGAGCTGTCACTAGTAAAGTCATCGGTCTCTAAGAAGCTCTCCTTCTTAGAGAATCAGATAGTAGCGCGAGATATGACAAACTTGACCCCGATTCAGCTTGAGGAGTTCGAGTCCGTATTCCGCCACTTCGACCGGGACGACAGCAACTCACTGCAAGAGCTCGAGTTCAGCGCGGCGCTCGCCTCGCTCGGCCTGGTCTTCTCCGAGGACGAGATGCACGAGTACTTCCTGGAGACGTCGGGCGGCCGCGACCGCGTCACCTTTGAGCAGTACATCCGCTTCCTGGTCGAGGTGACCGAAGACCAGAACACGGCCGAGCAGGTCTTCCAGTCGTTCCGCGAGGTCGCCGACGGCAAGCCGTACGTCACCGAGATGGACCTGCGCCACAGCCTCGTGCCCGACGAGGTCATCGAGAAGCTCGTCGAGATCATCCCGCCCCACAACGGCCCCGACATGCAGGCCGACCGCGGCATGCCGCAGTATGATTACATCTCCTTCATGGAGAAGATGATCAACGAGGAGTCGGAATCCGGACGCATGTCGCCCGTGAAGGGAGGGCCGCTGACGGATAGGGGGGACATCAACATCGGCAGCCCGAGGAAGGAGAGCAAGCTGAACGGTTACCATTAAATGAGCCAACATATTCTCGTTTGGTAGTTGGTAGTACTGTCTTTTCATTTACATTTTTAATCCGGGCACAAGACAACCCTCGACGGGAATTGGATGGCACACATACACGCACTTTGATATGTGCGAGCCAGGGGAAACTAGCATTGTTATTCGGTGTTCTGGCAGGTTGTTTGAACAAAAGACTCGCTTTCGGTTTTAGGCACGGGGGACCCAAGATATCACTCATCAGTAGAAATTCGCTAAACAGTTTGTACCAAAGCTTTAAGCTGTGTTCTGATATTGGTGCGAGCAGTGTCCAAGCTGCTCTATCTCGCGTGATGCAGTATTCTGAGATAGTGTCTCGGCCCGGCAGCGCGAAGCTGACGAGATATCTCCCTGACCTCCCCCATGTATAATGTACGAATGATACATGTCCATGTAGCAGAACCATTGCATGATGCGGCTCCAAATGCGAACAAAACAAACGGCCGTCTATCTCATTACCCAATGCCAAGAGCGTAAGAGCTAAAAAGGGAACTTCCGCGCAGGCCTGCGTCTACCTGTTTATATTATTAGGTGGTGAAAAACAATGTCCTTACTCCTTGAAAGCATCCATCTCTTTTAAAGCACCGGCGAGCCTCCTGTAGTCTCTAAGAAGCTCAAGGACCTCGCCGATCCGAAGATCGGCCGGGTTCTGAAGCTCCATGAAACGCTTTACAGGCGGTGCTATCTTTGGCGTCTCTTTAGGGGGAAGAGCTGCCGCTATGTCGGGGAAGGCCTTTCGACTATGTTAGCGCAGTATTCGAAACATGACAAAATAAGAATGATGTCTTACAGTAGCCAGGTCGCCCCCGTCTGTTGCAGCTGCTTTCCCGTCCTTCAGGGTTGGGGCAGCAGGGGTGGAGGCAGTCCGACCGAAGCCCCTGAACCCACCTATACCAGCAAACTTGGCCATAGGATTTAGAGAGCTGCCAAAGTTTCTCATTGAGTCAATGATCGCAGGATTTGTTGCAGCTGCCAGGGGCAAAGTGGCAGGGCTAGGGCCGCCCTTTTCCCTTGCCTCTTCCGCGAAGGCGACCTTCTTGGAGCTGCTGGCACTCCGTGAACTGTCTGCGCTATGATCACGAGAAGCCTTTCTACCGCTTATAAGGTTGAGCATCTTGTCGTCCGCCTTTGAAGCTCTGCGCCGGCTTTCCAGCTCGTCGACGACAGAGCTGGACTCAACCGAGGCATCGTCATCCGGGGGCGGAGTTCCGATTAGCTTTCTCGCATCGTCAAGAGTCTTCGGAACGAGAGCTTCCCCGCTGGCTCCAGGCGGACCGTCCTGGGCACGTAGCTTGCCAAGTAAGAACTTATAGCTGTCTCCCAAGCTATTACCAATGTCTTTCAAACCTTGGTCAGCAGTCTTGAAAACTGCATCACTGGCGGCGCCGAGTGCCTGGGCAGGAGTGTTCACCAGATCACTAAGTCGGCGATTACGTAGCTGAACAGCTCGAAGGCCACTAGATGGTGACGCCGCTGGCTTTGAACCAACTGCTGTACTTGGTATGACTTCAGAGCTGGTGGCAGGCAGAGATAAGCCTGGAGTTGATACAAGGGGAAACGTTTCGGTTCTCGGTGTTCCTGGGCGACTATTCGACTTCAGGGGGCCGGATGGTGCCTCATCAGCTCTCAGTGTGGAGAGGTCTACCGTCTCAAGAAAGCTGATGGCTGCTTCCAGATTTGTCAAGCAATAGGCAGCCTCTCCTGTCAGCTTCTGTTCCCAGCGGAACCGTTGTATGAAGTTGAGGTCGCTTATAACATTGAGATTCTCGGGTTGCAGTGTGATGAGTGTGTATATGAGCATCGGCATGATCTCGTCGGCCGAGGAAGACGGGTGAAATTGGGAAAGTGTGTCAACAATGCTTTTGTGAACAGCCTTCAAACGATTGAGTTTCCCGAGGGGATACCGGGTCTCATTCATCGCAATAAGCTCGTTCCGAGCATGGTCGAGTGACTTGCGGACCTTTGCCGTCCTTTCTTCAATCACTTCCGGTGGCTCAGAGGCATCGCCCAGTTGGATGCCAAGATCCCCAATGCCAATCCCAACAACTGCAAGAGCTGCCGTCTTTGAACGGAGCTTGTCGTCTTGTGCCTCATCTTGGGTGCTTCTGTGGCGATATATCCGGTCGTATATCCCCTCACAAAGTCGCCTCTCTACTGCTTCCTCCAAAACCCCCCGCTTCTGCTCTATAGCTTTCCTTGCCCGCTTTCTCTCAGCCAGTTCGTCTGCCGTGATCATTTGTTGTTCCGCATGTTCTATGGTTGGAGTACCGGGCTTGGGTTTGTCCTTGCTCCCGATAGAAGCTGCCTTGCCCCTTAGTAAGCTTGCGGCCGATGCTTTTGAGGATGTTGACGGAGCAGGAGAGTTTTCCCGATTGTGCCGGGAAAGCAGCGTCGCTATATGAGTATTGATGTGTGAGGACGCATGAGCGTAGAAGTCCTGGAACAGACCAGATATATAGTCTATGGTCGGAGGAGTTGGGTACGTTTTAGTTGACAGGGATTCTATGAAACTGAACTTTTTGTAAGCCGAAAGCAGCTCCAAGTCTTTGAACAGAGCTTCATACCTATCCGTGAGGCCGATAAGCTCGATAGGAAGATCGTCAAGATCAACAGAGGTCCTAGGGGGCTCAGACGGGTCGTCACCCTGGCTAGTCTCAAAGGCATCTGGGCTCTCTTCCTCGACCTTGATGATCGAAGCCGGCGCTTGACCAAGAGCTGTTACTTTCGGCGTTGCTCCATTCTGTATGGTGTTTGCTCGCTGTGAGCGAGCGCCAGGGGAAGCTGGGGGTTGCTCGTCTGCTCTAGGAAAGGACTTTGTGGTTCGCAGTGGCTTTGGTCGAGCGTCTGCATGCTTGGAGGAGGGCGTCTGTGATGCCATGAAGGTCTCGGTCAAGCTAGAGAACATGATGATGATGGGTCAACAATTGCACCGGCACAACGACCTGGCCCCGACATCTAGAATGCAGATGCGGGATTGACAGGACGTGGGATCTGGGACAGGGCATAAGCTACCTACCAAGCAGTCGGTGCATGAAGCACTTAATGGGGTCTTGAAACCATATAGGGGCGGGCTTGTAAACGAGTGGATGGCAGACACCCTGAGAGAACTGGAAAGTGCAGGCCCAATTATGCCATGGACAGCCTACAGACAAGAACAAGATGCTCCACAGACACGTTGGACGATTCTGTTTGTTGCGGTAAGCAAAAGGAAGGGATTCGGAAGTGCTGGAGGTTGCGACGACGACAGCAAGAGAGGATCGGATACAGCGCGCGTCGGATGATGCCATGTAAGTCAGATCGGTTGCAGCTGCCTGTGTCATAGTACCAAATGGGACTACATGAGCATGAGGTACCCGTAGGCGGCATGTGCAGCACCCCGGCTAGCCCGTTGGCTGTAAGTACCTACCTGATATTTAGTGGCGCGGGGCCGTCGGTGCAGGTACTTAGGTAGGGATCTGTACTGATCTTCGACTGGCACCTCAGAGTAGGTACATACCTAGTGTGCGTCTTCTTCTGCAGGTCGAGATCCTAGCGGTGCTTCAGTGGGATGAGCACGCTGCACCTGTCCGACAGGCCTAAGACGGTCACATGCGCGAGGCTTTGTAGTGGTCACCAGGCGGCAGAATGTGCAGCGTAATGTCATTTAGGCAAGAGAGCACGGGCCCGTCTGTTAACTCTAGATACTGTGTTTCCGATAAGAGGTAGTTTTCCGCCCATCTCAGCAGGGGCAGTACCTTTTGTGTACTCTATCTTATCAGATATTATTGCCACCTTGAACAGTGCAAGTCGGTTGCCTCTGAAAGCAGCGCGACGTCAACACAAGCCCGCAGCCGGTGCCAGGCGAGTGGCAGCCAGTCATCTGAACCGTTGCCGGCCCTTCGATGTTGTCATATCACTACTATCAGGCACGCGATACCACCGACCGGACACTCATACCCATCCGTCCATCCACCCATCCCAACAGTCGTCGACGTCGTCTGGCGGGGGTGGCCAACGCAGCAGCAACAGAACAACAACAACACATCACACACATACAGACAGTCGTCTCTTCTCTTTTACCTGTCTTGAACATTAATAAGTCCTTACAACCCACGGTTTCGAACTCGACTCTCCTTCTCTATCCTATCGCGGACCGTCCTTCAGCAACTCCGCCGGCTCTCGAGCTGCTCTCTGCCCGCCACCTCTTCAACATGATCCTCCGGCGGAAGGCACAGAGCGGCAAGACCTGCTCCTCTGCTGGCAGAGTCACTTCTCAAGTTCTTCTGTCATTTCTTGCTCTTGCAGCCTCGCCTGTCACTGGTGCCAGCAACGTCCGATCAAATGACGAGGCCTTGCTGCCACTTCCGCCCTCGTCGCTTTTCGTCCCCACTCCAGAACCACCACCACCTGCAGAGCATACCTTTGTAAGCCCCGGTCGACTAGCGCTTCCTATCGTATAACTAACTTGTTCTCATAGACATTACGACATGTTTTCCATCATGGCACCTATCAGCACCCACGATTACACAGGAGGAAGGATGTATTGCACGAAGAAGGCGATCTTTGGCTCGCGGCAGAGGAAGGATATGAACAACATCAGCTACCAACGCTGAAGGCACGAAGTCGAGCTACGAAAGTCGAGAGGCTAGTCGATCGTCGGCCAAGTGTGGTTGAACCCATGGTAGCTCTGGCAAGAGAGAGGGGTTATGTCTCGGTTCTTGCACCAGACGCCTGGACTCTTGATGATATACCCGGACCGAATATCACCGATAAGGACACTGTTCTCAGCTTTGCATACATGGCCTCAAACGCATATGTGCAAGAGCCAGGACAACCAGACTGGGAAGAGGTCGGAGAGCCCTTCAATAGAAGCGCCGATTTCGGCTGGGAGAGCGATGGCTTGCGAGGGCACGTCTGGGCGGACGAGACCAATTCGACCATCGTTATTGGGCTGAAGGGGACCTCACCAGCTGTGTTTGACGGAGATGGTACGACCACAAACGACAAAGTCAACGACAACCTCTTCTTCAGCTGCTGCTGTGCTCAGCAGGGTCAGTGGTCATGGCATCAGGTCTGTGACTGCGCTACTGGCACATATACGTGCAACAACACGTGTGTCGTAAAGGCTCTGCGTGAGGAGAACCGCTATTACATGGCTGCAAGGGAGTTGTATTCAAACGTCACCGAACTTTACCCAGATTCAAACATCTGGGTGACCGGCCACTCGCTTGGCGGTGCCGTTAGCTCTCTTCTAAGTTTAACATATGGCCTGCCCGCTGTCACCTTTCAGGCGGTGCCGGAAGCCTTACCAGCTGGCAGACTCGGGCTTCCTGTTCCCCCTGGGTCAGATCCTGACGCTCCTCAGACTCGAAAGTACACTGGCGCCTATCATTTTGGCCACACCGCGGACCCGATTTATATTGGCACCTGCAACGGAGCTACTGCCTCCTGTTCTTTTGCCGGTTATGCTATGGAGTCAGCCTGCCATACAGGCAGCGAATGTGTGTACGATGTGGTCGCCGACAAGGGCTGGCGGGTTGGTATTGGTACTCACAAGATTCGCTCCGTCATTCATGATGTCATCCTGAAATATGACACCGTCCCTGAGTGTAAGTTCACTCCAGAATGTCGAGACTGCGCAAACTGGAAAATGTATGAGAGCAACGGCACCGAGACTACTACGACATCTCGGTCATCGACGACCACCAAGACTCGTACACGGACAGAAACCTGCAAGACACCTGGATGGTGGGGATGTTTGGACGAGACGACCACCAGAACCGGAACTACGACCAGTGAGACCACAACGACCACCTCTACATCTACATGTGAGACACCTGGCTGGTTCGGGTGCAAGGACAAGACGACCACCACGTCCGAGCCTGTCACGTCTCCCACAGCTGTCCCAACCGTCACAACAACCCCAACTAGCACGTCCTGTGAAACTCCTGGAAAGTTCTGGGGCTGCTATGACAAGACCACAACAACCCTCACATCTCACTCGATTACGGCTCCGCCCGCAACATCTCCTCCAACTCCTGTACCGACAACTACGGCACCTGCCAGTTCTACCAAGTCTCATTGTCTGCATAGGAATTGGTTCGGATTTTGTAAGGAGTGGGAAGACTGCGAAGGGGATGAAATCGATGAGATATGAGTCAAGTCGATCGTTGCATAAACAAGCGTTGCTCTTTTAAATTTATCTAGAACTATCATTTGGCGTTATAAGGACCTGGGATCAGGATGGCATCGGAATTGGCGCGTTGGCTCATCGACAAGTTCCCATAAATATACATTGTTTTCACATATTCATATTAGGAATATATACCATAACATTGACAATCCCACGAGCGTTCATGATATGTAACACGACATAAAGAGAATACCACGGTCATATGCCTCTTCTTGCAAAACTAGGAAGTCACTGTTTGCGTCGTCTTTTGGGATATCATGCACGATAGAGGGTTACCAGGAACCCCTTCATAGGTGCTCTGCACATGTGGCTAGTGGCTTGGAGTGCGAGGATGAGGCTAACCCCACCAACTGTGGCCCCTGCACAGACATGCGAATCCACTAAAACCCTAGTCATACAGTGATGTCAAGAACCTTAAATGTCCAACAGATGTGTTCCGCAAAACGCGAACCTCCAAAAAATTCAAGCAAACATCGCGCCACCTGCGCCGGATCACCGACGCGACCGATGATCTTAAAGTCTTGCCGAACTCACTCGAACATACACAGAGTTGGATTCCGCCACTATTTGATGCGTGACCAGGCTTGCCCCAGATTCGCTTTGTAGTCCGGGGAGGGCAGAGTCAAGACGCGGCAGAACGACAAGATGGCGACAAGCGACAACACACCATCTCGCCGGGACGAGTCATCCGACTCAGACGACAGCGACACCGGCAGCGATAACGGAAGCGAGTCCGGGAGCCAGACGCAGCAGGTGGAATGGCTGGCGACCGGCCGCGCGAAGCGGTCCACCGCCGGCAACCGCATGAAGTCCATGCTCGCCAACGAGGAGCCTGCAGCTGATGACTCCGATCTGGAGCTTCTGTTCGCCGAGGACGAAGATGACGCCGGATTCACGGACGCCGACAAGGATGACGCGTCGGATGTTCAGATGGACTCTTCTTCCGACGATGAGGATGAGAACGCCGCCGCTGCGGACGATGACGAGGGCGAGAAGGAGCTCCAGCGCCAGGCGAAAGAGAAGAAGGCGGCGATGAGAAAACGAAAGGCCCAAGAGGCGATACCCATCAAGTTCAGGAAGAAGGTCAGGATAAGCCAACCAGCCGCTGGACCGAGCGCGACGACTGCACCGCCGCCCCGGCCCAAGAAGAAGTCAGAAAGGGCGAGCTGGCTTCCATCACCTGCAGACCTCCCGACACGGTCGTCCGAGCGACAGACGACGAGAATGAGCAAAGAGCAGCTCCATCAGCAAATGATCGAGCGGGAGATCAAACGCAAGAAGCAGGTGGAGATAATGGAGAAGAAGGCCAAAAAGTTAGAGGCCCTTAAGAAACCTCCAATGACACAAGCCGAGCGTCTTAAAGAGGCCGCTTCCGTGGAAAAGAGGAACTCGAAGAGCTTAAACAGATGGGAGGAGGCAGAGAAGCAACGAGAAGAGGAGCGGAAGGCCAAGCTGGCGGCCTTGAACAATCGCCGTTTGGAGGGGCCGGTTGTGACGTTCTGGAGTGGTATCGTTGATCTAAGCGAAACCCAGCTGAAGAATGTTGGAAAGATGGTATCCATGGAGGACAAGCCTAGAAAGAAGAGGCAATCCGCCGCCGCTGCGAAGGCGGACGCGGAAGCCAAGGCTTCAGAACAGACAACGCCAGTGCCAACGACGACACCACAAGAGACGGTCGGCTCAGAAGCTATCAAGCAAGAGCCAGGTGTGGCCGGATCGCAGCCTAAGACTACGGATTCTAGCATGGCCTCGGAGCCGGCTGCGTCAGCGCCGCCGGTTCCAAGCGTTGCTCCTGAGGCAACACCTCCACCTCACGATGCTGGTTCCGAACCGGCTCCTGAATCTGCCACGAACGCTATATCAGAACCAATACCGCCACCTGTAAATAATTCTCAACTTCCTACAACACACGATGGGCCTACTCCTCCACCTCCGTCCCTCGCTGAGCCCCCTACAAATAGTCAAGCTCCCGCTTCACCCCCACCGGCCATATCTCAAGCACCCACGAATAGCGAGACATCGAGTACATACCCTCCTCCTCCCCCAACCAACTCACAGCTTGCATCAAAGCCTCCTACTCCTCCACCACCTCCTCAAGCGGCCAGCCCACAACCTCCTATGCCTGTAGCAAGCTCCCCTCTACAAGCACCCTCTCCAGCTCCTGGCGAAGTAAATCAGGCTCTCGTACCACCGCCTTTCCAGAGAAATGACTCTAGCTCTCGTCTGATGGCACCACCCCCTATTCCGCCTCCGCCTGACATGCTTTCTCAGCAGAGAAGTGTCCTTGCTCCACCAGCCGGAGCTATGCCGGGCATGCTAAACTCACCTATGCCCATGCTCGGCTATTCCTCAGGACCCAATTACAGGCCAAATGTCCTCGCTGCTCCTGCTCCCCCAAGAACGGGGTCTCCTCTATCTCATCCAGCTACTAACCAGGCATCACTCATGGCAAATCCAATGGCAGCACCTTCAACATCCTCCACCATCCAAGGTCCTATACCAGCCCCGCCACCCTCCTTAACGGCACCTACAGTTCAGTCTCAAACGCAGCAACCCCATCCTCAACTGCCTCCCCTTCCCAAGGGATCTGAACTCGCTGAAAAGGATGGACCTGTCACACCATCCCAAAGTACTCCTATTCCACCAGCGAAGGCCCGCAAAGCGTCGAAAGCCGCAGAGAAACAGGAAGTGCAAGAACCTCCAGCTCCGGAGCCGCCTTTGGAAGGCAAAGTAACTCGCAGTTGTATCATGTTACAAAACTTTGACGACGATGCCATCAAATCTCCCGCTGTGCAGACGCAGATTCTCTTCGGGTGGAAGATGAGCAAACTCGGCAGTATGTTCCCCATTCAACTAGACCTTCTCCAATGCTAATTCAGCTCGCAGAACCTCCACATCCTCCAATCTGTGCGATCACGGGCCATCCAGCTCGGTACAAAGATCCCAAGACGGGTCTGCCGTACTATAATGGATATGCTTACAGGGAGATTCAGCGCATTTCCAAGGGCGACTACAAATGGAGCAGCCTGTTGGGAGCGTGGGTCGGCAATGGGTCGTTTGCCGCAAGGGGCGTACCCACGCGCTTCCTTGGTGGTCCGAAAGAGGTCACAGATGCTCCGAAGCCAACAGAAGCAGCTCCAGCGAGCGAAGAGCCTGCCAAAGAGCAAGCCGTAGCTCAACAGCCCGCGACTGAGCCTGTTCTAGTGCCTGCTGAGGCATCTGAAGTCGTTGCAGAGCCGAAGGCACAAGTGGCACAGAGCTGAATGTATTATGGTAACAATGTGAGAAAATGGTAGCTAGATTAGATGTATAAATGATTAATGATGCCTACCCGGACTTTGAAAATCCTACATATGATCCCTGATAACCTAATGCGTAATGTAGTGGTGATCTTGAAGCCACTTTCGCCTCGCCTAGAGACTGACAAGGCAATGTACCGGAGGCCTCTGATTTACTAGAAACATGCATCATGATGGATTTGCTGAGGGTGTTCCTGATTTCCTCACTCAGCAGTGAGTCACGCATCTGACCGTGAATCTAGATACACGCCTGCATTGGGACCAACTTCTAGTGGCCATTAAATAGTGAGATGCGCCGTCCCATCAGTCACAGCAGGCGAGACAAAACAAATGTAAACTGTAGCGAAAGCAGATGTATATTCCATGGTGATGCCAAAAAATCTTATTAGCCATCATCAGAAGCGGAGTATCCAGTGTAGCTCCAGCACGGCTGTGGATTCCATGTAAACTGATGTCTATGATGCCTCCACTCAGCTTTCAACCAACGTGCAATCCAACAACGGAACACACTTCCCGTTTTGAAAAATCACAAGAGATTTGAGAGAGCCTGCTTTGGTAAAATGAGGAAGAAATGCAGGCAAGCCACGTAACATAGGTAGTCGAACCTGCAATAAATATGAGAAGCGGACCTCAGGTATGTCCAACTTCTGAGTCCTACCGATAGCACAATCCGCCGTATGTTGATATTCCCTCGCAATCCCGCATCCCTGCATTTGTTTACATCCTGCCCAAGGACAAATTCGTGGCGTTCTGCCAACCCGGTTCTTATTGAAAAAGCACTTCAAATCGAGGCTGGAACGCCATCATGCATGTATGCAATGCGCCGGCCGCCTTCTTTTTGTCCCAGGGGTCGCTGTAAGGGCGGCTGGGTGTAACCTGGCAGACGCAGGTCCCCGCCGCCACAGAGGATTGCGTGTGACGCCGCCTGCAGGGTCATCAGGTCATCCATCTGTTTACTATTGACGAAATGTGGCTTGGTCGCTCTTCTCCGAGGTGGACCTATTGATGCTGGGAAATAACGTATACGAGGCGCGCGAAGAAGCCGAAGGGCAACAATGTCGGGAACCAATCTCGCGAAGAAGCTTTCGGGCGTATCGCGAACGGAAGGGCAAGTCACCGGCGAAGACAATGAACACAGATTTTGTATGTCCCAAAGATAGATTTGGCAAGTCAAAGTATATTGAATTTGCTGCACTGCTCAACTCCGGGCCTATCCAGGCCCATCCATAACCGGACCGGATCCAAAGTCCTCCAAAAAGTCTAGTCATCCCGAGAGCTGTCCGGTCAGCAAACGAGGAAGGGGGTATATGAGTTTCCAAGCGCCGATATCCCAGTCATCCCAAGTCCCGATTTATCCGCTGTACTAGTAGAAAAGAAACCCGATACTCCAAATGCCGCGCGGTGGCCACCGCTGATATCCTCAAGGAAAATGTATCCAGAGCAATTCTATATGAAATGTAATGTGACTTTATGATCTTGGCTTGGAGCAATGCCATGATGAGATGAACAAATGAAAAAGAGAAATGATCATGCGCCATTCTTGCCGCGGATTACATCTGCCATCCAGCCAAGCTCATTGACGAGATCGTCAAGGCCCGAGCCCGGGAGGGGGTGAGCAAGGAGAGCAGGGCTGCCGGCTTCGTTGTGTGCGATCAGGGCCGGTGAGCCCATGCCCTGAGCAGGTGACTGGCTGCCCATGGCTGGCTTGGCGCCGTCGACGGAAGCACGAGGCAGGCTGTAGCCGGCGAACGCGGCTGCGATGCTCTGGTCGAACGCGTGACCGCTCACGCCTAGACCGCGTGGAGGATATGGGAAGGCCTCCTCGTCAATGGAGGAGATGCCGCCATCATCCTCGTCCTCGGAGTGACAGAAGCCGGGCAACTCGTTGGGATCGGGTGAGTTGGGGTTGGTTCCCGATGTGTAGCTCGACTCAGATGAGAAAGAAAAGTGTGAGCGAGGAATGGGGAGATTCTCGGTGAAATATGACGGAACCGCGGGGGGTGCTCGTGAAGGAGGCTCGCTATAAGTAAGCTCTTCAGTTTCCTCGGCCGGTGTCTCTGGCTGACTTGATGGAAGCTGAAGAATGGTTGATGATGAGAAGTTACGTTTAAACGGTGGCGGTGACAGGACGGTTGGGGGCAGGACTTCAGAGACGGCAGAAGTGGCGAAGTTGTCATCGTCTTCGTTCTCCTCGACAATGTCATCCGGGATGGCAATCTCAGGCCGCTCAGCTGCCTGTGCCGGCTCAGAGACCAGGGGCAGATCATCAGATAGGAATTTCCTCAATGACTCGGGAGATATATCTCGGGTTCTGCTAGAGCTAGATGAAGCAAGGCTAGCTCGGTCATCGGAGGGTGTATATGATCGTGGTGCCTCCTCGCTCGAGTCTGCGTCCGAGCTGTGCAGAGACAGGGAGCTGGTCTTGCGGGTGAAGAGCTTCCGTGGCGACCAAGACCAGTTCGGACTCGGTGAAAGTGATCGAGCAGATCGCTTGTGTCGGAGGCTCATAGGCGACGTAGCCAGGCGAACACCTGGAGCCTCTGGGATCTTTGGGGCAGGTCTTGGGGTGACAAATTTGTCCGCAGGGTTCATCGTTTTGTAGTCGACGTTGCGCATGGAGCTCAGCGAGGCACTCCGCTTGCGTTCCACTTGCTCAAGCGGCATCCACATCGTGTTAACGGTCTGGCCCGGCAAGTAGGGACAGGCTGTCGTGGATGGCTGAGCTGGGTCATAAGTCTCGGTAGTGCCATCCAACTCGTACTGGGAGCTGTTAGTATGTGGTGGTGACATATGAGGCATACACACGCACGTAGTAGTAGTAAGTCTTGCCCATTTTCAAGCCGCCATTCCGCTTCGCTCTTGAATCAATGTCTCCGTCGTTGACAATGTTCTTGAACGAATGGCATCCCCGCCACTGGCCACGATCGCGACGGACATCACGCTCCATTGCGTATGTCTTGGAAAAGTTGTCCCAGGACCCGACAAGATGGACTGATCGAATGGAAGGATGCGTTTGTCTATGGTTTGGTCAGTCATGTTCCGACCACGGCTCCGTTATTATAAGATGTGTAGTTGTGTTGATAACGCAGAGAAAAGCAAATGCAGGTACCAGCTACTAAGCTGACATATATTCCCCTGAGGTGAGCGAGGTGAGTAATGCGTGCGAGAGGCTGCGAGTGCAATGCGACCCTATATCATCCTCACCCAGCCGTTTGGGCAAGCAAGATGCGGCCAATGCCTTGTGGGATCTGACGAGCGTACTCTGACACGAAAGATAGGCCCGAAATGAGCCCAGTGCTGACGTGATGCGAGCAATGCAATGCCCTCTCATAAGGCTGTCCAGGGCATCGGCATTAATCCTGCCAATAACAAGCTATAGCCTACCCTCGGCTATCGCACTCATATATGGGGTTACAGCAAAGCTATAAGCCTCGCCAATTCAGGGGAAGCGTAAATTTTGATTTGGAAATGCGTGACAATCTTTACCTGAAGAGTCGAGCTGCTCTTAGGCAGATTCACAGCAAAGCAAGACGTACATTAATAAACAAAAAGCCAATGCTCTGAACAGGGAAAGGTTTCCGAGAAAAGGGAAGATGATCCCAATGTAGGTAGAAAGAAGAACGCTTTTGTTTCGTAGGAACGTCCGTTTTTAAATGATATACAAGAACAACTCACAGCATGAAGGTAAAGAGTGTCGTAGTAGGATCCATGATGAATCGGGGAGAGATCAACTCGCCGCGCTTGAGGACCGAATAACTCGAGACACGCGGGAGCTGCAACTCTTATAAAAAGAGAAGCTTGTCAAGACAGGAGGCCCGTAAGCTTCAGAAACCCTGCCGCGAGAGCTTGTTCGATAGACGCAGAGGATAGGGAGTTCGCCTGGGCGTGATTGAAGGGGCCCCGCAATTGACCAATGAGAGTGCACGGATGGCTCTCGAAGCGCTGAGTATGCGGACGGGAGGTGGTGAACAAGACGATGAGTGGACGGCGCTTAGAGAAACAGACGATCTTGAAGTTTCGGGGCCTCGAGACTGAATCCTCTCATGACCAACGAGCGGCTGCTTGCTGTTGGAGGCTTGTGGAGAGGACCTGGTTCGTGCCTGACCAGAGCGAGGGTCCTGGGGATGACTTATATGCTGGGCACAATTTCGAATCTGTCGCCATATGGAGCGACGACGATGGGCCCAGGCCAGAAGGGGGCGCACCAGCTGAATGTAATAAAGTCTAATGAGGATCTTTCAGGCCCCGGAGCCCGCGCTCATCAGAATCAAGGTACAGGACAATACAACGCAACAAGGCGCGTGGGAGACAATCTGCGGCATGGATTGCGCCTCCAGGCTGAGAGTGGACGCTCTGACCGTCGTTAGCCCGCAAGCCACTGGGACCAAGAATGCTCCAATTGTTCAAATTGGGACGGTGGCTTACACGGAGATCGTGGCTCGGATTGGCCAGGATACTCAATGCTCATTCTAGATGGGGCTGCCGGGGTCTGTTAGACCATGTGGGAGGTTAATTGCGGTAACAGGCAAGGGATGGACGGCGCCTGAGTTACATTACCTGCGTCGGGACTTTATTCAAGCGAGCTGGCAGCCGGACGATCGCGGGCGAGTGAGACCTCGAAGAAAAAGAAGAAGAAGAAGATGCTGATATCCTGATTGACGCTGCAAACAGGACATGCGACAGAGGGGCTCGAGAGGAGATAGAGTTCAGGAATCCGGATTCGGGGCGAAGGGGGAGAAGGAGAGGGAACCAGGACAACAGATATCCATTCTGCTGCGTTCCTGGGTAGCCGGAAAGCATGATGATGGTGCTGATGATGCTCGGGTCCTACCTGGGGAGTGATCACCTGGGTAATGAAGTCACTCCATGCAGCTGCAGCCGGAGGATGATGCAGGTGCTGCTGCACTGCACAGCGTCCGACGCTGCCCGGGATCACCGCTCTCACTTCATCCCGTAGTAGATAGGCATTGTACAGTACATCGCGAAGGTACTTTCTTCGCAAAAGGAGTGCAATTCCGCTGAGCATGTACCTACCTACCGCAGCTACTATGCAATAAACCTGGATCTGAAGTGCTGGTCCGACTAGAGGGCTGTACCTTGCTCACCTGGAATCGGTAGTGTTGACAAGCCAAATTACAGGCGCGCGTGAGAGGAGATACCTAAGACCTTTACTGCATAGTCGCCAGAGGAGCGGAGCATCGTCCGCAACAGGATTTTTGGCAGTGTCCACCTCTCAGCTCATCACGACGGTCATGACGACGGTTACTGGTGCGCGCACTCATCATCGGGGCAAGACACCGCTAACCTCTAGCGTGTTCGGACCGTGACGGTCACGCCCAGCAACGACTGGTGCCAACAAACGGAGCGGACGGATTGCGGCACACATCCTGATAGTGTAGCGTAGAGTAGAATAGTGTATTATATTGTGCGTGGGTACATTAGACTCCTGCGTGCAGTCGAGACTCGAGGGTATGTACTGCGTAGAGTTGCACTCTTCAAACCGACGGTGTGGAACGGCAAGTCAGGTACAGACAGAACAGCGCTGTCGCAGGTCAGCGTCCAAGTGGGGACAACCACCACTGTGTCACTACTATCTATGTATGCACCAGACGGTTCGTCAGAAGAGATTGGTCCCCAGTGGCCCTCAGTGGCCCTCTCCATCTGTTGACCGGGATTCCCCCGTCGATCCTGCATGTCTCAGCTTTTCCAGGTTTGGGTACCTCGCTCGCTCCAATGAGGCCGAGGAATCGTGGATGTTGCTGCTGCGACATGCTACGCCCGCATGGTAGTCGGCGATCCCTCGAAATGCCGTGCAGACAGACAGACAGACAATGACAAGCCCCATACCTCTACATGTACATGCAGAGAGTGGAGAGAGATGGGGCCTCTCGTTAACGAGAGAGGGACGAGACAAGACACGACAAGAACAGAACAGAACACGCTATCGTCGTAATGCATTCGTTCATTCATTCATTCATTGCTGACAGGCGTTCGATGCCAGGCTCGGCCTGTCTTGTCGATGCCTCACGTCTCAAACAGGGGACGACAAAAGATGCCTGTTCGGTCCAGAGGACCGGATGTGGCGCGCTGAGGCTGATGTATGTGTATGTGTATGTATGTGTTCGGGGTATCATAGAGTATCGCAGGGCATTGAATCGCAGGGCCCACAGCACAGGGGACTCCATTCAACATTGCAATGCTCTGCCGTCCCCGAGCCTCGATATCACTGAATCGAAGTGCATCTCGAACGACGCCCGATCATGCCAGAGTCCGCATCGTGGCTGCGTGGCTGCTTGGCTTAACCCAAAGGGCGGCTGGCTGCCAGCAACCGACGGCCGTACGCTTAGCAGATACTAGACTCGGCTACCCCAGCTCCCCAGGAAACCATACACAGTAACTCATTACATGAGATTACCTACTATTGCACCCTCACGATGGTGGCTTAAACAAGGGTCCAGTCTCGCCTTTTGCTGATGCTCGATCGTGAACAATGAATAAGCAGTCCCAAACTATGCCCGAGGATCAGAGACAATCCCACGCCCACCGGCAACAGTCCCCAAGTCCGGTAAAAAAAAAAATTGCTTCTTCTCTGTATGTCTGTCTCTCAGCCCTCGTCTACGATGCAGTAGTCCTCTGCAATGCATGCAGACGTCAATAGCCTGTGAAAGTCGTCCTCTCGTCTCTCTCTGTCCCTGTCTCTCTCTTGCTGCTCGTCCTGCCTTCGGCGACTTGATTTGCTTGTTGCGCCTGCCTCACCAATGCAGTCTCGCTTCATGCATCTGTCACTTGGTTGGCCGCTTTGGGTGAATCTTCAATGCAATGCCAACGCATGAGCGGCCCCTCGCATAGCGGCCACCGGTTCGCCTGGGACGTCCAATTGGCCTCTGCTACAACCCCCTGCGTAAATCCTCCTTTTTTTATTCTTCTGCGGTCCATACATACAGTAGTGGTGCCTGTCTGTGAATTTGTGCCTTGCAAATTCGCATTTACGTAGGGCTGCGGCCTGGCAGTCGGCCCCATCCTCCATACCTAGGTAGGTATATCCTGGGTTGTTGGTAGATCATGCTCGCCAAAGAGCAAGGAGAGAAACCGAAAGGAATAGTGCCAGATGCCCAATTGGCGGGTTGCAGCTGACAGGCTTGCAGCGGGCTTTGGCTCCCAAGGGCTCTCGGGGACCAGGCGAGCAATGGACAACCAGCCATGACGCCAGCCTCCTGAGCCTCGAATGCAATGTTCGAGAACGCCCGCCGTGCCCTTGCGTCGGGAACGGGCCTCGATTCTGGCGGCGGCTCACTCCCACTGTCAATCGCTCTCGTTGCCCTTTTCGTCGGGGCTGGCTGACATACGTAAGAAGCCAGCGAGACCAGACAGTCTGTCAATGCTTCTGACAGGTGAGACCCCCCCAGCGACCGGTCTAAGTGAGTCAATACCCCTGGGGCAGGGAAAGACAATGGACAACCTCTCCGGAGCTAGAAGCCAACGTTCAGTAGTGTGCTGTACGACCGTACCAGCATTGTACCAGGAGCGTCCCGTCATCCAAGACAGGTGCGCAAATGTAAATCAACGGCTCGGGGATTTGTCCAGACTGTTGCAGTGGCCCCGGTCGACTCTCCGTCCGGGAGGACAAACATGTGCCGAAGTTCATGCAATGTAGCCGCTCGACTGGCCCTGTGAAACCGTGACACCAGGGAGTGAGCTCCCATATCACAGCTTCGCTTACCTCCTTACGGTCGTTCCTCCGGAATGAACTAGACGGGAAAGGTCATTGCAGCAGAGGACGATGCCCTGCCGATGTGATGTAGATTCATCGAAGTTCGAGGTCGGGTGCGATGCCTCTCTCATTGTGAGATCGGTGGTAACATGCAGGCCCTTTGTTCTTGCTTACAGACCGATGAGCCCAAGGCTCGCATTGTGCTCAAGGCTATTCGAAAGTCGTATTTTCGCTACTCCCTTCTCCGAAGCAAGCGAGAGGCTCCTCGTCGTGTTCATAGATTTAAGTTTTCTTCCTGTATACACTTCGTTGGAGAGCAAGAGTGTGGTCTAGATTGACCAAGCTCGCTTCCGTCAACCAACCTATTGTCGAAAGGTGCTGGTAGACCATTTGCTTTGAACTCCTTGATCTGATTACATCTGGTGAGTGCACCCGGTTGATACTGCATGTCACTATGTCAAAGAACTTTTCATTACACCTTCATCCACTGACCACACCGGCCTGTGACGAGTCAAGGACAGAAAGATGTACAAAAGCGCATACAGAGCTCGAAGCCGCAGAAACCCCTCGCAAGGACGAGGCCACTACAAGCTCCTCGAGGAATGTCCTGTCAGTCGAACCAGGGCGAACTCCTGGTGATCGAAACAAGGGGTGGGCAACCTGTCGAAATAAAATACAAACGATTATCTAGGGGATCGCTCCTTTTTATGTGTACTTGCGGTCCTTGTACTGAAGACTCGGCGAGATAATCAATAACTTTCTACAAGAAGACTCCTGCATTTAGGCTCAGCTGTCGTTACTATGAGGTCGCGGGCTCTGACCTGAACTGCATCTCATACATCAATCAACATCATGGTCGACATAGTATTCCCCAGGGAGCCTTAGCAGCTGAGTGATACTGACATTTTTACGACCTGAACCGGCGATGCAGCCTGGACCATTGATTATGAGGTGAAGGAAAACTGTATCATTTTAAACGATGAGTTTTGTTTAGCTCCTCTCCATCGGCCGAACACTTGCCTTGAAAGTGCCAGCTACTTCGGCCCAATAGTTGACATGTCAATAAATTATATGCAATAGGACCAGACCAAGAGACCATCATAGCTCATGGGATCCGTGATACCGGAAGATAATGTTCTCCCATAATACGTGCTGATCGCGGAGTTATTCACAGATCCTTGTGTGGCCGATGCTCCGAAGGAGATGATTCCCTCTTCCTAATGCATTTCCTTTTCTCTACCCTCATATTCCACGTATCCTTTCCTGGTATAGGAAGACCAGCCAGCCATACACCAAAGCGTGGCACGAACCAACCCCTTTGCACCTCGACTCGGATAATGAACGGTCATTCCCCAAGGGTAGGGATACAAGATCTTGGGAGCCACGATACTCATCAAGGCTTCGAAGATTGTATCTATCACCATAGATCCATCAATGTCTGCAAAGGTGGTAATATCTTGTCGAGGAGGTTTCGATGCTCTTATCAAACTAATGCTTATCGCCCTGGTGAAGGAGCGTATAACTCAGCCCCTGAACGAGGGATTTGCCCCTATATTTAAAGTTAACCGAATCCTACTGATCGATTAGATAAAAATCTTATCGATGCCCGATGCCCAGCTGTCAGAATGATGCTATCCGAGCCCCTTACTGCAATATGCACAATATCACTTTAATTTCCCAGGTTCATATGTGGATGGATGTGTTCAGAGCTTTGACCAACGAACGTCAAGGTGAATATAGTATTATCATTACTTAGAAGCAGAAGTCAAGTCGACCACCTCTCAAGTATCGACCGTCTGCAAGCCCACCGGCAAAGCGCTCCCCTATAGGGCGAGGCCAATATGTTGTTTACACAGTTTTTCCATGTCCCATCCCGAGGACAATCTGCCCTTTAAAGCTGACCCTGTTGTGTGTGTAAAAGAGACAGAAGAAACGCCATCCCGATGCCCCGGCCTTTTCATGGTGTCCTTGATCGCGCAATCCAAACACCTCCGCGGAAGAACAAGGCCTATCTGACCCAAATACAAGCAAACCCAAACGAGTGACATGGAATCGAACATGCCGTCAGATGAGGTCCATTTGGACACAAGTGACCGCAATTATCTATTGGGCCTTAGCCGTCTTGCTCTTGGCAGCCTTTGCTTCCGCATTGGCCTTGCCGCGGGCATACTTGAGGCTGGTGTCGCCCTCCCACATGGTTCCGAGTAACTTGTCCCAGACGGTGAAGAACGGCTGGGAGAAGTTGGTCTTGATGCCCCAGCTTTGGTGGTGGATGTCGTGGTATGCGGCGTTGTTGCTCGACATCCTCTGCAGCGGATCCCACGGGAGGGCATAGCCGCAGTGGTCATCGACCGTCTTCATCATGCTGGCGGCGAAGAAGTATATGCCCATTCTCTGGGTCATGAAGGAGACCTTATAGGCAAAGGCGGCGCTGAGTGTGTCCATGAAAAAGCCTTCGACCGGATGGTTGTACAGAGCGCCGTATGCGTAGGGAACATAGAGTCTGTGGTGTCTGGCATGCCAGTGAGCTGCACAAAGGTTAGCAATCACCACAAAGTGAGAATAGGTGGGCTTAGGAGAACATACTGTACATCCACTTGTTCACGTGCATGGCTCGGTGCATGAAATATTGCCATGCATCCAGGAAGACGACAGCAACCAAAGTCTGGAAGGCCGGAATGAGAGCCCAGTAGATTGCCTTGGCGAGATTCAGCTCCCACGCAGCAAAGGCTGGAACGACTTGAGCAGAGCCGGCAGCCCCGGCGAGCGATGTCGTCAGGAACGGATAGTGGCCACCGGCAAGAGCTCCGGCGAGCAAGGGATGCGAGGCGGACATGCTCTTTGAGATAGCCGTAGCATTGAGACCGACAACGCGAAGCATCGTGGGCAATGCGCGCTGGGCCAGGCGAATCCGGGTCGCCCAGACAGCTACATCATAGTCCTCCTTTCCGACCATCTGTACATCCTCGGTCAAAGACAGAACTGCGCCGGTGCAGACCTGAATGATCTGCTCGAGGACGGTGTCGCGCGCCACCTGCCATCGTGATGCCAGATTCCGTTGTGCGATCTCTTCGGGGGTATGGAGGCGATACTGAGGGAACAAATCATAGATATCGATAATGTGGAAAACCATTGACACGGCCCAGTAGCAGATGTGCGGCGCGAGTAGGGAAAGCCAAAAGTCGGAGATGAAGGGCAGGAGATCGGGCATTGGGGAAAGGGTGTACTCGGGCAAAGGCGGTAGCTCCGAGGTCATTGTCGCATTCGCCATGTTGAAGGTGGCGGCCGTTTCGACCATGACTGCGCGATGAAGGTCGATGCGAGGGTGTCGAGTCTGGTCGGTTGCGGCTTGATGTTTAGGACTCCAATGAGGAGAGCACCAGAAGCCGACGCTGTAATGAGGGAGGGAGAGAGGCGAAAAACACTGAATGAGTGAGTGAGTGGATGGAGGGGAATGGAGAAGTTTCAAGATTGAGAATGACGGGATGTAGTTCGGAGCTCCTTTTTAGGCCGGGCAGAATGGAAGTCCCGGATGGCTACCAATTTCGCTTGGGGGACAAGCACTGGCCGAGAGTCTCCTGTTCTCGCCACACCCTCGAACCATCGAACCACTGCTTCTTCAAGATCAGGCGCAAAGTAAAATGGACCCAGCACGATCCAAATGCTGATCGCTAACAGAATGCCCCTGACTTGGCTTGAATTGGCTTCTCGGTCTATATCATCCAACTCAAGACTGAGAGTCGTGGAATGTGGACAGATGTGCGTGTGTTGTTAAATGAATGAGTGCATGTCAGCTTCTGTCAGACAAGACGCGCCTTACTATGCAGTACTGAAAACTGCAGTGCAGCAACCGCAACCGCGCTCAATGCCAATGCAATTCAACGGCCGGCCTAGCCGGAGTGGCGACAGTCGACAAGGAGAGAGCAAGCCTGCCTCCCTAACAGTAAGGTATGGCCTGCAGCGTGAGAGTAAGTTAGTGCTGGCGGTACTCGAGCTGCCTAGCTCCTCGGTATAAGGCAGGCTACGCTAGAAGACCCTGCACTGGGCTGTCGGGCTGTTCAGCACACTGCATTGGGCTGTTAGTGGCTTGATCTGCATTTGGGAAGAGTCCAGCCGTCCAGGGGCGAGGCAAACTCTAAGTGGTGCCTGAGGCACAATCTTTGATACACGTGAAGAGAGATGTCTGTTTACTTGCAGTTGATAAGAGGACGCTATGCCCTGTCAAGCATAGCGGCTGGAGCCCCGCCAAACCACTTTTTTTCCTCCTCGATTTTATGCCACTTCGTGGTCCCTCTTCTGGTGTCTAGATCTCCCTTCACCAAAACTTCGTCCTCGACACCGACACTCTCTTCTACCTTTTCCGAGATCTTCTCACCGCCCTCAAAATGATCATTTACAAGGTATTCTCCTACTCCCGATTCTTTGCCGAGTTGTCTGGTCTGTCGAGAACGTGTTAGCTGATTACCCCGCCCTCTAGGATATCATCTCTGGAGACGAGATTATCTCGGACTCGTACGACCTGAAGGAGGTCGATGGCATCGTCTACGAGGCCGACTGTGCCATGATCACTGAGGGTGCCGTCGAAGTCGGTACGTAACTAACTGTCACGCTGTTCGTTTGCAAACAACTCTAATACATCCGATTTAGACATTGGCGCCAACGCTTCCGCCGAGGAGGCTGACGAGGGTGTCGAGGACCAGGCCGTTAAGGTCAACAACATTGTCTACTCTTTCCGTCTTCAGTCCACCTCCTTCGACAAGAAGGCATATATGGGTTACCTTAAGGGTACGGAATATTATTGTCCGCCGCCCGTTCTGAAATGGGTCGCTAATACGTGTTGCTATAGGTTACATGAAGGCTGTCAAGGCTAAGCTCCAGGAGGCTGGCAAGTCCGCCGAGGAGATCAAGGCTTTCGAGACTGGCGCTTCCAACTTTGTCAAGAATAAGCTGATCCCCAACTTCAAGGATTACGAGTTCTACACTGGCGAGAGCATGGATCCCGATGCCATGTAAGTAATTCGTCCAATTGTTGGTGGTATAGGCCAAATTGTTTGCTAACTTGAAATCTTCAGGGTTGTCCTCCTCAACTACCGTGAGGACGGTACCACTCCCTATGTCGTTGTTTGGAAGCACGGTCTCTCCGAGATGAAGGTCTAAGGGGTCGGTCTTGTGGGACTGTGTTCCTCTTGTCTTTGATCCTCGCATTCCAAGCCCCGCATAGATCTCTTTTGCGACCAACTCATGACCTCGGCATATATCTTATGGAAAAGCAATATCACTGAAGAAGGCAATCATTGCCTATGATGAATTGATGCCTATAATCCAATATTTCGAACCACCTTGATAGTACTGTGCCTATGCTTCCACACCATACCTTATGCCGGTGAATTGAATGTCTCATTCTTGCAAAGTCCCTTGAAGCAATAGGGCGATCGCTGCCTCGTACAAACTCCTACCCAAAATTGAAGATATTGCTAGAATTGTGGCCTTGTCGATAAAGGTACTGGCGGAGGAGGCCCGTCATCGCCACCTGCTGCTGTCGTCCCTCCTGTGCTCGATAAGGCGGGCTTTTTCTTCGGCGGTGGAGGGGCGGGCTTCTTCTTGCCAAGGACTGAAGCCGCCGCAGAGATCCCTGGAGAAATTGGTGCAGCAGAAGACGAGCTGGATGGCTGGGTAGCCCCATTGCCGCCTACGCCGTAACTGTTCAGTCTATCTGCCACTCCGTACTTCTGGTTCAGATTGCTGGCACTCTGCACCCCGGCTGTGACCTGATCGCCATGACGCTGGCGGAAGTTGTTCATCGTAGATGCCGCTGACCTAGCATCTGAAATAGACACCGAACTGGGGTCCTTTCTGAAATTCGACGCCGTGTTCAAAGCGGCTTGCTTCTGAGCCCATGTTGTTCCTTGAGCCGGCGCTGGGGCTTCGCTGGTCCCTCCTGACGTTCCTAGCTTCGAGAATCGGTTTTGCAACTCGCTCAACTGAGCATTGCCTGAGCTCGGGCTCGGGCTCGGGACATTTTGCCTTGATGGTGGTGCCGGTGACGGCGATTTGCCAATTCCAAGACCGGGTACCGAGACCCCTGCAGCACCGAGGCGGTTGATGGCGCCCTGGTTCAAGAGTCCACCTTGGCTCGGCGTCTCGGACACTGGTGGTCGCACCGGCGGAGGGGGTGACAGGGCTGGGGCGGGGGAACCGGGAGTCGATCGTGGCGGTAATCGTGGAGGGAGGCTCGGTGCTTGAGGCCTGCTGGCAGAATACGGCGGAGGGGCGACGCTGCCGGTCGGTGGAGAAGGACTGCTCTCCTGGCCGGGGATCCTGCGGTCCTTGTGAGCAGGAGGAGGTGGCAGACCAGCTGTATTCAGGCCAGTGGTGTCAACTCTGAATGGCTTCGGCGGAGGAGGTGGATCGTCTGGATTTGGTTCCGGCTCTGCTTGTTGCTGGGGTTGCTGATACTTATGCTGATAGGGTTGGACTTGGTATGGGCCCTTCTGATATGGCTTCGCGGGAGGAGGTGGCTCTGCAGCTTGGGCATGCTGATATGGCTGCGTAGAAGGTCGTGATGGCGCTACCGGCTGATAGGACGTAGACGAATCTGAAGCGGAGGGGACAGAGGCGGAGGGTGCATAAGCAGAGGGTGCAGGCGACGCTGCCGGGGGTACATAGCCGGGCGTGCCGACACGTTTCGGAGGCGGAGCAAAGCTGGCTGGATCTCGGAGTGATGACAGTGGTCGGGCGACACGGGCTTCTTCCTCCTCTGCCTTGCCTTTACCGAACATGCCTGTCTGTTATGAAGATCAGCAACCGTCGTCACGAGGGATGGTTGTCCATTGAACTGACCACCTGCTGCCGGAGGTTCTGGCCTGGCTTCTCTGGATGCCATGCACCCTTTCTGAGCTCTTTAAACTTGGCCGACGCCATGATTGATAGTGCTGCTCGACAGAATGACTACAGTGTCTGGCGGAATTGCGGTTGAATAAAGGAGTGACCGTGGTGGTCTCAAGATGCGGGATGATAAAAGGCCCAGAGACGTTCCTGGTGGTGCCCCTCCCCTACAGGGGGCTGTGTAGCGTGACGTAAGTTCGCCTACAGGGGCCCTTTCCAGCACGACCCTAGCTAGACACCTTGCGATTCAGGCACTAATTGAACCACTAAAACTTCGTGTTGATAGCAGTCGCGTCTGTCGCGTCTTGTATGGAGGACCTCAAGCAGTGGGCAGAATAAATGCGAACAACTATGCAAAATGACCACGCCCTCGAAACCAGATACTGAGCTGCTGACGGAGCACTTCGGCTACCCTCCAGTCGTACGTATATTGCAGAACAATAATTTGTATCAATCAAATTACTGATAATCCGGTGACAGAGTTTGCTCGACGACATCATTAACAGCATCAACATCCTTGCTGAGCGGGCACTGAACAGTGTCGAGCAAGGACTCCTCAATGCACCCGTCGAGCACATAGGATTCAAGGCCAAGTCGTCCAAATCCAAACAAAATGCCAAAACAGCCAGCTCACAGCCGAGCATGGAGGAGGCGGCGCGGCATGAGATCGAGAATGGCACTCACCAGCTCGAAACGCTGCTATGCGCCAGCATCGACCGCAACTTCGACAAGTTCGAGCTCTATGTGATGCGCAACATCCTGTGCGTGAAGCCGGAAGACCGCGATTGGATCCGCCTGGGTCACTACGAAGGCCTAAACTTTGATAACCTCAAAAGCCCTGACAATCCCAGCGTGGACTCCGTGACACGCTTGCGTCGGAGGCTGCAGGCGTCGCAGAAGCTCAATTGCATGTTGCATGCCGAGAAGGCTCGTAATGAGGCACTCCTCGGGGAGCTAAGGGGCTTGGTTGGAGGCAAGGTGAAGGCGGGCGAGAGGAGCTCCTTGTCAGGACCCTTGGTCAAAGAAGATCCGGACACTACAGAGTCGACTCACACATTTGGTTTCTTGCAAAAGAAGGGAGACCTGGCGGACGGCGATGCCGAGACACCTTTCACAACAACTACTGCATTTACTCTATCACAGCTGCAGGCGCTCAGGGCGCTGTCGACGTCACTACGCAATATGATGCCAGATCTGAAAGGAGGCGCGACAGATGCAGAGACAGTCGACGATGGCAAGAAGGGCTGGAGGAGGGAGCGATTGGAGTACGTAGAGGGTGCGACTCGCAAGCACCTAGAGAACGTGCGTGGTCTCGAATTGGGAGAGAATGGAGAGGTTCGGGACGGCGAATGGCAAGGCGAAGGCCGTAAACTTGCCAAAGGGGAAGTTGAAGGCCTAGAGAAGGTTGTCGCTCTCTTGGGCAAGTCGGGCTCAAAGGGCGACGAGATGGATGAAACCGAATGAAACGAGTTTGACATACTCGAGGGCAAAGGGGGCCTCTTGCTCAATGTATTCACAACGAAGTGGTCATGCCGGCCATTTTGTAATCATTCAGGGAAGGTCAGGTTTGGCGTTGATGGTATTCATGATTACAGGTATTATAACGAGTCTATGTTGGATTGTACATGATAGGAGGGGAACTTTGGCGTCTATTCTACATTCGACCGAGAGTCTCTAAGCAATGACTCTCTGACGAGGCCGTTGTCCATGGCAAAGCCCCAAAAACCGTGCCTCCAGAACCTTGAGTCAGTATTCCCGGTGGTGTCAGACATGAAGCGGTCTCGGTGGGACAGAACCGTGTCTACAAGCTTTTGTGCCTGTTCCGCCTCTCGGAAATGAACCAAAGCCCGAAGCAAGACCTCCAGGGTAGAAAGAGTAACTGCAGCACCAAAGCTATCAATCCTCTCGAAAATGTCCATAGCGCTAGCTGTATCGCCCGCATGGGCATACCCCTTGATGACTCGTTCCCAGAATACAAGGTCAGTGGTGCCGCTCTTATTTACCAGGCCACGGCTCTGGATTAGATCTCTAACAGCATCCAGATCGGGAGGCTCGCGAGAAAAGTAGTGCTCCACCAGAATGGTATAGATATGGGAGCTGAGCTCCAAGCCCTTGCCCCAAATATGCGCCAAGACGGCCTTGACCGAGTCTCTGGCCCTGTCGCCTTCACGCAGCAACAGATACATCATTTTGCCATATGTTTCCATGTTCGCCTCGATCCCTGCGGCTTCCATCTCAGAAAGAACCCGCATCACAGTCTCGACTTGCTTTTCTGAAGACTGCTCATCTAGCTGGCTCAGAGAGCCATCGAGGACAATTGTGAATGTTGCAACATCGGCCTGAATACCTTGCTCTTTCATCATTTTAAAGATGGTTCCCACTTCTTCTGTCAACCCTTGGCGAATCATTGGTCGCAGAAGGGTATTGTAGGTTATGATATTAGGTTCAATACCTTGCTGAGATGCCCAAGCAAGCACTTTTCGAGCAGCTGTAGTGGCATTGAGGCGGAGCAGGCCAGCTATTGCCGCATTGACGGGTTCGATGCTCGGCTTCACAGCATATTCAGTCGTGCCATTCTGCTCCGCGTATTTCCATCGTCGTGCCATTTCGTCCAACGCCCGGATACCAGCGTCAGGCTCTCCGGATTCAATCAATCCGGATATTCTGGCCGTCCAACAGGCCGTGTCGAGCTTCTTCCCCGTTGTAAGCAGCTTGTTCCAAACAGTCTCAATGCCCACAGGGTCTCGTGCACGCTTGCAGCCTTCCATCATAGACGTCCAAGTGCTGACCGTTGGTTTGATATTGACGAGGGACATACAGTGCAGAATTTGTTCTGTTCTATCCGTACGACGCATTGCCGTGAACGTCATGATAAAGTAGTCGAATAATAAAGGATTCTCGCGGATGTCCTTGATTTTGCTCTCTTCAGGATCGCCTGTTTGATTACTGCCCCAAAAGTTGAGCCATGCTTGTTCCAGGGTTGGCAGATTACGCATTCTCAGTGCCTGTCCAATTTGTTTATGAACCGAACCTATCTTCTTCTCGTGCAAAGCTTGAGAGAAACTTGGCCTATGGATAACTGAAGCGTCACTTGTGTCTTCGTTACGTGTCCTGAGCGTTTTCAGCACATCTGGCCACCGTGCCAATACGTAGTGGCATAGGTCGGGGTGCCGTCGAAACATTTCGTGGAGAGCATCACGATCGACAGGTACGGCAGCCAAAACTCGGGCAAGTTGGCCGAGAAATAAACGCGCATTCTTGCGGACTGCTGGGTTCGTCTTAGCCTCATCAGTGAGGAGCGCAAACGTGCCCAGTGCCGCCACTGTAACCTCTCGTAACTGAAGGATTGCAAACTGAGGAAACAGACGAGCAACTGCGGAGATGGTATCCTTCCGCCTCGCATATTCTGCCAGGCGACGGCTCTCGACGCGTGGAAACCGAAATTCTTCCTCCGACCCTCTGTCCTCCCGAGTCCGTAGGTGCGAAAGGCCGCAGAGGCTGAACGCCTTCCAGGCGGTGACAAGGTCCTGGAGCAATATTTCTCTCCTTGCCAGAGCGTTTTCGTAGTCTTCGATCGCCGAATAGTCATCAGGAGATGTGCTCATGGCACAGAGATGCTGAACTAGACCTAGAATAAGCGGTGCCCATTTTTGCGGGGAGATGAGTCCCAGATCTCGGAGGTTTCTGGTGATCTCCGTAACTGATGGTAATTCCTGTCCATCAAAGTCTTTCTGCTTCGCCATGGACACTTTCCCCAGTATTCGCGCAGCGTTTTCTTTCACAACCTGCGGTATTCGCCCATCCACTTCGATATTGGGAAGTATTTGGGTCGAGAAGAACTTGTAGCATGTTTGGGCGTCTTCATTCTTGTACATCACATGCAGCTTCGCTAGGTCGTTGTAGAGATTCATGCTTAGACGTGGAGCTGGAGAGGCAGGGCCTGAGCCGACAGCACGGTCCTTAACGATGCTTTGAAACATTGCCAGTGTGTTCGGTCGGTCATCTCGGGGTACGGGTCTGGCTCTGTGTTTTGTAGCACCCATCAATGGGCTTCGGCCGTGACTATTGGCTCTCGCTGCTCTAGATGATGGTGCGCCCGGCGCGGCATCAGCGCCATGCTGCTGAGACTCGACGGCATCGGGAGCTGCTGCCACTGCAGAGGATGTCGAGTTCCTGGCAGTGTTGGTGAACCCGACCGATGAGGGCCATTGAGGTCGACGTTGCGATAAAGCCGTGACAAGCAGCTTTGAGCGGCAAGCCAGGCAAATAGCCCGTTGTTCCCTCATATTTCCTTCCTCGGCGACAGTGCTTGCTTCGAAGACAGTATGGTTAGCATCGCTATCAATTTGTCCACGCTATCCAGGGAGTGTGTATGTTGCGATGATGAAGAGAGCCTTGCGATGCTTCTCAGTGGACTTGAAATTTTGAAGGTGCACTGTCCGAAAAGCGTAGCTCCGCTGGAACAGCACACTGTAAGCTGTTCAGTGGACCCCTAATCGACCCAATCGCTGGTGATTCCGGCCTGTGATCGGTGTCTCGGCCCCCGGTTAGGCCCGTTATTCCTGCCACGATGCTGAACACCTTCTCGGACCGCCCGATGTCATTGGCCGTGAAAGGCCGCCCGCTTTAATCCAATGTATAGTAACGCGAACTTCGAGTCACGTACTCGTTAATTGAACTTCCCCTTCTCTTCCTACATTCACAATTCAAGAGCCCGTCCACGCAGGCCTCCCACACGTTGTTGGGAACCAAATCAAAAGATTGCTGGAGCCACAAGCGTGGTCCCGTCTGCTTCACGGCACGTTCTCGGCTCAGCAACCGTTTGTTTGCTACAAAGATAGGTGAAGTCAAGGTGACGGCAACCTGCAGCAGTGGTAAACAATGACCTCTCTCCAGCCTCGTGTGCCCTACACGGACGAGGAGCTCCGGAAGCTCTACCCGGCGGGATTGGAGCTGCAACTCGTCCAGGTTCTCCTCCGCCATGGCGAGCGTACACCGGTATCAGCTCGCTTTCAGAATGCGGGCCTCAGAGCGTTCTGGCCATATTGCTCATCTGTACGGCAATTGAAATCTGCTGTGCTTGAAGGTGGTGCGAACAGCATCGGACGATCGTACTCGACTTTAGAATGGAAGCGGCGCCTGGAGACGTTCGGAGCGAATGATGAGCCCGTTATCGCTACTGGCCCAGCTGGGGAGCTAGATGATGTGTGCGACATGGGCAGCTTGACCGACCTGGGCCGAGCTTCTACATACGAGTTGGGCAGACGTCTCCGGACCCTCTATGTGGACCGCCTCGGTTTCTTGCCCAAGACCATCAGCTCTACGGACTTCCTCTACTTGAGATCTACACCTGTGCCTCGTGCACTAGAGTCTCTCCAACAAACTTTCTCAGCCCTCTACCCGACCGCAACGCGTGAAGGGAGTGAGAGCGGCACCTTCCGGGCTCCAACCATCATCATCCGTACTAACAGCGACGAGACGCTCTTCCCGAACGATGGGAACTGTCGTCGGTTTGCAGCTCTCTCAAGAGCCTTCGCTCAGCGTACGGCTGACCGTTGGAACAAAACCCAAGAGATGGAGTACCGTAAGCAATCTCTAGAGGATGAAACGGTCAGGGCGGTGTAAAAGGAGCCCAGCCAAATTCGACCAAAGCTGTCCTCCGACTACGTCACCCTGGCGACTTCAACTCTGTGTCCGTGATGGCCCAGTAGAGACTAACTAGAGAATTATAGTAAACAAGCTCTACAGCAAGTGGATGCCACCTGACTCCCCGCGTGTGGCTGTCGATGGACGCCCTCGTCTGTCCGGTATTATGGATACCATCAATGCTACTCTGGCTCACGGACCCGAAACTAGACTACCTAAAGAGTTCTATGACAAGAAGGGTCGCGAGATCATCGAGACGATCGGTGTTGAGGAGTGGTACAGCGGATACAAGGAATCCAAAGAGTATCGCATGCTGGGAATCGGCGCGCTACTCGGAGACGTCACCGCCCGCATGGTCGGCAGCGTCGAGAAGACCACGGCTGATGGCGAGTATGAGCTAATGAAGACCGCTGGTCAGGGCAACACCGCGATTAAGTTTGGCATGAGCGGCTGCCATGACACAACTCTCGCCGCAGTGCTCTCGAGTCTCGGCGCCTTCGAGACCAACAAGTGGCCGCCCTTCACCAGCCATATTGCCATCGAGCTATTTCGCAAGGCCGGAACTCCCTCAACTGTCGAGGAAGTCGGAGCCATCACCACTGCAGATGTTGCTGCTGCGTCAAAGCCGGGATGGTTGGGCTCCTTCTTCCCTGCAAGAGCATCAGCCGGCAAGCCCCCGCCGAGCATCGGACGTAAACCAAGCGAGAAGTTGAGTCCTGCTGAGAAGAAGAAGCTGGACGGCTTTTACGTGAGACTACGATACAACGATGAGCCAATGACCATCCCCGGCTGCAAGACCCCCGGAAATCACCTTGAGGGAGATGAGAGCTTCTGTACTCTAGTGAGTAAACCCTTCACCATGATGCACATTCACGCAAATGTCACTAATACTATTCTGTAGGAGGCTTTCAAGTCGATCGTGGACAAGTTCGTCCCTCAGGACTGGAAACAACAGTGCAGGTCGAACCGCGACGCTTCCGCCTTCCCCGAGAAACCAGAGCCGGCTGGCTATTGAAGAGGCTTCATCGATTGCTGACTCAACTCAAACGACAACGGGAGCACGTCGCAGTCTCAAATATATTTTGCGCTCAGGTTGAAGGATAGGTGATCGTTCATGGTGGCATCAAACCCACACCACAGATCCCAAGTCGGATGGATCGAAGGATCGTTAATTGATGACGGAGTCAAGGACACTCAGGCGGTAATAGACAATTTGCTAACACAAGAAAAGACGTTGCATAGTACATAGACTTACTCTAGAATTCATGTCAGTGTAGTAATGAGCCGGTGGTGGCAATAATCGACGATTGCAATCAATAGGATAAACATGCCTTCCCCATTGATCGATGCCAATTACAGAACCCTAGCACTTTCGATTTGACACGACCTACAATTCTCTCCGATATAGCCTCGCACACCGAGCTAAAGCAACCGCACAGTGACGAAAGGATCTTCACTTACACAGCAGGGCTTACTCAGCGGGTTGGAGGCGTTCGCGGGGCCGTGAGGGGTTCACTATAGTATCAAAGTATAAAGAAGGACTCCAGCTCAAAGTTGCAAGACCATCTACGAGACATATTTCTGATGCTGGGAATTCACAGAGCCGGAGTGACTTCTCTTAATTCTGTGTTATAGTTCAACATCCTGGATGACACTCATTGCAGTAAAACTAGGTTGCAGATCTCTCGAACGTCTCATTACAAGAGTCCGTGTAAGACAAGTCACCAGTTTCCGCTACTACGGGTCCAACTTCAACATGTCTGCAACTACACGATATGACACCATCATCGTTGGGTCCGGCCAGAGCGGGACACCGCTTGCCTCCGCGTTCGCGAATGCCGGTCGCAAGACGGCAATCATCGACCGCGCACACATAGGCGGGACATGTATCAATGAGGGCTGCACCCCGACTAAGACGATGATCGCGTCCGGTAGAGCAGCGTACCTCACCCGCCGTAGCAAGGACTACGGCGTCAGCTATGATGGGGACGTCCGAGTGGACATGACGAAAATCCGGCAACGCAAGCGGGATATCGTGTCCAGCTGGAGCGAAGGGGGAGAGTCTAGGCTTGTAAAGAACGGTGTGGATGTCTTGAGGGGAGAGGCTAGATTCACCGGTCCGAAGACGTTGGCTGTGAAGATGACGGACGGCAGCGAGGAGAAGAGTGTGACTGCGGACCTCATACTTCTGAATGTTGGCGAGAGGCCCTCTCGGCCCAACATCCCGGGCCTGGACGACATCGACCAGACGAGAGTTCTCAACTCGACATCGATCATGGAACTTGGGGAGGTGCCTAGCCACTTGGTTGTGCTGGGTGGCGGTTATATTGGCATGGAGTTTGGGCAACTCTTTAGACGACTCGGCGCTGAAGTCACCATTGTACAACGCGTAAGCCAACTCGTCCCTAGAGAGGATGAAGATGTTGCGAAAATCGTGCTCGAAATTCTGAAAGAGGACGGCATTACGGTCCATCTCTCTTCAAGTGCAACGTCCATTTCCAAGAGCGAGGACGATAGGTCATCCTTTAAGCTACGAATCCAGACCAGTTCCAACGAAACGATCTCCATTGCGGGAAGTCACATTCTCCTTGCAACTGGTCGCATCCCCAATACGGGTACGCTCAATTTAGAGGCGGCAGGAGTGAAGACAAACTCAAGAGGACACTATATTGTCGATGAGAAGCTTGCAACTAGCGCTCCGGGAATTTATGGCCTGGGAGACGCACACGGTGGCCCGGCCTTCACGCATATATCCTACGATGACTTCCGAGTCATCCGCGCGAACCTCCTTCCGGAAGCAACACCATCCACAACCCCGAAAATGAACACGACGTCTGCCTCCAAGTCTCGAAATCTGGTACCGTACGTGATGTACACTGACCCACAGCTTGGCCATGTTGGGCTGCATGACCGTGACTTGAAGGCTAGCGGGAGGAAGTACAAGACTGCCAAGATGCCCATGAGCTATGTTGCGAGGGCAATCGAGACCGAGGAGACGAGGGGCCTCATGAAAGCTACCGTTGATGCAGAAACAGGAGAAATCTTGGGGTTCACCTGTCTGGGTGTCGAAGGAGGAGAGATAATGGCTATCATGCAGACAGCGATGATGGGAGGACTGAAATGGTATGACATGGAGGCAGCAGTGTGGGCACACCCAAGTTTGGCCGAGAGCTTGAACAATCTTTGGGGATATCTTGAATAGTTTGAAAAGTTTGGCTCCCAATTGAATGCTCTGAGATTAACACAACGCCGTTGAGTGCCGTCATGCTTCAACTTCTGAACGTGTGACTTCTTCTCCGCGCTGCTTCATCGCAATGGCTTCTGTCTTTGCACGACGTTTCTTCTGTCGCCGGACCTGGATCTCAACCTCAATCATCTCTGCGTTGATGGACACCAATTTCGGAACGATGTCCTCGACGGCCTCTATGGCTTCTTTCTGAGCCACACGAAGAGGCATGGGAGTCAGGACTCCGAACCACCGTAAAGGATCCTTGGGCTTCTGAGTAGGTTTCTCCTGCCCGTCATCATTGGATTGGCTGTCAGATTTGACGTCGTCCGTGACCTCCGCCTGGCTCAACCCAATCTCGAATGAAGGCACATTATCTTCACCGACAGCGATATTGAGCTGCCTCACCGCTTGCATACGCTCGTCGTAGAGATCAGGGCCATATCTGATGCCCCTCTCGGCCGAATAATTCGCCCGCGCGATGTTTTGATAGATGTCCACTTGAAGCTGGTTCAGTTTTGATCGCAACTTTGTATACTCGTCCACTAAGGTGAGATACCGCTCCAATAGAAGATCGATGTCAAGATGGGCCATAATGAATTTGGTCTTGTGTAACAGCAAGCATGCGGACATTGACGTAGGTGATGCGTTGAGAATGCATATGCGGATGATTTTATGTTGCCTAGAAGTCAAGCCACGGTGAAGAAGGTTGGTGGTGTGGCTGCGGTAGGCGAACGGTGTGGAGACATTAGTCCAGTAGTCAGAACAGTCCGCTTGGAAGTGTGGATGATTAAGGGAATTGTGACCTCCTGTCTTTATTCTCTGCTCTACCTATCATGACAAAATGTCTTCTTGAGCTAAATTCATTGAGCAATTCTGCTGAATATTTGAATGTCCCTTTATTCGTAGTGATGCCATAGTTATCGCCAGCAGCACGCAATGTTACAGAGGATACTTTACTTACCACCTGAACAAGCACTCTGCATCCAGTTTCCGAGAACAACCCTTACCTTACCCATCGATGACCCGATAGGCCCAGCAATGTCGACTGTGATAACAGTGGATAATAATTGCCGAGTCGCTATGACCTCCGTCTGCGCGGGACGCGTCAAGAGACAATTAGTCCAGCACTCGATTCGGCGAGGTGAAGAACGAGGCTTTCCAGCTTGCCTTTCCTGGCTAAGTTTCTAGTTTCAGATGCCGTTTCGAAGGGCGGGTATAGCAGAACAATGCCACGGAATCTGGCAGCTGGTTCTGCAGCACGCTAGTCTGGCAAGATTGATGCATGGCGCAGACGCGGCGTTGGAGCTGGAACTGCAGCTGCGGTGCAGTCACTGTCATACATATCTCGGTGGGTCTGGCAGGGCAAGGGGGCGCCTTTTTGACGTTGTGTAAGCCAGCTTATCGTGCAGTCAGTCCTCTCGAAGTCGAGAGGGTGATAGATATACGGATTAATTGACGAACATGCAATGGGGCGCTGTGATGGCTGCAAGGCCCCTACTAGCCCAGTGGAACAGACTCGCGGTGCTATATTGGACTGGGATATTGGTAGGTCGGGGAGGGAGGTATGGAAGCATCGAAGAACGATGCAGGCCGGCCTCCAACAGCACCCGCATCCGCACCCTCTCTATGCCACATCCGCCAACTGGGCCCCTGCCAAGACGCGTCTGATCCCTACCTAGGTACCTAGTAGAATATTCTGCAGGTCTCTTTCACGCGGTACGTCGTGAGATGGCACAGATGATGAAGAAACGAAGGCGTCTATCAATGCGTGAGAACAGGCCGTCCAGACTTGGACCTATGGCCGTGGTCAGAGGCATCGTCATCAAACAAAACGTCAGTGTCAGCCCCAGCATTGATTGCTAGACCAGCCAAGTCGGGGCAGACAGCCTGGTTGGATAGCTGCAGGTCATCGACGGGGTCCATGACTAGACGACTCGTCGACATGGTCCCTGTTATTATTAGGCGAGACACGTTGTACACGTACTGCAGTTTCTTATTACTTCCTCGATGGAAGTGATCAATATTGTCGAGTTGGCATCCTTCAGCCTGCCATACGTCTTGAGGGTCTTCCGGCGTACAGTCTTACATTCACCACCCAACAATGTACATTCTCGCAAGGTGGTAATACTCCTTTCTCTTTACTTCAGCCCAGGGGGGGATTGTCAGTCGGCCGAGACAGGATGGTGCAATTTAGAGGCTGGCTGACAATTTTGACTGCGTCTTTTCAGTCCAAGCACAGTGTCACTATGGTTATCTAGACAGAGGACTAGAGACTCTTCTTAGCAACAGGGATAGGATGAAGAGACTGGCAGCTAGACTGTTCGCGTTGCTAGCATGTTAGATTGTAACTAACACCAACTTACTTATCGTGAGATATGAGAGAGCAGCGTCTTTGGCTCAGTGTAGGCAAAAGTTGTGCAGATAAATGCCACAGTTGATGCACAATGGCAATGAAATGTCGTGAGAAATGAAGACCTGCCTCCTACAGTACCCTGTTGGCATTGGACCCTTCTGATCCTCTTCAGCCCAATAATCTCAATCGATGGGCTTGCTGGCGCGTGTCTCTGACTCTCTGTGCCTTTGCAGCTCTGACGAGTGGAGTTGGGGGCATCCCTTAATCCCAAGCCTGTCCTCAGGTTCCGGTTAGGGAGACGCTTGTGCGGTGACCATTCCGATACCTGTCGGGTGAGCATTTGGGCCTGCACAGGCAAGGTACAATGAGGTACCCATCTCTTATCGTCACAATTCCAAGGTTGAGCTAGAGGTCAGTTGGCGTGGCCGTCACCTCATCATGATGGCGAGTCTGGGTGGTCCCAATGCCCCCCCAGGTATTTGCTCTGGGCCTCTGGCCTCTGGGCTCTGGGAATGAGGCAGCGCCGCCCGCTAACGGCCAACAAAGATTCAGGCTGCCGTCCGCAGCAATCGGCAGCGTCCTACCAATCCTTTGTCGTCGTCTGAAATTACGGATACCGGGTCAGGGCAGGGCACCGTCCGTCTGCTGCTGGCGCTGTTTCTTCACTGACTTGCCCCAGCCCAGTCTCCAGTCCCCCATCTGTTCTGTTCTGTCCGCCTCTCATCTCCCAGTCTCCCTTGTCCCGAGTTGTGTGTGTGTGTGTATGTGTGTGAGTGCGCTTGCACTTGTTAGTGCAGTAGATAGTCGTGTGCTGGGCCGACTGCCTCAGTGAAACCCAATTTTACAAGGCTGAATTACCTACCGCACCCACTACTTGCCTACCTAGGTACTGCCTCACCTACCTACCTACCTACCTACCTTACCTGACCTCCCACCCCCCAACGACATCCACCTCATCATCTTCTGCGTCGCGCGGAGAAAGCCTTCATTTATTCGCCGAGCCCTGTACCGTGCCTACTCACGTACTCACTTACTTTTCTGACTGACTGACCTACCTTCCTTCATTTCCATTGATCTTGTTGATTTTCTTTTTTTTTTTCCCGCGCCGATATTCCCTCGAGTTTACATCCGCTTGCATTGTCCCGCCCGCCTGCCGTCAACCGCGCAGCAAGCAGCAAGCAGCAAGCAGCAGCAGCAGCAGGGTCAAAAAAAAGTCCAGGTCCCTTTCTCACTATCGCCCTGGTCGAGCAATTCGCGATAAGACGATCACAGCTTCTTGCAGGCACACCCGCTGCATCGTCTGTCCTTCAACACCCCTTGGCTGCTCCCGTAGAGGAGCACGTCTCGCTCTCAAGATGGTTGTCGCAACAATCAAGTGCGTATCACCTTCACCCGCCCTCCCGTGCATCCTGGCTTGTCTGCTGCCTGATTACGGACTGCGCTTCCTGGACGCCTTCGGGGTCCGGACCTTCATCCTTAGACCTGGCCGAATACGGCGTCACAAACACCAAGCTGGACATATTTGCTTCCTTGAGACTTCGTGCTAATCACTTCTGTCCTCTGCAGATGCGTTGTCGTCGGTGACGGTGCCGTCGGCAAAACATGTCTCCTCATCAGCTACACAACCAACAAGTTCCCTTCAGAATATGTCCCTACAGTCTTCGACAACTATGCGGTTACCGTAATGTAAGGACAACCTGCCATTCCTCTCTAATTCCTTGGATGAACCTCAATCGATGTTGGATGCATCGCATGGGTTACGTTCGCCGAACCACACGAACCCACTTCTGATCATGGCTGTCACTTGAAGGCTGACGAATTGGCATCAATAGGATTGGCGATGAGCCGTATACCCTGGGCCTGTTCGATACTGCCGGTCAGGAAGATTACGACCGTCTGCGACCGCTATCGTATCCCCAAACCGACGTCTTCCTCGTTTGCTTCAGTGTCACATCACCCGCTTCCTTCGAAAACGTCCGCGAGAAATGGTTCCCCGAGGTTCACCACCACTGCCCTGGCGTCCCCTGCCTAATTGTTGGCACGCAGGTAGATCTACGGGACGATCCGAGTGTGCGGGAGAAGTTGGCAAAGCAGAAGATGTCACCAGTGCGGAAGGAGGACGGCGAGAGGATGGCTAAGGACCTGGGCGCGGTTAAGTACGTTGAGTGCAGTGCCCTGACGCAGTACAAGTTGAAGGATGTGTTTGATGAGGTACGAATGACCCACGCGGTGCCTTTTGGTATGGAAGAAATCGGGGTTGCTTACACTTTCACAGGCAATCGTTGCGGCCTTGGAGCCACCAGCGCCCAAGAAGAAGTCCAAAAAGTGCCTCGTGCTTTGATAGAAGCCCCGTGGTATGGGCTCACTTGGCCCTGTCACATTCTTCAGCATGCAAGACCATGGAAGCGGCATATTCTTCGGTAACACATGCCGAATTCGAGACCTGCCGGCCGATTCTCATGGTTTTCTAGATTGGTTCACGAGAGAGAGGTGGAAGCTGAAGAGGGCGGATTTATAACGGCCTGCCTTCTAAAGCTTTCAATTTCTGTTGCCGAAAACGACAGACAGGTCTCTTGCGGAGAGAGTTTGGCAAAAAGCAGACTTGCATACGAGATTCGCTCCTTAATTGGAAGTGATTTTTCTCGAGCCTTTTTTTACCCCCCTCGACACCAGATAGAGAATCTTCTTCGAACCATTTTTCTTCAGGCCTCTGTTCCGCCTGGTCTCCATCGTCTCTTTTTTCTTGCTTCTTTCTACATTTTTGGGGCGGGAAATTCACATAAATGCGGGCTGGATCTTCGATAGGACAGTTTGGCGATTGGAGTGCAATTGATCATTTGGATTGTCCAATTTCCACGCGCCCCATGTCGTGAAAACTCTCTACTCACCCAGCTAGAGCTTCCAGCTCGCGGAAATATAAGCACATCGTAGAACCCGATGACTTAGGACGTACAGCTAGAGAAGGTGCACATTGCGTAGTCTGGCAGCTGCTTTACTTCCCACGGCTGACAGTCTGACATGCATTGGCAACACACAGCGGGTGGAAATGCCAACAGAAGTAGTAACACTGACTCTAGGAAGTTCAATTCATATATAACAAGGTGCCACAACTTGCAATGCGATCCAATAGCCATCACGTGTGGTGCTCGCTATGGCTTACCTCGTCTCAGGCTCTACCTTCCGAAAATGGCTCGTGGGCTTGGGGGTAGGTGAAAAAACGTTAGGGACAAAGCATAGCCAGGTGGAGTTTAGAAGCCTCAACGGGCCAATTATGCGGCGACAGGATATCTCCACGAAGTGGGCTTCCTCGAATCGAGCCAAGTCCAACACTGCAACGAGTCGCGGCCACCGCCGCCAAAAAAATATGTGGGAAGGGCGCCGGGCTGGCTCAGTACCTCACTGACTGCGCATTGGCGGCTTGCGGGATCCGCTCTGTCATTCGGCATTTGGTCATAGAATGGGGTATCTTAGCTTTCGGAATCTCGTAAATCTTATGGGTATATCTTTCCTCGAGGAGAGACGTCCTCTCTTGTTCTGTTTCACTGCTTGTGAAATTTTGCACTGGTAGACACTGCTGTCTGAGGAATTGCTCATAACTCCCAATCGCCCCTGGTGCCCCGGAGCCACTTACACTAGAATTGGTCCTATCATGAGGTCACTTCTCCTTCTGGCCCTCGCTTCCTGCGCGGCGGCTTGTGCTGGCGGCCACCACAAAGATGACAGGGTGTGGACGAAGGAGGAGCTCGAGGAGCTCGAGTTGAAATGGGGCATGGAGGTGAGTCTATAGGAAGCTGGTGCATACAAGAAGAGCAAAGTTGCTGTGCAGCTGCACTCGGAGTATCACAAACGTAATGCACCATCGATTAATTACACTGTCTCGGGCACGGGAGACACTTGCGAGGAGATTTGATGAGACAACGAGCTGACAATGTTTTACACAGTGGGGATTTGCTGGGATCGGAAGCTTTGCTCATCTCAGACATGTCAAGTGTCTTACGGACCCGACGGAGCTTTTTGATATTGCTATCATTGGAGCGCCGTTCGATACGGCAGTAAGCTATCGCCCGGGTAAGTTCAACCTGTATACTTCATCGGATCTGGGAATCAGGTTCGACTTGAAGTAGGCTCTATCCGTACTTTGCAAGCCGGGTCGGACAACAACATCATGGATTCATGAGAATATCTACAATGTCTACTTCAGGGGCTAAACAGTATTCAGGAGCACGATTCGGCCCACGAGCAATCCGCCAGGCATCGTCGAGGCAAACAAGCTTCCGGGGCTTCAACCCGCGAGCGAGCATTAACCCCTACCAGAACTGGGCTAAGATCATCGACTGCGGCGATATTCCCATCACGCCCATGGACAATGCTGTCGCCCTGCTGCAGATGACTGAGGCGTACAAGGAGCTCGGAAGCAGAGGAACTGTCTCCCCCTTGTTGCAGAAGCCGAAGCTCATCACCCTAGGCGGAGATCATAGCTTGGCTCTGCCGGCCCTGCGCGCGCTAAATGCTGCTTACGGCAAGCCTTTGAGAGTGTTGCATTTCGACGGTGAGAGGCCCGGATGCTAAGCTTCGGAGAAAACTTACACTGACATGCTATAGCTCACCTTGACACCTGGCACCCGGCTAAGTATCCCTCGAGCTGGCCATCGGATCAGGCACACTTCAACCATGGCTCCATGTTTTGGTTAGCAGGTAACGAGGGTTTGCTGATCAACGATACTTCTCTGCCATCCGTCCACGCCGGTCTACGCACCAGGCTGTCCGGAGACGGCTGGGATGATTTTGAGGACGACACCAAGCAGAATTGGGTCCGAATCGTGGCCGACGACATCGATGAGATTGGCCCCGCGGGCGTCATCCAGTCCATTCTGAAGTCACTGCCTGGTGACGACCCCGTCTATCTATCTGTAGACATTGACGTGCTCGACCCGGCATTTGCCCCCGGTACCGGCACCCCTGAGCCAGGCGGCTGGACGACCCGCGAGCTGATCCGCATCCTGAGAGGCATCGAGGGCCTGAATGTTGTGGGCGCAGACGTGGTCGAGGTTGCTCCCGCGTATCAGGGTCAGGGAGAGGAGACAGCACTGGCTGGTGCCCAGGTTGTGTATGAGATCTTGAGCTCGATGGTGAAGAAGGGAATGCAGGAAATGGGCAAGGTCAGCGCGGCTAGCTCTGAAGAGCAGGAGGAGAGGACGAAGGATGAACTCTGAGGAAGCTCAGATTCTCCTTTCAAAATTCAGAGTCATTGTATGTCGATAGTGAGTCAGCTTAGACCGGCTCACCGTATGATATGAGCTGGAGATTATATAAGGAGCGATGGCCCAGGCTTGGGGATGAGATGGTCTGATATGCGCCCGTGTCATCGGTTACATACCACTCGCGTAAAGCCGGCATAGGGAAAACTAGGGATAAGATTCCTAGAAATCAATTGAGACATTCTGATAAGGCTCCTCGGGCTGCGTGAAACTCCCAGCTGCTTCAGGCCGAAATTTGTCGAAGTGATAGGCCCCTGAAAATCACTGGTGAGTCAAACCTTTGGGCTACGGACGAACCCCACCCGAACTACACGGCTCACCACCAAATAATAAATTTGGCCAAAACCCCCACCAAGAACGACCTCCCCGCCATATCAACCATCAGACTATCTCTCCGCAACCGACTCGCCAATTGAGTCGCAAGACGAGACGAACAGCAGTACACAATGGCGGCAGTACAAGAACTAGCCCAGCGGCTCAAGTCCGACGACAAAAGCTACATCGACACCGACATTGGCGTGGACGACAGCACCGCCGACGGCTCTGAGTCAAAGCCCTACAAGTCCCTTGCCTATGCCTACATCGCCAACTTCGGCAAGCCCACGAAGCAATACCTCACCCGTGCCTCTACAACAGGCGCACTGGGACCAGATGGCGACCCGTCCGGAAGACTGCTGTGGAAGGACCCTGCCAAGGCCGCCGTCAAGAAGGCCCAATCTGCTCTCGAGGCGCACAAGAAGAAGCTCCAGAAGCAAGAGCAGACTCTTGCCGCCGAGGAGGAGCGGAGAAAACAGCGCGCCAAGAACCTGGAGAACGCGAAGAAAATCACAATCAGCGAGGACAGCTCACTACCCAAGGCCGTCAAGCTCAGAATCGACCAGAAGGATGTTGCGCTTGGAGATGCGGAGACTAAGGGTACAAGAGTCAAGGTTTCTGGCAGAATCCACCGTCTCCGAGCACAGAAGCAGGCTACCTTCATTACTCTGATTGACGGTTATGGCCATCTCCAATGTGTCATCCCGGCAGGACCTCTCACCAGCACATACGAAGCATTGACGTTTGCCCAGGGTACAGCACTAACCCTGTACGGTGAGCTGCGCAAGGTGCCGGAGGGAGCAACTGCCCCCGATGGCCGAGAGCTTGCGGTTGACTACTATGAGGTTCTTGGTGCATCTCCTGGAGATGCAGAGGCCATCACCAGCAAGATTTCTGCTGACCAAGACCCGTGGGAGGCGGACATGATCGATAACAGGCATCTAGTCCTCCGAGGCGACAACGCGTCCTCGGTAATGAAGATTCGATCAGAGGTCGATTTTGCCTTCAGATATCTGTACAAGCAGCTCAAGATCAGACAGGTGTCTCCTCCAGCTCTGGTGCAAACACAGGTCGAAGGAGGCTCGACGCTGTTCAAGTTTAACTACTACGGAGAGGACGCATATCTGACTCAGTCTTCCCAGCTATACTTGGAGACTGTTTTGCCAAGCTTGGGCGATGTGTATTGTATCGAGAAGTCCTTCCGTGCTGAGAAGAGTCTTACCCGTCGCCATCTTTCAGAGTATACCCATATTGAGGCCGAGCTGGATTTCATCTCCTTTGAGGATCTTCTCCAGCATCTGGAGGACGTCATCTGCAGCGTTGTCGACATGGTCCTTGACGATAAGGAGATTGCCGCTTACATCAAAGCCCTCAATCCCACCTTCGAGAAGCCGAGCAGACCATTCATGAGAATGAAGTACACGGATGCGATCGACTGGCTCAACGCGCAAGACCCTCCTATCCTCAACGAGGAGGGCAACCCGCACGTCTTTGGTGACGATATCGCTGAGGCTGCGGAGAGGAAGATGACCGACACCATCAACAAGCCTATCTTTTTGACTCACTTTCCTGTCGAGATCAAGGCTTTCTACATGAAGAAAGATCCCAACGATCTTCGAGTCACTGAGAGTGTCGATTGTCTCATGCCCGGTGTTGGCGAGATTGTTGGCGGCTCTATGAGGATGGAGGGCTATGACGAGCTCATGGAGGCGTTCCACAAGCAGGGTATCGACCCTGCTCCCTACTACTGGTATCTAGACCAGCGAAAGTAAGTCGCATAATTGGAGTTCAGTTGCCAAGCTTCAATTGCTAATGATTAATATAGGTACGGAACGTCTCCCCACGGTGGCTACGGTCTGGGCCTGGAGAGATTCCTAGCATGGCTTGCCAACCAGCACACCGTTCGCACGTGCTGCATGTACCCTCGTTTCATGGGCCGTTGCAAGCCTTGAGCGCAAAGATGCGGATCGCATCATGACTACCGGGATGGACACGCTCGAGGGATACCGAGGCGGAGGACACGATCATCACCAGATAGAACTGATAGAACGTAGGAGTTTCGGATGTTCGGATTCTTCTGGAGCTTTTTCACATAAACGAATATACAGGACGTGCTCGAAATATGCCGTCTCTTTTGCATGGAGGCCGACCTCATACCCGCACTGCGTGCATGTTTTATAGGGGCCAGAAGCGGCTGATGCTTGGACGTTTGCGTAGAAGCATTACGGAGGTACCTAGATGTGTGCAGTTGTTGCACAGGACAGTAAATCTACGTCGATGGGTCAGGGGTTCCCGTACGTGCAGCACGGGGTGCAGTAGGCTGAATTCGAATCGGAGAATCTGTCTGGATATTTGCAAGTGATGCCCTGACTGCGAATCAACGGTGTCGATTAGATTGACCCTGCATGTACCGCGACTCCTGGATCTCTCTTCTAGTGTGTGTACATGCGGTAGAACAACTATCAAAATCAATGAGAATTGACCTGTGTTCATCTGCACGGACTCTCTAAAGGGCATCTTTGGAAACGGGATTTATGTGCCGTTCACGAGGGCGGGCGACGAAATACTTCATCTGCTTAGACCTGGGGAACATTTGTAGATGCGAATGATCTTCGAAATGATCGCCCTGTTGAAAAGGCTGCACTGCACACACACCACCCACCCCTTTCCGGCTTGCCTGCCGACGATCTCCACCCGCCGTCTCCTTGCTGTTCCTGGGTTCCTGCAGCAGTGGCAGCCCCAGTGTCGCGGCTAAGGTACCTTCGCCGGCCAGGAGGTGCGGAATGCACCACCCAAGGATCTAGAATGCAAGGACGGTTCTCTAACGTCCGCAGCACAGCGGAGGAGGGAGGCGAGGTCTAGAAGGTCGAAGGGTCCCTGTTTCGACGCGAAGCGAACAGAGACGACAATACAGCGCAATACAATACAATGCAATGCAAGAAAGGCGAAGATCCAGTCATCGGAAACTCCTGCCGGGGGCCTGCATGGTCGTTGCTTACCAGGTATTTCGAGAGAGGGTCTCCACGAGGCGCAGAGGGTCATCAAACTGAACAGCCCGACGGTGAATAACTAACTAATGCTCGCGCGGCTAAGGCTTGAGATCAGGGCCATTCATGGGATGCCGATGCCATTGAGCAACGCAGATTGAGCCAATGACCATCCGATGTGTCTCGAATTGCTAAATGACTGTACCTCAGTCTTCAAGCCCTACTTCGTGTCGTTGTGGTGAACTTCCGAAGAAGAGATGCCCGCCCGCCCGCCCGCCATGACTGAACTGAACGGTGC